TATTACAGACTGCACTACTATTACAGACTGCACTACTATTACAGACTGCACTAGAGTGTGCTCCTTGTTGACAGACAATTTGTCAGACAAATTTTCATTGACAACTTTTTTGTCAGACAATTGATCCGACAAGACTTCCGACAACGCGCTTTCTAAAGGGTGCGCTTTTAAAAGTATAAAGGTCGCGCGAAAAAATATTTTCACCACTAAAAATTTAGTAATATTTTATTTTAATTTTTTTTTTGGGTGGAATGGGAATTTTTGGGAATGGTTCTATTGCCAATGTAGACAATAGGCCTTGGGATTAAATTCGTAAAATAATATAATTTTTATATTTTTGCTTAACTTTTCCCTTTTTAATTTTTTCTTAAATTTTAAATAGCATTTAAAAATTTTAAGAGTATTAGAAAGAGTAAGTAGAGTTAAGGAAATAATAAAGAGTTAAGGAAAAAGTAATAGGAGAAGAGTAATAGAAAAAAAGCGTAAGATTTTAATGTACAACATTATTTTGAAAAATTTGCTGATGGAAAATTGTGTTATTGGCTTATGCTTGGGGCGCGCTTAACAAAAACGCGGCGCTTTTTAGGAAAAGCGCTCTAGACTGCACTACTATTACAGAAAATACGGTATCTTTTCTCCAGAAATGGTCTGCCCCGGCTCTAGGATCTGCAATATCAAGCCAAACCACAAAACAGGACCAGTCCTGGCTTACCAGCTTCTATCAAGCCCAGGGACCTTTATGGGTCAGGTCTGCAGTATAGTCAGGTCCAGGTCCATGCCTAGCTTCTGCCATGACCGTTGAAAGCCCAGTGAACCCAGCTCACCATGCCTAGTCTGACTTTTAAGCCCTAGGATCCAGCACATCTAAGCTAGACATGAGACATTCCAAGCCGAACCTAATTCCACCTTCGTTTTCTCAGCCGTCTCTTGGCTGATTGGTCTGAAATTTTGTTTACAAATAGAAATTGGTATTCTCTGCTTGTAGAAAAAAATTTCAGAACAATCGACCAAGAGACGGCTGAGAAAATGAAGGTGAAATTTTCCCATGCAGAGCAGTCTAACTACTGGCGAGCTCGGGAATTTTTGTGAGTTGTGAGCCCGGGGGGAAAAAATTTTCTTTTAAAAGAACTATTCTCTTTTTAAGTGCAATACCGTAGCTCAGTTTTCAAATTGGTCTTTTATTTTACCCAAGTCCAAAAATGTGTTTTGTTTCACTTTTGATATGCTGAAATGACCTCCCGTTTTCTCTCGCTGATCACCTGATCAATCACCGTCTAAAGGGATTTCTTTTAAAAACATTGTATCATTTCCAAAATGTCGAATTAGGGAAACCGGGCTCTTTCCAGGGGATCCAACCGATCATTAATCTCAACTTCATTTTCCTTTTTCCTCAGTGTGACCAATCCAATTCTTTTTTTCTTTTTGTGGAATTTCTATATTTCTCTCTAAAATCTCAATATTTTCCCATCTTCCCCTGATCTTTATTTTATCCATTTTCTTTTATCTTTTCCCCATCTCCTTTGAAACCAAAAATTTCACCTTTTCCAAGTCAAAAAGTGTACGTTTTTTGGAGATTCTTTAATCCTTTTCTTTCCTTTATTTTGACCGTTTCTGATCAACATTGATAAGTGATACTTTGATACGATTTTCCCCTTTTTCCCCTCTCCATTATCCATTGATCATTGAGCTCAAATTTTATGCGATTATTGGCAAACATTGAATTGCATAAAAAGCGATTTGCGGAAAAGAGCCACGCGAGCCAATTTTGTGCAAATACCGAGGAAAATATTGAACTTGTGAAAGTTTTGATTAGCCGAAAATTCGATTCAAATCCCACGCGTGAACTTCCTGGGAATTGAATTTTTTGAACTATTTTCAAACAAATCTATAAATTTTTGGTAAAATATCATGAGTGTGTAGAGCTAACTTCCACTGGAGCAAGGATGTCAAGTGCGTTGTGGTGTGATGCTTAGTACAGATGGTCGATAAGCGAAAGGCCGCGGGTTCGGAGTCTCGCCGGCGTGCAAGTATTTGATCTGGCCCTAGTTCGAACTCGTAGCAGTGCGCTTCTTGCAAGAAAACTGCAAAGGTTGTTGTGCAAATCAACAGCTTTCAAATGAAAATTTTACCTGTGTTTTGTATTTCTTTTGTTGTTTTGTATAAGTTTTTTTCAAGCTATGCTATAGTTTCAGCAACTTTAAACGCTTTTTTTTCCATTTTAGCTTTTCTATCACTTCTGGACGATGGGAATTTGTATCTGCAGAGCTAAAAGAGTTCTTCTACTTTGATTCGTTGTTTCGATTCGGGATTTCCGGGTCATTGACGTCAAAAATCCTTGAAAATTTTGGCAGAAATAAGTTGAAATGATTTTTAAAAGTGCCGCTTTTAAAAGTTTAAAAGTTTTAAATTACTTTAAAAGCACCGTAAAAGTACGTAAAGTAAAGCCGATTTACAAGAGTATTCCACTGAATCGGTATTGAAAAGTTAAAGCTTTAGTTATACACTTATAGTATCTAACTAATAGTACTTATGAGTACTTATAGTACCTAACCAATAGTACTTATAGTACTTAAAAATAGTACTAAAATATAGTTTCAACATATACTCATAGTATCTAACTAATAGTACTTATAGTACTTATAGTACTTATAGTATCTAACTATACTTTAGTTAGGACAATTAGATAATTACTCAACCCTTGACACATCTTAAACATTTTAAAAATCAATTTTGTTTTTTGTCTCACAACCTAAAAATCTAAAAACGATCTAAAAATAAGAAAAATCTAAAAATCTTGTACCCAACCCAACACTTCATTGCCTATCTTTGAATGCTTCCCTTTGCCTTGTGATTTCAAAGGTTAATCCCAGTGAGAAAAACTTCACCCATTGTTTCTTATCTTTTTCAAAGAACCCGAAGAGTTTTTTTTCTGAGAATAAAACGGAAATAATCTCTATCTTCCAGGTGAATTCATTTTCTATATTTGACGCATCTTCACACCGACATCTACAGTAAATCTAGTTTTCATATTAAGGCCTTTTTGTCGTTGTTTTCCGAAAAGCCTCTTATGGTTTTCGTTTGCGAAAAGTGTTCTCAAAAAAGACTAGGATAATCCCAGTTAGAAGGGGCTCTTCACAGCTAACCTCGATTTCTTAAAAGGCATCTATTTTTGGTCTCCGAAATTCGGTTGCTTTCATGAAAACTGAAAGTTTGATTACAGTGCCTTTTGGAAATGGATTGGTTAAGAAAAGCACTACCGTAATATCTCTAGCTAGGGGTAGCGCTCTCCCCGCCCATAATGACGGTCGGAGCGCCGCGTGGTCTAACTTTAGACGCATTTTCCTTGCCGCCCATTGCTATAGTGTACGCTTAAGTATCAAATTGAAAGCTAAAATTCAGGGTTATTTTTTGATATGAAAGTATTTGCATTTTAGAAATTTATGGGGGCTTAAGGAAAAATGTGATTGAGTAAAAAATTTTTGTGACTACGCAACTTGTACAGGCGGGCTACTATTAGAGGTATTACAGCATTCATAAAGGCAATATCTCTTGTATTTAAACTGTCCAATATGTAGCAAGCTTTCCAGTTTAGATTAAACTCCCAAGCTCCCCAACTTTTCTTTAAAAGAGTAGAATATTTATTCATCTTATCCAATTGTGAAAGAAATAGTCGCTCTTGGGGAAATTTCAGGAGAAACCTGAGAAGAAAGAAAAGCGAAAAGAATCAAAAACAACAACTGCTGTTTTTTCTCTTGAAAAGTCAAAAGACCCCCCGTGGTCTTGAGAAGTTCATAAAAGGAAAAGAAGTTGTTGGACAACGATCGACCATCCTTCCGTCCTCCACTTTTCCCCTTCTCATTCCCATTCCATTTCGCCCACTATTTCTCCCAACGATTTTCCTCCACTTTTGCCCACCTTTTTTCTCTTGTGTGGAGATTGCAAAAAGATCGAAACGATCATAAAATTCATTTTCGTGGAAACCCTCAAAACACCTTACTGCTTTTCTATTTTCCCTTAGCTTCAATTGATCAACACCCCGCAAATCTTTCCCTTATTTTATAAATCAGAAAGCGATTTGAATTTCTTGATTTTAAACCAAGAGACGTTCAAGAAAGATCAAGAGACGAAGAGCTTTTAAACTGACAAGTAGGCATTGAAAACTATTCTTTAATAGGGTTTGCAAGGAGCCCTTCTATAGCCAGAGGCGTTAGAGAGAAAAGAAATTAAGATGTCGCATCATCTATCTTGTCGCACCTCTTTACTCAGCTATCAGATTAAAAGAGCTCATAAATGAGGATCTGTCTAGAAATGGGGGAGATGTCCAGGGTTTTTTAGGGCTTGTTCTGGAAGTTTTGTAGCTATTTGACTCTCCTGAAGAATAAGAGTCCAATTTCATATAGTAAATCTAAATGTAAATTCCATATAGTATAGTAAATCTAAATGTAAATTTGAGAAAGTTGAAAAAGAAATATAGTACCTGTTTCTCTTTTAGTTTTCTTTTCACTGTTAGAGCCAGTGCTTGCTCACTTTCAAGCCAAGCCATGAAAACTGAATTCATTGAATCTTTATTACTAAAAAAGAGCTTCTTTTCTAATCTCCTAAAGTCCAGAGCTAACTTTCTTTCTTTCTATTTCCCCATCTGGAACTCCTTTCCTGAGTTCTTTTCAGTTGAGAATGGCAGAAGAAGAAGAAGAAAAGAAATGACCTTTTTGTTGATGTGCGCAATCCCCGTGACAGTGCCCTTCTTCCCTCGCCTTCCATCAGAGGCCCTCCTCTTCCCATTTCCTTCTCCTCTTTCGACTACAACTCATCCCTGTTTTCGTTTTTCGTTATCTTGTATACTCTACCCGTTTTCTCTTCTTTTTCCACATTTTCCTATCTTGTTTACACGTTCGATTCTGGGGGGGGGGCCAAAGAAATCCTCCATAAATAGCACCCAATATGCGGTGAATAGTGTCTATGTGGAAAATTTCTGATTTTGTGCTAAAACCCATTGCAGGATGTCCACCAACCGACCACCAACTGTAAGTGAAATTGTTGGGGCAATAGACGTACCGATTCGGTTTGTGATCCTTCCACCGAACAACGTACAAGACGCCAAACAAGACGGGGTAATTATAAGAAAGAAAAAAAGGGTTTATACATAAAGTATCTAGATAATACTATTATCAATAGAGATATCTAGATAATACTAATATCAATACACATAAAGATATCTAGATACTTATGTAAAATGATATTTTCAGCGTGCATGCCGCCACCCACCACAATATCGACGTTCTTTGGAAACCTACGCTTGGCGGGGCCGGTGAGTGCTTAAAGTAGTGTAATGTGTCAGTAAATTTTAAGTACTATAATGTGCTTGAAATCCTTGCGTCAATAGTATACTGTAATGGTATAAAGTTTAATATACCGTTCTAGAAAAATTTCTCGCACCACTTCCACAGACAGCAACGATGAAGAGTTGCGACGTGTATCGATCACCGAATTGGGTCCTTCAAGGTTTGCAATACCCAAATACTAGTCTACAAAAGTCATTCAAAACAAAGTAGTCACTTGAATTTGCGCCTCTCAAATAATCTATTTTCTAAAATCTGGCAACTTTCAAGAGCTAACGTAATCTTGGCTCGAATTTTATCCAATCAATCTATTCCGTATTCCGTATCGCCGTGAATCCTCACAGAAATAAATACCTAAAATAGATAAAACTAGAGGATTACGACGTAGTTTTCAAAAGTCGAAACGGTTTTTTAGAAAACATAGAAGAGAAAAAAACTCTAATCATGCCGATTTCAGCCCTACTACCACAACCCCCCACGATGATCCCAGATTATAGCGATTTCGCTACCGACAAGGGAATGTCTATTGGCTATGGTGAGTAAACACAAAAAAAGTCCAATTGGACGCAACAATTTCAGCTGAGGGGCCACGTGTGAGAAGGATGTCACTGAGTGAGATGATTTTTCGGATCTCCGGGAAATCGACGCTTCACTACTGGAGCGAGAAGACGATGACCGAAGAAAATGTGGCCAACAAGAAGTCTTCGGTTACTGAAGTGAGTAATAAAGGAGTCTGATTGGATAAACGAGAGCACAAGAATTGCGAACAAATAAATTAAGGCCAGTTTTTTGGATGCACGTTTCAAGGACATTATGGCGGCACCAGAATCGAGTCAATCACGGTTGAGTAAACGGTTCGAATCGATGAATAAGAATATTCCTAGATGGCGGCTTCAGTCTATTCAAAACCTCCGGACTACCGCACGAAAGAATGATCTACTCATTGAAATATTCTCTTCGTACACACAATTACATACAATCCTAATAATCTTCAATAATAGAAAAACCATTTGAGCGCAAAGTTTACAAAAATTTTTTCCTAACAAAGGTTGTTGCTTTCTATTTATTTTTGTCGAATCCAAATTTCGCCCATTCATCGTAGAATTAGCCAACTTCTTTACTGGTATTAACAATTGTACATACTTAATATGGGATTCTTCCATGGAATCGATTTTATAAAATCTTCGATGAAGATCGTCTAAAAACACAAGAGAAAATTACCGTTCGCCGACTTTCTACAATTGAAACCAACATTTATTGAAAAATAAACAAAAACAAGAACGATAACAACAAATAAATTAACAGTAACAACATGAATCATTTATAAACGCGTATTATGTAGAGTATTCGTCCATCTTTTGAGTCCTCGTATTCTTGTTAATCCTTGTTCCTTCATCAGGCGTCAAATTCTAAACTCATTAATATTTATCAAGTTATTCAGTCCCCTCTACTTACCTTTATAAAAGGCACAACACCAACACTACTCCGCCGCCTTCAGCTTCTGCCATAGTATATGGTACTTCTTTAACCTTCCTACTGTTGTTTATGCAACCAAAGTTGTATTATGGATTTATTAGGAACAATGTTACCTTAGATTTTGTGATGAAGACTCAGAGTTGGCGCATCAGCAAAATGTCGCACGCATTCTATGCAGTAAAATTGTCCTTCTCCCGGGCAGATCGAGATCGACCTAAAATTTAAATGACTTGATGGATAGTCCGGAATAAAACCCTACCTCCTGATTTAATAATTTGGTCGCTTTTTTTGGTTTAAGATCGTCGTGAATCTCGTCGATATCCTTTTCCTTTCTTTTTCTTCCTTTTCTAGATTGTGTGTACTTCGGGAGGCATCTAACACTAAAAAAAATTTTTAAATCCGTTTCCAGGCTCCAAGTAATCGGTCAATTCTATAATCATGAACTCAGAAAATGCTCTACAAAGTTTTGAAATTTTTATTTTTATATATCAGCAATCAAAAATACATTAAAACAGCAGAAAAGTTAAATGACTTCTCTACAAATATGAAAGATCAATCATGAATTTAATAAAAAATTACAACAAAAACTCACACAATTGTTTTGTGCTTTTGAAGTAACAACACTTTCGGCAGTCGACCATACGAATGCTCATAACAAAATAAAAGAGACGATGAGTATCACACAATGATAGAAACAAAAGGCGGCCACCAGCAAAAACCGTTATAAAAAGCGGAGAAAAAATAGTATGAAAGAATTATTAACATCCACAAAATCTAATATTTACAACCCATCAAAGAATTTAGTATTCCTACAGTGAACATGAATAGGTAAAATAAGAGATCATTTAACCAGCTTGTTATTCACCTGTAGAATGCATGTTATGGTTTTTTTGCTTTTGACCACTTTATGCTCCCATCATTCATTCGGCTGCGTTATTCTAAAAGTTAGAAGATAAATGTTTGTTCAAAACTCCTTTTACGTCAAAATTTTAATTCCTATATAAAACGTGCTAGTTAGGAAGTTAAAACATGCAACTCACAGGATCGCACCTTGACGTCGGCCTCCTTTACGAGGGATGGTAGGGTCATTTCTGACTGCGAGAGGTGACACCAACTGTTCGTGATTCTCCAAGACCCGCCATGTGCCCACATACTTGTAGTGAAGCCTAAATTTTAAACATTTGATATTGGTGTTTGCTTTAAGGGTATCTGGGCTAGCTTAAGGGTTATATTAAAGGTTATTCATATTACCTAGATTCCACTTCTGCTCATCAAAGAATTGTTGTTTGATCTTGAAGAATATTTTTGCGGTTAATAACGCATCTGAGCGCAGCTTGATGCTCAGCCCCAATTCTTTTGACATCCAATTGATCAGCGACCTTAAAATTTTTTGAATAAACAAATGCACAAATTTTTTGTACTTGAAGTCCTCCTTTCAGTTTCGCGTTTTGACAAGCGGGCAACCTCAGCAACAATTCTAATAGTCACAAAGTATTGAGGGGAAGATTATCTGATGGAACCGAAAGTAAATTCTGCTTCCTGAAAATACTGTAATTTTAGTATCATAGTTCCAAAACCTCTTTTGGAAGTTCTGTATTTATAAACGGATCGCATAAGATAGCCAGAAATCATAGCCGCTCAAAGGAAATGTCACCTGTGGTTATGCTTGGATCGACAATAAGTCCAGAGGTCGTGAGCAATTCCCAAAATCTTCCATATTGATACCACCATCTGCCTGAACAGAAAATCTACATGTAAAAGATTCCGCAAAATATCCTAACAAACTCTAAAACGAGTGAAATCAACTGCTGTCCTCACATTTCAACACTGTCGACACTGTACATATCATCGTCTAGGCTGAACTAAAACAAATTTGTTGGAACAATCAAGAATAAAGCTTAACCCGGAAAATGAATTGCTAAACATCACCACCAGGTGGCAAGTCTCCCCTCTCGTTGAATGTTGAGCGCATTCAACCTAAAAAATTTTGTCACTTTACTAGATCAAAATTTTCATTAATCATCCTGCCAAAAACAAAATTATCCTAGTTTCAATTTGGGGTAACCCCCACGCATTTTTGGCGTGTACTGGGCTTTAAGTAATACAACTTTCTCTTTGATTTACCTTTAAAAGCTCATATACTACAAACTCTACTGGCAGGCTTTTGTCACAACAGACAAATGCATTGTAAAATTCACAGTACGCGAGACTCAGATGACATCCAACAGACCTGGATCAGTTTTGGAGATGTTTACGTTGCAAGAGACTTGTTGATAATTCTGAAATCTTCCTTGGACTGGAATTGCCCCATCGGAGTCGCTACAACGCTGCGAAATTCGGTGTCCATCGTAACATAGGGATATAAGTTTTCATCAACGTCTGAACTAGGGAAAATGTTTTTTGTTTTATAGCAATGAGATTTATGTCGTACTCGAGTAATCTCAAGCAGACTAAGACAGACTAGGACACTACAAATACAGGCACAAATTGTTTGCTTCAGTCCAGAAGCGATGATAAACAACTATGATTTACAATTAGTCAGTACAGTATTTTTAATCAACGAGTCACTAACAACTTTTAACGCTTCACTTGCGCAATCTGATTGCTCCAGCAAGTTCTTTTTATGTTACAACCTAGCACACTGAAATCCTTTGATGAATTCATAGATTGTAACAAGAACGTAAAAACCACCAACCCGCGCAAATTCCTCGTCAAGGTTTTGTCTCCATCAATCGGGTACCACAACCTCAGGAGACATTCTCCAAGCGATTGCTCCTGAAACATACAAACGTTATTGTGATAAAAACAAATGCCAAAAGCCAACTGAAAATAAAAGAAACAATAAAAGAACAAAAATAACAAAAATAAAAGAACAGTAATGTCTGGAACCTGCTTAAAGCTCAAAGGGACAACAACCTAAAAATCAAAGAAACCCTAGTTTTCATGCCCTCAAGAACTCAAGCAAAACATCGTAATATGGTCAATCTAATTTGATAACCATAAATAAAGTTACAGGGTTTCTGAAGGAAAAGAAAAGCATTAAATATTTTTGTGTCTTTTGCACACAATTTGAAAACGCTGTGGTGTTTTCCCTCTTTCTGTCTGCAATGTCCGTTCGTTAGCAGTAAAACCCTCGTACTTGTAAATTTAAATTTTCGTAGAGTTGGAAAATTTGGTGCATTTTTAATTTCTATGAAAAAAGATATTCAGTTAAATGTGTATGGATTTCGGGAAATGAACATTTTCAAGTTCACTCGATTCTAGTTTTGAGGTCTTGAATTTCTTGAATTAATGAAAAACCATTGATACACTTTCTGGTGAAAATGGCAAAAGAGAATCTTCTGATTGATCGATCAGATTATAGTGTAAAATAGAAACAGGGTTACGGTAGAAAATGCACAACATAAAGAATTGGCTTTGATTTGTAATTTCTATTTGGCACTAAATTGGTCGTTAAGCAAAGCTACAGGTAAACTCGGGGGTGGGACAAATGCGATCTTTTTTTTGCGCACCTGGACATTTGCGCACTTTTTTTTTGTTTGAAAAGGCCTTAGGCAAGGCCGTAGAGCTTCGAAAATGTTTTCATCTAAGGGAATCGTATGCGTAGATTCCGAATTTCGACAAATCAGACCTCGGGGACACGTCACCTCTGGATTAAAAGGCACAAACTGCGGAAAAGCGTTAAGTTGCGTATCCTAGTTTCTGGAAAACATTTTCTCACACTAAATTGATGAAATTTCTATTTAAAACGCTAAAATTAACGCAAAATGATATAAGCTTTAAAGGTTTGCTTTCATATTATTTAACAAAAAAGGTTAAACATTTGCCTCAAGAATTTCATTTTTAGTTACAAAGCCTAAGAGGTAAATGTAAAATTTCACGGAATTTGCGTTAATCTATTGATCTTTAGACCATTAATCAGATCGCATAAAAAATATTTTCGTTCTTCTTTTAAACTCTGAAAGCGATAGGTGCAAAAGATTGATAAAAGTAGCAGAATGGTCAAAAAGTTTCAAAAAAAGCTAAAATTTTACTCCCACCGGATCTTTAAAATTTACCCCCTGGATCTTAAAATTTTACCCCCCCGGATATTGAAAGACCCCCCCGGATACCCATTAGTACCGGTTTTTTTCCCCAGCAAAAAAGAGATGCGCTAAAAAGGTCGCATTTGTCCCACCCCCGGTAGCTCGGATAAAATAATTACCTTGCCTATTGTTTTATCAATTTAATTGAAATCCGTTTGATTTCGTAGAATGGATCGACCACTACAGTAGAATCCTCAAATCTGTAGAATATAGAATCAAATCTGAAAATAGACGTCCGGCCGTTTTTTTCTCTAATAATTACGATTCCTCTGCTTTGTGTCTCTCGAGTTCGTACCATTTGTCCAGTGAAAAATCGCAAAACACAAAAAATAAGTTTCGTCATCTACACAAGCCCTCGTTTCTCTGATCGCGAAAAAAGAACACCGTGGTCATTCGGCAGCACGAATCGCCAATCTCTTTCTCTCATTTTCCCGTCTCGATGGACTGACCGCGTTGACCGGCTCGTCTTCTGTCGATGTCCTCTTTTTCTCCTTCTTCTATTTTCTTTTTTTTCTCCGATGGTGATGGTAAGTTTGTGGAGTGGACGCGAGGGGGTTCTCGTTAAAGGTTTGTCCATCCACCCTCTTCTACCCATCCCCCCCTCTGTCCACACCTAGTCTTCTCTTCCTTTCACACAACCCATAGTCCGGCCATTTAATCAATTTATATAATTCAAAAATGTTTTCCTTTCCTTTCTCTGTCAGTACCTGTAAGCTTTTATTTTACAAACTCTAGATAAACAATTCTCCATTTTGTATAAGATCTAGCTCTCAGAAAAGTACGAACATCACAGTAAAGTGGTAAGTAATGCATAATGTGAACAGTATGGACACTAGTACAACTTTTTTCCTACAATATTTTATTCAAGGTTTCACTCTGAGCATTACGTTTTACAACAGGCACTCTTTAGGGTTTTATTGGATACAACCAAATGGCTACATCTTTTCTCAAAATAGAGATCTCTTTCTGAGTCAAGTTTATCTTTTGTGTAATGAGCCCCATTCATAATTGCTGGTACCTTAGGCAGAAATATTCACAAAAACTAAACTACAAGGGTTTATATCGACCATTTTTGTTTAAAATTTTAAACTGTGCTTTGTGTTCCTTTGTTTAACAGAATCAAATCCCTATAGATCTTTGTAAGATCCAAAAACCGAGTTTTTTTAAATTTCTTATCAAAAGACTTTACATTGAGAACGCTTTGCTCTTTTCTTTATTTATAGATTAGTCGCAAATTATCGAGGATTTATTCAAAAACCGGTGACTTGTGGAATGAATGGAAAAAGGGGAGAGATTTTGACGGCATTCGGTGAGAAAAGGGAGAGGGTAAGGGAAGTTCCATTCCTTTACTCCATCTCTTCCATCTCGAAGTGTCCCCTCTTTCAATGCAGAAAGAAAGTTGCTTTTACAAATTTCTTGAGAAAAATTGGAAACTTGGCTATTTCTTAGACGATCTTCGCTTGAAATTTCTTTTTCAATACCATTCCTCTATTCGCCTTGTGAATTTTCCTATAGACTCAAAGCTTTTGATTGATTTTCTGATTTCTGATTCGACAAAACATTGCTAGACCAACTGGTTACTGGTTTTACATGTTTTTAGATAACAAAAACTTTTGAGTTTAGGCTCGTGAGCCTTGAGCTCGAACCCTTAAAGTGTTATCATTCAAAATCAGTTATCGGACACGGACGCCCTTTTTTCCATTGGCAACCTAACTTTGAATCAAATATCTTGGTACTTCCGGGTGTCCAATTTAAATAATCTTGATATCATTGGATGCGCCAAGTCTTTCTCTGTCGATTGGTACAAAAACTATTTAAATTGAACAGTCTAACACCAAGAAATTTGATCTTAAAGTTGGGTTGCCAACGGCGAAGGGGCGAGGCAAGTATTACATGTCCCACAATCTTCCAGTTCTGTAGACTAGGACAAAAATTCTTCAGAGATTCAGGTTACAGACTTGACCTAGCATAGTATCCAGAAGCAGAACCTTACCTGGCCTGAGAAATTAGGCGTTCGAAACAACTCCCCTGAACACTTCGACAGTAGTACAGATTTTACACTTGTTCTCACTTTCTGCGTGTGTTAAGAATTCAAACGGAAATGAACGAGAAGCGAAATGGAAAAAGATGTCGACACACATCACTTTGACATTTTTCGACAGACATTCTTCTTCTCAAAAACGAAAAGCCCCTTCATCCCCCTTCACTCGACGAATTCTTTGCTCAAAGGGGAATGGCGGGTGTGGAGAATCGATCGGGTCTCCCTGGGTGCTCGTTGTCACTTCTTTTCCCCTCAAGGCACGTGTTCACCCCACCTTGGGCCATAGAGAAAAAAATCGAGAAAGGGGTCCCCTCCACCATCCATCCCTATCCCTCTTCCCTCAAAATAAGAGAAAATATTCGAGAGAATCACGCAAAAACCCCCTGGGCCGAAATGTCTTCTGTCTGTGCCCTCTTCTCTCATCCACATTTTCCATTCCTTTTCTCTCTCCTCACTTTTCGAGATGATTTCAATGCTCTTTCCCTTCTTCGACAATCGTTGCTTTTTTTCAACTTTGTCTCTCAAATTTCGAGTCTCATTCTTTGAACTTTTATCTTAGAAAAAGATTTTTGATTCAATTCACTAACTGTTTTCTCTTTTCCTTTGTAAGTTTTCTTTTACGTCGTACCTTTTCTATCCGAAAGAACTCATCACGCAGATTTGATCCCCTATAATCCTATTTATTTACAATCCAAATTTGGAATAACACTTCGAAAATCTGTTTCCATGCTAACAGGTATTTTCTTTGAGTGATTCGTTGCATTTTTCAGCATTTTGAATTCTTTCAAACAATCTTTTGTTATAATGAATTTCAGCAAAGGTCAGTCTAGGCCTTTTCGGTTGGTCTAGGCCCTTTCGGTCGGTCTAGTCGGCCTAGCACCAGCTCTAGAACGCATTTTTGGGTTTTTCATTGGGAACTCATTTTCTGGATCATTTTTGGGTATTAGAGCATGGGTTAGACCACTTACTAGGCCAAACTATCACCTTTTAGGCCAGTACCAGTTTGAAAAGCTAGACCAACCAGGCCCGGTCTAGTACAACTAGTTTACAACTTGCTCCTTTTCTTCTTACATTTCCTGACCTTGATAACTTTTCTCCTACTTTTCACTTCTTTTCTTCTTTTACAATCTTTTCCCTTAATCAATTTTTTTCAACTCATTTTTCGTTTCCGCAACCATTCCTTTCTCAACTTTATTTTCAGATCCAACTTTCTATTTACACAAATATTATTTCTAATCATTGATCTACTCTGAGATCTACTCTGAGACAATAAACTTAAGAAAATCTTTTAATTTCTCACTGATTTTTGATCATCCCAAAAAGATAATCAATAATGAACTAGCTAAGTCAGTTCTTTTTTTCATTTCTTGACAAAATCTCGTAAAAACAGTTTTTCCCTTTTCTTGATACGTTTTCTAACCACTATCAATTTTTTAAAAAGTTTGCTAGACCAACACATATACTCTCTCGCTTATAATAAGTAGAATTTCTCATTTGACGTCATCAAACCAATTCAAATTCATATCAAAACAGCACTTATATCAATTATCTCACGCTCAAAGCTTCCAAAAATTAGTAAGAAAAGGATTCACTCAGAATTTTTTTTTCTGTTTACATTTAAACTTGTTGTACCTCAGCAGGAAGAAGGGAACATTAACTTTTAAAAGTAAAACCTCCGACAACACTTTTCGATCTTTTTGTTAGAGTTGAGCGTGTCTGTAAATTTTTCTGATGATTAAATAGAATTTTTGCGATTTTTTTTCCAAAAATGAGTGTTGAGAGGGATGAATAGAGATGTGGAGGAGAGGGGAGGAGGTGGAAAGCACAAAGTGGAAATCGATTCACTCCCCTCTACCCATCCCCTCACCCCTTCACTCAGTCAATCCTTTCCTTTTCTGTCTTCCCCTTCATCCCTCTCTCCTCTTTCCTCCTTTTCTCATTTACCGTCAATTTTTGGAGATTTTCCAACCGATCTCTTTCCGCCAAAACATTTCCTCTTAAATCTTTTCCTTTCATTTCTTTTTCTTTTGCTGAATGTCATAAAATAAAGTGAATGCTCTATTCGATTGGCAATTGCTTTGATTGCTTTGATTGCTTTGATTTTGTAACTTGCTTTCAAATACTGATACAAAAATACTGAGCCTAATAAAGAAATTTGTATTTGAGTATCAGTTTCAATGCATAAAAGTTTAGGAAAAGCTTAAAAATTGTCAGTGATCATTAAATGTCAGTGATCACGCAATACCAACATTCCCTTATGCTCAAATGATAAAGTTTCAACGTGGTCTTCTTCATAAAGTTGTAAATCTTACAACAATTTTTGTGTACATCTATGATTAGTGCCAGAAAATGAATTGAAGATTCGAGATTTTAGCTACCGTAAATACTGTAATAGTACTCCACCCCCATAATGACGGTGCGGAGTGTTGCGCAGTCTAGCTTTGAACGAGTTTTTCTCGACACTGGTTTATGCTACAATGTGCGCTTAGGTATCAAAAAATAGCCCTGAATTTCAGCTTTTTTTTTGATACCAAAGACGCATTTTTTGAAAGTACGGGTGCTTTGAAAAAAATGAAATACTAAAAAACTTTTGCGACTACGCGACTGTACGAGGGGGGTGGGGTACTATTACAGTATTTACGGTATTTATTTACTGTAGCTTACTTCTATTGTAATTATAGATATTTTAAGCCCCTTCTGACTTCTTTAACGATTCTTCTTTAGCGTTAAAAAATCAATCCGGCTTTTTTTCTAATCTAACTTGTTTTATTCTTCTAACGATTTTTTTAGCTTTTTAGCTATTCTTCTTTTCTTAAACTTCTGTACTTTTTACAACAATATGCTCAAAATCCTTTCTTACAAACCCTTTCCTTATTTGGATTTTAAATCATTTAAGCATTGTAAAAATTTCAAATTAAGTTCTCTTCATTTCCAAAAAAAAGGAAGTCTTTTTCTTTCTTCTCCTTTTTTTTCCTTTTTTCTCTTTTCTCTCATTCTTTTTCTTTAAGAAATCTCTCTTCCAATACGGGTTTTTCTGTCTTTTTCTCATCTTACATCCTTGTATTTGCTTTTATCCTTTCTATGTCATTTTCTTGCATTTTTCCATTCTAAATTTATTTGTTTTATTCAAACAATGTATTTCTTCAACGAAATCTTTTTCAGTTGCTGTGACAAATGCCAAAAACTTGATGAAAACAGCGAAAAGAAAAGCGATGAGAGAACCCACATCAATGATATTCTCACTGCTGTATTTACTCGCGCAATTTGTGATTCTCGTCGATGCACAGAATAATTTCCATCCGGATTGCGCCGATCCACACAACAAGGCTTGTTTTTTTTATTTTAAAGATTTCAAACCATTGAATCCCTTTTCTAAAGGGTTTTCTAAAGCGTAGCACCTTTTGAAAACTATAGCAATCTCAAATCAACCTACCGTAAATACTGTAATAGTACCGCCCCCCCCCTCGTACAGTCGCGTAGTCGCAAAAGTTTTTTAGTATTTCATTTTTTTTCAAAGCGCCCGTACTTTCAAAAAATGCGTCTTTGGTATCAAAAAATAGCTGAAATTCAGGGCTATTTTTGATACCTAAGGGCGCATTGTAGCATAAGCCAGTGTCGAGAAAAACTCGTTCAAAGCTAGACTACGCAACACTCCGCACCGTCATTATGGGGGTGGGGTACTATTACAGTATTTACGGTAGGTTATGTAGATTCATAAAAGGTTTCAAGGCTATAAAGGCAATATATTGGCCAGATTACGGTTAGGCCAGCTCGTTGACACGCTTCAGAAAAAGCAAAAGCAAAAGAACGCAATACTTTTGTACAAAGATTAGAATTGTTAAAGTTGATGAATATGAATTAACCAATTTTCAGGAGATCTCTTGCTCGGTGCATGTTGGTGAGTATTCAAAACGATTTGGTGAAACTTTTTATCAAAAAAAGAATTTCCTTGTATATATTAAATTTAGTGAGTTGTGAAGAGGAGTTATTACTACCGGTGAATGATGGAGATGAACCACCAGAAGCACACGACGTAAGAGTGGAACCATTTGCGAGAGCGACGAAGCACAAACATCAATTACATGTCGACATTTCATGGCAAATGCCACCAAGCAGTGAGTTTTCTTTTTCTTAAACATTATGTTTTTGTTTTATCGAATCATAGAATTTCATTAAGTTCATTATTATATCATTTTAGATAATTCTTTCCGAATTCGAGCCTTTGAATTGGAAGTTGAAAGTGGTGATGGAGGGGAAAATCGATGTTTTCTCTTTAATGTCTCGAATTTTGGATGGACTGAGGATTCGGCATCGGTAAGTGATGATCAACTGGCAATTTGGGGAGTGGGACAAGTGCGACCTTTTTTTTGCGCACCCGGACATTTGCGCACCTTTTTTTCCGCACCTTGCCCATTAGCGCACCTTTTTTCGCGTTTTAAAAAAGCTCTAAAAGCTAATGTTAACCAATTTCTATTCCAAAAGTTGTTTTTCTAGGTAATTTTAGGGCGTAGAATCGAAATTTTGACATATCAGAGCTTGTGGAAACAAACGGACGGAGTTATACAAAGAGAAAAATCGACAATTTTCTGTAATTTGATCTAGCCGTTTTGTCTTTCAAATTGGTTCCACACGCTCTGTTATGTCAAAATCTGAATTCGACACCCTAAAATTACCTAGAAAAACAACTTTTGGAATAGAAATTGGTTAATATTAGCTTTTAGAGCTTTTTTAAAACGCGAAAAAAGGTGCGCTAATGGGCTAAGTGCGGAAAAAAGGTCGTATTTGTCCCACTCCCGGCAATTTGTGTTTGTTTAACAAACATTTAACATTAACAAACACATTTAAACGATCAATCTTCCACTATTTTAGCCTCGATTCCATTTTTCATCTGAAAGCCTTTTCGAATTTTCTCACGTTTACTCGATCCATCTTCGATCTCTTCCAATGAGTAAAAATAAGAAATCTCAAGTATGTTTTTTTTCATTTGAATTCAAACTTTCAAATTATTTACAAAATCTCAACAAATTCTAGGTCTCTCGCAATGCAACAATGCCCTCAAATCCTGATTTGGAGCAAGATGATCGGACAAATATTACAGCTTGGTGCAAAAAGCATTGTGAGTATTTTCTAAAACGTGTAAACCTTTGAAATTTACTGTAATTTGTAACCTTTTTGATCCAATCTATCTCCTTTTCAGCTGACCCACAAGCATCAAAATGGACAGCCGCTTTTCGGAGAATATTTCTGCATTCACTTGCAAGAACAATCCAGGTAAATTGAAAATTGCTTGAGAAAAAGATAAACCTACAAATAATGATTTCATACATAAAAAATTTCAGGTGGAATTCGTTGGCGCACCTCAACAATATTGCTTCGAAGCGTATGAAGTGAGATTGAAAGATGAATCGGGAATGGAGCTGGCACACAGTCATGTAAGTAAGAGGAGTAAAGAACAAAAGCTAGAGCTGAACAAAAGGAAAGAGAAATTAGAACTTTCAATCGTTATTTGTTAAATTTTCAGATCGTTGAGGCAAAGGATATGAAAAACGAGACAATCGGCGGGAAAGTAATGTTTTTTGGAGAGTACAACTTCACTGGATTAGAGGTTTGTAAATCGTTGAAGATAGGGCTAGGACAATGGTCAAAATTGGTTAGAGTTCTGAGAATGGTATGAAACGGAAGACGGTTTTGAAAAAGTTTTTGGCTTTTCATTAAAGTATTTGTGAATCTAGAATTGAGGCATTTGTGGGGAGGAGATCTAGTAGATCTGGATCAAGTATTGGTTTGACCGGAAAGTCTTGTTGTAAAGAAATATTCTTTGCGTGCTTGGTACTCTTCACTCAAGACACGTTATTTCTTGTTTCGAGATATCTGATCTCACTTGAACTAAAAACACTTTATTCAATCGCCGACTGACTCGGAATCTTTGGGCTCTCACTTGAGCAATTTTCACACAAGATCGACAATTGAATTAAAAGCGACGATAAAAAACAGAAACAATTTCGTCCTAATTATGACACAACTTTCACACGATGAGAGGAAAACAGAAAGAAAAATGAAAGATAACTTTTAGTGGCTATTCGCCACACTTGTCCGCCTTTTTGAAATTTTCGTTTATAAAAGAATAATTGAATAAAAAAGAATAGCAAAGATTAAAAGAATAACAATGTGTGATTTGCTTTAAATAAAAAAGATTAACTATTTCATTTAACTCATTTTTGAGGCAAATTTGAGTCCGCTTTGAAGCAAATCCGAACGGAAATTCTTGTTTTTCCTAAAATTCTTACAATGGGCATAGAATGAAAAAGGCTTTGGTGATATGAAAATTTGGCTATTTTCATAGCTTTTCATTCTCTATCTTTTATCCTGAAACCAAAATATCTGTGACAAAAAAAGTGCTCAAATCGGAACTTTAGTTTCATCGTTTTTGACTGCTTGACTTCACATCTTTAAAAAAGTAACTAAATAAGCTTTTCAGAATCTCTTAAAGTGCAATTTGTAAATAAATAATAGGTCTTTCTGACAAAACAAATCATAGATTGATTGGTTCATTATTTATTTCAAAAAGTAACCTTTAAAAAAGCTGATAAGACTTTCCGGTCAACCTGATAGGCATAAAAAAAATGTTATAGAGTTCAAGTAAGATCCATGAAACAGCTTGGGTTTAAAATCGAAACATCATAGCTATAGTTTTTCTTTTCAAATAAACGTTTCTTATGTTTAGGTTGAGACGGACTATATTCCATCAGTGATTCCCGTCGAAAGATCGTCGGATAGACGCTGCTTGTGCCCAACGCAGGTTAGAAAACACAAATCTGTTTTCAATTTGTAACTGAATCTAATAGGGAAATGAATGGCAATGAATAATAGAATGCTATTTTAGAATGAAAATCCGTACGACAATCAAATTGTGTGCAGTTGTATTGCAGCTGATTGGAAAAAAGTTCGCTTGGCCAGTGAGTTTAAAAGAAACGAGTGATCTAAACGATCTAAACATTTAGGAATCGACAAATTACCCAGTTCACCTTGTCCTGAATGCGTCAAAAATGGAACACTTGACAATAAACCACCGAAAAGTGATCACAAGTGAGATAGAATAGCAAATCAAGAGTACTATTCAAATTTCAGGACTCTTTCTGTATTGATTGTTGTGGCTGTACTGGCATTGATCCTTCTTGTTCTTGTTTATTATCTTTTCGTCTTTTACAGGTACTTTTAGATCTACAAACTAAGCAATAATGTTTTAAAACCTGTCAATTTTAAAGTTATCGTCTTACTTTTAGAAGACAACGAAGACGTGGAAAAGCTCTGCGATTTCATTTCAAAAATGTTGACAACAATGTTATTGGAACCGCTGAACCAAATCAACCGCTTATCTATAATTGTAAGTCTTGTCTTCGAATAAGAAATTTTAAAATATAAATTCCCAGCTTGTCTCTCTGTGTTGATCGTTTATTCACATGATTGTGCTTTTCACGAAGCAGCAATCCATGCTTTTGCTGAAGTACTTCGAGATACTTTTGGACTTCAAGTACATGTAAGTGAAAGAGCATTTGTCAGAAGAAGAGCATTTGTCAGCTCTAGAAGAGCATTTGTCATTCCAAATTACTTTAAAATTCTTTACAGATCGATCAATGGGATCAAGAAGCGATCGAAGAGAATGTCAACACTTATATAAACTCGAGTATTGTCAAAGCTGATAAGGTAAATCATATAAATATAAAAAGAAATACAAAATTTTCTAGGTGATAATCGTGAATTCGATTGGCGCGTATATGCGAACAAAAGCAAGACACCAAAAAATGGAACCTCTTGAAAGGATTCCCCAAGGACCGCTTGATCGACTATTTGATCTGCAAATTGATTTAGCGTTACAGTAAGCTAATGTTTCAAAAATCTTAATGTTTCCTATTCTTTAGACATGCTCGAGTGATATCCGTTCGTTTCCCGTACACTCAATCATCATGTACACTGTATGCATTATCACCGCTGCTACAGTACACAATTCCCGATAATCTTGGTACGTCTAGAAATCGATCAAATTAGAATACTGTAGATAATAGATCATTTCGTTTATCCATGATTTCTATTTGACACTAGCTTGGCCGATAACCTATCATAGAAATCTATCATAGAAAGAAACCAATTCATTTAGGCCTCTTGGTTTCATCGTTGACCGAATGCACTCTAAGATCGGATCCGCGTCTTTCCGGTTTTGATCCAAATCTCTCAAAATTGAACGCAGCTGTGGTCACGAATGAATCACTATCAAGAAAGTGATCCATCATGGTAAATAAATAACTATAATATGGTATAATGAAAGCTTCAGGTTCGAGAAAAGTCATCATCGGATTCAGCCATATTCGATTACGATGGAAATGAATCGATTCAATGATTCGGGTCTTGGAGATACATTTAACAGTGAAAGAAATAAAGCCCAAATCAATGGAATGAGTATAGAAGAAGTGGCGAAAGAAACGGAAACGACGTCACTTCTCAGCGAGCAACAAGCGAATGTTCATGAGGTTTGGAAAGGAAAATGAAAAACACAAGAGTATATTTAGGTGATACCGGAGGAGCCATCTGGTTGCTCAACGCCTCGACACGAGATATCGGATTCAGCCTATTTATCGGGAAGAATCGATTCAGTGATACCGACAGCGTGTACATCGGATGCAGATAATCGATCATCGGGATCGGATCGACCTGATGATCCAATCATTTCATTGGGTGAGTGTAACTAATCTTACTATTAGTATGAAAGTGAGTTTTCACTTGGATTGGATAATCCTCAAGCTTTTGAAACTAGTCTAAGAACTTATTGCAGAGAATTCTTCAAAAAAGACGGTGCTTCAAAATGTTCCTTTATCGATGAATGGAGAGAGAATAGAAAACATCGAAGCAGGGAAGAAATTGAGGGAAATCAGCGGGAAAGATCCAGGAGGAGACTCGGGAATGATCACATCAGAATTCCATTCAACAATTCTTCAATGATCTGACTCTTTCACTCATTTCCTCGCGTCGCTGTGCGACCTCTTTTCCCCTCAATCTCTTTGAACGATTCTGCCAAAATCTACTCAAATCAAATGTTGATAATCTAGTCTTTAAAAAATGTCGATAATCTAACTACAGTACCCTATTGTTCTAAATTTATTCACAGAAATCTATCTCATTCTATTCTTTTTTTGTTTTTATTTGCTTAAATCAGGATTCCATTTAAACCAAGCTCGTCTTTCTACAATGAACCCTCGAATTTCGGAAATTTTTTTCAATAGGTTTATATAGTGAGTTTTCTGTAACGTGTCAATTTTTGAAAGCTACCGTAACCCTACTTTTAACCAGCTTCTACGGGGGGTAGTCAAAACAGCGCCATAATAGAAAACGTTCAAAACAGCGCCATAATAGAAAACGGCCAAAACAAAGCCGTCAAAGAAAAAGAAAAAAAAAAAAAAAAAGAGTGAATTATTATTAAGAAAGATAAAAGTTTTTGGGAAAAGAGGATAAAGAGGGAAAAGGAAAATAAAAAAAGAGTGAAAAAAAAAAGAAGAAAAAAAAAATGGTTAACTAATACTTTAGAGGCCCATTTTGAGTGCTTTTTTATCTGTATAAAATGAAACATTATTTTTTAAAAACACTTTTATCCTGTGGTAGCCAAGAACGCAAGGAATTTTTTGGTATAAAACTTGAATCGGCTTGGTTTTTTGGATTTTGAGAAATTTGACGGCGCTGTTTTGAAGGTTTTCTATTATGGCGCTGTTTTGACTACCCCCCGCTTCTAAAGCTCTAAAACGGTAAGAGATAGGAGAATCAAAGAACGCTTCTAAAGAGATAAGAGAACTGGAGGTAAGATTACTGTAGTTTTTGACACATTTTAGAAAATTGCTTCTTAAAGGGAAAGTCTAATCAATGTTTATCAATGAATCCCGGTTTCCCCCTCACATATTACCTGTATTCGTCTGAAGGTTACTGTAATTTCTCATGTGTTGTTTGTGTATAATTCTCATTTTGCGGAGCATCTGCAACGGGTATCACGAATACAAACATTTTGTTGCTATTTTTTTTTGTTTATTTATAGAGTAAAGGAACAGTTAAAACTTTTTTCTGCAAAATGATTCGATGAGATTTTTAAAAGTTTCATTTGTTCCCAATTTCCTAGGCCTGCAAAAAAAGAAATGAAGAACCTCAACGTACATATACAAAATTTTCAAAACTAAAGAGATTTGGTGATTCATAAATATAGAATTTTATAATCAAAGATCACCAAATCGTTTTTGCGTAAATCTCTCAGATCTCATCGATTCTTGGCATTACATTTTCCTATATTTTGTCGTTTTTATGATATTTTACACCCTTATCCACCCTGTTAAATCACTTTCAACCGTTTTTTCTCACGAAAAATTCATCTTCCATTTTCTCACATCCGATTCTTTTATTCACGGTCATAATATGTTTCTTTCATCAAGTCATTTTTGTTATAAATGTACATTTTTAGTCCAATGAAGTGACACTTTCAAAATTGGAAATGCCTGGTACAAACACGGTTATTTAAATACAAAAAAAAGAACAATTTAATGAGGTAAAAGTAAAACTTTACGAGAATGAAGAGAAGTAATGCAAACTTGGGGTAGGCTACTTTGCGCCAAATTTTTTGCGCAACAGGGTCATTTGCGCAACTAGGTCTTTTGCGCAACTCGCCATAACTTTCTTCTAATTCGGCCAATCTTTATGATTTTGATTTCATTTTGTAGATCTCAATAAGTGCACCAAAATGAAACCAAATTCATAAAGATTGGCCCACTTAGAAGAAAGTTATGGTGAGTTGCGCAAATAACCCAGTTGCGCAAAAAAAGTTCGGAAACTAGCCTACCCCGCAAACTTTTCGTCGATGAGCTACTGTAGCCAGACATTTGCTTAATGCTTTCTGACTGTAATGCGCTATAAAAGACGAATTGCTTTCACAAATTTTTCGCGATCTTTGCAATCACAAATTTTACATTCTCTCACAATCTTTACTAAATACCTCTAGAATACTATATTCTTTGCTTCTGTTTTACTTTTTTTGCCGGGAGAATGTCTGAATGAATAAGTAGATTGAAAAATATGCAGTGAGTTAGGCTTAATTTGATTCAAAATGTCTTTGTCCTATTAGACCATTTTCTTATTTTTTTCTTCTATCAGCTTTCTTTATCTATTTGTTTTTTTTAGATGAACGACAACAAAATCGTCGTCACCAAATCACACTTCGATGACTTTTCCGTGCCGACACCTTGGAGAAAATTCGAAGTGATTTGCGAAGGGCGATCGTTGTAAGTTTTATTTTAGCTTTTAATAAATACTAGACAAACTCTTAAAATTCTATTACAACGCCATTAAATTTTATCTACATAGTGGATACGTGCAACTGAGGCCAACTTTCACTTTGTCGGCACTTTTTCTGTTTAGGCTTCCCAACCATCAGCTTTCTTTTTTATCTTAACATTTGCACTTTTTCATAAGTGGTACGAAAGGTTTCCCAACCCCTTTAAAAAATCACGGTGTGGCGCAGGTCACTCCCCGGCGAGGCGAAAGTTGGTCCAATACTATGTAAATGGTTCAAAAAGAAAGATGATGATTGGCCTAAACAGAAAAAGTGCCACTTTGTCCAGCGCGATTAATTTTTTATTTTTAGGTTCCTCAACGCTGGATGGCTTGCTGAGTTATCGCCATTTTTCGCCAACTATTGTTTTGGTAGCGACAAACATCCCGGACGTGCAACTTACAACGCTTCAGAAGATCTTCATTACAACGAACTGCTCGAATTCTTTCGATGCAATTTTTACTGTCCGATGCGGAAACCTCTCAACAGTAAGTATTATTATTTTGGCGGTGTTAAACAGCATGTTAAAGTACAAAGAAGTTAAACGTGCTCTATAACAAAAAAATTTAATTTGAAGTTTAGTTTCCAATGTGACATCCGTGCTTCGAATTGCAAAAGTTTTCAACATGCGTGTGACGATTGCCCGATGCGAGAAGTTCATCGCACTAGCGGCTAAAAATCTAGATCAAACGAAACTTTTGCAGGTAAATGTTCTGTGATTGTGATTGTGAATTTATTGTAATTTAGGTTACTCAAGCAGTCAATGAGTGTGATCCCAATTCAACAACGCTAACTTTGCTGGTGGATCGAATTGCCAACCTCAGTGAGAAAGATTTATCAACTCTACATGTATGTTTTAAAATTTGGCTTATTTTGAGTAAAAAGCTGCGAATTTCGTTAGTGATCTTTACCGAAGTGGTATAACGTGCAAGGAGTTAATATTCACGAAAATAAATTGTTAAATGGCATTTTTTTAGTTCCAAGATATCCCCGGAGATGTTGTTGCCGACGTTTTCACGCACAGAATGAACTCGAAGAAGGGAAAAAAGAAAAAACTTTGCACCCTTATGTAAACCCACTTGATTCATCTCTAAATCACATTAATTTTGTTCTAAATTCATTAGCGTTTAATTCTTAAATTGTTAATTGTTAATTGAATAAATTAGCGATGGTTGAAATTACCAAAGTTAATTCTTGTTATATCTTTAAATCACCATTTATTGTTGTTGTTGTTTGTCAGAAGATTGTCTTTATTTTGTTCACAATGTTTAGTGCTTTGCATAAAAAAAAAATTTATAATCACACTTTATTAAAAATGAACAAAACAAATGTATTTATAGGGCTTTCATCGACGATTTAAAAGCCAACAAAAGAAAATCGAATCATTCAGTACACATAAAGCTTCTTCGAAAGTGGAAAGACATTTTGGACTGACAAAACTATATAGTTACACAAACCTAAACACTATTTTCCAAAAAAGAATCACAGTTTGGGACTAAATTGCAAAAAGGATGCCCCGAACCGGGATCGAACCGGTGACCTTTAGATTACTGACCATGAGCCGCTTCAGTCTAACGCTCTCCCAACTGAGCTATCGAGGCAGTTGGGAGAGGGGGGAAAAACGGCGAGAGAAATGAGCTGTCGAGGCTGCCGGCTGCGTGGGCCGCGGAATCCTTGAGAACCACAGGGAAAAGATATGAATGTCAATATTAACACAAAAATCAAGACGCTAACAATTAAAAAAAAATAATAAAGTGAATCTCATAGAGGATTTCAATAAAAGAAAACGTTGAGATGCTTCAGAATGACACAATCATTTTTGTTTCTGCATTTGCCCACAACTACTCGGAGTGACGGAGAAATTGTTTGAGAATTTCTCTTTTGGCGAAAACGATGCTCCATATTGAGAAGATTGAGACGGGTTCGAGTTTCGTTGGGTTAAATAGCGATTTGATTGATCATCTGAAATGAGATTGATCTTGAAGTGCGGCTTTCTTTCTTTTCTTGACAGTACAGAGTCGGATTTTGAGCTATGTATTTATTTCTATACTTCTATTATGTCTACTTACAAAAGGGGTACTGTGATTTGTCGATAGTCCAATTGCGTCCTTTATCCCCGTTATTCCCCGCACCTGCACCTCCATTGCATCCATTTGTTGCCACTCGTCCTTTTCCTCCTTCCGATTGCCAATATTGAGCGTATTCCTTGGAAAAGTGATTTGAGCTTGGATCTGAAATTCGTTTAATGTAATGCAAGTACTGTAGTTTAAATGTACTGTAGTTTTAATGTACTGTAGTTTTAATGTACTGTAGTAGAATGTACTGTAGTTTTAATGTACTGTAGTAGAATGTACTGTAGTTTTAATGTACTATAGTTTTTCATTTCCTTACCGCTATTTCTTTTTCGTCGATTCCTTGGTGATGAATAATCGTAAAAATGAGGTTCTTTAGCCATAGCAGATCCCATTCTGAAATTTGTTTCTTTTATTTAGCAAGGAAGCTTACAAGAAAGCTTACAAGCTAATATTAAAGTTTTTTCTTCTTCTTCTTTAAAAATAATCAATATAGAAATAGAGTCGAAAATGATCGATGAAATGATCTTTGAGGCATCAATGAGAGAAATGAAATGACAAGAAAAGTGAAATGACAAGAAATAACCGAGAACAAATGTCGGAGATGGGTCAATGACAAGAATCGATCATATTTTTGAACAGGCAGAAGTGACGAAGCAATAAGGCTCAGTGTAAGGAAAATATTTATCAAGTTTATGTCGCAAAAATCCCCCTCCAAATCAAAACATTAATCCAATCTTCAAAGGTGTTCATTTTTAGAAAAAACTCCTAAAAACAAAGCATCGTTTTTCAGCGCTCCGCACACAAATCCTTATTTTTTTTTACATTCACCAGCCAATTAGTGCTAAACGAAGAATTGAAAATAGATCGGAGTAGAAAAACCGACTGAAATCCTGAAATCTCAAGCGTCTCAAAGTTCCAAAAGTGTAGGTGGCGATGAAAATATGAAAATATAAATAACACGATGTCTAGAAAATCAAAAGGAAAAGGTGTTCAGTGAATATTTGGAGAAGTGTCAACTCGGGCGTGATTCCTCTCTTATTTTTGTTGAAATCGCCAAAAAAGGAAACACCCCAATAAAATGATATCACCGTTTGTGTAAAGAAGCTATATTCTGAAGCTATAAGAAGCTACATTTGTTCTCAAGGGGACTGTAAAGTAGACATGTGCATTTGTCAGTCCTTTCGTCGATGGGTGTACAGCGGAAATTCACGTATTGAGCTCTTTAAAATCGAGCTTTTCAAACGTTTTTTTCACTATTAGATAGAGCTTGTAAAATAGTATCCAACGGGAAAAACGTTTGAAAAGGTCGGTTTTAAAGGGCTTAAGACGTGAATTTCCGTTGTATATCTATCGACGAATGGACCGACGAATGGACCGACGAATGGACCGATGAATGGACCGATGAATGGACCGATGAATGGACCGACGAATGTCTACTGTAAAGCAGATTATGCTCGTTCTCTAAAAGCATCTATTTATCATCATCGAACCGACATTCAATCGAGCCAATTTTGAGCTCATTTGATGAGCAATTGCAATAACACAAAAGTTGAGCTGATCGGGTGAAAACTAACTTCTTGAGTACTTTAATATGATAGTTTTTGAAAACAAAGTGTTTTTTAGAAAACTGAGAAAGAGTTATGCCTCGAGATTGTGTTTGAACTCGAGACGTTGTCTCTGAACGAATCCCCAGTTTCTCTATTTCGATTGTATGTATAAAAAAAAGCGACGACGAATAAGGAAGAATCGTAAATGCGTATTTAAAATGGGATTTTTGGGAAAAGAAAAGAGGAGTAGAGGAATGATGGAAGAGAAAAGGAAAGTGGGAGACGGGTTCAAGCTCACTCACAACTCTCGAAAAGAAGATACAGAGACAGACAGCTGTGTGCTTGAATGTGAGTGAAGAAAAAACTTGAAAGATTTTCACAAACAAATCAGAAATTAAATATGTTGAAATGAGAAAATGTGAACTTTCGACGGACTACCGTAATCCTGTCTCGAATTTGATCAAATCTATCGACTTTTGTCGATAGATTGGATCCAATCTATGATTCTGTAAAGATTGTAAGATTAAAGAGAAACGGTAATAGCAATGAAGAGAGAAAAGGGGAAGAGGGTTGAGTGTAGAGAAGGGATGATTGGGTTTTCCTCGAAACATTAGAAGTTCCCCAATTTGTGACGCTTTTTGGCGACATGTTAAGCCGAAAAAGCATGAAAATCCAAAAGATCAATAGATTAGATAAAAACTAAAAGCGGAATTACGGTAGTTTTACAAAACGAATGGAAGATCGTTTACGAATCATTTTTAACAATGTAACAATGATGAGGATTTCTCCTCTTCTTCAAAATCTTCACGTATATTTTTTCTCGTGTGCAAAACGACGAAGAAGAGTGGGTGTGATGATAAGTGTGGATCGAATTTCGCATTCTTTTTCCTTTTTCAAAAGATTTCCTCGTTTTGCTTTTTCTTGGTTACTTTTCTTTGAAATGATGGGAAATATTTCTCTTCCAATTTTGATAAATATATTCAAGTCACGAAAGGGATACAGTAGAAAAGATAAGATTTCCCGGATTTGTAAAATCTCGAATGCATATTTCCCATTAGAAATGGAATTTGGAATTTTGGAAATTTGGACTTTGAAAAGGATTTAGTGAAAAATGTGTTTAGAATTGAATTGAATTGAATTGAATTGAAATGATGATCTGGTAAACAGTAAGCAAATAGCAAACAGTAGCATACTAGATCACTAGATCTGCCCAGATCATCGACTTAGATCTGCCCAGATCACCGACTTAGATAACTAAAGCGAGTGATTTTGCGAGATGACATCAGAATGCCAGAACAAAGAGGTCAAAGAGAACTGTTGAATGAAGCTGTTACCTACAGGTGGCTCTTGAAGCAGCAAGCAAGGCGGGTTCGATGCCCGTTCCATTCTCAACCATTCTTGTACTCCCAGCACTCCAAAGGGTCTGAAGCTTCTACCTGATGTTTAGGGTAAACTTGAATGACAATCGTGGCTGTTTAGGCAGCCCAACCTCAAGCACTTTTTGACATAAAAAAGCTCATAGCGCTTCAACCAATTCAGAAAAACTATGCACGAATCAAGAAACCTTTTAGAAAGCTTTGTAAACACGATTCTTTCATACACGATTTGCAAATTCAGGTTATCCAAATCCCAAAGGTACCAAAAACTAAGAAATTATGCACAAGATTTGGCAAGATATCTACCGTATTCTCTCTAATAGTAGTGCACCCTGAGCGTTGCCTAAATTGTTCGAAATCTCGAGAATCGCTTATTAGAACCTATCGATGTGGGATCGAAAAATATAGCTGACGATGAGATCTTGTGGGGGACTAGAGTGTTGAGCTTCTGCGAAAACTTAGAAACCGTAAAATCGTCATCAACTCGGCTCGCCGGGGCGCACTACTACTAGAGAGAGTATATGCAAGAGCAGAAAGAAACAAAGAAATTCATAAACAGTAAATTAGAAGGAAAGGAATCTTCAGAAAAGAGCAACTGATCCTTTTTCTCTGGAAGAAAAACTTTTGCGACGAGTACTGTTTAGGAGACACAGATAAAACCAGTGTGAAATAGAATTGACTTGCAACTTTATTCCTTAACTGAAAATGAGTATCATTTGTATAGGACAGTCACAAAATCTATGAATAAGCTTTGCATTGTTCGAAGTTTCAGAAAAGATCAACTGGGCACCTAGTGGGGCAAAAGTTAATAAGAAATCCAATAGCCTTATCTGAGAATTCATTCAACAATCTATTCAGACAAAAGTTAGTCAAAAAGAACAGCAGATCTTGTTTGATTTGCGTCTGATCAAAACTCAAACTCAAACAGCGTCTTTTCCTCTATTTTTGACGAATCTTGATCTTATCCTCCCCATTTGCCCCTTCTCTTCTCGAATTTTCTCTCGATTTCCCCTTTTCTCTCTCGATTTTGACGTGCCATCATACCCCAATTTGTGTGACAACTGTTTCTTTCTCATTCAAAAACATTTCTCACCTCTCTTTTACCTCAATTTCTTTTTTTTCTTTAAATAAAACCCAATCGGATGTGGGTGACTCTCACTTGTTTTCATGAAAAAAAGATCCATTTGATCAAGAGATTTTTGATCACTCACAGATAAGACAATTCAAAGTCTGATCAGAAAAAAAGAAGCAGAACTACTTGCAAGTACTGTGATTGTGACAAAATCTTTGACAGTACTGTGACAAAATCTTAGGTCATGAGAAATCTTCAGCTAGTCTATGTGGCTAGTATCAGAACAATGATTTAGAACAATTTAGAACAAAACAATTCGATCTGATGCAAGATTAGAAACACTGATCTTCTCGACTTCTAGACTAGACTGATTGTGGAAAAGGTTGACAAAGTTAAAGAAATTGAATTGAATTGAAAGAAAACATCATGTTTGAGCTCTTGAAAATCAGTCTACTGTATTCGATAGTCATCTCGGTATCAAGAACCCTAGTAAAGAAAACATTCATGTAATCTATTCAACAATAATCTATTCAACTTCAATATAAAAATGATGTACAGTTGAAAATAGAATGAATTCATTTGAGCATTTAGTATTTACAATTAGTAAAACGAATTGAAAATTACTCGAATTTCATTAGAAAAGAAAAATCGTGTAAATGGAAAACGTGAGAAAAGTGTAAGAAAAGGATATTTGATTGGATGAACATAAAAATCGTGTGTAAATTGATGAAATCAAGAAAAATGAAACCATGGGATAAATGGGGGGAATTTATAAACAAAAGAAATGTCGAGAGATTAACAAATTGAGCTAACGTACTTCTCATGTCTCCCGTAAGAAAAAAACGATTTCTGGCTGCTAGAAGACAACCAAGAACCCTACAAAAGATATTCATTAGAGTCTGACGATATTTATTATAGCCACCTTCAAACCTATAATAAATAAAGCTTTTTCAAAACTATGATGGACTTCAATAATAACTATAAGAGCTATTCTATCAGACGAATCTGGTCTCGAAACGATTCTAAACTTTGAATTGATGGTGAGATGATAGTAAATAAGAGTAAGCAAGAGTAGGAGGACTTGTTAGTAAGAGAATTTCAAATTATGTTTACAACAAATATTCTGAATTGTTAAAGTGAAAATATTGAATGCATTAGATAAGGCAACGTCTCGCTTGAATTAAATGTAGTTGATCAAATCAAATCAGTTTAATTAAATCAGTAGAATCAAATCAGTAGTTGAAAGCTTCTCAAATGAATTCGTTTAGGAACTCTAACTTGGGTAATGGTAAAAAAAATGAAAGGAAGAGAAAAGAAAACAACGTAGAATACTTTACAGGACGAACAATTGGGATGATAGTGTGAGCAAATGAGAAAAATAAATTGCTTTACGGTTTACGCCGCTGGTTTTCATAACTGAATAACTTTTGCTTAATAAAATGTTTGTCTACGGTGGTTTGAGCTTTGTTTAGGATTTGCATTTGTGAAATTCGCCACATAAAAGATGCAATGAGTACAATTGAGTACATTGAGGTTAAGTCTAATGAGTACATTGAGTCTAACAAATCTGACATCAAGATCTCAATATATCGTTGATCATTTAAAATAGAAAATCTTATAAATGTGAAGTGCAAAGTGGAAAGGAAATGAGAAAAAAAGAAAGTTATGAGGTGAATGTTTTCTCTTTTCTTGTCGTTTCCTTTCCTTTCTTTTCTTTTCAATCAATCTCTTCAAGTTGTCTCTTTTGAAAAGAATTGAGGTAATTTGAGATGATCAGCTTTTGACTTTCAAAAAAACTTTTTTTTTGATATTTTCACAAAATACTTGTCTTAATAGATATTTAAACTATTTAAATTTGATAAAAACGAGAGTAGAATAAGAATAGAATAAGAATAGAATAAGAATAGAATAAGAATTCCTTTTCCTAAGAGCCCTTTTCCTTTTCAAATATTAAAAACAAAATTTTCAAAATAATCAAAAAGAATTTTTTAATTGAAAGAAAACATGATGTTTGAGCTCTTGAAAATGAGTCTACTGTATTTAGAAATACGGTAAAGACAGGGGAGTTACAGACGCGCGAAAGTGACGATCGTTTTTCAAATATCATATTTCATTGTCCAGTAGTGTATATGCTTTATTCAGTTGAATAGCGACAAAACAAAATCACAATAATTACCCGGGACACCACTCAAAACCCACCCAAAAGATCAATAGATACCTCAAGAAAGAATCACAGAGCAGTCAAATCAATTGCCGAAATTGCGGCTTTAAATCTAGCCAAGGTGGAAATACCAAGAACATGAGGGGTAAAATGTTCCAGAATTTAATAACTCGATTAAAAAAGAAACTGTGGGGGCTTTTAGAGGAAACGGAAGGTTGGCGTATGAGAAAAGAGAGCTTCTGGAGGCGGGGCGCCTTAGAGATAAGATTTAATAGGGCAGGAGACCAAATCAAAGAAGCGTATTCGAGAATAGGGCGGACATAAGCAACAAAACACATCCGATAAGTTTTGATGTTAGGTATGGTAATAGAATTATAGAAGCCGAATTCAAAGAGACCAGAAAAAGAATAGGAACCATAAAGGAGCTTTAAAGGAGCTTTAAAGGAGCTTAAAAGGAGCTTAAAAGGAGCTTAAAAGGAGCTTAAAAGGAGCTTAAAAGGAGCTTAAAAGGAGCTATAAAGGAACTAAATAGGAACTAAATAGGTCGGGATGAATGCCTTTAACAATTTTAAAGCATTCCACTAAATCGATGATAAGGCGGCGGTTGGTGTAACATTTCAAGACCAAAGAGTTGCAATCTATCAGAATAAGTAAAGGATTCGATAGTCATCTCGGTATCAAGAACCCTAGTAAAGAAAACATTGATTTAATGCAATAATCTTTTTATTTTATTTTTCAAATTCAACAAAAACCTGAGAAAATCATCAAAAATCATCAAAAATCATCAAAATCGATAAAATTTTCCTTTCTTTACGTCATAATTCGAAACATGACGAGAAATTTGCAGAAATCTTTTTGGGGAATGAGAGAATTCACGCAAAGGAATAAACAAAAGTTTTAAAGTTTTTTTTTGCGTCAAAGATCAAAAAAGCGAACGATGAAATGTTTGAAATTTGAAATGAAAAGACTTTACTCTAAAGAATAAATGAAATCTAAAGAAACATTCCTATTCACTTTACTATTCATTCCTTGATTTTTCTTCTTCTTTTTCCGTTTTCTGAATATTTCCCCTCACTTCCTCATTTATTTATCTTACGACATCTCACTCAAAGCAACAAATGAGGGTAATTCTCATTTAAAAAAATGTATTTTGATTTATAAAAGAATTCTACAAAGTGTAAACCGGAGATTTCCCTAAAAAGTCTCTTTTTATTTCCTTTTTTTTGATCTAGATTGAGCCAATTTTTGTTTTTAAGTCAAGAGGTTTTTTTTTTGATTGGCGGACTTGAATTCGATTTTCTTTAGTTTTTCTTCTAACAAGAGATATTCACAAAGTGACAAACAAAGCTTTTCTAAAAAAAAACAAGGAAACCCAAAATGTCTTATAGTTAGCTTTTGAGTAGCTTACCGTAAATACTGTAATAGTACCCCACCCCCATAATGACGGTGCGGAGTGTTGCGTAGTCTAGCTTTGAACGAGTTTTTCTCGACACTGGTTTATGCTACAATGCGCGCTTAGGTATCAAAAATAGCCCCTCAATTTCAGCTATTTTTTGATACCAAAGACGCATTTTTTGAAAGTACGGGCGCTTTGAAAAAAATGAAATACTAAAAAACTTTAGCGACTACGCGACTGTATGAGGGGGGTGGGGTACTATTACAGTATTTACGGTAGGTTGTTCCAAAGGCGAAGCAATACAAAGATCTGATCTGGCTTTACCGCATTATAAAGTGAAGCCCGGCATAGTTTACAAATCCTAGAGTCTGGCTCTTGTAGAACAATGATCAATGATAAATTATAGTTTATTGAAATGACTGTCTTAGCATAGAAATAACTTGCCAAATAAAAACCAAATAAAAGTTTGCCGACTAAACGATTCCATTCTTAAATATCCACAAAGAGATCAAAAACCCATCAAAAATTCACTCCAAAGATTAACAAGTTGAAGAAAAGAAAATCTCAAATTGCTTTCGAATCACGAAAATTGAAAGATCACAAAGCTTTTCAATATGAAAATTTTGAATAGGGAAATAATGAAATCGTGAAATTCTGTGAAATAAAAAATTCCGAAATCCCACAATCTCTTTTCATCTCAATTTCTTTTATAAAAAAGACTCAAGCTTTCAAGAGAATATTTTAATTTTTAAACCCAGAAATCTCTAAATTGTTCATCAAAAATCGGATAACTGGTGGCTAGGTATGAGAATGAAAATATTGTGTGATTCTTTCGATTTATGGAAAGATTACGGTAGCTTTTAAGAGTTTACGTTCACTCTTCTCTTCATTACAGAGCAAAGTCGTTTCTTTGATTGGCAGAGGGATGGTCATCGGTATTTGATGGTCAAGACGGGTAGTTTGAATCTCTTTGATCAGTGGAAGCATTGGATCATGATGATTTCTCGATCGATCGATCGATCAATATCAGGAGATTTGTTGGACTTAATTCTTAGCACTTCTTAAAGATATTCCTGAATAGATTTATCTTATTTAACTCAGATCGGACAAAATCGGAGTTGAAAGCAATGAATTTGGTTTGTAGATGTTGTTGTTGTTGTTTTTCCAAAATTAATATGTTATTCGTGTAATTTTTGAAGTTGTTAATGTTTTAGTTGTGGTATTCAGTACAGAACATTGTTAACTTCCTGAGTGGTTTCTGAGAATGGAATAAGATTAGTATTCAAAGACTTATGTTACGCGTTGTCGTTGTTGTTGTTGCTGTTGTTGTTGTTGTTGTTGCTGTTGTTTGCTGCTGTTGTTGCTGTTGGTTGTTGTTGTTGCTGTTGTTGTTGTTGCTGTTGTTGTTGCTGTTGTTGTTGTTGCTGTTGTTGTTGTTGTTGCTGTTGTTGTTGTTGCTGTTGTTGTTGTTGTTGCTGTTGTTGTTGTTGCTGTTGTTGTTGTTGTTGCTGTTGTTGTTGTTGCTGTTGTTGCTGTTGTTGTTGTTGCTGTTGTTGCTGTTGTTGCTGTTGTTGCTGTTGTTGTTGCCGTCGTCGTCAATTGTTATTGTTGTTTTTCCAAAATCAATCTGTTATTCGTGTAATTTTTGTTCCTGTCAATGTTGGGATGTCGAAAATTTCACAAAATCGAGGTTGAATAACTAGTTTTTGGGGATTGTGTTGAAAGGATTGTGAATTGAATGACAAAAAGATGGGTATTGTGTGATCTTTTGTATCTCTTTACCTTTTTCTTTTTTTTCTTTTTTCCTTTTCACCTATGATTGGTGAACCGTAGCCATTTTATGAGAGATTGGGAAAAGAAGAGTAAAGACAAGGTGGGAAAGAGAATACAGTAGTTGAGTTGTTCAAATGAGATTGATTGATTCTTTTGAATTAAAGCAAAGTGCTGAAGAAGTTAAATTTTCGGAAAACTTTTGCCATTAGATATATCTACGTAACTTTTTAGTTGTTTTACTAGAAAAAAAATCAATCAGCTCATAGCAAACATTCAAGAATTCGCAACACCATTTGCACCAATCAGCTCGCATTTTCACAACACTCAACAATTTGCAAACTGTCGAATCAGAGACATATATTAATTGTAATTCTGTTTATTCGTTCTATGAGCATCTAGGCCTTTCTATAATTGATTAAAGCAGAAAATATTTACCTCAACCGCTTCTTTCTTCTTCACAACTCTGTTTCCAAATGTTGTAGGTTGAGACTTTCCGGCGAGTTTTGACGGCTTTTCTTCCACTAGTTCGGGTTTCTTTTCCACCACTTTTACTATTTCTTCGATGTGCTTTTCAACAAAAAGCTCCTTCAACAACAATATCACATTTAAAACTAAAATTTAAGCTCTTCAAACTAATGAAAGCTAAATCGGACAAGAAAATGTAATTTTATTACAAATTTATCTTTAAATACCTTTTTTGCTTTGTTTTTGTTGCTTGAAAATGCTTTGTTTTTTTTTAAAAATATAGGGGTGGGACAAATGTGACCTTTTTTGCGCACCTGGACATTTGCGCACCTTTTTTGCTGGGAAAGGCCTTAGAAAGGTCGTAAGAGCTTCCAAAATGTTTTCATGGAAGGGAATCGTATGCGTAGATTCCGAATTTCGACAAATCAGACCTCGCTGACACGTCAAATTTGGGCTAAAAGGCAAAAACTACGCAACTTAACGCTTTTCCGCAGTTTTTGCCTTTTTAGCCCAAATTTGACGTGTCAGCGAGGTCTGATTTGATCGAAATTCGGAATCTACGCATACGATCCCCTCTATGGAAACTATTTCGAAGCTCTACGGCCTTGCCCAAGGCCTTTCCAGCAAAAAAGGTGCGCAAATGTCCAGGTGCGCAAAAAAAGGTCGCATTTGTCCCACCCCCCAATCGACTTTTGTTACAACGATTTTCAAATTCTAAAAAAGCTATTGGTTTCTGCGTAGCTGCCCAGCCCTTTAGGCCTTTTAGGGTAGCTAAGAAATTCAGAAATTCGACGCACGTTAAATCAAAATTTTTCGTCCAGAGCAAATCGTTAAATCGACTTTATTCTGTTGTTCAATCAAAAGTTTGATTCATAAAGGTTTATTAAAGTAATCTTGTGCTTATTCATTTCTAGCAGGCATATTTGAGTTGAAACGAGGAGCAAGCAATTGAAAGTATTTTGTTGATTTGTATGCTCTCTCTTCTTTTTCTCATCCTTTTCCCTTCACAATTCTATTCAAATTGTTCCCCCAATTTGTGGGATTTCTCTCTCTTTCCATACAATACCAATTCAACACACTGTAATCATCCAATTAATCAACGGATTCAAAGAGAGCATTCGACTAGAAACATTACCGCGTCAAAAGTTATGAAAGTGAGAACAAAGCACGTTAGAGTTTCACGATTTCGTTCTCCTAAAGGTGTAAAGCTACCGTATTTCTTCGAATAGAAGACCGGGTAAAGAGTATCATAGCATACTCTTGCGTAGCAACCCTTTTAAAATTTCTTTTCTGCATAAAAGCTTTCAGTGCTATAGAGCTGGAAAATGGCTCAAAATCTGTTAGCTCATGTGGTATTTTTGAGTCATTCTTCAGCTCTATAGCACTATTTGAAGCTTTTATGCAGAAAAAAATCTTAAAGAGGCTGCTTGCACAAGTACGCGATCATACTCTTTACCCGGTCTTCGCTCTCAGATATACGATTTTAAACTTTCAAAAGCTGCCGTTAGGTTATTTAAAAAACTCAAGACGAAATTACGGTAGCTTTAAAAATTGACACGCTTTACAGAAGCGTAGAAAGCGTAGAAAGCGCTTTATCGAATTTATGTAAAGCTATTTAAATTGTTTGAAACATTTTTCACCTTTCTTTTCCTCAAAAAAAAAGAAATTTTCTTTCTTAAAAGAATGTGAGTGAAATGGGCTCATTTTAGGCACTTGTTTTATTTCCCTTGGGACCCAAAAAGGAAACAATTCTTTTTTGACTTTTTGACTTAAAGAAAGAAATTCTTTTTCAAATTCATTTTCAAATTCATTTTCAAATTACTTTCAAATTACTTTCAAATTACTTTCAAATTTAAAGAACAAATCTTCTGAAGCAATGGATACATTTGACGATAACGAGGTTAAAGATGGTCTTGAGGGGAAATGGAGATGGAAAAAGAACAAATGAAAGTAAGGATTGACACGAAAGTGGATGAGAGAATCGAGAAGAAAAGGAAAAGGAGAGAATAGAGCTAATGGATTGAGTGGAGAATGGCCATGGATTAAGTTCAGAAGAGAGCCCAAGCCTTTTCAAATCTTAAAAACAAAGTTCTATGATTAAAACACATTATCTACTATATATAAAGGGACTAAGACGTTTGCCTGTCCGTTTGTCTGTCCATTTGACTGTCCGTCTGTCTGACCGTTTGTCTGTCCGTTTGTTTGTCCGTTTGTCTGTCCGTTTGTTTGTCCGTTTGTCTGTCCGTCTGTCTGCCCGTGCACGCTACTTCTCAGCCCCCAGAGGACCGTTTGCAATGATTTTTGCGCCATTGAATAGGGGAATTACATGTAGTTGTGCAACGTGCTTTTGGTGTTTTTTAAAAAACACAATTCGGATCGCACGGGGAGGTCGAACCCAGATCGTATGGGCGATAGACCGGCGCGCTATCTACTGCTCCACGGTGACAAAAAGCACCTAGCCTCCAAAAGCATCGAGAAAAATTCTCGGCTTGTAACGTTATATAGGATACTCATGTAAAATCATAGTAACCAAAATAGGTTAATTTCTTTGAATGCTGAAATCTTGCACTCTTGCTGAATGAAAATCAAATTTCGAGCAATTTACAGCTAATCGGCTTAAATTAGTATATCAAATTGTCAAATTAACTTAACAAAATATCAAATTGAAAAGCTCAACAATTCAACAGGCCAAATTTTTACGTGATCATCGGAAACGAAGTGCGATAAATCTTTAATAGCACCCAAAAATAGCTCTTCTTTTTGTCCTCACAATTGTGTTGCTTGATGTGAATGAAGGGAGATAATTTGATGAGTGATTTTGTAGACACCCCACCCATCAACTACATTCATCTCATTCATCCCATTCATCGATCCCTCCCTTTTGCTCGACTCAACCATTCCTGAAGGCAGTTTTAGAGCGATTTTTTTCTTCAGCCTTACTAGATTAGTTCAAAAAATTTCATATATGGATAGGTTTTGTACAAGTTTAGTATTGAATAATGGTCGATAAAGGTTCACTTTATCGAAATCCCAATAAGCCATTGATTGAGTACGGAGTAGTGAAGGGAGATTGACCAAATGGAATTGGAAGACTCGTCAGGGGTGATTGGAGGGATATTCTGAAAGATTTTCTTTTGTTATGGCCTGGTGATGTTTACTGTGATGGCTGACTGTTGAGGGCTCTCAGATCTTAGTCGAGAGATCAACGCTTCAATCCCACCAGCTAGATTATTGGTTCTTTTTCCGGGCTTAGCGGATTGTGCTTGTTTATTGTTTATACTATATTATTCGTTTGAATAAATGTTTCCTTTTAATACCTGAGCAACTGAGGGACTGTGTGTAGTTTGTGAAGAAAAGAGGTGAAGGTGATGTTGAAGATGATGATGATGTGGAATGTCCGCCTTTATTCCGTACAATTCGATTGATTGAGGGAAACCGATGGGACATTCTCGGCATCGCAAATCCCTTCCTGAAAGATTTGAAAGCTTGAAAATGCTAAAATGAGATCTCACACGAAGAAGCCTTTCCCGAATCTCCCCACGCGAACATCGTCGGATTGTTTCTTTTATATCCAGTGATACAATCGACCACTCGAGGTGTGGCGACTTTTTGGTTTCGATCCACCGATTACTCCTGAAAATCGTGGTGTATCGTAGTCGTAATCGTAAATACCGTAGTCGAAAAGTGTAGCAATCTAACTTAACACTGGATAGCCCTATACTCTTGTCAAGATTGAATTGAATTGAAGTTCGAAACGATCACCAAAAACAACTGGCGCCCTCTATATCCCATTTTCTTCTCACATTTTCTTCTCTCTTTCTTCTTCTTTCTCTTTCAAAGAATTTTTCGTTTAGCATTAATATAAAGCATAGTATAGAGAATTTTAAAATTTGCATAAGTGTCTTCATTTTTAAACTTTTAGATATGCCAAACTATAGACATGCCATTCCTACTGTATAAGTTTGCGACTTTTGATTCTTCTGATAAGCCCAGTATTATAAATTAAAGTTAAACGATAAAAGTGATCATATAGCTTACAATTAGATCTCTAAATCGAAATCTTTCCCCTAAGCAAATACCTCTTTTGAATACATCAGAATTGAAGGACTTTTCTTTTTAATTCTCACCGGAATGACCTCAATTTTCGAGGTTTTGTTTGATTTCCGGGTATCTCTCATCCCTTCTTTCCCTCTTTCCCTCTTTCCCTCTTTCCCTCTTTTTCACCATTCTCTTAACCGCCTTTTCTCTCTTTTTCTCATCTTTCAATACAAAACCCTTCAAAGGGATTAGCATATGAGAACTACCCCATTTGTGAGATTCACACAAAACAAGAGATTCCACTTTTTGTGTCTGTGAACAAAATTTCGAGAAGAGTTGAGATTGTGGAGATTGATTCAGTCTACTTTAGCTGGATTACGGTATTAGTGTAGATTGTGATTTCCGGAGAGACAACAAAAAGATTTTATAGAATTTTCGATTCAAAGTGAATACCTAAGTGAACCGTTAAATACTTCAGAAACCTGGTCGTATCGATCCCGTCTCATAATATCGTCCGAGAATTTTGCTCACACATCCATGACTGACTCTCAATTGCCGTGAGATGTCACACGGACGGAACACTCTGATGGAGGCGAGCTCGATGATCCCGAAATGAGTTTTTTTTTCGCATTAAGACATTGAATCACATAGAAATAGAGAAATTACCCTCTCAATTACTCACTAAAGTATGCTCAACTCCCGAAAACTACCGTAACCCCCTAGTTTTGTTCAATCTAGCAACGTTCGATTTGTTTCTGTCAGGTCAGTGTTTACGAGAAAACATAAATGAAATAAATTTGATAACTAAAAGCAAGGCTACGATATTTTTAGAGTTTGGTTCTTTGTGAAGATGGATGAATTAAGAGAAACTCTGGCCTCGAACCCAAAGCAAGAAACTCTCACTATCAGGTTTCATTTTTTTAAAATTTAATATTAAATCGATTATTGCATCAAACTCATTTTCTCCTCGACACAAACCGATTTCTGATGGGGAGATCAGGCAGTGGGCGTCCATTAACAAAACGCCTCCAAGTTGGTTGACTCCCGTATGTCCATGATCAACAACTAGGGGAAGCGCCAAGTGTTCGAAATAAGACGCCGAGTACGGTGATTGGAGTTGAGGAACAGGACATGGCCAACTAGCCAGTATTAGATATGGATTACAATATGAGGAAGAAGGGACCTGCGAAAGGGTCTCTAAGGGAGTCGACATCTCTCGTCGTTGTTTCGTGTGTCCCTTCGTGGTTCGATGCCCTTCAACGCTCACCACGCCCCTTCCCTTCTCCTCCCCCACCATCCCTCTTCAATTTCCTTTCTTTTTTTGGTTTGATGGCTCCGCCCTTTATCCTCTATTGGTCTACCCGCGCATAAACTTGGTTTACTGTATTTGTTTTGACTTATTTAATTAGCTAACTCATTACACCTCTTGGGAAAAGTTGCGCTCGTTGTGCTAGAAATTTACTTATATAAATGTTCAGCTTTCAACTGTCACAGAGTGTGGATTTTGGTTTTATTAAAACATGAACTCGCACGCTGACAAAATAAAATCATCAAAGTAACACAATAAACATTGATAATTTTAAAATCTAACAAATTTGTTACGGGAGTTTTCATTGGAGGAGAAACGAGGATCACCTGCGTCGCCTCTCACCAAATAACATCAGTAATGTTCTCTTTTTTGTTTGACGATGATTTCCGCGAAAGATTCAACATCCACTTCAACAGTTGTCACCGTCTCCTCTACCCTAGAGTTGAATATTCAAAAAACCCAATAACTTCATCTTTTCCGAAACATCCTCCCTTTTAATCAAAGAATGACGTTTCTTTTTTGTGATAAAAACTCACGTTCGACAAAATCATGTTCAAATGCCAGTCAAAAGCATGCAATTTTCCTCTGATCTAAACAAATAATGTACAGGGTGTTCGGTATTTACGGCGACTTCCTTTTGGTAGATTAGCTCTCAAGCGCCAAGTTCAACCCTAATTTGCCAAGTTATATAAAATGTTGAAGCCCTTAATCTTCGCTCCATTTATCTATTAAAAGTTTCCCGATTAGAGATATACAACTCATTTTACAAGCCCTTGAATGAGTACTAGTTGGTCCCCTTTCCGGCACGCTACCATTTTTGGTGGTTTTCTTCATAAACAATTCTTCAATCAGAAAGAGTTTCTTTGCAAGACCAGAATTTGGCTTGGCATTTTTGTCTAAAATTTATTTTCAAATTATCTTCTTTCCTTGCGCCACCAACGACTTGCCTTCAACTCAAACTTGAGTAAAACGGTTCCGGTCAAAAGCAGTTCTTAATGTTATTAAATGGTGGTAAATAATATTTTAATATAAAATAAATATCAAAACTTTTTCTGACCATTTTTTTTATGAAAATCACTAGAAATGGCTGGAGAGAGATCAGCTAGTACTCATTCAAGGGCTCGTAAAATGAGATTGTATGTCTCTAATCCAGGAAACTTTTAATAGATAAATGTAGCCAAGATTTAAGAACTTCAACATTTTATATAGCCCAACACATTAGGGATGAACCAACGCTACAAACTAATCTACCAAAAGAGTCTCCATAAACCACAGAACACCCTAATATAAGCCAACAAACTTAACCTCTCTATCATTTCGCATTTTTTCACACCAGACCCTTTTCATCAAGACTTAAGCGAATGAGATCAAGTGGTTGCTCAACCGTTGATCCCAAGACCTAAACAAAATTTCAATGAGTTTTATAAAATTTCTATCAACCTGTGGTATTATTTCGACAGCTTTTTTCTTCTTTTTCGGTCTCTAAAAGTATCTGTTACGTCCTATTAAGAATGTATTCTTAATCGGACGTAACATCCGCTTTATGGGAATTTGAAAAAGTATCTATTCAAAACCGATAGGTAAATTTAAAAATCTGGAAAACAAATTGAATAAAAGCACCAAAAAGTTGAAAATTTATTTATGATTCAATAGCACCGAAATAAAAAACATTTCAGTTTTCACTTTTTTTCACGCGCGATGGGGCAATCAGATGTAGACCAGTTTTCCTTATTCACAAATCCAATAGGCCCGAAATCGCACATTCAGCACAAGTAAGAATTTGACCCACAAATAATAGAAAGGTTGATTCAACGATATTTGCTAATAACTTGTAAGTACTATTAACATTAGAAACTTACCACATCCACTGAGTGCTAAACCCGACGTTTTCAAAATCCATCATATTTTGCTAGAATCCACCACTCACACAAAAGCTCTTTGCTTCAACCCCGCCGGTGTTTTGATTTTGGCGACGTTGACAAGCTGGCGGACGCTCATTTGATTCTAAATTCATAAAATTTACAAATGAGACATCAATCTTTACTCGACTATCTATAGACAAAGATTAACAAACAAATCGCTCCATGAGGCCACGTTTGCCAGAGCAATAACGCAAAGACAGTATTCACATTGGATTGAGATGTCGTTTTTATCCGCATTCGACTAAATCGATTGATTCTTGCTATCTTATGTAGTAGAAGTTGAAATTTTGAATAGGAAACTTACCGGCATTTTACAAATTGAAATTGTTTTTCGGAAAATTTAGCAATCAGTTGATCCTTCACCGCGATCTAGAGATTTGATGAATATTTGCAATTGTTTACAAACATAAACTAAATAAACCACTTGCCGGTAAAGATCCTGGATCTTAATTAGCCGGTCTCCTTCTTCGCCGTCAATATCACTTATTGTTGCCGAATATTTGCCTAAAAGCAAATTATTGTTTGGAGTATACCGGTAGTTAGACCTTTAACTGTTCACCCGCTTGTTCAGTACCTTAGGCCTGTTGACGTTATCCGTACTATTTCCTTTTCGAATCTTCATTTTTTGTCTCATGTTTTGTGATAAGTTGGTAATAATCCCACTTACGAGGCTGATTAAAAGTTGATGTCGGTAAAAAGTTTGTTTACGACTTTCCCACACTCAGCTGTTATTGTTGTTCGATTTCCAGCACTCATACACTAAATTCAATTTGATTTCCCAAGCTCAACCTTTTTCACGTTTACCAAAAAAGAAATACAAATGAAAATGAATACACTTTCTAAGACACACTCTTTGACAATGTAAAATTACTTTTGTTGGCAGAATTACAGGTGAACATCAATAAGTAAAGAAGAATTTTACCAAACCAGTTCAAAACTATCACGAAAGTAATAAACTCGTAATTTCGACTATTTATTGGTCATATCTTCAGTAATGCCCACAGCTCGCAGTTCCTCTGTGACCCTGAGAGGTAGTCAGCATCAGGGTAGCCAAAACTAAAAAGATATTACAATGAGCTTAGAGTGAGCTTAGAGTGAAAATACCTTCCGCCATGAAGAGTAGTCTTGTGATGGATGTTGTTCCAAACAGCTACATTCTGAGCGCCAGAAGTTATTGAATCGCCCACAGTGAATGTCGACGACTGACATTCAAAGCCTTTCCTAACAACTTTAGAACCTAAATTTAAAAGCGTTTAAGATTTTTTACAAAAGCCAGTACCTTGTGACCTTCAGGAGTATTTGGTAAATAATATGCTTGTCGGTGTGTACCATGAAAGGCACCCAGGGCACGGAAGTGAGTTGCCTAAAGCACAGGGTTGTTTAATTAAAATTCTTCAATACCTCCCGAATTCCACTGGGAGCACTGTAATCGGTACTATGTAGCAGCCCGATCCACCTTCTAGATTGATGCCACCCGTTAGTAATCTAAAAGTTTGCGTGGCACAGATAAAGTAAAGAGAAACACACAGACCACATGGTGTGCCATAGTAGATCCTCTTGGCATATTGCCTTCTGGCAGAGCAAAACACTTGGCATGTAGGGCAACGTTTAAGAGTGGTTTGATTCGAATAGCTCTAGAACATTAAGTACAAAACTTAAAAACATTTGTGACTTACCTCAAAGCAATTGTGGTGAAACATATGATTGCACTTTTTGATGGCTACAACAAAGGTGGCTCTTATCCAAACAACTCTCCAGAGGCAAATGACGCAGACATCATCGTTCACCTATTAACAACTTTTTTAAAAACACCTTTATAGATTTTAAAGGAAACTAAACTACAGAGACCAAAAAAGTCACCTGATCGGAGTAATAAAGTTCAAAATCGATGAATCATCGTTCGGTTTGACTTCTGGAATATCAACTTTCAGCTCGAACACCGCCATAAAATCCTTGATAACAGAACAACTTCCGATCCAACGATTCCAATTTCCCCTGAAAAAGATTTTCTATGCAAAGTTTAAGATGACAATGTCTGACAAAGCGTTGAATACGGGCGATACTTTTAAACACCATTCGTATTTCAATTTAAATCTTAAAAACATCTTGCCGTCCTGGATTTTACATGTCTAAAACCAGTAAGTCACAAAGAAATACAAAAATTTTCAGATTAATTTTATAGGTAATGCTGATATTAAACAGAGTGGAAATTACCTTCAATTTATCTAACTTTTTCCATCTTCGATTTAGTTGCTTAATTGCTTCCTTTAGTTTAAGCGCTGCTTTCTTCGAATCAACTTTTTAGGCTTCCTTAAATTATTATTAGCTTTAATTTCAGGATTGGTCGAATTATGCCCGTCGATTATATCACTATCAATCAAAAAGAATTTTACATGCTAACCACCGCAGCCAAAGCCAATTGTAGCAATTGATGTTAAACCAAGGTCGTGAACAGTATCAGAAGGATCCCTTTGCATGCCATCTTAAAAGTAAACAATTTATGTTAATACAAAAACCCCGTACTAACCGTAACATGGAAACTGTCCGGCTCAACAGCTAGCAGCAGATTCTTCCAAGACAAATCCACCAAGACTCGACATTGTTGACAACAATGATCGCGCCCTCCGTGAATGGATCCAGGTGGTCCTAACCAGACCTCCACAACGGCAAAGGCATTCTAAATAACATATTTGGTTAAGAAAATTCCAGCTCATTTGATACTATATTTTAGCTATTACGAAAAATTTTCTACCTTAATTGCTGAGCTATTTCGCGCTTGATAAGTTCCTTGTAGATTTCTTCCGTTGATCCGCAATTCTTTAAAACCGACAAAACAATGGCATCGACCTCGGTGTCCAGAATACTACCCTAAAAGAGCACAATGAACCATGATAATAAAAAACCCCCGTCATAAGAGAGGAAACAGTGAGTTCTGGATCCTTGCGAAGGTCATCGAGCCGAGTTTCGATGTCGATTTCATCTTCCTCCACTTTTGATTTTTCGAATTTGATGGACTAATACTTGTGTTTGGTGTCTTTCTTTTTCTGACCATACAGAACTAAAAAACGAATTAGAGTTACGCCAATGGCTAACAAAAACTAGGAATGAAATTGCAAAAGCACATGTGCAATATAATAGGAAGAAATGCGGCAAATCGCATTTCACAAAAAGCAAGCTACGACAAATGGGCAGGGGTTCCCTATCATTTCGCCGAAAAAAAGATCATCCAGATTTTACGGTAGGCATGAGGTACGGCTTTAGTATTCAACGATTGCAGAGCTTTATATTTTTTTCGAAATTGTTTTTGTGAAATGGTGGAAAAGGAAAGGTGCGTAGCCAGTCCTTTTAGCGACGTTGTTTTTAAAAATTTAAGAAAAAGGCTTACTCACACAGTTTTCCAACGGTAGGTTTCCGAACGAAATTTTCGATTGCGTGCATCACTGCACCAAACTTGCGCAAAATTTTTGCAAAACGCCCCTGATTTTCAAAACTCTTTCTATTACCTAATTCAAACATCACCCATGCATTGGAGTGCTGTGTACTCTTCGCGAAAGACCATTTTTCATTTATTTGGCGTAAGATGATTACATAACTGTTCCCTTCCTTTTCTCATCATTTGTAACCATGACAAGCTAGAGGGATTTTCTTAGAATTCCCTAACTCTTATCCGACTTCCGGGAGTGTCCATCTATTTCCATACTGTTTATCTATATCGGTTACTAATTCTCTTATTCGACCCGTTTCCTAATTCTTTCTTTTTTGGCTATTTTAGGTAATCTTTTAGCTTGCCAGAAGTTTATCGAAACGACTTCATTTTCGATCAATTAATTGGGTAGGCGCAGTTGTTTTAGTATCATTTTTATCAAGTTGTTTGGGTCAGTTCGTGAGTCCTGTGATTGCCAAACTACCAGTCGAACTCGTCTCTTCACCTCCATCCAAGCGCGCCCGTGTTATTGAATTTAGCGACAATAAAGTAAGCGGTTTGGTTTTTGTGCAGATATTAAGCTGATAACCACTTTGACTTGGGCGACTACTGTTAATTATTCAGGATGAGGGACCCCACCAAAACTTATCATAGAGCCGATGTCTTGTGGGAAAAGGCCAACCTAACCCCATCCATTGTGGGGCCGATTCAATTTCATGGCATTAATATCACAAAAATGATGCTCTCATAAAAGAAGTTGCCGAGCTTTACCGAAGTAACAACCTCGATCAGTTGGTCCACGATTCAAACTGTGCTGCAAAGCATTTGCACGAAGTTGGATTGATGGAAAATGCTACCGCTTTAATCGATACAGCCCAGAGTAAAGAGGCTACATTGTCACACTTTGTAGTCAAGAGCCAAAACCATTCACGTTTGGAGTCAAGGCGGGAATGAGTACTCAAGGTGATGCCGACCTCTCGCTAAACGCTGCAAAACCAGAAGCTGTTTTTGGACGTGGTGAATCAATCAACGCTTCCCCTACTCAAATACCATCAAAGGCGATCCATAGCTTCAACCTGAATTTCATCAAGCCATTTCTTGGTTGGCAAAAATATTCGAATTTCACCATGTGTCGTTGTATCGCTCAATGGCTCATCTGCCTTGGAATCAATCGTAATTTGGATGAAAATGCTGTGATCCTACAATATAACGAGGCAACTCTTCAACAAAAGCTTTTGCATTCCCTGAAAATGAATTCTATTTGGAGGACTTTGCGAGTTACCGACGATGCAGCTTTCGCAGTTCGCTGAGTTTTCAGGACATACGATGGATTTTTCATTTGAAAATTCGGTCGCATATGACACGCGTGATCGACCATTGCTGGCAACACGCGGTTTGCTGGGGAGATGGTCACAAGAATACGCAGGACCCTTGGGTGATCATCATTTTTTGAAGAATCAATTGGATTTTCGAAGCATCGACGCTCCTTTTCCAAAGATGTGATCTTGGCTCTTTCACTTCAAGTGAAATCAGTCAACAACCTTGGTTCCAAGGGAGTTACATTTGTTGGAACGAGCTTATTTGGGCGGCAACCAGGACCTACGCGGTTTCGGACTCAATACAGTTGGGGTCAGAGCCGGACCAATTCTTGCCTCGGAGGAGGAGCCGGCTCTCGCGGGAGTGTTTCACCTGTATAAGCCACTGTTTCCTCCCCAAATGCTTTACGCACACGCACGATGGATTGCCGGAGGTTCGATAGCATCGGTTCGATCCAAAATCTGCAATCAAGGATATGCTTGAAGCTCAACGGAGCTACGGCCGGGGATTGGACTTACATTCGTCTTCAAAAATATTTTCCGCCTTGAATTAGATTATTTTCATCCAATTCAGACTGTCCCAGGCGATTCTTTTACCCCCGTGAAGGCTTCATATAGGTGCTGGTGTGAATTTTATCTAGGATCAAGCAATGTTTGCACAAAACTTTTACAGAATAGGTTGTTTGACGTACTTTGCAAATTTAGGGAGTTGTTAAATGTTTTTTCAATATTTTATATTATCTAAATCTTGTTTTCTTTAAAACTCTCTGAATAAAGTTTGGGCCGTTGTTTCTGAAAAATGCGTGCAAAATGGTTTAGTAACCAAACCCCGTATCTGATGCTTTTGAGAAAGTTGTGCAGCGGTCACGTTCTACAGGAATAAGAGCCATATTCTGCTAGAAACAACTAGTCATTAAGGGATTCGCAATATTTTTATTGGTTTCTTGTCCAGCTTCTAGTGTATGTATCGGAGTTATATTAGAAACGACGCCAAACAACACTCAGTTATTAAACTGGTACGTGAGGAGAATGCTTGGCATCATTAACTTCCAATCAAAACTATAAGCACGCATTTTCGAAACAATGAGTTTGAGGATTTTGTTTTGAGATGCAGCTATTTAGGCATCGACATATTGCCATGTCAGCTGAGGCCGATTCAAAAATGGATGTAAGTGAAAGCAAACAAATACGAGGTCGAATGGAGTTGAAGGACAACTTAACGATGTGGATACGAACCTTTACAGTCGTCAAATGTAAGCATATGAAATATGTTTTGCGAATAGAACACTGAACGTTATTAAATAGCGTTTGAAATCATCTTTATTGATCTTTTTAGTTATGCTCTCGGTGAATCCCCAATGATGCACCTTCGCAAAGTTCAGTACTCACTCTCCTGGAATCCGGAGGCGTTGGTGTTGAGATTGCAAAGGTAGTGGAATTAATTATTGGAATAAAGCGAGACTATTGTACTTTCAGAACTTAATTCTCGGAGGTGTGCGCCATGTGACGATCCACGACCAGAAAGCGACAACTTGGAACCGATCTTTCGGCGCAATACTACTTGCGGGAGGAGGACTTGGGAAAAAATCGTGCATCGGCTTCTTTTGAAAGGTTTATTTTATTGTATTTTTAAAAATTAAATTCTTGGATCTAGGCTTGCTGAGTTAAACGATAGCGTGACGTGCGTTTTATAACACTGACTCCTTGGCACTTGAGACTAGTTGAAAGGGTTTGATGTAAGTTTTTTCTTTTAAACAAATAACATTTGCTTTAGCTGATTATTCTGACGGACACGCCTCTCTCAATGCAACTTCAAATTTCAAACTGGGTCCGCGCCGCTGGTAAAAAGATGTTGGTGGCCGATTCTCGTGGATTGTTCAGGTCAGAAAATGTTTCACAATGATTGCTATCAAACTAAAATTTTAGTTACATTTTTACTGATCTTGGGCAACAATTCCGTATTGATGATTCAAATGGCGAACAACCACAAGAAGTAATTTTTGAATAGCTTGACAGAAAATAATAATCATTATTTAGTTTCACATTGAGCACATTGATCGTGGCACGGGTGATGTAACAACTTTGGAGAATGTGATGCACGGGCTCGTCGATGGCGATTTTGTGACTTTCACGTTGGATAATTTGACTTTACTTAAAAAAAAACAATTTCAGTGAGGTCAAAGGCATGGTACAAATCAACGAGTGTCAACCAATCAAGGTCACCGTAAAGAGTTTGTTCGGCATTACTTTAATAAAGTTATCTTACTTTTAGAACCACACATCTTTAATATTGGAAACGCGGCCGCGGATTTTGATGCTCATACGGAAAGTGGAAGAGGTCGTCAAGTGAAGGTGGCCTCCTATGTCGACTACAAACCACTTGCTGAAGCCCTACGGGATCCTGAAATTGCTTTCTGGGATTTTGCTCGAATGGAATATCCGCAACAATTGCACCAACTTTTTCAAGCTTTGTATGCATTTGAAGAAAAGGTACAATCAATTTTGCTGCTTTAATGTATTTCCTTTCTAGCATGGCCGTTCACCGAAGCCCAGATGCGATGACGATGCAGCCCTTCTCAAAGAGGAATTACCTGCTGACAGTGAAGTTGATGCGAGTCTCCTGAAGATGTTCTCATACCAAGCGACTGGTATGCTCGTTAACGTGTGTTCCGTCGTCGGAGGTATTGCTGCCCAAGAAGCTATGAAAGCTGTTACACACCATATGACTCCATTGAAACAGGTTTTTAACTATTACAGTGTACATTTCATGGGTATTTTAGTTTTTGTACTTGGATCATGTTGATGCTCTTCCCGGTGACTGGAATTCGTTCAACGCCGACTTGCTGACTTACGAAGATTGTGCTCCTCGTGGAAATCGTTATGATGGCCAGGCAGCAGTGTTTGGATGGCAATATCAAGAAACAATTGGAAGACAAAAATGGTATATTTGGCTCTCAAAGATTATGCCGAATTGAGAATAGGTTTATCGTTGGTGCTGGAGCAATTGGATGCGAGTTATTGAAAAACCTCGCGATGATGGGCGTGTCATCCGGAAAAGATGGATTGATTAAAATCACCGATATGGACCAAATTGAAATTAGCAATCTAAATCGACAGTTCCTCTTCAGACGCCCGGATGTTGGAGTGAGAGTTGTTTTGAATAAAATGATTACAAAATGTTTAGGAAAAAAAATCGGTTGTTGCTGCACGAGCTGTCAAAGTTTTTAACCCTGAGCTAAACATCGAGGCAAGCTTTTTTATATTTCTAAAATATTTGCTTTTAGTCAATGGCTGAACGTGTTGGACCTGATAACCGAATCAATTTTCAATGACACATTCTTTGGTGCCCTGAATGGAGTGTTTAACGCATTGGACAACGTCGATGCTCGCCGTTATATGGACAGACGTTGTTTATTCTATGGTCTTCCATTGTTGGAATCTGGAACCTTGGGAACTAAAGGCAATACTCAAGTCGTCTATCCTCATCTCACCGAAAGCTATTCGTGAGTTGTTAGTTTATTACAGAGTATATCTTAATTTAGGTCTTCGCAAGATCCACCCGAGAAGGATATTCCAATTTGTACGCTCAAGAATTTCCCCAATGAGATTCAGCACACGATACAATGGGCTAGAGATCAATTCGAAAGTGAGCTTCCAATTGGCAAATGCAAATCATAATTTTTAGCTCTCTTTTCGCAACCGTCCGAAAATGCTAATCGCTTTTTGGAAGATAGTAAAGAATTCTTGAAACATGTCAGAAACGCTTGCTCACAACCAAAAGGTAAGAACTATGTTCTTGAGCTTTGAATTTTTTAATTAGATGGAAATGCTGACTGCCGTCGTGGATGCTCTTGATAACGAAAAGCCAACTTCTGCCGAGGACTGCATTGCTTGGGCACGCCTGCTTTTTCAAGTAAATCTCAGTTTAAATTAACTTCTAATATTGTTTTAGAATAATTTCCATGATTCAATTGCTCAAATGCTTCACATGTTTCCCACCAGAGATGGTGACGGATCAAGGCGCGAAGTTTTGGAGTGGTACTAAACGTTGTCCGCATCCGATAGTTTTTGACGTGGCAAAGGTGTGTTTTTGTTTTGCTGCTTTAAACATTCTTCACAAAATTCCATCGTTCATCTTAAAATATTTATCTTTAGAGTGAACATTTCAATTTTGTCTACTCGGCCTCAATTCTACGTGCTCAACAATATAATATTCCACCGATTCTGGATGTGTACGTTTCCTTTTTTGCTTCAATAACCAAATGTTTTTTTAGAAAACAAGTTGGAAAAATTGCAGCTTCAGTACAAGTAAAACCTTTTTGTGCCAAAGAAGGGAGTCAAAATTGCGGTAACGGAAGCGAAGCCAAAGAAATGAACGAGCGTGGCGTTGAAGGTAAAAAGCTTTTGTTGATGATGGTATTCTCAATTAATTTTAACAGATGGTGAAGAAGCCGAACTTTCTCTGAAGATCAAGCTTTCTAAATTGGAGGCAGCTGTTGCGGAAAAGCTCCAAGCGATCGATTTTGAAAAAGATGACGACACCAATCACCACATGGAATTCATCACGTCTTGCAGTAACCTTCGTGCTGGGAATTATGACATTCAACCCTCCGATGTTTTAAAAACGAAGCAAATTGCTGGCCGAATCATCCCAGCTATTGCAACGACTACGGCGGCCATTGCAGGACTTGTTTGCATCGAATTCATGAAGGTACAAATTAATATTTTGCCTTTTAGCACTACTTTTAGATGGTTGATGCTGATGGCAAACTTTCGGCTACACCTATGGATCGGTTCAAGAATGGTTTTATCAACCTGGCTCTTCCATTTTTCGGCTTTTCTGAACCAATCGCCGCACCAAAGAAAAAGGTAAACCGATTGATTGTTTTGTAAATAAATAAATTTTAGTATGGAGACAAGGAGTGGACAATTTGGGACTCTTTGACGATTAAGGCGCCAATGACTTTAAAGCAAATGATTGATTGGGTTCAAGTAAGTGTTATTTGTCTGTTCCTTCAATATTATGAACATTTTAGAATGAAGCTTCTGGTTCAAGCGTTACAATGGTTTCTTCGGGAGTTTCCCTTATTTATTCGTTCTTCATGAATGCTGCTAATCGCGATAAACGACTTGGCATGGAGTATGTTTGATTTTTTTAAAATAACCTTTTTTGTAGACTTCGTGATGTGGTGGCTGAAGTTTCAAAGAAGGAGATTCCATCATATCAACGATCTTTGGTTCTAGAGGTAAATTCTGAAGACGTACGATATGGAATGTTCCGGTTTAGGTGATGGTTGAAGACGAGAACGGAGAAGACGTTGACCTTCCATACTTGAAATACATTTTCTAAACCTGAATATGTCTTTTAAAATCTTGTGCAAAAATTATTGTATTTCGGGTTCTTATTGTTATAAATTACCGTATTTATTCTAATAGAAGCGCATGCGCTTCTGTTAGAGACCCTCGCGTCAGGAGAAAAAGTGCACCAAAAATTTAATTTTTAACCTATGAGTTTGGTGTCAAAACAAAGAATTTTTCACTCCGTTATCTGACGCCAAATTTATGACCACTCATGTGAGCGGGGCCTCTAACAGAAGCGCATGCGCTTCTATTAGAATAAATACGGTACCTATGCGGTCGTGAGGATCTCAGGCCTTTTGACTTTTGTTGTTTCAAGGTTTAATCGAGTTTAAACCGGTGTTTTCCATCTTCACTTTGATTGCCGCTTTTTAAAAAATAAACCTTTTTAAACTTTTAAAAATAACAGTTACGGGGTTAAGAGTTTTGTAATCTAAAATCTGTAGAAGTAGAGTATGAGACAGTTTGTGAACGTATTGTTTGACAAGAAGTAATACTTGCCGGAAAATTTCGTTAAGAGGAGTGGAATGGTACCAATAGCTTCGCGAATGGACTAAGTGTAAGTAAATTTGTGTTGGTTTGAGTGGAGTTTCTGCTTGAAGAGCTCTAATAAAAACACATGCTTTTACTGGAACTCGTGGTAATTTGTTTTTCATTTTCAAAAAGGCATCGAGTGTCCGACGATGAAAAGTCGAGGAAAGGAAAGAGTGTCTTTATTTTTCTTTCCTCTCTCGCAAGTTTGGAGTTTCTCAAATCAAAACACCAATTTACTTCTCCAATTCTTGAAGGAGTGTGATCTTCAAATTGCCTCCTTTTAAACACACAATGAGCATTTTGATCCGGGATTGCTGAGCAAAGGGAATCTGTTTTTCTGATAATTTCTTTGATTTTTTTCAATTGATGATCGAATACAAGAGCATGCTATTTATTGGAATACGACAAATTCACTGCAGGTTTTGATCTAAATACCTCCATAAATCCAGATTCAAATTCAAATGGCAAATAGAAAAAAGGTTTTGGAAATCTTTTTAATTAAAGATATAAGTAATGCAAAGCCGGAAAGTATCCAGCACTTAAAATCTTGAAGTTCTTGAAATATGAGTTAAACGTTTGTTCTTATTGCAACGCAAAGTGAACAAATTAATCACTTTCTTCTTGTTTTGCGGTAAAAGAAGAAATTATGAAAAATTATCAATTTAAAGATTCGACAGTGTTGGATAATCGATGTTTGTTGTCCAAAAATGCTTTCGTTTTCGCTTCAGAGTGACTTTGGTTTTTGGTGGAGGCAGTGGCTAAATGATCAGTCTCATTTTAAAAAAAATCATTTTCTTACAAAACCGAACCCTTGGCATTTCATAGTGAGCAGCTGTATTGCTTCCATAGCCTGGAATCAGAATATCGATGAAGATTGAGATGGGCTCCAAGGCTCTGATCTGAAACTATTGTCAAAAGTCTATTGTCAACCTTCAATGAAAGCCACCTCATGTATATTTCCGTAACCGGGCGCTAAATAAATGACGTCATCTTCCGGGGTCACCACTTGAACACCTTCATAAAAAGTCTGAAAAGGAAGATTAAATGAAAATCAGCTGGATGAGTACCTCAATTTCTCCTCCGATCTCTGGAGCAACGTCACTTTTTGCAGAAAACGAGAAAACCTGCAAAAGCAGGTAATTGTATTTCAGAAAATTTAGATCTTTAGTTCAAAGAAACCTGAAATTTTCCATAGATAACTTTGATGAAGCCGTGAATGAATGGATGATCGTGCAGGGGCAGCTTATCTTCAACATCGAGAAGACCGAATAGACTCACAGTCATGTTGTCTGAGTAATGAATCTGAGAACAAGTTTTAAGTCTCAAAAAAAAAAGACAGATATACCGAAGCATAAGTGTGAGGAGATTTCGATTTTTCCAAGATTTCGTAAGAGGGCCTTTCTAGCTAAAAAGTTGACTCCATCTGGAGGGTGAAGATCGAATGCGTGATGGTGTGATGGTTGCCAGTTAGCACGGTTGCCTGGTAAGCGAAAGCTCGTGGGTTCGAGTCCCGGCGGCGCACGATTTTTGACCTGCCCTAGTTCCAACTAAAATATTAAATACGTTTTTTTTTTCTGATCTAAACACTCAAACACGCTTACCTGAAGCATTTTCGGAGTCGACTTTGCCAGCGAAATTCATAACTTTCTTTGATGGAAATGGTGCTGATCGATTTGCAGCAAAAGTATTAGAGATGGCCAAAATTGGTTTAAGCGTTTGGCGCAAAGCTGGTCGATCTACCTTAAAAGATTTTGTTTTGAGTTTCAGAAGTTTTTTTGGTTTGTTCACTGAAGCAGGACTAATCTAGTGTTAACAGAAAAAAGAAATCACCGTTTCCGCAGTCGAAAATATTTGCTTGGAGCTCAAAGAACTCTCACAAGCGCTCCCGTCAAGCATCGAAAATAAAAAAACGACTAGCATGTCATAAAGCTGAAACTTTTTGCTAGAAAACAAAATACAGTAAAAGATGGTATGGTAATGTTTCCTCATTCGAAAAGAGCTGTTGGTGTGCGCATCAAAATCACTCAACAATTTCTCTCAACAAAACGACAGCTGGGGATTGTGAGTGCGGGCTTTTGTCTTTGTTGTTTCAAAAAAAGAAACATCTGTTTGACTCTCTTAACACTTGTTTGCTCTTTTGAGTGGACATTGGATACATTTGAAAGCCTGGATCTGATTTGTTTTACACCGAGATGTTTCTGTTTTTATTTTCAGAATCCCAGCAATGTTTTCTAGATGTTTACATTTCAAGTTGTTCTTGAAAATTGAAAATAATCGGCCAAAATCGCCAAAAATCGGCCAACGAAAAGTCAAAGTCTTTCCCCAGCTCTTCATTGACATTTTAGAATTCATCATTCTTTAAAAAATAACTTTTAAAAGTTTAAAAAAATTAAAAGACTTGATGCAAATCTTACAGTAAAACGTTGAGCAAGTAAAGCAAAATAGTGATTTCCCTAATTTTACGACAGTTGAGGTGAAAGCGGGGAAATTTGTTCATCGCTTTCGGTGAACTGAACGAATATGAAAAGGACAGATCATTTTCACTACAAAACTACATCCACTGTATGCTCTTGAAAAACAGACGATAATTGCTTTAGGTGATTTTCCACTTTACAAGTGAATTCCTGCAGGTACACTGCACTGACAAGCACTGACAAGCAGCTTCTGTTCAATCAAAAGGGTTAAAGAGAAAATTCTACGGTTCTCTGTGCACGAATTTCTTTCTTTTTTGTCAAATTCGTACGTACACAAACACAGTTTCTCAACAAGTATGACGTTAACATTTCTGCTGTCAAAATCCTTGTTTTGGTAAGAAAACAGAAAAATTACGTTGCGAGGTGACACCGTAACATTGCAGGAATGGGACATAACATTGAAGCTGACTATTGAGCGTCATTGCAATCAGCTAAAACAGCTTGCAAGACAATGGCTGAAATAAATTGTGTTGCAGATTTCTATTTATCAAAACCTCTATAAAACAAAATTTTTGAATTGCTTCAACTAAAAATAGGAAAAGATTTGTTTACTATCAATTTGTGGAGAATCTATGAGATGAAAATACTAATAATAATAATAACAATAATATATAAATAAACAGATCAGTCAGTGTAAAGGTCAGCCCTTTACAATAAACTCAAAAAATTATCCATTTTAGTTGAAACTTTCAGGATTAGGGTATGCGCTGTATGCTGTGCGCTGTATGTGCGCATTTGTATGCGCTGATCACGAATCTGCAATCAGATTTTTGGCCTCTTTAGAGCTAAACACTAGCTGGCTTTAAATAATAGAATGGCAAAAGATAAGAATAGAAATCATCCTAAATTTCAGTATTGTTTGAAGACACATGCGACGATTAAAGCTGAACAAATTTTGTCTTTGAAAATATCCGTGGACGACTCTTTTGACACGACACTATCCGACAGGCAATAGACAAGGATTTGCTAGTGTATTTCATTTGAAAAGTTTATCAGTTCATAGATTTAAAAAAACTCTACTTATTACTTAGTCTAGAAATTTTTTGAGCTAAAGTAAAGCAAAGATTTCATAATTTAACTTTCAGGAATGCCTACGTATCAACGTTTTTCATTTCTGATCATTTTCCTGACATCTTACATTGTTCTTTATAATTTGTTCTCTGCGAAAATACAACCAAATCAACAACCAGGTTTCATTTTTTTTCTTAAAACTTCTCATTCGTAAACGATTTCAGCCCAAAAGGTTTTGCTTAGCGAAAAAAATGAGCCAATCAAGAAGCTACAATGGATACAAGTTTTCTTGTTCAAACTGTAAATATGGGAATACTCCATTGGATGATGCGAGATCTCCTTTTCCACTAAATGGAAATGAAATCTTTATCTACAAGGCGTATTATGATTGGAGGTTAGTTGGGAGGACTTAAAAAATAATGAGTTCAGCAGAAATTCTTTTCATTTCATGCTTCAATCGAAGAACCCAAACTTTGGGTTCACTTTTTCCCTTATTTGCCTTCTCTGCTCTCTAGATTAAGCAAAATTCGCTAGGTTTCTAGGCAGCTTTTCTTGGCAGCTTCTAAATTTATCTCCTTTTTCACTAAATGGAAATGAAATCTTTATCTACAAAGCGTATTATGATTGGAGGTTGGTTGTGGGGTTTCTTAAAAGGAAAAAACGGTTCGGCAGAAATTCTTTTCTTCATATTTCATGCTTCAACCTAAGAACCACTTTTTTTCACTTTTTCCCTCATTTGCCTTCTCTGCTCTCTAGATTAAGCAAAATTCTAGGCTAGGTTTCTAGGCTTGACAGCTTCTAAATTTCTTTTCTTGCTTTCTTGCTAGCGAGTTTCGCTATTATACAAATCACAATGATAGCAAACTTTTGTATTAACACGTTTCTAAAAGCTGAAAGAAAAAAAGAACAAAAGCTTTATAGAGATCCGATAGGGCCTCGGATCCGTTTCCTCGCTGTGGCGCCATGTGAAGAGCTGGCAAAGCCTACCACAAACGAAAGCCTCACAATCGAATTTGGAAACAAAAAAACTGGCAATCGGATGGATTTGTGCAACAAGTTGATTCGAAAAAAGACAAATCTTCATCATCATATCGTTTAGAATGTCCTGAATACGGTTGTTTACACGCGGCAACCGACATCACATCGACTCCTTTCACCGAAGAGCCGCCGAATGAGGCGAGTCGTTAAAGTAGCTTGAAAATTGAAAGGAAAAGTTGAAATTTTACTTCAAAATATACTTTAGATCACCGTAAATAGAGGAGAGAAATCGGTGAGGTTAAAAGTGAATTTTGTCCCAAAAACGTATGAAAAGGGGATCACTTCGTGTTTGGAACCGCTTCATTGGTGAGGCTTTTTATTTGTATTAGATTGGCAACTTGAAAGTTGCTACTACTTTTTCGTATTTCCCCAGAAAACATATTTAATACGCCAATTGAATTAGACTTCTCTAGATAAAAGTTATACAGTCATGGACAAAAGTCTTGGCGGCTCCTGGGTGGCAACTTTCAAACGCAAATTTAGGAACTTTTCCGAGAGGCTATAAAAAAGTTGTCACAAGTATTTTCGTATTTTCCCAGAAAACATATTTAATAGACCAATTAAACAATTGAATTAGACTTCTCTAGATAAAAGTCATATATTATCTAATTTAGGAAACGTTTAAGCAAATTTGGGCAACTTTTGAAATGAATTTGAGCAGAAATTCAAGTTTTTTCTGAAAATTCTTCAAACAGACATATAACTGAAGCGATTAGACAAATCAAGCTGACAATTCGGCTATATGCTTAACTTTTCATGCTTTACCTTTTTTCTATTAACATCAAAATAGGTTTATGTGAAAGAAAGTGCTCAAATCGCTTCATCGAGTGTTCATCATTTTTGATTGCTCCTCAACTTCTTGCCCCTCTAGAAATCTACAAAACTAAAGCTTTTCTAAATCTGTCAAAAGCTTGTTTTAGAGAATAAATAGCCCATTTTATTGGTAATTACAGTCAATTACAGTATGACTTAAATATGATTAATTACAGTCAAACCTCGTTAGTGAACTAACCTCGATAGTAGGATTTGCTTATTTTATAATGCTTTATCTTTTTTCTATTAACTTCAAAATAGGTTTATGTGAAAGAAAGTGCTCAAATCGCTTCATCGAGTGTTCATCATTTTTGATTGCTCAACTTCTTGCCCCCTAGAAACCTACAAAATCGAAGCTTTTCTAAATCTGTTAAAAGCCTGTTTTAGAGAATAAATGAACCTTTTTATTGGTGAAAAATGTAGATTAATTGGTGTACTAGTTATTTCTAAAAAGTCCAATGAAGGTGTACCAACTTTCAAGTTGCCAATCTAATATATCATAATTTTTATTTGTATATGTTGTGTCCGATTTAGATTGAACTTATCGCGGACGTCCGATTTAGATTACAGTCTATATCGGACGTCCGATTTAGATTCAATCTAAATCTTATATAGATTGAACAATAATATAACAACATATATAATAATTTCAATATAAGATAGCCATCTTAGTTTGAAATTATTCTTCTTTATTTTCTAAATTTGCTCAAAAAACAGGTTCACCGAATGGCCACGATTAATCGTTTTCATGGAACTTTACCAGTTTCTCGGCTATACGAAATTCCTTTTCACTTGGACCACGATGACAAAAACTGTGAAGAAAGTGTTGGACTACTATGTGGAGAAGGTGAAACTGTTTGAAATGACATAAAGAATGCAGTCAAGAAGTTTGTCTAAATCAATCTTGTTCTCACAAAAGGCTCTTGGACTTTTTGTGTTTCCTTTTGTTAACTTTTGTTGTTTTGCATATGATAAAAGTTATTTAGGGTATTGCTGAACTTCGACCCTATCCATTGGTGCCATATACGGATACAGTACGAACTTTTGTTTACCTTGAAGATGAGAAGTTTCTCAGGTTGATCCCAATAACTCCACTTATCACATGGGAGAGCATCTGGTTGAGCAACATTGTCCTTTTTGGTCAAAGACAAAATATTCATCGAATAACGATATTGATGATTGGTTTTATATGCGGTGAAAAAGAGACGATGAAAAAGAAAATAAAAGCTTTTCTTTAGAAATAAGGATATTTCTCTATATGAATGGATGGAAGAAAAAGTAAAGAACAACTCAAAAATAGGTTTGTGATAATAAGAAGATGAGTGATTCTTCTGAACGTTAGTGATTCTTTGTTTTTTTAAAGCTAAGCTTTAAAAAACCGCTTGATAGACAAGCTTAACAGTGGATAAGTTCAGGTGCATTTTCAATCAGACATTTTGGTCTCCAGATGAATCCGATGCTCATTCCAAAGCCATTCAATTATGAAGAATTCTTGAAATTTGATGGTTTGCGAGGGCCGACCATCTTTAATAATGATCGGTCGCCTAAAGTAAGGGGGTGGCTACTTTATGTCAAATTTTTTTTTGCACAACTTGCCATAACTTTCTTCTAATCTTTATCATTTTGTAGATCTAAAAAAGTGCACCAAAATGACATCAAAAGCATAAAGATTGACCTACCTAAGTAGGTCAATCTTTATGCTTTAAGAAAGTTACGGCGAGTTGCGCAAAAAATTGGGGCACAAAGTAGCCACCCCCTAAAGTGAGTTGCTGTTAAAAAATACTTTTTTCAAATTTTCAAATTTTCAAACTTAATTGCTATTTGAAAGCTTTCTGGCAATCTAAATTTAGAATTTAGGGCCCTTTTCCAATATCGGGGGAGCGAAAGGGAAATCGGGGGAGCAAATTTTGGCAGCGCTACATACAGCGCTGTATGTCCTATATTATACAAACTACCGTCATAAAATCCGCGAATTACCCGTTATTCTCACAACCTTTATATTAGATTTATATTAGCGAAATAGATCTTTTCCCTTTGAGCGGACTTTCATCGATTCGCCACAATTGCAAATCCACGACTGGATGACTCCTTTGGTGACGAAATAATCGATTGCCGTCGATTCCTTGAACGCACAAATATCGGAGAAGCGCATCGTATCGGAGAAGGCGTATTAAAGTTTGAAAAAAAAAACGTTGCAGTTAAAATATAGTCCCGGAAATGCATTTTTCGAGGGGACAAAATTTGCTCCCCCGATTTTCCTTTTGCTCCCCCGATAATCCTTTCGCTCCCCCGATATTGGAAAAGTACCGAATTTAGAAATGTTCGCTCAAATATTTCAAGTAATTTAAAGCAAAACATTAAAGCAAAAATTTCCAGGCTATTTTCCTCACAGAATTCACCCGCCAACCACACACTCACTGGATTTTGAAGCACTTTAAGCAGAAACACTCTCATTCGGTTTCGTTTTCATTTTTTAAACGTCTAAAATGAGTTTTTAGGCGAGCGTCGATGAAATTGTTTATCTACACGCAAGGGCTAGCTTTGCAGGAGCGGTTTGTGAACTTTAAGGCTTTTTCAGAGAAAAATTTCTGTGCACTACACGAAAATGCACTAAACTGTCGTATTTCCATACGAATTTATGTCTAACTAATTAGTTCAATAAAAATAAAGAAGTAAATTCCGATCTCTTGTTGTTGTTTCGATAAATTTTCGTTTCGACATTGGCAAGTCTTCCATCGCCCTGTAAAAATCCTTCTAACAAAGCGATCTGTTCAAAAAAAATGTCTAAAATAAATCTAACTTTGGTTCCAGATGTCGAAAAAAAAAGAAAAATAACGGTGAAAAACAAAAAAAACGGGGGGTGGGAAAAATGCGACCTTTTTTTTGCTGGAAAAGGCCTTAGGCAAGGCCGTAGAGCTTCGAAAATATTTCCATACAAGGGAATCGTATGCGTAGATTCCGAATTTCGACAAATCAGACCTCGCTGACACGTCAAATTTGGGCTAAAAGGCAAAAACTGCGGAAACTCGTTAAGTTGCGTAGTTTTTGCCTTTTAGCCCAAATTTGACGTGTCAGCGAGGTCTGATTTGTCGAAATCGAAATCTACGCATACGATTCCCTTATATGGAAATATTTTCGAAGCTTTACGGCCTTGCCTAAGGCCTTTCCAGCAAAAAAAAAGGTGCGCGAATGTCCAGGTGCGCAAAAAAAAGGTCGCATTTGTCCCACCCCCGAAAAACAAAAAAAAACAAAGAAATCGGCTAGTTGCCAAAAAAATTGGAGGGTTACGGTAGTTTAGTGCATTTTAGTGTGGTGCGCAAAAATTTTCCTTTAAAAAAAGCCTTAAAATCTTTGTGAAACTTTTTTGATTTTAGAAATTGAGTAAAAAGTCGCTGAACGGCACTCAAAATCTGATGCCAGATGTGGATTTATTGGGAAAGGTTGGTTTTCTTGATGTCATAAAAAGCTGATAAGCTCTAGAGCTGCTCTAGTTTTTAAGCTTTTTCTCTGATACAGCTTTGCTAAAAGCTTTTCTTCACAAATCAATAAATCTTTTTGAGTTCCTCCTTTTGACTTTTAGGGAAACCAACAAAATTTTACTTCTTATCTCCAGGATGTCGAGGAAAAGCTGCAAAAAATTCGCGATGTAACAAAAGAAATTTTCGGCGAAAACCCGCCGCCTTTCTCTCGTGAAACTTCAGAAGCTATGGCAAAATGCACGGGAAAGTTGGTGGAAACGGGAAAAAGTTTTTTGTTTTTAAAACTTTACTGTTACTATTGGACACTTTAATTTTTTAGTTGGCTTCAAAAATGGCGTTGTCGAAAGCCGTTGACCGGGTGCTTTGATGTGGTGAAATATATGGAGGAATGGGTGTTCGCTAAACCGTCGGAAGAGAATGGATGGACAATTCTTTAGTCGAGATTTATTTGAAAGCCTTATTTATAAGATAAATAGTTTTTATATGATGATAAAGCATATCAAGAGAAAAACAATAACCGTGAAAGATTGCGGCAAATAAAAGCTGCTTTTTATTTTCTTTTTAGAGCCTACAAGTGGGAAAGATAATTAGCAATAATTACCGTACTTTCTCTAATAGTAGTGCACCCTGAGCGTCGCCTAAATTGCTCGAAATCTCGAGAACCGCTTATCAGAACCTATCGATGTGGGGTCGGAAAATGTAGCTGACGATGAGATCTAGTGGGGGATTAGAGTGTTGGACTTCTGGGGAAAACTTGGAAACTATAAAATAGTCACTAACTCGGCTCACCGGGAAATATTAGGGAAATAGATCAGTCTGATCTACTAGCCTAACCTGGAATAATATACCGTCTTCTCTCTAATAGTACCCAAAGCTTCGCCTAAATTGCTCGAAATCTCGAGAACCGCTTATCAGAACCTATCGATGTGGGGTCGGAAAATGTAGCTGACGATGAGATCTAGTGGGGGATTAGAGTGTAGAGCTTTTGCAAAAGCTTGGAAAGCCTATAGCCTGGGTCCAGGCCAACAATCCAGATTTGATTTATGGTAACGCAAGCTGTTATCGCATTTTCCCAATAGTGCACCCTAAGCTTCGCCTAAATTCCTTGAAATCTCGAAAAGCGCTTATCAGAACCGATCGATGTGGGGTCGGAAAATGTAGCTGATGATGAGATCTTGTGGGGGATTAGAGTGTTGAGCTTCTGCAAAAGCTTGGAAACCGTAAAATAGTCACCAACTCGGCTCACCAGGGTGCACTACTATTAGGGAAAATATGGTAACAATATTAACAATAACATTTGCTTATATACAAGTTGATTCTTAAAGGCTTTCTGATTTGACAAAAGGTTACTCAATTTTTCGTTCACTGAAATTCTGGAGCGATCCGAATTTTTCTCTCTATTTGAGCCTATGAATCACGCATTTTTTGCCAAAATTTTTCACTCCAGCCACTCCTTTGATCAGCTGACAAAGTCACAAAAGATCCGGATACTTCCGGAATTTCAGTAGAGGAAAAATTGAGCCTTTAAGAATCAAACACCCATTCCCATTAAGGCAGCTTATCAAATTTTGAACAAAAAAACTGTTTGAACAAGTCACGGGACAGTTTTTCGAGCGTCATTCAGCTGAAAAATTTCCTACTTAGGTAAGGAAATGTGGATATATAATGGCTGTTCGATAACGACACTTGCCATCGAAATTCAATCATTCAAAAAACCCTTCTAACCAATTCTCTCGAAATGCACTCAATTTCAATCATTTTCTGTGCCTTCTTCATGTTTGGTAGAAGATTTTTATATTATTAAGAAAAAAGTTACTTAAAGTAGAGAATTGAGATCGTTTCTAAGTGCTACAAGTAAAAATTTACAGCTGTCTGCCACTCAGCAGCCATTGGAGGAGCTGAGAATGTGAATGTGAACGAGAAATCCGATGCCTTTGTGCCAAAGATCCTCCCTCATGTCCCTATCTGTGACATTTTCTGTTCTGTAAGTTACTTTAAATTAAATTAATTTAAATGTAATTCTTGAATTCAATCTCGGCTTTGTAAGAGAAAGATAAAGGAGAAATAACTAATAGAAAATTAGGACCCAATCAAGGGGTTGTCAGTGGATTTCAGCCTTTTTACTGCCTTCTTAACTATTTTGAAGGTCACATATCAAAGAGCATATTTTAAAGTTCGGCTTTGTTCAATTCAATGTCGGCTTTGTAAGAGAAAGATAAAAATCAAAGACCTAATAGAAAATTAGGACCCAATCAAGGGGTTTTGAGTGAGTTTCAGCCTTTTTACTATCGTCTTCACTTGGCTCACAGGTCAAAGAAGTAGTTCTTTTCAGTTAAATCTCTTTTTTTTACTTTTGATCACGTCAATCCTATAAATTTCAGCCAGTTCCTATCGGCTGTGCTCAATGCTGCCGTCTGAACGGTCACACCGGTGGTGGAGCGTGTCAAGGAGTTCAATGTTGGTGTAACTAAAGTTCAATGTTGGTAACATCGATTGAAATCGATCGAGTAACATCTTTCATCCATCATTTCATCATCATTTCATATTTTGTCCGTTTTACTGTAATAATTGCTCTTTTTTAAACTCTTAATAAATTATATTTGAATGAAAAACAAAAACAAAAAAGCTAAAAACAAAAACAAAAACAAAAAAGCTAAAATTGATTGAAATACCTAAAAGTACTTTTAATCAGAGAGTTTATAAAGAAAAACAAAAAATCTTGGCAGTTAAAATCAAGTATTCGTTTAATATAAAAGATTGAAAGTCGAAAAAATTGCTTAACAATGTTTCCTATTGTTTAAATAGATTTAAAAAAAGCGCCTAGATCTATCGTGCAAGATTCGGGGACATTCTTGAGTTTCTTCTGTTTGGATTTTCTTTCAATCTTGAAAAAATTGAAATTGAAGCGGAGACTGATGATTCGGGACTGACGCCGCTTTTCTTTTTCAGCAGAACAAAGCTTGCGATGCTGAAGTTTAGATTCTGGGGTTTTTTTGGAAAAGTGTCCTCTGACATAACGGAGTACGAATCTAGTTTTCTCTTAAATCTTATAAAAGCAGTAGTGCTAGATGAAGATTGGTAGTTAAAAATGAAAAAAAACTTTCATTCAGTCTTTGTAAATAAATGGTTTTTTGGGTATTAGTGGCCTTCCTGCGAACCCATCTCGCTGCAGCCGTGGCCGAGTGGTGCAGCGTTCGTTTCCAGAGCGAGACCTCGCAACTTCGATCCCCACTTACACTCTTACAAGGCTTTTCAAGGAGAACAAATCGTGAAACGACTTACACAAAAAAGCCAAAGTGGGGATCGAAAGTCTCGTTTTGGAAGCGAACGCTGTACCACTGCTGCACCGGCAAGAAGGCCGCTAAGACACGGCTGCACTGGCAAGAAGGCCGCTAAGACCCAAAAGACCACAGTAACAAAAGAAAACATTTCGTAAAAAAACTTTAGACCCTTATAGCCAATCTAAGGAAAAAACAATCCCCTTTAAAAAATTAGGCTCTTGGTATTCATCCACTTTTTTTTTACTGCCAACTCCCTTGCCTCGAGTCCAGAAGTTTACTTTTGCAATGTTTAACATTTTTGTTCTTTGCAATTTTATAGTTTAGTTTTAGTTTTCATTTTTTTTAAAGCCAATTTCTAGCGGTTCACCAACCTCAATCCCAACGTATTGAGAGCCGTTTGTAAATTGGTGAACAATTGAAGGAAAACCGCATTCAACGATGGACCCATCAGATAATTTTGGATGATTGTGAAAAGGGTGATCAAAAAATAGTTTATGAAGTAAATAATCGAATTGCAAATCATCTGAAAGGAATTTTTGAGTTTTTTTTCTTTCAAATGTTTTTCAAATGAACCTTCAGCTCACCTGTTTCATCAGCCGCTTTTCAGCCGTACTCGCTTTGTGCTTGTGCCACTGAAATTGATTGATAAACAGCAAGAGTTTTGTAAAAAATGTTTCGTAATAAAACATTTGCAACAATGTGCGTCACTTGTGATCAAAGGTGCCTTCTTTTTTGGCCTTATAGAACCCCGATTTGTCGGGAAATTTGTACCCGAGGATTTGCGATGATGAGCAAATAGAATTTCACGTTTTCTCTCAGCTACAGCTACGAATTTGGAATCTCTAAAGTGTCAACTTTTGGTTCGATTCGATTTCACGCCGCTTTTCGGATGATTTCAAAATAAAAAAAATAATTTCGACTGTAGGTTTTTAAAAGAGACAAATGTTTTATATAAATTGGATACTCAAGGGGGTGGGACAAATGCGACCTTTTTTTTGCTGGAAAAGGCCTTAGGAAAGGTCGTAGAGCTTCAAAAACGTTTTCATAGAAGGGAATCATATGCGTAGATTCCGAATTTCGACAAATCAGACCTCGCTGACACGTCAAATTTGGGCTAAAAGGCAAAAACTACGCAACTTAACGCTTTTCCGCAGTTTTTGCCTTTTAGCCCAAATTTGACGTGTCAGCGAGGTCTGATTTGTCGAAATTCGGAATCTACGCATACGATTCCCTTCCATGAAAACATTTTTGAAGCTCTACGACCTTTCCTAAGGCCTTTTCCAGCAAAAAAAGGTGCGCAGATGTCCAGGTGCGCAAAAAAAAGGTCACATTTGTCCCACCCCCATACTCAAAGTTTGTCGTTTTACCTTCTTCAGCTTTCTTGCCGTGAAAAAATCGAGACTGATCGTCAGCGAGACGATCATCGTCCAGAGAACAGTGTTCCCTATTGAAATTGTTGTGATGAAATTGATGTCGAGTGTCGAAAAGGCAAACACCATCACCAAAACATTCACCAATCCGAGCACATAGCAGATCAACAGCTGTGCCAGCGGCCATTTCAAAGTGTATTGAAAAAAAAGACCGTTGAATGAAACGGACATGAAACGACTGACAAAATTGAGTAAGGGAAAAATCGGATTTAAAACCTGAATGATATTTCCACCTGACAGTAATAGTTGAAGTAGGCCATGAAGTTTCCATAACTTTGAATAAAGCCGATCACTCCACCGTCAGGACATCTAAAACGATTTCATCTTCATTAAAACGAACGAAGTAAGCCCATCTGCTACTTACAAATCTTCAAAAAACGGGCACACAAACTGAATGAGTTGAAAGAGAGAGACGAGGAGACGATTCACGCTTTCACTCGTTGTAATCAGTCTGAAAAACTAACAAGGAAAGGTCAACTGGATGACCTATACCATTCCCAGAATTTGATGCTGATTCCGAATATGTATTCCGTTTTTGCTAAATAACAATCTGTCCGTAGTTATAAGCGTCTAAAGTTTTGTTAGGAAAATGTGTCTTAGCGGCTTTCTTGCGGACCCAACTTGGTGCAGCCTTGCTTGGCCTTGGCGAGACCTCGCAAGTTCAATCCCCACTTTGATCGTTTTTACTTTGTGTAAGTCGTTTCACGATTTGTTCCCCTTGAAGCGTCCATTCACATCTCTTTATTTGCCTTTATCCTCTTTGGTTCTCCCTGTTATTTCTGAGCTTTAAGATAATGGATTGGAGGAAAAGAATATGTGTAAGTGGGGATCGAACTTGCGCGGTCTCGCTCTGGAAACGAACGCTGTGCCACTCGGCCACGGCTGCACCAAATTGGGTCCGCAAGGAGGCCGCTAAGACCCAAATGGTCACATCCTCGAATTCCTAACAAAACTTTAGACGCCTATAACACCTGGCAGATTGTCATTTAGCAAAAACGGAATACATATCAGCATTAAATTCTGCGAATGGTATAGGTCGCATAGCATTTGACCGGCTCAGCCATTCCGGTGCATTGTTAGCTGGGCCACAGCCAGAGCTAGCTCGCTTTATAGGTCGAATACCCAGTTTTGAACGTTCTTGGACAGGAATATGAAAATCTCACCTAATCGGTAAGGTCAGCTTGTCGTTCCGACCGGAACAAGCAATGGCGTATGCGTTGGTGAAAAGTGAAATGCCACATAGCTGAAAACATTTTCTTATCATTGATTCTAAACAAGACTGATTCTAAGAGATTTCCAGACGAATTTTGAAAAATTCTGGGATGAAAATTTTACCCCAATCATTCCAATCCACATCGCTGAAGAAACTATCCGACTCGTCTCCGGTGTTATCTCAAAAATATAAACTTTATAAACGTTGTTGTATTCGTCGATTTCCCTCGTCGTCATTACATTTGTGGCAACAGTGTACAGAACATAGCCGATCACTGAAAACATTTCCATTGATTAGATTTCAGATCCTAAAAATCTGGTTTGTTTTTTTTTTGTTTAAATTGGGTTGAATCTGGAAACCAAACCGGTCAAAATTGATGCCCAGACGAGCACCTGAAATGCTTCAAAATACAACGACCAACGGGCTTTCAACGATTCAAACATCGAAACACTAAAAGACTTTTGATATTGAGAAATTTGAAATTGAAAATTTTGCATTTATTGAATTCAAACAAGGGACGACGAGGGAATGACGACGAGGGAAATCGACGAATACAAGCCAGTCAGTCACAGTCTGTTAAGAATTTGCCAAAAAAAAAATAGAAATACTAAAGTTATAGATAGGAATACAGGATTTTTACTGTCTCTTTCAAAAAAAGACTTTACTAAATCACTTCTTCCTCATATAAACCATTAGTCAGCCCAGAAGTTGCTTCTGGGCGGCCGAAAAAAAAACCAAAGTCTTTTCACAAAATTGGAGTTGAAAATTCAGGCTTCAATTTCCAGAGACAAACTGATGCTGTAAGCAAGAACGACAAGAGGACAACAATTCAAAGAGAGCCGATCGCGTGTCTGACAAAGTACATTTGAAATCCAATCGAAAATTAAAAGAATCAGAAGAAATTCTTGCCTTTTTTTTGCTAGAACACTGAAATAAACTTTGAATTTGCTAGGTTGTAGAGAAAATAACCGGAAATTTGCCGAGATAAGGAACCAAATCTAGAGAGATAGCCATAAAAGCTCAAAATCATACACGATTTAAACTATTAGGTTTTTTCAAAAGGTTTTTTTTTTTTTTTTTTTTTTTTTTTTAATAATAAAAGTTTTTAAATATTAATTTTTTTTTTTTTTTTATATTTTTTTTTTTTTTTTTTTTTTTTTTTTTTTTTTTTTTTTTTTTTTTTTTTTTTTTTTTTTTTTTTTTTTTAAGGTTTTTTTTTTTTAAATTTATAAAAAAAAAATTTTTTTTTTTTTTTTTTTTTTTTTTTTTTTATTTTTTTATTATATTTTATTTTTTTTTTTTTTTTTTTTTTTTTTTATTTTTATTTTTTTTTTTTTTTTTTTTTTTTTTATTTTTAATTTTTTTTCTTTTTTTTTTTTTTTTCTCTTCCTTTTTTTTTATATAAAATTAAAATTTTAATATTTTATATTTTTTTTTTTTTTTTTTTTTTTTTTTATATTTTTTTTTTTTTTTTTTATTTTTATTTTTTTTTTTTTTTTTTTTTTTTTTTTTTTTTTTTATTATTAATTGAAAAAGGAAAGGAAAATTCCCCCACCCCAATATTAACAAAAATGGCCAAAATAGCTCCAAAAATTTTTTTTGTTGTAGAAAAGTAGTCAAGCTTTCAAATAGTTTAAACAGTGTAAGATTCTGGACTATGACAATACCGCACCGCCATTTGCGCACGCACGTCTTTTGTGCGGGTATTTTTGCGCACAAGCTATCTTTGCAACGATGAAAAGACGTCTTTTGCGTACGTATTTTTGCATTTGCGCACATAAACAAAAGCGTTTTTTGCGCGCACACATTTTCTTTGTTTTATCTGCCATCACCATCAAAGCTTTCTGATTATTTTTATTTATTTATGGTGAGTTTAATTTGTTTAACAACATAATTTCAACTTAGCAATAAAAAACAAACTCAAACCGTGAATAACAAATGAAAAAAAAAATAATTTTTATAGAAGAAATGTATAGCGATAAGGCAGAAAGATAGTCAAAAAGAAGTGGTGGGCTGCAGGAGATTTAGAGCTGCCTGTTTACGCTCAAAATGTCTAATAGCTACCGGTTTAGACTAGGGAAACATCACAGAAACGGTGAGAAGTTTGATTTCGGCATCCGCATGCCCCGTTTTTCAAATTGTTCTTGATGATGTAACAGTTGGAGGCATAGTCCTTTGGAATGTGGTTGTGCTCGTTATGATTTGACGTTACAGCATTCAACACTTTGATAAAAGACGGGCAGCTTTTAATCAAACACTTAAAATAAAACCTTCAATGTTAAAAATATCAGTAATTTCTTTATCGGTACGTGGTCGGTCTTTGTTGACACGAAAACGGCGATATTCATATCCTTCTTCATCATAATTTAGTTCTTTCCCCCGGTTGCTGCTTGTCATCCTAGAAATATTAATTTAAAGTAAATTCCATAAAAAAACAAATATAAAAGCCTGGAAAGTAAAGAACAAAACGTTACCTCTCTATTGACTCTTTCTCGTTGTGTGCTCGTTGTCGTTGATTCTCGAGTTAGAAGCCTAAACAAAGAAATGTGTTAACTATAAACATATTGTAGAAGAATAAGTAAAAAAATAAAAACACGCTCTTTGGGGTATCATAAAACTGACGAGTTTCCACATTTTCATCAAAAAAGCAATTGTGCTGAGCTAATTTAGTCGTTTTTCGCACGTTTGGTGCTCCAGGCGCAATAAGTTTCAAAAACTGTGTCACTGAAACAGTGACAAAACTATAAAAACATGCAAAAACCGTGACAAAACTATAAAAACATGCAAAAGTAGCGCCCCGATTCAATTATTATGTGCGCAAAAGACGTTTTTAAGGCGTGTGCACAAAAAATATTTGCGCAAATGGCTTGTGCGCAGAAGACGTTTTTTTTTTGTTTGTGTGTGTAGATGGCGTTGCGCAAATGACGCTTTTGTGTGTGCGGAAATGTCATTATCATAGTCCCTAAGCTTCAAGACTTTTAAGACTTAAAAATCAGCTTTTTCTTCAAATTTCCGCCTATTTTCTTTACAGCCTAATAAAAAATTTCAATTACACAGAACTGACTTTTTAGAATTGAGATAAGATGACAAAATCTGAAAAGACAAAAAATGTTTTCAAAAGGTTAAAAAAAACTCGTTCTTTTTTTCTTGTAATCTTTTTCAAAATTTTCTTTTTGCAGTTTTCAAATTTCAATTTGGGGATGCTAATTATGACCGAAATGGGAAAAAAGACACGGAAAGAGTTGCGATCTCTTAAAGATCAATCAAAAAAAATGTGAGCGTCTAGGGAATGCTTTTCGTGCAAAATCTAATTTACATTTTTATTTTCTTGGCAGCTCAAAAATGACTTCGCGTTGAAAGTTTTCGATCTTTGGTGGTCTTTTCGATTCCTTGGTGGTGTAGAGTCCGAACTGGGGTTGGCTTTAATTTCTGACTTTCTTATTTGTGTTGTAAATAAGATAAGAGGGGTTTAACTTTAAATTCGCTTCCAAGGTACAAAGGAATAACGCCGATATATAACCACCCGCCCAAACTCCACGACGGGTAAATCATGAATTTTCCTTCAAAAATGTATCAGTTTACAGGGTGGCTGAAAATTACGTGCGCGCAGCATCTGACATAGTTTTAAACAATGTATAAAGCATTACTACTCATCTTTTTGTGTTTTAATATTCTGCCCGGATCACAATCCGTTGGACTTTTCGGTTTGGCGTTTTATGGAAGAACAATTGAGAAATAGGAAAATCAACAATTTGCATGATTTACGTCGAGAATTGATCAAAAGCTGGAACGACTTAGATGCAAATTATCTCCGCCGCACCGTCGATTCTGTAAAGAAGCGAATTGAAGCCTGTATCAAAGCGGATGGAGGCCACTTTGAAAATTTCTTGTAATTATTAAATGCTTTTGTTACAACTATTATATAAATAAATATTTTTACATGTTCTTTGAAAGAAAATTAAATTATGGCGTTTTCTTTGGCGCACGTAATTTTCAGCCACCCTGTATTTTTTAATCGAAATATTTGAAACTGAAGCAAAATTGTTGGATTTTCCCTATCTTCTTATTATGACCCATATCTTTCTAAAGATAAAAGCGACAAAACTTTTTGCTTTTTCCAACAAAAAGTCTGTTTGTCAAGTTGATGAGTCAACGAGAATCTTTTATAATTTGTCATTTTTATGAGTAGACTTGTGGGTATTTATTGAGTATTTACGTGACGCCCCTTCTTTGCGACTTCCTCTTTGCAAGAAAACGGATCATTTTCTCGAATCACTTACCGTATTTACTCTAATAAACCGTCCCGGCCCCCAAGTACGAAAATTCACAAACTACATAGGAATAACGACTTTTTTGATAATTTTTTCGTTTCTCTTTTAAACTTTCTAGGTAATCATTTTTATGTTTTGTTGATTTTGCTGATTTGCTGAAATAATTTTTTAGATGGGATCAATGGATGTGTTCGCCGATTTTTGAAATCGTCGTGAAGATGAATTGGAAGAATTCTTCGAAGCTGGTCGGGAACATTTCGGCAAACGATTTGATGCTTCTCGATTCGATTTACGTAAAAGTTTGAACGGTGGTCCCGTCCACGACAATCCAAGCCACAGCGAAATAACGATTGGAAAACGACCGAGAAGAACGTTGGACGCGAAGACAAAATTGGACGTTGCCAAGATGGCGAGAGATGTTTCTATCCACTCGGCGGCGAAATTCTACAAAATCGAAAAAGACACGGGAACTTTTTTTTCCGTTTGGATCATAATTGGTATCCCCAAATTGAAATTTGAAAACTGCAAAAAGAAAATTCTGAAAAAGATTGCAAGAAAAATTCAGAAGAACGAAAAGCTTTGTGTTTTAACCCTGAACACATTTTTTGTCTTTTCTGATTTTGTCATCTTATCTGTTTCTGATTCCATAGTTTTTTAAAAATCTTTTTTGCTTCAGCCAAATAGGGTCAAAGAGCTAGTCGCTCCGGAATTTCAGTGAACGAAAGCCTGATTAACTTTTTGCCAAACCTTCAAGAATCAAACACCCATTTACCTACCGTAAACCTTGTAATAGTACCCCACCCCCTCGTACAGTCGCGTAGTCGCAAAAGTTTTTTAGTATTTCATTCTTTTCAAAGCGCTCGTACTTTCAAATGATGTGTCTTTGGTATCAAAAAATAGCCCTGAATCTCAGCTATTTTTTGATATCTAAGCGCGCATTGTAGCATAAACCAGTGTCGAGAAAAACTCGTTCAAAGCTAGACTACGCAACACTCCGCACCGTCATTATGGGGTTGGGGTACTATTACAGTATTTACGGTAAGACAGCTTATCAAATTTTGAAATGCACGAAAAATTGTTTGACCAAGTCACGGGACGTTTTTCGAGTGTCATTCAGATGGATAAGTACAATATATATAATGGCTGTCCGATAAAAAAAAGTTCCCATCGAAATTCAGTCATTCAAGCAACGTTTCTAACGAATTCTTTCCTCGAAATGCACTCCACTTCAATCATCGTCTGTGCCTTCTTCATGTTTCGTAGAATATTTTTATATTAAGAAATAAAAGTTTTAACTTTAAATAACTTAAGTTACTTAAAGTAGAGAATTGAAATTGTTTCTAAATATTTCAAGTAAACATTGCAGCTGTCTGTCACTCGGCAGCCATTGGAGGAGCTGAGAATGTGAATGCGAACGAGAAATCCGATGCCTTTGTGCCAAAGATTCTCCCTCATGTCCCTATCTGTGACATTTTCTGTTCTGTAAGTTACTTTAAATTTGTAATTCTTGAATTCAATCTCGGCTTTGTAAGAGAAAGATAAAGGAGAAATAACTAATAGAAAATTAGGACCCAATCAAGGGGTTGTCAGTGGGTTTCATCCTTTTTACTGCCTTCTTAACTATTTTGAAGGTCACAGATCAAAGAGCATATTTTAAAGTTCTTTTTAGTTAATTCTCTTTTTACTTTTGAGTACGTGTATTCTATAAATTTCAGCCAGTCCCTATCGGCTCTGCTCAATGTTGCCGTCTGAACGGTCGCACCGGTGGTGGAGCATGCCAAGGAGTTCAGAATAACAAGACGATGCGCGGCTGGGTTAGATTGGCTGGCGTTTATAGAGAAAGGATGTTTAGATTTTTAATAACTTTATCGGTGATATGAAAGACACGGGCCTGAAGATCAACAAAGTGGAAAGACCGAGAAAAGTACAGAAACTCTAAAAATTTAACAATTTTAAGAAGAGAACAGGGACGGGATGGAAAAAAATACAAGGAGAAGGGAACAATAAACACAAACAATATTTACAAGAGAATAGCACGAGTAGAACAGGAGCGCAGAAGACACGGCGACAATTCTTCAAAAGAATAAATTTTTGGAGGGATGGGGCTTGCTTTTATAGAGGGAAGGGAAAAGGGAATAATAATGTTTCAATTATCTTTTAAAATAGTGTTATTTAGAACACTCCTGATCAGAAAATGAAGAAATTTTAGCTTGATCCAAAATCGGCCGGACGGCCTAATGGAGACGCCACGTCTCCACCATGGGAACGTTAAGCCCTATCACACCTCATAACATTAAAGTTATTGCGAGAGTCCAAAATAGCACATATAATAAGACAACCGGTTTTCTAGTAAAGATTGAGCACAATGAAGATATGGCTTTTTCGAGAGCAAATAAACAATAAACATCAATCTCATTGTAAGCAAATGTTCCTCACACAAACTTTATACGCGAACAATTTATTTAAAAAATCAAAAACAACAAATAGATAAGTAATCAACACGCAAACGAAGTCTTATTGTTTACAGTCCTCCTTTGTCTTGCCCGAAAAACCACCACCTCCACTTCTCAAATGAGCTCCCTTGCAGCCGAAGACCTGCTACACGGCCCGGGCAAAATTTTCAGACATGTGCCTCGCTCTTCGATCCTTTGCTGCCCGAAGCTTTTTCGAGCATGAACCCATTCTCCCCCAAGCCTTCCTTTAGGCTTCATTTTGATACTAAACATGGCTAGGTGCTGTTTTGTAATTCTTTAGATTTCGATCACTCTTTCGCCGGACTCGTTAAGCTTAACGACGAGTCGAGAAAATTTTTTAGCTAAAATGATCGAAATCTAAAAAACGACAAAACAGAACCTAGCCATGTTTAGTATCAAAATGAGCCTAAAATAAGGGCTTGGGGGGGACTGGGTTCATGCTCGAAGAAGCTTGGGGAACCAAAGGATCGAAGACGAGGCAGACTGTCTGGAAAATTTTGCCCGGACTCGTTAACCAGGTCTACTCCTTGATGAGCGCTTGATGTGCGATAGCTGTTGCGAAAAAATTCAAACGTACTATAAATCAATGTTTATGCTTACCAGGTTTCACATAGGTCAAACGGACATCATTTGGTTGTAGAGGTGGTGGGAGCTCTGCAAAGATGTTTGAATGTACAACTGGGATCACTGAACTAAAATAAAAAATAAATGTCTCATTAAAAAGTGGCTTAAAAACTTCGATCAGAGGAGAACATCGATCGCCAAAACCATTTTGGGTACTTGGGAGTATCCGGGGGGTCTTTCAATATCCGGGGGGGTAAAATTTTAAGATCCGGGGGGGTAAAATTTTATATACGTTATACACGACCCCTTTTAAAGATATTCAGCCGCTTAAGTGATTTGGTGGCAAATTCCCTTCAAATGTAAAGATATTCAATTTATTGAGGTGATTACTTGATTACGTGATTCGAGGTGATACTCGATCAAAAACGTAACTTCTACAAAAATTTTTTATGTCATTATTAGAAATGTTGATAATATCCTAGTTGGCGGGTCATTTTTTTTCTTCAAAACCATTTTTTGAGGTAGTTTTATGTGTTGATGTGGGTCCGGCAGATGCCCAACCCACACGTGGTTTTGAAGAAAAAAGTGGTCCCCCAACTAGGATACTATCAAAAGTTTTTTTTCAGAATGCGATATTCTGAGGTGCGCGCTTTCCGAGCGTGATGCGATGAAATGATGATGAAATTTTACCCCCCGGATATTGAAAGACCCCCCCGGATACTCCACAAGTACCCCATTTTGGATAGGGTGAGTTGGCTTGAAAGTGTCCTGAGCGCTAAAAAATTTAGCTTTCTAAAGAATAAAGCAATATGTTAAATAACACTAGTTTATATGCAACTCAGCGAGCAAGATGAAATATTTTAACATCCATGATCCACGTCCATGATATGTTGCTTTTGGGGAGAGTAGCTAAAATTAATCATAAAAAGTCAAGCTAAATAAATTTACCATCGGTCTTCCAGCGATTGAACAAATTCAACGTTAATGGATGTTCCCAACTAAGTTGTCTTGTAGCAATGATGAACGCATCCCTAAAGTTTGAACTTAGCAACAAACAAATAAATTAAAGGAGGCTAATGAATAAATCAACACTTACTGAACGTTGGTCACCTCAGGGGAGTAAAAAAGATGGGTCTAAGGCAAGCGCCAAATTCGACATTTGCCAAGCGCAGCGTTGCCTACCTTTAACCAACGCTTGCCCAATCGACAACGACCTCGTCTGCAAATCTCCCTTTCTCTCTAAAAACAAAACGTGTAATAACCATTGCAACACTTGAATTACCTACCCTAGTCCAAACATCGAGCATGTCATGTTAGAAGTTGAGCTTTTTGTTCATTCGAATTGCGCGTTGCGATTGTCCAAGCGCAAGAACAATGTCGACACATCATGTACCCGTCTTGACGATTCGCTTATTCCTATTCGTCTTGGCATGGATGGCTTGCTCAATCAGTGTCTCAACTAAAGCAGATAATAAAATTCCGAATTGTATTTTTTAAATCTAAGTAATAGCATTAACAAAGTATGCATACCTGCCCTTTTGGAACATTTTCGAGAAGTTTCGCTTCTGGACTTGTCAAACCTGGACACATAATATGTGATCTATTTAGTACGAACTTGATTGCACCCTAAAATTGACTAATTAATGCGACATCTTTAGCAAGCTCGAAACATATCGTTATAGATATAAAAAATATTGTTTTAATATCAACAATAAACCAAATTGTGCATAACTTGTTTGCAACAAAGTTTGTTTACAGATGGATCCAAATGAGCGGAATCTCCGGATGTTAGTTGAGAAGCGACAAGTTAAAGACGCGACCATTTTGTACGAGAAAATTCGCGAGAAAGACATTAATGTTTCTGAAGGTGTTAAGGTAAAATATGGTTTAGTTTTTCAAAAAACGAACGATCAATTTCAGATAAACTTTGATTTTTATCTTTTAGAAAGATCTCTTCCTTCTCTTGGCGTATTATGGTGGAGAAAATGTGCCGTTCTACGAGGAATTGGAATGGCACGGGCTGAGAACCTTTGGAGAAGCTGATCCACCAAAATGGAAGGTGAAATTTAGTCTCTTTCTTTTTTCTTAATTTGTAACAATTTTCAGGACGATGTGATTTCCTTGCTGTATGAATCAATTGAACAAACTCCCGAGGTCAAATCGGCAATGATTTGTGGGATTATTAAGCATACTCAAAGTACGGAGAAAGCAAATCAACTATTCCAGGTTAATCATAAGAATTTTAGGTCAAATTTATGTATTTAGGCAATTCTTTCATCTGGTGCCACTCCTTGTGTTGAGGCTTTTAATGCTTTGATAGCAAAATCTCAGTTTTCGGTAGGGTTAAAAGTTGTTGTCTGAAAATTCTCATCTTTCGATTAAAATGTCTCTCAAATTGTCCCAAAAGATGAACCACCTATCAGTAAAACCAGATGTAAACACATTCAATGCTTTACTGGAGAGCAACATGACGGTAAATTATTTAAAGATTTGACAAAAAATACTTGTTCATTTAGGCTCCAGTTAGATAACCGCCAGAAAACGGCGAGGAAAATTCTTGGAGAGATGAAACTGTTAAAGGTATTAATATTTTGGAAAACTTGAGCATTTTGTTTCCTTTAGGATTCATCCCACTTTGTTAACCTACAATCATTTATTGAATGGAATTGTAAAAATTCGAACAAGAGATGTGGATAACAAAGACTTCAAGCCTAAGGAAGATGATTTAAAGGCTAAGTCTGAGCGGTTAAATGTTTCAATGGGGATTTTCAGCTTGCAATCACCGCTTTGAATGAGACAATGACTCGGATTGGTGGTGAAACGTATGAGGTCAGTGAATTGGCTGAATGTCCTAATCTATGAATTAAAATTTTAGCCAAACTCCCTCAACGATCATCACCTTTTTTCTCACTCCCATGTCAATATGTCAGGAGACGAAAAATGTGGAGGTTGCGCAGAAAGTTGTGCAATTCTACGAAACACCAAACAACAAAGTCAAAGCTCCGGAGTTCACTTTTGAGAACAGGTTTGTTTGATCAAGTTTCTAAATCAAAATAAGCTATTCAGTTTCTACAACAAATACCTGCAGCTCTTCATTGACACAATTGGGGATTTAAAGGAAATCGAGAGGGCTACAAGGTGAGTAATCGAATGCAAGCGATAACGTGTGTCTCCGTTTGATTGATCAAAAACAAAATATTGATAGTAATACAATATGATATTATTTCAGGAATATGTTCCAAATCGTGTCGGTGTTTCTTATTTCCTCATCACCAGGCTCATCAATCGTCTAAAGGTACTGGAGATTTGATGACTTTTAAATGAAACAACTTTTATTTAGAACTCAGACAATTGGCCATTTGTTAAACGCTTGACTGAAGACGGAATTTGTGCTCAAATGTTGACTGATGTTCGTGTCTCATCTGATCTCCGTCTTCTACTCAAAGGGATTAACTACTCGGTTAGCTTTTAAAATACAGTCAAACTTCGATATAAGGAACTTCAAGGGGCCGGCCAAAAAGTTCGTTATATCGAGGTTCGACTGTGTATTCTAGATATTTTTTCCTAATTAGGCTTTAAGTCCCACTGAACGTTAAGAATACTCACAAGTTGTGCATAAAATTGTCAACGCTCGTCGAATACAGTGAATCCAATAAGAAGGATCACAATCGTCTACAGCAAAAACTCAACCCGAGCACAGTTTGACTTCATCTTAAAGCAATCATTAGTTTTGTTTAAATAATTGAATGTGCATGTCTTTTGGCAAAGATTGGAGAGGACAAGAAGGCGATTGACTTGGTGCGGTTGTTGGTTGAAGAGGAGGATGTTAAGGAGGTGAGAAAATTGGACTAATGTTAAAATAAAGCATTTTTCAAAAAAATGAAATACTTTAGAACGAAGTGCCAAAGGTTGTTCAAGAAGGTCAACTGAAGATCGGCCTCGTTCAAGAGCTCTTTGATCACGCACTTCGACAGAAGAACACCGATTTTGCTGCTTTCATTTTTGAGGCGAGTCTTTTGAGTGTAGAATAGTTTCTTGGTAAATGCAATTATCGAGAAATTATAACCTTTTCAACTTATTGTTAAAAGCTTTAGCTAGATGGTATGAGGTTATATTTGTGTTTACATTTATCGTTTTCCCGTTGATGCACAGTCAAGTAAATCAACATACTTTCATCCCTAAATAAATAATTCAAAATTTTTAGATAATGTCCCGGTGATTTGCCTCGAGCTCAACTCAAATTGCAAGCCCAGCGAATGACGGAGAGATGCCGGCTGAACGGGGAAACAAACGAGGATTCTGGAGGATTTGTGCGTCTTGCGAATAACCACAAAGGATTGATTGTTTAGTTAGCTATTGGTTAATTTTCGTTTTTCACTCTAAAGTTGTTGATCTCTTTTGACAATAAATATTCCCCACACCATATCAAAAAATAAATGGCATTTGTTACGACAAATTTGAGGAAATTTAGAAAATAAATCTTTAGTATGGAGCCTTTTACTACTTGCACTTCAAGTGCTATTTTTGATTGAGAGGATTACGGTAGCTGTTTACTGTAACAGCTTATTGTAGCCTCCCTATACGGTAGCCCCTATACTGACAAGGGAAGGTCACGGGGGTGATGTGGAGATGGAAAATGAGACCTAGACGATCCTATGTAGAATTTTTCGCTGATTTCGATGCTGTATTTGGTTATTTTTGCAAAATGACGCGGAATCGCGAGGAATTTGGCAAAAACGTTTTTGGCATATAACGAAAATTGAGACGATGAGTTCTGGATCACAGGCTTTTATGCGCTGTGCTAAGTGCAAAATCCAAATTATGCTTCATTCATTTTATCGATATATGTTTCTTGATTTTTGCTACGTTAATTTTGTTGTTTTTGGTAAAAATTGTTTGAAAAATTAATCTTTTGATCTAAAATTGAGGAAGGAGGTTGCTTAGGGATTGATCTAAAATAAGGTTTTCCGAAGAAAGAAAAGAAAGAAAAAGTAAGAGGCAGCAATAGACTCGTAGGTGAGCGCTCTAATACTCGGCTCATCACTACATTGCTAACAGCATTCATGGAAAATCAGTTACCCCCATTTCGCCTAAGCCATTTTGTCTGACGCCAACGCAAGCTTTTTTTTGAACGTGTAGCGCAAGAAAGCGAAGATTGCGCTGTCCAAAGCTTCGGGCCATCCGAAGCTTGGGTCACCGAAGCTTGCGCTACCCAAAAGCTTGCGCTACCCGAACACACAAGCTTTTTTATTTTTCTTCACGCCGAAATCTAGGACACTTCTGTCTTAGATTTGTTTTTCGATATTTTTACGGCAAGTAGAAGTATGCTATATCTATCTATGAATGGAAATGTGTCAGAGATTGAATTCGACAATATCTGGTGATACTTTAGAAATGCGATCAGCCTGAAAAAATAGAGAACAATTGGATTGTATCCGCCAGGTCACCAATAATTGACAATTCTAAAAGGTACCTTCTTGGTTTCCAGGCCATCCTTCCTTTTCATTTGATTTCAAAAGCCTGTTGTTAAAATTAAATGATGTTTAATTTAATTATTTTCAAAAATTCAAAAACAAATTTATTTGAAGCGTAAACTGAGTTAATAAAGATTTTCACAGATCAGTTAGTTAAATCCAGCTGCTTGTCCTTGGCCATTTGCATTTGCTTGTCCTTGGCCATTTGCAGCTACCAGGTGTCGCTAAAAGAAAATTGTGTAAATTGACAAATGTTAAGAGAATAAGGAAAACTGACCAATTGAACAGCCCACATCTTGGTCACTGTATCTTCGAGCGTTGTTCCAGGAAGAATTCTACAATAGTGAGCCTCGAGAAGCGTAAATGCCAAATCCGAGAGACATGTTTGATAAGTAGTCCTTTGCATCCAATTGAAATCTCCGCCACGAAGCACATTCCGAGAAGTTCGCCATTTGGCATCGTGAAGACAGGGCCTCCCGAAAAACCCGGCATTCCTCCAGATGTACCGGGAATGTGCCCGTGTCCGTCCTCGTCCACGCACATCACCATACCCATAAGAAATGAAGGCGTTGGCCTTTGATTTAGCTCAAAGACTTCACGGGCCCACTGGGGTACCCCTAAATTAAAGTTTATCTTAAACCTTCTATATTTATCTGCTATTCTATTAATTGATTATACGGAAAGATTATTTTGAACCAAACGATTTTCCAAATTAGTTATTTCTATGGATCCATCCCAGAAATAAGCAAAAGATGGTTATTATAAATAAATAAAACCCTAGCAAATTTACTTTTATATATTGAATAAAACCAACCATGAGCAAATAGTGTGCACCACCCATGACAGGTGAAGTAACAAATGGAGGAGGCACGACAAGGTTGGTAGTAAATCTCAACAGCAAGAAGTCCCTCTGTTCTTCTGGACTCTTGAATAACACCGTTGTTTTGAATCCGACTCCACCTAAAAGTCCTTCATAAAAACTCAATTTCCGTATAATAAATAGTAAATGAACCTTCACTAGAGCTTAATAAAAAATTCGTATTCAAGTGGACAAACATAACACTAATTCATAATATAAAAGTTCATGATAAGAAAAAATTTTGCATACCTTCATCGTAGATATACATAGTCGCGCCTGCCGGGATGTGCTGGTGCATTCCATGGCAGGCAGTGGCAGCAAAATGTGCGTCGGGAAACAACTCGCTCCTGAACACCCCAACCGCATAACGCAAATTGTCGTCTTCGCGGAAGATCACCCTCAAAGGGTCCAAAGGGTTCAAAGGGTCTCCAACAAGCTCTGCGATCGTCTTCGAATAAAAAGAGAAATTGCCGCATTTCCTGAGCGAACCTTCCTAAATAATATTATTTTAATAGATAATTTAAACATTATTTCTTTTATTTTAAAGATTAGTGCTTTACGGATAACAGGGTGAGGGAGGGGGTAAGCTTTTTGGCCAACTTGCAGCCCGATTTTAGATAGGTTTTTGTTAATAACTTTTGATAAAAGAAAGCTGGATTTTTGAAAGCTACCGTTATAAGCTATCTAAATCTTACTAAAACTTTTGACTTGACAAGTTTAAGGCGCTTAAAATGAGCTGCAAGATGGCCAAAAAAACTATCGTAAAGAACCTAAAAACTGTTATCCGGAAAGAACCTAAAATTTCGTAATTTCAAAACTCGATATTTTCATTAATTCGCATCTTAAATTCAAACATACCATTTTGCACAGGGTCTCCCACATTTGCCATTTTATTGAGCTTTGAAATCGAAAACACTAAATTAATTAATTAAAGATTTAAAGCAAATTAAAGGGGGTTAAGATTTAGCAGTTAGGCGAAGGTTTCGACGCAGAAAGTAAATGTTTGGAACCGTAGAATTTACTAAAACTTCCTTATTGTCTAGTAACGTATTACGGTTCCAAAAATTTACATTCTGCGTCGAAACCTTACCCAAGCTGCTAAATCTTTTAACTCAAAAACACTAATTCCAAATGGTTGCCAAAATGAGAAGAATAACAAGACGATGCGCGGCTGGGCTAGATTGGCTGGCGTTTATAGAGAAAGGATGTTTAGATTTTTAATAACTTTATCGGCGATATGAAAGACACGGGTCTGAAGATCAACAAAGTGGAAAGACCGAGAAAAGTACAGAAACCTAAAAATTTAACAATTTTAAGAAGAGAACAGGGACGGGATGGAAAAACAAGGAGAAGGGAACAATAAACACAAACAATATTTACAAGAGAATAGCACGAGTAGAACACGAGCGCAGAAGACAGGGCGAGGATTCTTCAAAAGAATAAATTTTTGGAGGGATGGGGCTTGGTTTTATAGGGGAAAAGGGAGACGCCGTCTTGAGTACGGTAGCTTAGGTGTATCTTAGAATTTAGCTGCAAAGTTGCCAACCCGTACTCTAACTGCGGGAATGGAGGTTTTTCTTGCTCCTGGCATTATACTATTCACATAAAAATACAAGGAGGAGGGAGGTTTTAACAATAAACAAGAATTACAAGAGATGGTAGCTTAGGTGTATCTTAGGAATTTAACTGGAAAGTTACAACTTGAGATGAATGGCGCCAACGAGAGGACCGCGAAGTCGACATTCGGGATCAAAAGCTCATGCGCAAAGAGGAAATCAACGCTTATCTCAATCAAATGGGTTGGTTCCTTTTCCTGATAGACTATAACATTTAAGTAATCGATAGACTATAATAAGCGGATCGCCGAGGCGAGTACACGATGTGTCGAGATTTTTCTTGCGCTTGGACAAACGCAACGGGCAATTCGAATGAACAAAAAAGCTCAACTTCTAACATGACATGCTCGATGTTTGGACTAGGGCAGGTAATTCAAGTGTTGCAATGGTTATTACACGTTTTGTTTTTAGAGAGAAAGGGAGATTTGCAGACGAGGTCGTTGTCGATTGGGCAAGCGTTGGTTAAAGGTAGGCAACGCTGCGCTTGGCAAATGTCGAATTTGGCGCTTGCCTTAGACCCAGAGCTCTTCAGAAACATCTTTTTACTCCCCTGAGATGACCAACGTTCAGTAAGTGTTAATTTATTCATTAGCCTCCTTTAATTTGTTTGTTTGTTGCTAAGTTCAAAATTTAGGGATGCGTTCATCATTGCTACAAGACAACTTAGTTGGGAACATCCATTAACGTTGAATTTGTTCAATCGCTGGAAGACCGATGGGAAATTTATTTTGCTTGACTTTTATGATTAATTTTAGCTACTCTCCCCAAAAGCAACACGAAGCCAGCTCAAATTGTGAACAAAGATGTTGCTGCGCCCAATGAAACTGGCAATGCACAACACGAACCGACTTCCAAAAAGGTAGCTGTTTTTGGTTATCAAAACATTTGCTGACCCGTCTTTTTTGCAATCTTTTGTCTTGGTGGTATTGAATTAACTAGTTTACAAGAGGATTTTCGCAATAATTTGTATGCTAATTTTTAGCATCACCGCTTGAGGAAGTCAGCTCTCAGAAAATGATGAGCCAGATGTTAAGCTGCCTACGCTTCATGCTACTTATGATTCGCAAGAGCAACAGTCAGCATATCATGGACGTGCCTTTTTAATGTTAAAATATTTTATTTTGCTTGCTGAGTTGCATATAAACTGGTGTTATTTAGCATATTTTTTTAATCTTTGGAAAGCTAAATTTTTTAGCGCTCAGGACACTTTCAAGCCAACTCACCCTATCCAAAATGGTTTTGGCGATCGATTTTCTCCTCTGATCGAAGTTTTTAAGCCACTTTTTAATGAGACATTTTATTTTTATTTTAGTTCAGTGATCCCAGTTGTACATTCAAACATCTTTGCAGAGCTCCCACCACCTCTACAACCAAATGATGTCCGTTTGACCTATGTGAAACCTGGTAAGCATAAACATTGATTTATAGTACGTTTGAATTTTTTCGCAACAGCTATCGCACATCAAGCGCTCATCAAGGAGTAGACCTGCATAACGAGTCCGGGCAAAATTTTCAGACAGTCTGCCTCGCTCTTCGATCCTTTGCTGCCCGAAGCTTCTTCGAGCATGAACCCAGTCCCCCCCCCAAGCCCTTAAAAATTTTCTCGACTCGTTAAGCTTAACGAGTCCGGCGAAAGAGTGATCGAAATCTAAAGAATTACAAAACAGCACCTAGCCATGTTTAGTATCAAAATGAAGCCTAAAATAAGGGCTTGGGGGGGACTGGGTTCATGCTCGAAAAAGCTTCGGGCAGCAAAGGATCGAAGAGCGAGGCAGACTGTCTGAAAATTTTGCCCGGACTCGTTAAGCAGGTCTACTCGGCAGCAAGGGAGCTCATTTGAGAAGTGGAGGTGGTGGTTTTTCGGGCAAGACAAAGGAGGACTGTAAACAATAAGACTTCGTTTGCGTGTTGATTACTTATCTATTTGTTGTTTTTGATTTTTTAAATAAATTGTTTGCGTATAAAGTTTGTGTGAGGAACATTTGCTTACAATGAGATTGATTTGATAGATTGGAAAGATCTGTCGTAGTGAAGTTCTATGGCGCGCTCCTCTTACCGTAATCGATAATTGCGTACGCAAGGAAATTATTGTAGACAACTGGGGCTTGTACCATTTCACTCAAGTAGACCGTTTTGCTAAACCGAGTAAAATCAATAATTAATTTAGTAAAACAAATTTACAGGCTAGTAAAACATCTAAATGCTACCAGCGCAGATTGGCCACGGCAATTGCACTAGGGCTACATAACAAATTTGTTTGCTCTCGAAAAAGCCATATCTTCATTGTGCTCAATCTTTACTAGAAAACCGGTTGTCTTATTATATGTGCTATTTTGGACTCTCGCAATAACTTTAATGTTATGAGGTGTGATAGGGCTTAACGTTCCCATGGTGGAGACGTGGCGTCTCCATTAGGCCGTCCGGCCGATTTTGGATCAAGCTAAAATTTCTTCATTTTCTGATCGAAGTGTTCTAAATAACACTATTTTAAAAGATAATTGAAACATTATTATTCCCTTTTCCCTTCCCCTCTATAAAAAGCAAGCCCCATCCCTCCAAAAATTTATTCTTTTGAAGAATTGTCGCCGTGTCTTCTGCGCCCATGTTCTCCTCCGTTCTCCGCCGCGGTCCTCCCGTTGGCGCCATTCATCTCAAGTTGTAACTTTCCAGTTAAATTCTAAGATATACCTAAGCTACCATCTCTTGTAATTTTTGTTTATTGTTAAAACTAAAACAAATGTTTTGATAACCAAAAACAGCTACCTTTTTTGGAAGTCGGTTCGTGTTGTGCATTGCCAGTTTCATTGGGCGCAGCAACATCTTTGTTCACAATTTGAGCTGGCTTCGTGTTGCTTTTGGGGAGAGTAGCTAAAATTAATCATAAAAGTCAAGCAAAATAAATTTCCCATCGGTCTTCCAGCGATTGAACAAATTCAACGTTAATGGATGTTCCCAACTAAGTTGTCTTGTAGCAATGATGAACGCATCCCTAAATTTTGAACTTAGCAACAAACAAACAAATTAAAGGAGGCTAATGAATAAATTAACACTTACTGAACGTTGGTCATCTCAGGGGGAGTAAAAAAAGATGTTTCTGAAGAGCTCTGGGTCTAAGGCAAGCGCCAAATTCGACATTTGCCAAGCGCAGCGTTGCCTACCTTTAACCAACGCTTGCCCAATCGACAACGACCTCGTCTGCAAATCTCCCTTTCTCTCTAAAAACAAAACGTGTAATAACCATTGCAACACTTGAATTACCTGCCCTAGTCCAAACATCGAGCATGTCATGTTAGAAGTTGAGCTTTTTGTTCATTCGAATTGCCCGTTGCGTTTGTCCAAGCGCAAGAAAAATCTCGACACATCGTGTACTCGCCTCGGCGATCCGCTTATTATAGTCTATCGATTACTTAAATGTTATAGTCTATCAGGAAAAGGAACCAACCCATTTGATTGAGATAAGCGTTGATTTCCTCTTTGCGCATGAGCTTTGATCCCGAATGTCGACTTCGCGGTCCTCTCGTTGGCGCCATTCATCTCAAGTTGTAACTTTCCAGTTAAATTCTAAGATACACCTAAGCTACCATCTCTTGTAATTCTTGTTTATTGTTAAAACCTCCCTCCTCCTTGTATTTTTATGTGAATAGTATAATGCCAGGAGCAAGAAAAACCTCCATTCCCGCAGTTAGAGTACGGGTTGGCAACTTTGCAGCTAAATTCTAAGATACACCTAAGCTACCGTACTCAAGACGGCGTCTCCCTTTTTCCCCTATAAAACCAAGCCCCATCCCTCCAAAAATTTATTCTTTTGAAGAATCCTCGCCCTGTCTTCTGCGCTCGTGTTCTACTCGTGCTATTCTCTTGTAAATATTGTTTGTGTTTATTGTTCCCTTCTCCTTGTTTTTTTCCATCCCGTCCCTGTTCTCTTCTTAAAATTGTTAAATTTTTAGAGTTTCTGTACTTTTCTCGGTCTTTCCACTTTGTTGATCTTCAGACCCGTGTCTTTCATATCGCCGATAAAGTTATTAAAAATCTAAACATCCTTTCTCTATAAACGCCAGCCAATCTAGCCCAGCCGCGCATCGTCTTGTTATTCTTCTCATTTTGGCAACCATTTGGAATTAGTGTTTTTGAGTTAAAAGATTTAGCAGCTTGGGTAAGGTTTCGACGCAGAATGTAAATTTTTGGAACCGTAATACGTTACTAGACAATAAGGAAGTTTTAGTAAATTCTACGGTTCCAAACATTTACTTTCTGCGTCGAAACCTTCGCCTAACTGCTAAATCTTTTAACCCTTTAATTTGCTTTAAATCTTTAATTAATTAATTTAGTGTTTTCGATTTCAAAGCTCAATAAAATGGCAAATGTGGGAGACCCTGTGCAAAATGGTATGTTTGAATTTAAGATGCGAATTAATGAAAAATATCGAGTTTTGAAATTACGAAATTTTAGGTTCTTTCCGGATAACAGTTTTTAGGTTCTTTACAATAGTTTTTTTGGCCATCTTGCAGCTCATTTTAAGCGCCTTAAACTTGTCAAGTCAAAAGTTTTAGTAAGATTTAGATAGCTTATAACGGTAGCTTTCAAAAATCCAGCTTTCTTTTATCAAAAGTTATTAACAAAAACCTATCAGACATTTAGACAAAAACAAAAAAATCCGGCTGCAAGTTGGCCAAAAAACTTACCCCCACCCCTTATCCGTAAAGCACTAATTTTTAAAATAAAAGAAATGATGTTTAAATTATCTTTTGAAATAATATTATTTAGGAAGCTTCGCTCAGGAAATACGGAAATTTCTCTTTTATTCGAAGTCGTTTGCAAAGCCTGATGGAGAAATCGAGGAAAACGACTCTTTGCGTGCTCCGGTTGGTGTTTTCGCTCTCACTTCCTGTCCGGACCGACACTTCGCTGCCACTTGGAACCATGGAGCGCATGAGAACATTAAAGAAGGGTCGGCTATGAATATTTATAACGAAGGTATGCAAAAATTTTTTATTATTGCTATTATTGCGAAGGTTGTCTTGCTATTTATTATACAGAAATTTGGTTTATATGAAGGAGTTTTAGATGGAGATAAGTTCGAGACAAAGGTGGTATGCAAGGATCCACGAGATTTTTTGCTTTTGGAATCGGATGAGAAGCTTGCCGAGGATGTTCCATATATTTCTTCAGGTGTCATCGCTGGTACTGACTATTTGATCATGGTTGGTTTTATTCAATAAGTAAAAGCAAATTTGCTAAGGTTTTATTTAACCATCTTTTGCTTATTTTTAAAATGGATTCATAGAAATAACTAATATGGAAAATCGTTTGGTTCATTTTTCAGTATAATCATCAATTAATATAATAGCAAATAAATATAGAAGGTTTAAGATAAAATTTAATTTAGGGCTATCGAGATGGGATCGAAAAGGCTTTGCCAGCGGATCCTATTCTGGAACCATCGTTTCTTCCGGGCACTGTCACCTCCCAGAAGTTTGACAAATACGGTCACTTTGGCGGTACTTCTGCGGAAATGCCCGGTTTTTCTGGGGGTCCTGCCTACCAGAAATTATATCGCAATGAGTTTCTCGGATTGTGTCTTAAAGGTAGGTATATCGATGGCTTTTGTCTCAGACTTCGCTTACAGGGGCACATTCGCTTACAGGGACTCAATGTTATCACATTGTCGCTGGACGATCGATGAAAGGCGCGTTATTCTATGTCAGTTTTTCCTATTCTCTTAACATTTATCAATTGACACAATTTTCTTTTAGTTAGAAGATATGGAATACGAAAAGAAGGCACTTAAGGAGACGAGGGAAACCAAGGAGACCGAGGAGACCAAGGAGACCAAGGAGACCGAGAAGACCGAGAAGACCAAGAAGGTCAAATGTTCTATTATCTAATTGCGTGAATTGATTTAAGTGATTTGTAAAAAATTTCTATTGAAAATTTTTTGGTTCAATTTACGCTTCGAATAAATTTGTTTTTGTATTTTTAAAAATAATTAAATTAAAGATCATTTAATTTTGACAGCAAACTTTTGAGATGAAAAAGAAAGGGGGACCTGGAAACCAAGAAGGTACCTTTTAGGATTGACAATTATTTTAACGTTATTTACAATTTTGATATAAAGTGGGAACCATGTAATTGAGTACTAATGGTTAGATCTGAAACGCACCCAAATTCTCGCTGTTATCATTTCCCTTTGAAAAGAATAAGCGTAATTGATGTTTTTTCAGTTTGGCACATACTTGTGATCTGGTGATCTGGCGGATAAAAATACAATCCAATTGTTCTCTATTTTTTCAGGCTGATCGCATTTCTAAAGTATCACCAGATATTGTCGAATTCAATCTCTGGTACATTTCCATTCATAGATAGATATAGCCTACTTCTGCTTGCCGTCAAAATATCGAAAAAACCAAAACGAAGTGTCCTAGATTTTGGCGTGCAAAAAAATTTAAAAAGTTTCGTGTGTTCGAGTAGCACAAGCTTCGGGTAGCGTAAGCTTTGGGTGGCGCAAGCCATCCAAAGCATGTCTAAAAGGTGCCCCTAATTTCGTTTTTTCTGCAAAAATCGCGCAAGTTTCTTCGTTGTACTTTATTTCAAATTTATGTTTTCCCCAAAAAATCTTTGTTTGCATATACCTATTTGGAGCCAAAATGTGTTCTCCCGATGAGGATTTTCTGGTCGACTCCGAGCTCTGACTCCGACAGTGCAACGGTTTTGAGGAGTTTCAGGGGTGAAAAGTGGTTGACATTGTAGCGAATAGATAGTAACACATTTTTAACGCCTACATTTTGAGCGTACAACCACGTAGTCATTACTGTTTTACTGATAATTTGGTGAGGATCGAAAAATAAACTAAACGACTAGGTTAGAGTACAAAGGCTTGCACCCTTGATTTCATTATCAATCGATGAAAGATCGTGTGATGGACAAAAGACACTTGTTGAGACAAATGATTCAACTATGGGTGCGTCTGTGGTCTGCTATTAGCCTTTTTAGCAAACTTTTAGATCTGAAGGCTGATGATTGTGATGAAGAAGAAAAAAAGGATCAAAGGATCAAAATGAACATCGACCAACAAACAAAAGGCGACAAATTGCAACAGCCTCGACATGCGGCTAGGTATGTTTTATGCGGAAAGCGCAATAAATTGAGTCTATTTTAGCGGTGATATCACAAATCAGAGCAGCTTCTGCACGATTCCTCTTGGATACGATGATATCGATACAAAACCGTCTCGATTGGTAGATATTTTGTAATTACACTTATTATCCATCTTTTAGATCAAATTTGTGGGTAGATCAGTGGGAGCTCAATCGAGCATTTTTGTCGTCAACACATCTCAAAAAACGTTGTAAGTTTACTTTTCTTGAAAGTTTATCGCTCAAAAAGTATTTCCTAGATGTGGGCTCTGAAGACAAATGCACTCGATCGCCTCCATTCATTTTTCATGAATGCTGCTAATCGTGATAAACGACTTGGCATGGAGTATCTTTTCTGTTCGTTCAATATTATGAACATTTTAGAATGAAGCTTCTGGTTCAAGCGTTACAATGGTTTCTTCCCTTATTTATTCGTTCTTCATGAATGCTGCTAATCGCGATAAACGACTTGGCATGGAGTATGTTTGATTTTTTTAAAAAATAACCTTTTTTGTAGACTTCGTGATGTGGTGGCTGAAGTTTCAAAGAACGAGATTCCATCATATCAACGATCTTTGGTTCTAGAGGTAAATTCTGCAGACGTACGATATAGAATGTGCCAGTTTAGGTGATGGTTGAAGACGAGAACGGAGAAGACGTTGACCTTCCATACTTGAAATACATATTCTAAACCTGAATATATCTTTTAAAATCTTGTGCAAAAATTATTGTATTACCGTATTTATTCTAATAGAAGCGCATGCGCTTCTGTTAGAGGTCCTCGCGTCAGGAGAAAAAGTGCACCAAAAATTTAATTTTTAACCTATGATTTTGGTGTCAAAACAAAGAATTTTTCACTGTTATCTGACGCCAAATTTATGACCACTCCGGTGGGCGGGGCCTCTAACAGAAGCGCATGCCCTTCTATAAATAGAATAAATACGGTACCTATGCGGTCTTGAGGATTTCAGGCCTTCTTTTGACTTTTGTTGTTTCAAGGTTTAATTGAGTTTAAACCGGTGTTTTCCATCTTCACTTTGATTACCGCGTTTTTTTAAAAAATATCATTTAAAAGGGTTAAGAGATATTTGTAATCTAAAATCTGTGGAAATAGAGGATGAGATGGTTTGAAAATGTATTGTATAATAAGACACAGATAAACACAAGAAGGAAGGCTTGCCGGAAAATCTCGTTTAAGAGGAGTGGAATGGTAAGAGGAGTGGAATGGTATCAATAGCTTCACGAATAGATTCTAAATGTAAGTAAATTTTTTTTGTTGTTTAAGTGGAGGGGTTTCTGCTTGAAGAACTCTAAAAGAAACACAGGACATCTAGGAGATCTACTTGTGGAAATTTGTTTTCAAAAAGGCATCGAGTGTCCGACGAAGAGAAGTGGGAGGAGTCAAGGAAAGGAAAGGGGAGTGTCTATTTCTCTTTCCTCTCTCGTACTCTCTTCCATTCTCTTCCCTTCCCAAATCCATTCATTTCATCTTTTCTCGTTTTCTTAAAACTCTTTGATCGTAATTTTGTAGTTTCTCAAAACAAAACACAAATTTAGTTGCGCAATTTAGTTTTTGAAGGAGTGTGATCTTCAAATTGCTTCCTTTTAAAAGCACAATGAGCATTTTTGATCCGGGATTGCTGAGCAAAGGGAATCTCAATTTTCTGTTTTTATTCTTGATGACAATTTCTTTGATTGTTTCAATTGATGGTCGAATACAAGAGCACGCGATTTATTGGAATACGACAAATTCACTGTAAGTTTTGATTCAAATACCTCCATAAATCAGATTCAAATTCAAATAGGAAATAGAAAAAAAGGTTTAGAAATCTTTTTAATTAAAGATATATTAAAGTTCTTGAAATTATGCAAAGTGCCCAAATATCTTTATATCTTTATACCCAAATATCACAAAAGTTTGAAGTTCTTGAAATCAGTTAAATCTTTGTCCTTATTATAAGCGATTGTGCATGAATCACTTTTTTTTTCTTGTTTTGCGGTAAAAGAAGTAATATTCACTCCAGTTTTTAATTCAAATCTAATAGCCGAGTTGATTTATGTGTGCGAATTGACTTTCTTCTTTGAAATCTGAGTCTTGCTCATTATTCAATGCAAATTGCTTGCTTCATTATGTTGAAAAGAGATCCCTTACTCGATTAATCGTGATCTAAGTGAAAGAAATTGTTGAAGGACTGGACTAATCTCCCTCTTCACCTCACTTTGTCCAAATCTCTCTTTGGGTCAACTCATTCCATTCCATTCTTTTCCATTCTTCTCATTTCATTCATTCATTTCCTCTTCATCTCTTTTCTCTTCTCTTCTCTAACTTTTCCCCCATTCATCTGACCTATTGGGGAATTTGCATATGAGAGTGCCTTCCCTTCATCTCCTTTTTACCCTTTCACATACCCATTACAACCAGGTGAGACGAAAAATAAAAACGAAACAAGGGCTTTCTTTCTGTTTCTTTTGCTACCCTTTTCCTTCAAGGTTATCATCGCTTTGTGTTTGATTTGAGAAATTTAGCAGAACTTGTCGGAAATCCGGGAAAGAGGATTGTGTCAGTGTTGTCACTGTCAGCATTAGATCTAAGAATTGTTGGGGAATAGCGAAACCATTTTACAATTTTTCTCATTTCATTGAGAGCTTTCACATAGCCGGAGAATAAATGGAGAATCGGGTAGAAAGGCTTCGGTGACTAAATAATGCCATTCAGCAATTTATGTGCGAAAAATAGTCACGCTTCTTTGAGAAAAGAGGAAAGAATAGAATGGGGGAATGGATTGGAAAAGAGGGGAAAAGAAAGAGGTCTTTCCCGTCCAGAGGCTTTTACCTATCACCGAATGGCACCGTGGTCATGATTGTGGCTGAAATTGAGAAGATTCCCTTGTTGAGCTACTAGAAAATCATCTTTCAAAACCAAAAACAAACAATTAAATCCGGGTTCGAATGGTTTTTTTCTTAAAAGAATTCGATTTTTTAAAGATTTTATCCAGCAATTCAAGCATCTTTCTATCAAAAGAGATTAAAAATAGGACGAAAAAAAGGACATCAAAAGCCACACTTCTCTGATTCGATTAGACTTTCCTCCCTTCCCATTTCCCTCTTTTTTTTCTTTTCTAATGGTGCTGCCGACTAGCAAAATAATTGCATTATCCATTTTTTTTCCCATTTGATTCCAGAGTCTAGAATTGAAAAACAAAAGCTCTTTACTTCTTTTGAACTAATCTAGAATATTTTTAAAAATCTAGAATATTTTGAACTGAGAAAATGATGGCCAATAAAATGACATTGGCTTGCTCAAAATATAGGGATCTTATTGAGGGAAAAGAAAATGGAGATGGGAAAAAATGGGGAGGAATTGGAGAGGAAAGAAAGCTCATATTGCATTGCGACGTGTGTTGAAAAGGAATTCCTTTCAAAATGTGAAAATGTGTTACTGGCTTCTTTTTGGGCGTGTGGTGGATTGCATTTGAAGACAAGAAGTGCGCCGAAAATTGGTATTTCTCTGCCTCCTCATCTTGAAGAACCTTTTTGAGATGGGAATACCCTTCCCCAAATTGAGGCTTTTCTGGAAAGAGAGAAGGTGCGAATAAATAAACCATCTTCATGATGACTAAAGTGAAGAGAAATGGGTGAAGAGGACGGGGTGATGATCGATAAATATGAAATGAACACTAGGAAATGTGATCCTAACTTTAGGGATTTATATCTACCGAATTTACTCAACTAGACTGATAAAATAGACTCTTGTACCTCCTCTCGTAGTGCGTTTTGTGGTCTTTGGTAAATCTCTAGTTTTTTGGCAAATTTTGGAAACCTTTCTCTAGTAAATCTTTCCTTCTCTCTATTTCTTTTTCTTTCTCCTTCTTTCTCCTTCTTTCTCTTTCTTTCTCCTTCTTTCTCCTTCTTTCTCTAGTTCTCATAAGATCAAGAGTTTTAGTTCTGATTTTGTCAAATGATAAAGATGATCAGAAGTTCTAATCAGTTTTTAGACTGATGCCTGATGAGGCCGACAAGCTAGAATCAAAGCTAGAAGCTAGAATCAAAGCTAGAAGCTAGAATCAAAGCTAGAAGCTAGAATCAAAGCTAGAAGCTAGAATCAAAGCTAGAAGCTAGAATCAAAGCTAGAAGCTAGAATCAAAGCTAGAAGCTAGAATCAAAGCTAGAAGCTAGAATCAGTACGTGAGAAAGGGAAAGTTTAGCCTAAGTTCTACGATAAAGATTCACCATCATTATTAGAAATCGGATAATAAGTCGATAGATAAGTTAATAAAACCTATATGAAAGTGAGCCGGGCGTTACTCTCATTCATTTACTTCTTTAGCTTCTTTCATTCATTCATTCATTCATTCAATCGGGTGCACTTTGTTTATTTGTCATCTCTGACTTCCTTTTTCCTCTTGGATTAGAGCTGTGAGGCTTTATAGCCCCGAAAAGAGAGTGAGAATTATGAGAGAGAAGAGGGATTCATTTCTGTGGCTGACTAAAAGGTGTCTGCATATTCTTTTCCTCCAATCCATTATCTTAAAGCTCAGAAATAATAAGGGAGAACCAAAGAGGATAAAGGCAAATAAAGAGATGAGAATGGATGAGATCGGTTTACTTCATGACCCTTCATGAATCCGTTCTTTCAATTTTACTAATAGTACGAAGATTGACTAGGTGATTGGCGAATCAAAAGAAAATCAGAACATTTAAAAACCAATCCGCTCATCTTATCTGTAGTTATTCAATTTTCGAATTCAACGATTGAAATCATTTCAAAGAGTTAGTTTGAGCTTTGGACAATTCACAAAACAATTCTCACAAGTGAAATTGTTTATTTTAAACAGTCAACTTCTTAGATTTCTTGAATTTCTTGGATTTCTTCAAATCTAAACAATCCTGTAGTGATTATTGTTGGTTTAGATATAATCTTTATTACAGCGATAATAGTTGGTTCAGTGGTTTGAGATTGGAAGAGTAGAGGCCCTCCACGGCACACATCGGCAGCTCGTTCAGATTGCTTTTATACGGAACTCGGGCGTTCGTCTCGTCTTCCACACAATGGAGTTGAACGGATAGCGACGCATATTAAATCTCGCACAATAGGCGTTCGTCCACATAGGTGCCTAGCTGGCCATTTCCATACGTGGCAATCTCGATCACGAGATCGTCACGACACTCCCCCGCGAGACAGAAGCAGTAGTGGTCGTGATTGTCGATGAGTGTCCTGTAACCCATGTGTTACTGTTGTTGTAGAGTGGAGTTGTGGTGGTTGAGTTGTGGTGGTGACGTCACGACAAATCCCTTTTTCTTGGTATTGGTAATCGAAAATGTCAGATTTTATGAGCCGAATCGGAAGCGTTTAGAGCTCTTCTTTTGAATGGATAAGAATGGACAATATGGATACTAATGGGTTATGACACATATGGTTCTAAATCTGACAGACAAAGGGTAATGGGAAAGGAGAAGAAAGGAAGGGAGAGAGGGAGATCTTTCAACAGGATCCATCCATCTGTAGCTCTCTTTGATGAAAAGGGGAAGAATTTACATTTTCTTCTAAAAACAGATGGTCTTTCTGTAGAAAAACTGATATGACAATAGCTGGCAAATACTTTTAATATCCCGCTAACACTTTAATATCTTTAATGTCATTTTTCTGTCCAAAGCATTTTTTAAACAAATAATGGTTTGAGTACCAAGATTAGACAGTCGTTCTTTGCGCTCCGTCGTAAACTAAACCGATCTGGCACACCCAATTCATCATTTTTCTCGCATATCAAACTGCTGGTGCGAGAAAAATGGGGAATTGGGTGATTTAGTTTACATCGGAGCGCAAAGAACGACCGGACCCATGTCTAGTAGATAGTACTAGACAATGGGAAATACTAGACAATCTGGTACTTTCCATCGCCTAGTACAAGACTCAAAAGATCTGGTACAACTAAATCTACTACATCAGGTCCCAGATCGGAAAATCTGTTCTTACACCAAGAGTAGAGTTGAACATGTCGATCCTTTCATGGGTTGAGGCTAGTCGGCGATTGGATCCAAACTCGCGACCTCCCGCTTACCAGGCGTATGCTCTACCAATGAGCTACAACGACACGTTTCCCGGGCTTTATATCTTACTTTAAGGCTCAGGGTTGATAGACCAGTGCTGGTGCTTGATTCTGATATCAGACTGCAAAAAGATCAGGTACTAGCTGGCTTCACCGTATTAGTCCGGACATATTCTCAAAAAAAAAGTCTATATTAGCGGGCTAATAATCTGATACTAGACCATGAGAGATTTTATTAAAATAATTACGATATCTAGCATGTAAAGCTTTCGAAACGAATGAAGAGGGGATAATCTCTTTTCCTTTTCCTCTAGAGACTAATCACATAATTGCACTTTTTGTTATTTGAAAGCTTCCGACTTTAAGCTATCCACATATACGATTTATGAGAATACAGGGATTCATTCGAGAGAAGAACCTGGGGATATTTTCTAATATCTCTTGTATGCACTTATCTGCTCTTCTTTTTTCCCTTTCTTCGAAGTACAGGTGCCAAGTGCCCATTGACACTACTGAATAAACATTACCCCAGGATATAGACCATTGCATATCAAATAAAGCTGAGGGTTTTGTATGCACATCTTTCTCCAATCTATCTCTTCACAGCTGTACTTGAATAAAGCCCCTAGCAGAAATCAAATACGAAAGAAAGTGCTATTGGCTCTGGCAAACAGGAGGCACCTATTTGCTTCGTTTTTGTACGTATAAACTTTGAAATTATCTGTAGAACTTTAGGCTTAAGGAATAAAAGAAATGAAAAGTCGATAAACTGGGGAAAACTAGAGTCAAGATTACGGCAGTTTATCGAAATTTGACACGTTTTAGCAAAGGGATTTGAGCAAAGGCAAAGGCATTTGAGGCATTGGTGTAAACTATTCTTCGAAAGATGAATCTCTCGATTTCCCTTTCTTTTCCTTTCTTTTCTTTTCTTTTCCTTTCTTTTCCTTTCTTTTCCTTTCTTTTCCTTTTCACACTCTCACTCATTTCATTCATTTCCTTCAGCTCACTCATCAAAAAAGGTCAATTAATCTGTGTGACATTTCCCTCTTTCTCCCTTTTCTTTCATTGATTGACATTTCCTCTTTTCCGATCATCGAATCTCTTCTCGATTTGTCCTCTTCTGTCATATTCCCCTCGTTTTCTCTTATCAACGATTGCACTCTTTAATTAGGATATGTGTCAAAATGTGTTAGCGATGAAAATCTACCTAAATACTGTAATTATTTCATGACCAATTAGCCAAATGTTTCTCGTACTGGAATTCGCAAACTCTCTAATAACAAATCTAAAGCTTTATAACTGACATTTCATCACATTTTGCAAATAAACACCGATAAACATTTAGACAGATAAACAGATAGACATATAGACAGATAAACGCAGATAAACACCGATATTTAGTTCTAGGTAGACTGTAGATAGATCGAAAAATGAAATTTAAGAAGATATTCTGGCTACGGTAGCTGAACTCTTCTGATATCGCTCAAAGTTCGATAAAAGTCGACCTAAATATGAAGATTTATGAGGGAACTTCTTGATAGAAAGAGAATAAAAAAAGAGAATAGCCTTAGATCATATCATTTTGATGGAGAGAAAGGGTAAATAATAGAGAAAAGGAAAAAGGAGTCGATGGAAAAGAGTGAAAGAAAAAGGGCCATTCAGATAACAGACACAACCACTGTTTTCAGGAGAAGGGGTTATGCAACGAAAACTTGTGAAATTAATCAATCAAATGTCATCTGAGTAAACAGAGATCTTTTCAGATTCATATTGCAATTTTTTTTTCTAAAATTTTGATCAAATCAAAGGTTAGATTAGGATGTGGATGAATCTGTTCTTTCAAGTGGAAGAGCTGTTTGAAATCCGGGCTTTCGTTTGAGAAATGAGTTTGGTTTTGTGGATTTAAATTGGCTAAACGATTGTGTTTTTTAAAACAACCATAATCTATCGTCTTCTTTAGCAAATCTACTTTTTTTATTTTTCAGTTTTCTTATAGTTTAAAAGCAAAGAAGAGCTGTTTGAAATCCGGGCTTTCGTTTGAGAAATGTGTTTGGTGTTGTGGATTTAAATCCGCTCAACGATTGTGTTTTTTTTTTCAAACCAAAAGTATCGATATGATAAAGCTAGATTCTAGATCTAATTTTCTGAAATTTTGATCAGATCAAAGGTTAGATTAAGATGTAGATGAATCTGTTCTCTAAAGCATGCTAAGTTTTCTAAAGTTGTCGTAACTTTAGAAAACTTACGATTGTTTTAAAAAACACAATCGTTGAGCGGGTTTAAATCCACAAGACAAAACTCATTTAAATCATTAGAAAAGACGACAACTTTAGAAAACTTAGCATGCTTTAGAAAACAGATTCATCCACATCCTAATCTAACCTTTGATCTAATCAAAATTTCAGAAAATTAGATCTAAAATCTAGCTTTATCATATCGACTTTTGGTTTGATTTTAAACTGAAAAACTGAAAGATAAAAAAAGTAGATTTGCTAAAGAAGACGATAGATTATGATTGTTTTAAAAAACACAATCGTTGAGCGGATTTAAATCCACAACACTAAACTCATTTCTCAAACGAAAGCCTGGATTTCAAACAGCTCTTCCACACTTGAAAGAAATAAATCACCCGTAAATCCGGGGAATAAAAAAGAAGAAGAAAAAAGCAAAAAAGCGAACAGTGTCCTCGATCTATTTCGATTTGAATGCAGAATTTCTTTTCTTTGTCCTTTTTCTTACGATTAGAGGAAAAACTGCTGACAATTTATTGCAATCGTTGAAATGGGATGTGGCGAGGAGGTTGAAAAGTAAAATTATGAGAAAGATTAGAAAAAAGGTTGGAAACGGATCGATTAATCGATTGAAAATCGATGAATTTGAATTGATCAACTCTTTTTTTTAGTTCTGAGAAGCTCAATCTCTATTCCACTAATGGGTTGACATGTCATTTTCAAAATTTAGCTAATTATCGTCAGGGTCAAGCGTGTCAGAAGATAATGGGGAGATTTGGGGGTAAACAAAAGAAATGCGAAGATCAAAACAACAAAAGCGAACAAAATACACCTGTTCTGGGTTGATGAGGAGATAAAGAGATGGGCTAAAATGAGTCGCAGCAAAAAAAGGGTATGATTGTTTAGACAATGGCTCTGAATTGGATGAAGTCAATATTTCTCTTAAAGTTTTCTAAGAGTAAACCTTTAAAACCGTAGCATTGCTTCTAGTTTATTCAATGGAATCTACACCTTTAGTTTATCCAACCAATCCAATCAATTCAATCAACCCAATCAATTCAATCAATCGAATCAATCCAATTAATCCAATCCAATCGAATCAATCGAATTCAATCAACCCAATCAATCCAATCAATCCAATCAAACCAATCAATCCAATCAATCCAATCAATCCAATCAAACCAATCAAACCAATCAATCCAATCAATCCAATCAATCCAATCAAACCAATCAATCCAATCAAACCAATCAAACCAATCAAACCAATCAATCCAATCCATTTCTGTATTTTTCGATATTCTTCATAGACTATAGAATCAGACCAAAATAGATTGACTGGATAAAAGTTGAAACTACCGTAAGGTAGTTTTTAAACCTTTTAGTTTTTAGTTAATACCTTTTAGAAAACACTAAATGTGCAAATCTTCGTTTGCCTAATGTAAAATTTTAAAACTTTCCTCATCATCAGGGATCTATCGGCCATCCTTTGAGATTTTATTTGAGATATTTGGCTGAGTGTTTATGGTTATTAATGAGCTCTTTACTTTTACCCTTTACCCTTTTCCCCTTTTCCCCTTTTCTTTTCACCAATCTTTCCCATTCATCTACCGCTCAAAAGAAGATCTCCCACTGTGCATTTACGATAATCATTTTCTTCTTTTACAGCTGAATGCCCAAAGTAGCGCGCCTTTTTTTATAAGCAACACTGAGAAATCAATAATTTAAACTAGAAAATAGAATTAAAAATTTTGAGACTATTTTGAGACCATCTTTGTATTTCTTTTGACTTTTTCATCGTTCAAAATTTGTTTTCGTTGCCCAGCAAAACAAAAGAGCCGTCAATTTGTTGACAAAAGCAAGACAGACTCGATAGAAAATCCTTTCTTTCTCTCTTTTTCCTATTTTGTGTCAATTAGCGACGTGACAGGTGCTGCCACTTTTTCTGTTTTCTTTGGAGTATCTATCCCCAACCGAATTGCGGTAATTATTTCATTAGAAAAAAGATCTTTTAGATGAGATTTTTCACGGATAATCTTAAACTTTTCGTAAAATATAGACTTAAGCTTAATGGCATTGAAAAATCCTTAAGAAATTCAGATTTTTGAGCTTGCTTTCTTGAGCAAAAGAATTTCCAGCTACAGTAACTCAAACTCAACTCAACTAGTGTCAACAAATTGACGGCTACAAAATACCAGGAAGAACTGGCTTTTCTGTAGAAATAGTTTTCTTTAGCTTTTTCTTTAATCGTCGATATTTTGTCTTTTTAAGAGGATTCAATTCAAACTTGAAAAAGTGCAGTAAAGTAGATAAACAAGAGAAAGAAAAGAAAGAAAAGAAAGAAAGAAAAGAAAGAAATAAAAGAAAGAAAGAAAGAAAAGAAAGAAAAGAAAGAAAAGAAAGAAAAGAAAGGAAAGAAAGAAAAGTAAGAAATCCTTTCAGCAAAATAGCTTCGTTGGTGAGTACATCAAGAGGATTTCCTCTTTCTTTTGCAATGCTTACACTAATGAGGGGGACAATTTGTATTAGGTTGAAAAGGAAGGAAAGAAAATGTCGTGGGAAAAAGAAGGGATTGACCAACACAACTAATGACTACGCAAGAAGCTAAGAGCTTCTTCTCTTTCTCTTTCTCTTCCTCTTTCTCTTTCTCTTTCCCATTTATGTAACATGGATACATGTTAAACTGACCACTAATCATGGAACTTTATTTTATTATGAAATTTCGGGATAATTTTAGTTTCTAATTAAAATTAGGCGCTTCTAGCTCTTAATTTAGAAGGCTTTAGTCTTTAGCCTTACTCTTAGAACCAGCTTCAAATTCAGAACTTCAAATAAATCATTTGGCATCAAGATTTCAGATCAAATCGTAAACAGACGATCCGAAATTAAATATTCCTTTGATCTTTCCAAATCCGTTTCTATTTTTGAAAGAAAAATGCCGCAAAAGTAATCTCTGCGTTTTGCTGAAACAAAAGCATCTGTCCCGAATATGAGATGGGTAATCTGACTTGTTGAGGTGATCCAGATAAAGTAAAACCCGTGAAGATACGGTCTCAAATGAAAAGGAATGCTGAGAAATAATGCGCGATGACCGGAATGAATCTAGAAAAGGAAAAGGAAAAGAAGAAGAAAGGAGAATCGTCATCTTTCATCTTTCACAGAAATCCCTTCATAAATTCACTTTCAAAAGGAAATTGAGAGAGATATTGTACCGGAAATTCTTTCGACTATCTATCTTTTTATAAATCTAACAACTTTCAAAAGCTGCGAGATTATTGTAGTTGAAAAAAACAAGAAAATTCTAAGCAAAATTGTTCAAAGTGTTTATGGAAACTTTTACAGTACTAGATATTGACTCAATAGTATACTGGATAGAATTTTATTCAATTACACACAAAAAAAACAAAGCCTTACCTCACTTGACAATGCTATAAATGTATATTCTACTAAATTCCAGCTTTTCTTCACCGGATCCCCACGGTTTCGATTCGTACACCGTTCGTCTCATTTACGGAGATACTCTACAATTTTTCTGCTCAAAGAAACGTCAAGAACAACTCGTTGTTTACTTGGTGAGAAAAGAAATCTTTAAAAAATACCGTATTCTCTCTAATAGTAGTGCACCCCGGTAGTGCCGATTTGGTGACTATTTTACGGTTTCCAAGCTTTCGCAGAAGCTCAACACTCTAATCCCCCACTTTATCTGAATGATTTGCGAGATTTAGAGTCTAAAAATGCCTTTCTATGGTCTAGAAAAGGCTCGCTTTTTGATTTACTTAGAAATGAAACAGAACTGATAGTGGATAAAATTTGGGGAAAGGATACCGTATTTTCTCTAATAGTAGTGCACCCCGGCGAGCCGAGTTGGTGACTATTTTACGGTTTCCAAGCTTTCGCAGAAGCTCAACCCTCAAATCCTCCACAAGATCTCATCGACAGCTACATTTTCCGATCCCACATCGATAGATTCTGATAAGCGCTTTTCGAGATTTTGAGCAATTTAGGCGACACTCAGGGTGCACTACTATTAGAGAGAATACGGTATATGATTTTGAGCATTTTGTAAAAGCTTACTATTTTGCAAGAAATTTGCGTGTTTTGTGGTTCTTCTTATAAATCATATCGTGGATAATCTGGCTTACAGTAGGTTTCGTTGAGAAACCGTCGAGAAACCTACTGTAACTGCTAGTATCTAACGGAGGAATTTGACGAAATTCCTGATTCTGGTTATTTCGTTTAGCTGTTAAGTGTAGTTGCTGCTGCTACCCGATAAGCCAATTCTTTTTACAATGTGTACAAAATGTTATTTTGTGTATTCGAGCGGAGAAACGCGTAATGTAATGAAGGTTTTCGTAGCGAGGCACAAAATTCCAATCATTTTCCAGGTCGACGAAATGTCTTTCATGAATTGTCTCATTTCGAGTTCGAGTAAAGAGCAATTGAGGTAAAAAAAAATCTCTTTCAAATTTCTTCAAAACAACTTTCAGATGTGACGGATCGGGTGAGAAAAAGAAACTCCTCCGAACGCACAGCCCCTTCCCGGAATCGACCCCATTCGAGCCGGGGAATTCCTATTATTTTATCTGTGAGTCGAATCTCTAAACATAGCTTGACGCCAAAGTGTTAACTTGAAACTTTCTCAAAATCTCTTCCTATTCAGCCACTTCAACCGGTCATCCATCGGGCCTCGAGTCTCGTCATAATGGACTGTGCGCATCTCATCAAATGAGATTGAGAATCGAGATTGATGAGGCTCACTCTTCCACTACAGATTCTCCACAAATAATAAAGTATCAAGGTTGAGAAATGAAATCGAAATCAAGATGTTAGTTTCAATTTTAGATCACCCTCGTGCCAGGATCGGTTCACAGAAAACGGAAAGTTCCGAGACCGAGCAAAAACCCCGAGATTTTCGTTCAAGTCGTTGAGAGTTCCGAAGACGAACGTTTAAGCAAAGACGGTTTGAAAGCAAAGGGAAAAGAATACAATTAGCAAAATTTTGTTCAGTTCCACCATCTTCTGCATCGATGACCGAAGAAAAGATGAAACAAGTCGTTGCTTGGGCACAAAGAGGACTTGAAGGGACATTTAGATTTCAAGAACCGGTAAACAATCATGCACCAATAATGAAAAACAGAAAACATTGCAGAGTGGTGAAAAATTCGGATCGAATGTCGAAGTGAATCGGGTGGACGGAAGTGCTGAAGCATATTATGTGGTTAATGAAGATGCGGGTTGGTGTGCAAATTAAGATTTTGAGAATAAGTACCGAAACTTCAATAATACAGCTCTAACCAATTAATGACACTCAAGCTATTCATTTCAATTTCAGCACCGTATTCCTCGATTGGACCCTCGGTGCCAGTGACCTCCGCTCTAATATTCATTCTGCTCGCTCACTTTATTTAAATATTACTTATTGATCTAAATATGCACAAGATACGGTTTTTCCATTACGGGTTTTAAGGGCACATACCTACATATTGTTTTATCATTTTTTGTGATAAATGTATATTTTGTGTTCGGATAAATTTTAAGAAAAACCCATTTTTATAAAAAAACACAAAATACCAATAGTTAAACAATAAATACAAAATACCAATAATTAGGTAAGTCCAATCAAACCAAAATCGACAAATTTTCACGCCTTCGATTTCCATCGACAAATTGAATCCGAACGATTTCTCCGTATTCTTTCCTAAACAAAGACTTTAGTTTAGCCAGCCCTTATAGAAACTTTTCTCTACAAGAAACTTCAAATTATTTGGATAAAAACTTCCTTTCCAAAGAAATTTTCGACTATACTTTTATCTTAAGACATTAAATGAAAAAAAGATATATTACCAACCTTCCAAGCAGTTCATACGCCTTTGCTAACAAGAGTTTTGTCACTTTGTCCAAGCGAGGCGCGTTAGCCATAAAGCAGTCGTGCCCCAATTCGAGACCCATCCCAAAATCCATCTCATCGTCAGCCATCTGAAACATACTTGCAATATTATAAATAACCAGCCAAAAAATCCGCTTAACGGCGGGTTTTTCTGGCTGGGTGTTTTGGGGCTAACGCTTAGTTTGAGCTCTCGAGTTAAAGGGCCCCTCCCCTTCCTCCTGCGCCCCTCCGAGACCCCTGTAACAATAGCTTCGCTGCGAAGCAACTCAAGTTTGCATACTTCAACTCCATGCTTGAAAACATTTAAAGCAAAAAAAGTTTATAATGTCAAACTTTCAGCTCGATCGGCTCAGCCGTTTTTCCTAAAATCGCATCACAGACAGACACACACAGACATACTCTCTCTCTCTCTCTCTTATAATAAGTAAGGATCAACACAAACTTGTATCAGCGACAACATTTCACGCACTGATCCCATCAGTTTTTCTCGTTCTTTCTCATTGGTTGTCGTGGCGATTGTCAAAAACATGTGCTTGATGTGAGCTATAGTCAGAAAAACTTTAAAAATATACATTGACTCACCATTCGGTGTTAAGATTGGTCTGTAGCCTATACCATTTTTGACAGGCACAACGATTCCTGGACCCTCTGCACCGTGTAATGGTAAAGCAACCTATCAAAAAGATAAAAAGATATTGAGTAAAAAACCCCCACCCTCTTTTTTATTCGTTCTGATTTGATTCTCTTCTCATCATCCTGGAAATCGTTCTTCTTCATATTCTTTGGGAAAAATGCAGAACTAAAAAGCAACAACAATCCAATTTTAGCCATATCCCATTAATATTGTTCAACAAACCGACCTTGCGTTAAGATGAAAAAGCATGCAACATGGATGTTCGCCTAAAACGGTAATTTCCGCGAAGAATTCGTCACCATTTCCTGGTATCGTGACAATAAAAGAATTATTGGTATCAGGCTCGTCTCTAAAAATTCTTATATATAAAAATCTGAAATGTTTAAACCTCCAAATACAAAAGCGACCGCCTTCAAAAACTGCACACGTTTGCATTTCAGGTAGATCGTTTGGAAATCTCCAATGTAGACGAAGTTCGTCATCTAAAATTGAATTTCTTAAGGGTAAGATACGGACAAACATTACCAGTTGCATGGTCTAAAACTCCGTCCAAAATTTCGAATGGTCCAACTAGTTTTAGGCCAGAAATAGAGTTGAATGCATCTAAAATACAGACATATTTTAAACTCAATATTTTCCAACTAACTTAACGGATCGTCCTCGTTGAACTTTCTGGCCAGATTCAAAAACTCCTCAAATGTATCTGGAATTGGTTGTAGTGGGCGACGAAAAACTTTTGGTGAACTCTAAAATAAATGCCTACATAAGGAAAAAAACTTTCAAACCTTCATTTTCGTTTCCAGTTAGTTTCGTTCGCTAAAAGCGATTCTTTTAGTTCTCTGAAGCAAAAGTGGTATGGAAGTACCCATGGCATTTCGGTAAAGCATTTACGTTTTAATTTAACTGTGAAAAATTGCTGAAAAAATTTTTATTGCTTTTCCAAACTATTCAACAGAACAAAAGCAATCAACAAAATTACTTACTTTATCTAAGAAATTCACTAAAATAGCAGCCGAATCACAATGTTTATTTCACATTTGTAGCTTCAGGCTTTGGTTCAAATGGAGATGGTAGTTTAAGGCCAGACTTTGCCTAAAATATTTTCTAAAGACAATTGTAGAAAATTGACGCTACCTCAAAAAATGTGTAAGATAGAAGTATACTATCTAGAAATTCCAAATTCGGATCGTTTGCATAATCGGGGTCGATGTAGAAAAATACGGGCAAATCCACCTAAATATTGAAATGAACTAACAATAAGTAGCAAAACATAAAAACGCTTTGACAAAGGCATTATTTATCCTTGTGCCCTGCCTTTGATTGCAAACAATTACCGACCTGTTCTCCTGGATTCAAAATTTGCTCTTCGAAACAAAAAACATTGGATCTTGTTGAAATAATAAGCCGCCTAATAATCATTGTTTTTTTCGATACATTTAATACAAAAACCTGAAATGGTACGAGGTTATAACTTGAAATCCCAACAATAGGTCGGTCAGTTGGGTTACGAGCTGAGAAAAAGGCTAATGCCGTTTCACCTGGGTGTACATAAATCTAAAAGACGTATTAGTGCTAGTAGTCAAAAAAAATAAACCTCATCTTGCACCGGTTTAAATTCCCATCGCATATTACTCGGCACATCAGAATTGAATTGAACCCGTATCAAACGATCCCTCCACTTTCTGCATCGTGGCAATTTTGGCAAAGTCTTTGGCTATCTAAATCACAGTTTTTATATGCAATAAGTTTGCCAAGAATTACCTGCGTTAGGCCTCCAAAACTTGTCTGTTCGCAGAAAATTCTGTATAGTGGTATTGCGGCAAAAGTTGCACCGATCGCAACAACTAAATAAACGGTATACGTAATAAAAGAAAAAAACCACACCTCCAAGTGACATGGCGTAATAAAGCATATCTCGAGAACCCTTCTTTGATGGGACATTTCCTTCCTAAAATGTGTTCTAATGATTTTTTGTAAAACCTTACAACAAGAAGTCTTTTTTGCGTCAAAGATATGGACTTTGAAAGAAATTGCGCCAATCGGTTTGATGTTGTATGATGTGACAAACAAGACATCCTAGATATCATCTAAATACTATGTAAACCAGGTTTCACGGCACAATTCAATGGCATTAAATTTAACGAGGACGTTTTAAATCATAAACACTTTGTATATACATTTTTATTCAAAACCTTTATGTGACAAGTTTTAAAGTTGGATCACAATACACCCGGACATTAAAAAGATATGGAGCAGTAACAAAAAACAAATGCTTATTCGGCGTTTTGGTTGCCGGAAGGTTCAACTTCTTTGACTTTTTTCAATCTACCAGGTCGATAGATCTCTCGCTCAACTCGTGGTTTCCGTTCACGGCGAGCTCCTTTATCAGCGACCTTTTCGGTGAAGTGCGCCTTGTTTTGAACACCACTAAAATTTCAAAAATAACTATAAATGCCTATACCTACCCGTCTGAATGGCCCGTATCTTTCCCGCTTGCATCCGCTTCTTTTGTAACCACATTCACTTTCGCGATTGTTTCGTTTGGATTTTTCTTGCTAAATAAAGATCAAATTACCAAGCTTATTTCAAACTCGGCAGAACCAATCAACCAAATTGTAAAACTAAGTTTTTTTGATTACGGACAGACTAAAACTTTATTCTTGCATGATTAGACACGAATTGAAAATAACGATGATTCCTCAACCCCGATAATTAAAAATAAAAGTTTCAAAACATACGTGCTAGCTCGATGATCCGAGTTTTTCACAACTTTTCCTGCAGCATTACTTGAAGAAGCATTTGAAGCACCCCACTAAAATTAAAAAGTATGTCAAAATTAGATACCAATATAGTTCACCTTTGATCTCACTTCCCTCTTGGAAATGTTTTCTAACTTTGTTTCGTTCTCCTCTTTCGGTTCACGTTTCATGAATCCCAACAACTTTTGTCCTTTCGCTCGACCATCCAACTCTTTCTCCTCTTTCTCCTAAAATGTTAATTTAGCAAAACCATTTCCTAATCATAGCCCTTACCAAACGAGCAGCTCGTTTCTCCTTTCTGGTCTTATGTTCTTCCTCCTTGACTTTTCGACGTTCTTCGATTCGGTCACGTTTTTGAATGTGTTGTTGTAGAACAAATTTAGCCAAAGGAGTGATTTCACCGACGACAAGCTTCGAGCGTTTCTCATCGATAATTTTGAGTTGTTGGTCAATCTGTAATTAAAATTCCTTATGGGATATTCTAGATGATAGGTATTCGGTATTGGGATATTTGGTTCTTATTGGGCACTTTAGAATCCCAATACTAGGAGAGTCAGTAACTCAAAAGCCATAAAAACTAAAACCAACAGACAGACGCGTTGAAGTGTCTTTGATGTTTTCGACATACTGTTTAAACTCATTTGTCTCGTTAACTTTTCCAATTTCCGGATCTTTGTTGACCTAAAATCATTGATATTCAAATTCAAATATTCAAAAGTTAACCGTTTCTCTGGTAGTTTTTGGAATTGAAACATTGAGAGCTAATTCGACAAAAACACTCGATGCGGCCCCCTTTGAATCAACAAAAACAAAACTAAATATATTTTACTGAGGTGCTATTTCATAAAATACCCATGAAATCGATCTGCAAAGTTCACCGCGTCCTCGTCATTGGCAAAGGCAATAATGAGGAATGGCCTAACGGCGCAGTCAAGGTGTGGGTTACCGGGGCTAAAGCATAAAATATTACTGATGTACAAAAAATTGCTACAGTAAACACGTGCCAAAATTGAATACCTGAATCTCCAGTAGACCGGCTCTGCCGGAAGCGTGCCCAATTGCTGACGTGTAGAGTCTTCGTCAATTGATGGTGGAAAGCCCCGAAGTACTATCTGAAAATGGACTATGAATTTTCCCATCAACTGTTAGAAATTAAAACTTCTGGCGTATAACACTAAAAAAAATTAAACATTCCTGTCAACCATGGCTTTAACGCTTTCCTATCAATGGCTCAAGTACAATAAACCAACCTTGATGCTCTTTGATTGACTTGAGACTTTGTTTGATTTCATCTAAAACCTATCTCTAGAATAATTCAATGTTCTCTCAAACACGATATAACAAGTTTTTAACTTGTCATTAATAATACACCATATAAAAAGCTTTATTAACAATTTCTTTTCTTTTTATCTTCCTTTTTTTGTTCCGGGGCGTTCGCATTTTCTAATTCATAAAATTGTTTAAGTAGACCAATTGCACGGTTTGCTTCAATTAGGGAATTGACCTTGAAATTCAAATATAGAATAAACAATACAAAAACAAACCTCAATTTCATGTTCTGCACCATATTTTTCTTTGTTTCCAACACTTTCGATTCCACCAAATCTTTGATTTGCTGCCCCATACACAATTCGCTAAACAAGAATCCAGAAGAACTTGAAAAATAAAACTTACTTTGATGCCCAACTCATACATTGCAGCGGCACACATAATACAAGGTTCGAGTGTCACAAATAATTCAAAAGTGTGAATCTCCTAAATTAAAGAATTGAAAAGACGTAATAGAGTAAAAAAAAATTGACCTTTTCAGACCAATTATGCTTACGCATTTCTCGAATTGCCACCATTTCAGCGTGTGCAGTTGGGTCTCCGCTGGCATTTACTTCATTTCGTCCTTGTCCGACCTAAAAAACATTAATGAGAAAATGACTAGTACCAAACCTGAACTCCGTCGCAAACGAAAACACATCCAACAGGTACTTCATCATTCTTTAATGCCTCTTCGGCCAGTTTAAACGCTGTCTCCATATGTTCATTCATTATCTCGGCTTTTATTATGTAAGATAGTAACATGTTTCAAAACAATTTATGGCTTTTCAAATGCCTTAGCAATCAATATGACAAATTTGCATTTAAACGTTTATTGTACGTAAAGGCAGCGCATAAAAACAGCAAATCAATTACATCCATAAAATATAGCGTTTAGTGAAATAAATCTTGTTGAGCAACGTCCAAACCAGCCATTTGTGAGTGTTCGATAATCTTCCGTATCGCGTTGGCAAATTCGTGAAGAATTCCGTGTTCCAAAATTTCCTCGGCACTATCAGAGTTTTCCTAAAATATGATGTGAATACCAATTGTGAAATCACAAATACTACCAATTCATCTGCTTGCGCCACTAAGCAAGTGGTCGTAGCTTCAATGACTTCATCGCGTAGATAGAACCATGGTCTGGTCTTTGGATCACTTCTTTCATCTGAAAAAAAATGTATCATATTAATTCTAATCGAATTGAAAAAATAATGTATCGTATTAATTCTAGCCGGATTTTTTCAATTATTTCACAAAATTGGAGGATGCACTCCTGTTTTTCGATGAATAAAAAAAATTGATGAAGTAGATGGTAGAAAGAAAACCTTTAGGTAACAACCAATTAAAAACAATTCAATCGTCAAAAAAGCATTATTCTTGATTTCATTACCGTTAGAGTCGTCGACTTCAATCAAGATGTCACTATGGTAGTCAATGCATATAAATGCAAGAAAAGCTACTGATTGAGCAATAATGATAATAATAATCTAAGAAAGAACTAAGCAAGGAAGATTCTTTGGTAAAGGATTGGATACTAAAATATAAAACGTCAAAATGTTTAAAGTTGTGAGAATTTTATGGCAAAAATTATCTTAAGCTCGACGGACTTTAAATACCTAGTCGAAGTTCTAAATTCGATTTAAATAAGCTGACTATCTAATTGCAAGAAAAACTTATCAAAATTGCCACTGCTTATGCAAAACAAATGATAAAGATAGCTATTTTTCTCAAGAAAATGCCTATATAGCCTTATATATTCGTAAAGGCCCAAAACTCAGGGTATTCGGTCTACCAAGCTGAATATCCATAGTTATTGCTTCTATTGGAGGCTGCGCTCCTATTTTCCAACCACCTTCACCAAATTTTTTCTATTAGAATAAATACGGTATATCACAATAAATTTTTTAGTTAACTCTACCTGAATCCGACTCTTCATCGGAAAATCTCGATGCAGACGCAGTAGTGGAGATACATGATCCAGAAGCCACGCTTAGCAGTGAAGCTGATGTTACACGCGATGATTCACGCGCTGATGCCTTAAAAAGACGTTAACTTATAAGCAAAAATACCAGTTAAAAATACAAGAAACTATACCAGTTGAGCCTTGGCTATTCTGTCCGATTCGGTGTTACGGCATGATGTACATTTGCATCGATCAGTGCAGGCTACTTTTGCCTAAAATGTAGATAATTAAATTCGCAAATATTTGAAAGTGCTACCTCATAACATTCGCAATAGTTCTTCAGACAACTCGACTTCTTGCAGTGGCAACCTTTTTTGATGGAGACGCTCTGCTTCTAGTTGACCCTTCGGCGCAACTCCTTAAAAATAATTTAACGAAATTTGTGTTTGTTAACCTACCAATTTTAGGCTGAAACGCCTGTGGATTCCTTTCCAACGATTGCTTGATTGCCCGTGACCTTTCAGCTTCGTAGTCCATATTGTTGTGACAGTCCTTGCAATTGCAATCGCGGCAAAATTCTCCATTGGCAAAACAGTCGCAGTAGAGCTTCAAGCACATGGACTTTGTGCAATTACATGGTTTCTTCAACCCCAGGTTCGACTTTCTAAAATAAAAATAAGAGCTTTTATCAACCCAAACTTACTTTTTGAGGGTCTCCGTGGCACTGATAGGCTTTGCTGATATGCCGTTCTGTGCACCATTTCATAGTTTTGCTGACCTGTAGAGCTCGATGCCAACGGTAAATTCTAATTTTTACTTTAATAATGAGATTTCCATACAATGTTCTTTTCCTAATATTATTTCCTCAAATAAGAATTGAATATAGAACCAAACCTTGTAAGTGAGAGCCTCTTGCTTGCCATTGCTTGGATGAGCTGAGTTTTCCTTCTCGATTCGATAAATCTGTAAAAAACAAAATTATCATGGACTTGTCTCTGAACAACAAATTACAATTTTTATGCTCTAATAACTTTAACTAATGATTTGAGGGCTACTAAGCTTAATCAATTCGAAATAGGTACTGGATTATGGTAAAAGGCAAGAAACTCTTTAAAAAACATAAAAAAGTAAGGCCAGCTCAAGTCAGGTCGAAACGTCAGATGGCTTTACCGTATTTGTTGCAGGGAGAGAACTTCGTCCATACGCCAAAAAGTCGGTCGATGAGCTGAACTGTGATGGCTCCTCGGACTCTACTTCTTCCAGGTAGATATCTTGCTCGATCATGGCACACTAAACCAAAAAAAAAATATTCAGTAGATCGTACGCCAAAAAGCGATTTGACACGAAAAATAGAAAAATGATAGTATAAAACGGTAATATAAAAATAGATGCCTAATTTTTTTAACTGAAATAAGGCATACAGGAATTTTTGTGAACAACAAGCACAAAATTGGGTCTATAGCTCAAATTTTTGAAAACAGTCAGAGTTCTAAAGTACTGCTTCTCAAATGGGGAATTCTATGAAAAATCAAAATTTTCAAAACTTCAAACGCTTATATGCCAAGTGGGACGAAATTTTCATTCGTTAAATGATGGAATTTTTTTAAAATAAGCATATTCTACGTGGCAGCTCTCTTGAAAGGAATATTCCTATGCCGGGCTCCAGCATAGGAATGTTCTTGCTCTTCGCCACTCTTTTTTAAGATATTCAGTTAATCAACCAAATATCTGACTCAAATTATGATAACTTCTCGTTTTCTTACAAACTGCAACCTGTATTTGAAATCCTACTACCGTAATACCTGTAATAGTAGCGCCTTCCCATAATGACGTACAGTCGCGTAGTCGCTAAAGTAAATAATTTTTTTGAATGCGCCCAGCTTTTTCTAAAATAAACTGTTAATACCAAAAAATTTGTCACTTCAAGCGCTATCTTTTGATATCTAAGCGCGCACTTTTCGTCGAAGCAGCGCGGAGGTCCGAGCGTCACAAAATTGTGTGTTAAACTACGCGACTGTACGGGAGGGGGGCGCTACTATTACAGGTATTACGGTATCAAAACTGGTAGCTATACAAAATCCGTGATGCTAAAGTTATTCCATCGATGACGCCCCGAAATTCCGCCATCTAGCATGAAAATTTGAAAAAATCCAAAAGGTGCTAATGGAAACATTGCCAAGTATCGTAATCTTCTGTTCGAGACCGTTTAAAGAGCGGATCACGAAACTCCTCTTTCCTTTCCTTTTTACCTAAATTTACCTCAACATTTTTCATAAACGAAATACCTCACATAAATAGTTGATCCTTTAATTTACAACAAATTTTTCTCGCATTTTGACTTGTTGGCATTCTATTTACTGTAGTACGTAAAATTGAACGACCGGCTATTCGAATTGTTTATTGTTCTTTTTCTTGATTTCTTGTCTATTATTCTTGTCTTTAATCCACGAAAAACGAATCACGACTGAAAGTAGTTCTATTACAGTAAATATGATATCTTTTTTTTACACTACTTACTTTCAGACTTGTTTACTACTTGCTTACTTACTTTACACTGCGTATTCAGAAATTTGTCGATCTTTAACTGCGTGCAAATAAGAAGGAAAATTTCTAGGTAAAACTTGCAAAAGATGCCACCAAAATTCGACCCAACCGAGATCAAGATTGTTTATTTGCGTTGTGTTGGTGGCGAAGTTGGAGCCACTTCAGCGCTTGCTCCAAAAGTCGGACCCCTTGGTTTGGTAAGTTTCTCTAGGTAAAAACATTGTTAAAATATTAAAGTTAGGTAGAAACAAATCTATAGAGACGAAATTGTAAGAACGTCTTTCCGAAAGAGACAAGATAAATACCATTTTCTAGAGGATAGATGAAATATTCCTCCGACAAAACAAAAGCTTCATATTTTAGTCGCCAAAGAAGGTGGGTGACGACATCGCGAAGGCCACTCAAGACTGGAAGGGATTGAAAGTCACATGCAAACTCACCATCCAAAATCGTAATGCAAAGATCGATGTGGTCCCATCGGCTGCTTCGCTTCTAATCAAAGAATTGAAAGAGCCACCGCGCGATCGGAAGAAGGTCAAAAACGGTAAATATCCCTTTTTGGCGATGGGTCGGGTTGCTCCGCTTAGCTCCCATCCCCCAGTCTTTTGAGTTCAAAATGACTGGTAATCTCCAAATTAGTTTTGGTGAGGCTTTTAACAACAAACTACTGATAACTTTACGTTCACAATAAGCTTTGACAAGTTTTTGGTAGTGTTTTTCTCTCGACTAATGCGTTTTCTAAAACCTATCAACGTTTGAAAATTGAAAGATTAAAAGCTAAATAGTTTTCTAAAGTTGACATGTTTTAGAAAACCTAATCTGGAAGAAACAAACTCTATTCTGATTAGAAAACTAGTTGAAAGACATCTATAATCTAAAAGACATCTTTTAAAAGGTTACTTTCAGTGAAACATAACGGTGATCTCACGATCGATACGATTATCAAGGTAAAGCAATTGTACAAATGACAAGCATACAAAATCTTTACAGATTGCTCGAATTATGAGGCCAAGATCGATGGCCAAGAAGCTTGAAGGAACTGTGAAGGAAATTCTCGGTAGGTTTCGAGACTTTACATATGAAAAGATTACACTTTACTTTACTGATTGCAACAATTTCAGGAACAGCTCAATCGGTGGGATGCACAATTGATGGCCAACATCCCCATGACACAATTGATGCGATTAACAGCGGTGATATTGAAGTCCCAGCAGAGTAAACTGCTTTGTTCATTGTTATTTCGTTGTTCAATAAAGTTGTACTATACATTTACTCAAAAGAACAAAAGCACGAGCTTCGAAAAGTTCCGAAAATCGTAAATTATCGGAAAGTTCCGAACTTTCCGATAATGGTGACAGTTTTCTTTTTTAAACTTTTGGCTTCTAATGCACTCAAATCCGGAAAATAAAAGAACAAGTAAAAAGAAAAGATTAGTGAATTGAAAATTTTTAAAATGGTTTTCACATTTAATAACTGGTACATTATGCAAAATGTTTTGTCGTTTTTTTTATATCGTGTCATATTTTGTCGTTTTTTTATATCGTTTTTTTATATCATTTATCTGTTTCAAATTTTAACTTTATCCTGAAGAATGACGTGTTTTTAAAAACTTGGAAACACTTATTTGTTATTAACATTTATTTGTTAACAGTGATAAGAGAACTTATGTCTTGATCGAAAAACAAGTTACGTATCACTTCACTTTACACATTTACACAATGCACGCATAACATTAGAAAAACAAACTATAAGTTGGTTGTGATGAATTTCTTAAAGAGTATCTTTCATTTCTTTATGCAAAAAAAGCGGTGAACGCAAAGTCTATGTCCATAAAAATATATTCTTTTTTTTTGTTCAGATGAATCTACGGGTGAAAATTCTTGACGGTCGAGATATCAGTCTCACTCCATCTCCTTCGACCTCACTCGAACAATTCAAAGAGTTGATATTTCAACAAACCGGTATTCCTGCTAATCGACAACGGCTGATTTATCAGGTAAAGGAAATTAGTTTGATATCGTTTTTGATCGGAAAACTGATATTCTTCATGTAAAAATCAGCTTCAGAAGCTATAGACATTTTCAAAATTCTTTTTTTTTTTAAATTTTTTTCTTAAATTTTGTGTCAAAATGTAGATCAGACAATTTCTAAGTTATTTATTTTAAATTTTAGGGTCGCCCTTTAACCAACAACAGCGGAGCATTGGAAACACTTGGTATTCAAGATGGACATGTCATTCATCTCGTGGAACGACCTGAACAGTAAGTTTGACACCTTTTGAGTTAACAAAGTTTTCTTTTTATGTCCTATACTACACAAAATGCTGAACCGGAACAGAGTGAACAACATCAAGAAAACAATTGGCATTTTGGAGTCCCGAACAATAGTCGGAGTGTTGGTGTGGAACCAGATGATCCAATTGGACAGGTTGATCAGAAATCGTATTTTAAAAGAAAATTATTCAAGGTGGGATTGAACGAAAACGTCGTGAGCTATAGCATTCCGGTTGTTTTTGGGAGAAGTGCTTCTGCTTTGCAAACTTTTCGGGTCAGTTTAGAAATTTTTCATTGATTTGCAATCTTTCAAATGATTCTATGTAATCAATATTATTTATTACAGATGATCGTTGAAAGATCCATTCGTGACATTTTCCCTGATATCGCTCAACAAATCCAAGTGCAAACCCGTCTCCGTGAACCTGGGAATCCTATCATCGGCTCGATTGTCGTTCATCTACCGGGACAAGAAAATCCTGTGGTGAGTTTAGCATTAATTTTTGAAAGTAAATGCTCTATTTTAGGTTGACTCCCCGGCTATAGAACGTGTTAACATGATTCAAGAGCATCTCTCCCATATCGAAGCTTTTTTAAGCGTCACTGCTGTAAGTTAGATACCGATTTTTAAATACTATAGTGTAATTTCTTTTCCCGGAGTTGTTTCTAAAATGCGTTGGCTTTCAAAACCACTGTAATCTTGTTTTATCCAATATTGTGTCTACGTTTGTATTGTTAGTATCCTTTGTGAGCCCTCACAGAAACAGATCAAAAGTAGATTGAATAAAATTAGAGTCAAGACTACGATAGTTTTCGAAAGATGACAGTTTTAGAAAAGGAATTTACTTATTACCTAAATCTCATATTATAGGAGGGTTTCTCCGATCTGGTTGATTCCATTTTGAATGGCGCTGCAAAGCTTGATCCAGAAAGTGAAAGAGAACAGCGGAAAACACTCGTCAATTGGGTTGAGAAAATGCAATGCGTTGGAGAGCAAAACGTCGAGAAGAACTGCAACTGGGGTTAGGAATTTCAGAGATTTAGTCCAATGCTGCTTTTTAGTTGCAAATGGGGAGTCGTCTAATGAAAATGGTCGAATGCAACAATTGGGAACATCACAAAATGAAACCGGAATTCGAAGACAAAACGAGACACAAGGTTTTGAAGGACAGCCACAATATCAGATACGGTAAAGAATGTCTTCTCTTTTTTAAAGTTTTAGTCTTCAGTCATGGCTTGGCGACAGATCTTCTGCCAATGATTGAGTCCCTTGTTCAGCTGAACACTTTACTTGCTCCACATTTGATCCGGTAAACTATTTCAATGAAATTTTCACAATATTCGATTTAGAATGTCACGAGTCGTTCGCCACAATGACAACTTTGATATTGGAACTCAAGAGGTATGAATAAATATCTCGAAGCACTGCAGGACTAAGCTAAATATCAAGATTTAGCACCATTTTTTGTATCAACTAAACTTTCAGACACTTCTAACAGATTCACGCGCCAATTGCTTAACGGTTTATTTGGAACAACTCCAAAAAACGATCCACCGTCACTCGCATGTTCTACATTTGGTTTCCGATTTGAATATTCATTTCGATGATCCGACCCCTCGTCGCTTATTTCCACAATATTCTCGTTATCGGGCAGAACCGAGCGCTGAGGTTAGAATCGTTTTCTTTTCAAATCTAACCTATTACAGGGAGAACTTGTCTTCGATGTCTACTTGGAAAGCGATGAAAATTCCACGGTGATTGTAATTTTTTAATTTTTAATTTTCCATTTAAGAATACGAGTCAAACATCTGCTTTCAACGCTTTAACAGTTCCATATGAAGGTCGACCGGATCGGCGTGAGTTTTTAATAAGCTAACCGAGAAAAGCTTTGTTTTCTTTTGATTGAGTTTTGTTGATTGGTTTTGTTTTTGGTTTTTAGTTTTAGATTAGTTTTGAGTTAGCTTTTTGAAATTCGATTCTAGTTCAACTTTCAGCTTTCCTTTCATCGATTGCCAGCCCTTTTGGAACCGGCCCTTATCGTGAAGGAATGATGGTACCAATAGGAATGGGGATTCAAATTTCAGCTCGTAAAGAAAAACCTTTTATTGTAATATTGTAATCAACCTTTTAGAGCCTCCAGTTGCTCATCAAAATCCATCGGGATCATCTGGAAGCCAAAATTCAAACACTTCGGTTATTTTCATAAAAAAAGAAAATCTTCAATGAAAGAACGACGAGTTCATTGAAATTTAAGGTTCATTTTAGATCCCACCGCAAGCCGCACAACCACCTCCCGGGATCACAATAAATCGGACGGGAAATCCCGGTGGTGGACTGAGCTCACTGATTAGTTCGGTGATTCAGAATGCTATGACAAGGAATATTCCTCGAACGACAATGATCAATGTCGCCGGACCATTGTCACGGCTTGGCGGGCCCCCCCGCCCGGGTGGCTTGGTAGGTGTAGACATGATCTATAGCTTCATTCACTGAACACCTATGCATCGGTGTTCAGTAGACATGAGTACTACAAACTACAAAGTAGAAACGTAAACTACAAACGCTTCTAGCTGACTTCAAATCTGTCGGATTGACATGACCAAAAAAATAGAGAATCTCAAGAGCTTTTGAATGGACTTAAAGCACATCTAAAATATCAATGCTAAAGAAAGTTATAGTGGCTTGTAGCCTGACTCGATCGCGCGAGTATGGTTCGTTTCAAGCCAGGACTACAAGTCACTGTAACTTTCTTTAGCATTGATACTTTTGGGTGTGCTTTAGATTATTCAAAGCTCTTGAGTTTCTCTATCTTTTAAGCTATAGATCATGTCAATCCGGCAGATTTGAAGCAAGTTAGAAGCGTTTATAGTGTGACAGTTCATCATTTTTGTAGTTTAGAGTGCCCATGTTTAATGTTTGCCTAATAAACTTGCATACGGCTATTCAAATTTAGCAACCCACACAACAAGTTCCATTGATGGTGCCAACGCCAAATCATCAACATTTACACAATCACAATCTTCATCATTTCTCCGCACACCATATCGGACATCATCCGATGATGTCTCTCGGTGCTCCCAATCGACAAAACGGCAACAATTCAGCAGTGAGTATAAAGCAATAATAATTGTGGGCAAATGTAAATTTCATATGGTACGCTTGAGACGTCTTCATCAGCAACAACAGCAAACTCGCAATTCAACACCATTACAACCACCCGTTGCTCCTTGTGAGTCTTGTGAAATAATCATGAAATGAATCCTTTTAGTACATAACCAACAAAATGTCATCGATTTTCCACGAGAGGCTCAATTGCAAAGGAGGCTCTAATGTGAGGCAATACTTTGGCAAAACTTTATCTGTAAATTTTTCAGGGAAGGGGCAGATCCGTTCCTAGCGTGCTCATCTCGACACATAAACAGATCGTATCAACATTATGAAAGAATAATGAGCTTGTTGGATGAATTGGTAGGGTTTTTTTATGGAAAACTTTTGATTATGATGCTTTTAATGTAGATCATTGTTTTTACTTTAGCCATCCACTCCAACTCAGCCCTTGACTCAACTTGGACGCATGGCTTCAGAAATTCAGGTAACATGGAGGCTTCCAGCTGGGGCCTAGGCTCTGTAAATAGGTTCTAGACAAAAATTTTCTGAGCCTGCTCAGACCAAAGTCAGACTATTTCTTCTGATTTTTGGATGGATGGAAAAATGGGCCAGATCCGGCCCAAGCCCAGGCTGTTCATTTTAGTTAACTAGTCCATTGGCCAATACATTGATCACCCACTTTTCTGGCCGATTTATTATCCAGTCAAAATCATTTTTATATGTGCAAACACAGAATTGCATCTAATTTCAAAAAAACAAACAGCTAGCAAAAATTTTAAAGAAGTTATTCCCTAAGATTACGAATTATGGGGTGAAAGTAGTAAATTTTACTAGATCTAGCAAAGTCTGGACTTGGCTTGGCGTACTGGAAGTTTTTTTTTCTAGATAAGACGCACTGGAAGATCGCAAATTTGGGCAATGAACGACAGTGAACTCGCGGAAATGACGAATTTCAGTTTACGAACGATACGAGGATTGATGGAGGAAGCGGATCGAGAACGGAACGGACGTATGAAATGAGAAATCACAAGATATACGATAGACTTTTAGCATTCGGGGCAGCCATGGCTCAAGTGGTAACCATTGAGGTAATCTTTTTCCACGATAAAAATTTCAGCACTTGCCAGGTGCTATAGTAGTTGGGGGCGGGGGCAGTGTACATTTATCTCTATTCAGCCAGCACTAATTTTTACTTCTAGGGTTTTTAAGGGCGCAGATTCATGGTTTGGTATTTATTTAAGCTTTAGTAATTGTTTTCTAGCCATTTCAAGCAGTTACCTGGGTTTTAAACCTCTTAATTCGGTCCAGTCTAGTGGAAATAGAACCATTCTTGAAGGGTCAATATTGTTGCTCAAACTGGCTTAAAAGTTACTCAGAATTGTTTATAAATACTTCCAATGGATTCAGTGCAATTAATTACGCCAGAAAAAGCTTTAAAACTAGTGCAAGTTTGAAAAAAAACCCGGTGTTTACAAACCTTTCAACTACTATAGCGTCACGTACCAACACACGCGCACATTGCAATAACGGCTGAAATGACGCCTGCCAGTCCGATCGACGTCGATCCACCAAATGATCATGATGAACGAGAAAGGGTTTGGAAAATACCAAAAGCTTATCTTTTACTATTTAGCCCGATATCGACTTCAATTCTTTACCTGAAAATTCGCGTCATGTCCTTCAGAGTCTTTTCACGAGCACAACGAATAGAAGGTGAATCCAATCTATCCATAATGTGTTTTTAAAAAAAAAGACTACCGTAACCGAAGCACATTTTAGCAATGAACCCGTTGGACGCATACTTTCTCGACTCAATCCCGATGAAAACCCAAACACAAATAGTTGGTGTTTTGAACTCGAAAAAAATTAATGAGAAATTCAGATTTGATTGGTATCTTAAACTTTTTGATTGGCGAATGTCTTGGAATGGTCGATTTGATTTCGCTGATGGGTGGACGGTAATCATTTTCAAATCGTAATCAAAAATTACAAAATTTCAAATGGTTTTAAAACTAAAAAAACATCCTTGGTTTAAAGGGCTTCAATTTTGAGGCTAAAAAACATTTTTATCCTCAAAATTGAAACCATTTAAACCATTTTTCTGCCTAGATTGGATTCGATTGGGCGACATCGAAATGCTTTTCGTCGACTGATTATTGAGCACTTTTTATTCGACAACTCTCGGCCGTCTTTAAATGGTATGGGTACAATAATTCTCTAATCAAATCAAATAGTAATCCAAAAGAAAGAGCAAATGATTTCTAGACATCACTTCGGCAGCAGCTCGTATGGCGGTTGATTCGACAACAATTCGTGATTTAGTACAAAACGGTGGAGGCGAGATTACAGTGAATGTAAGTGAATGGGAGAGAGAATTCTGGGCAAGGCAGGCGATGTTAAAGCTTACGAGCTTTGTTAGTATAAAAAAAAGCACAACTGATTCAAAGCATAACACAAATTTTTCGATTTTCGTTTAAGATTTTGGAGCAAATCTTTCGTTCAATTCAAGTTTCAATTTTCAAGATTTCAGGCATTCGAATCAACGTGGGATGTCCCGGAAACGGCTGTTCGCATTGAGCGGATCGCTATCGAAAGATTGCTTCAAACTCTTTTCAATCAAGAATGTTAGTTATAAAATTTAGATTTAAAAAACTTTGTTTTAGTAACTGATAATATATTCGCGACAACCGCCCAATCAATCATTACGCAGTATCTTCATCGTATGATGATCTTGGGCAATATGGCTACTGGAGGTCGACCTTATGGATACGAAAGGCTAATACAACAGTATTTGGTATGTTGATAGTATTTTTCTTTCAATTGTTCTTTCAGGTGAGAGATGGAGCTGCTTTCTTGGGAGATCAAAACACGAGCACAATTCATTTTGTTCGAGACGCTTGCTTGCAACACTTAAGACGTTTAGCTGCCGGGGATAATGGTGGAACAAGCATTGAAGACTTAAAAGAGTGAGATTTCTACATTGATTTAATAGAAAGCAAATATAAGAAAAAAGCGTTCTAATCAGTGATGTTTAACTTCAAAATCAAGCCTTAAGACAAATTAGCCAGTAAGATTCGATTTTGTTCTATAACACAGTCTCTATGTTTATGCAAAAAAAATGACTTAAAATTCTCCGATTGTAAATCTAATTACCAATAAACGAATCTCAGTGTTCTTGTTGCTCATCTTGCGGGAAGTGCACCAAAAAAGATGCGTCATGATTGTGGTGTTGAGGTAAAGTTGATTCTGATTTTTCAAGTCTTATCACATATTCAGAATCAAGACTCGTCGAGAGGAACCTCTTTCTCAGCTGCGAGAGTGTAAGTCTTTAAGGATTAAGATTGGTGTAGGTGTTCAATATTTATGTTCACTAGATTACTAGGTTTAGAGCTCATTTTGTACGAGTTTAATGCTAAATAGGTAACACACTCAATACGCCCAACGTTAGCAACTTTAAGTTACTTTTTTTTCAAAATTATTGCCTTTTGGGTTGTTTCTTGCCTAGAAACGCTTGTAGAGGTCGGATAAATTGAGTTTTTCACAAACTCTTGTTAAGCTTTCTTAGAAAAACCAAGACTGAAATGTGATTCTAATATTTTTAATGTTCTGTAGATTCGAAAAATGTTAAATAATGAAGACTTTCTCATTGTTAAACAAGAACAACTGGGATCTGAATTCTTTTGGTGAAATTTGGTGATCGAGTTTTGGAATTTAAAATTTATTAAACTGTAAAAATAATCTAGAAAGTCGAGTTTATTCCAACTGCTTTCCTGACGGTTTTTTTCATAAACCAATTTTGAAAGCGCTAAACGACCTGCGAGCTCAAAAATCCACCATAAATATTGAACCTACAGTGTTGGAAATATCAATGATTCAATTAACAATAAATGTGATGAAAGCTAGATTTAGGAATGAAAGAGACATTGAAACACGAAGCGAAAGTTGGCAAGGAAACGTCCCTGTGGTTCGTTTGAACATTTTCAACTCTTTTATCTATTTGTTGGCATTTGATTGTAAAGTAAATAGGCATAAAACTTGTGAATGCTAGACCAAATAAGACTGACTCTTGTTTTTTTTGTCTAGAAAACAAAGTGAACTTCAATTCAGACTTGTTAAATTGTTAAATTAAGAGTTGGGTGTCTACACTGAATGCCGATGTCACACGAATAGCTCAATCTTCACGCACAACATTTCGCAGTCCCGCCTTTCAACAAATATTTGGACGAAATGCAGTTAGTTTTTTTTAAATAATTAAAATGAAAATAAAATTTAAAATAATTAAAATAACTTCTACAAAAAGATTTGATTAATTAAAAGCATTCTCTAAAACTACTGTAAACGTCTCTAAAAGTTTTTAAAACTACCGTAAACGTCTCTGAAACGTCTCTAGCTTTTTTCAAAGCTACACTTTTAGTCTAATTCTAGCAAGGTTCATAAAGAATACCAAAACACAAAAATAGATGAATAGACAAGATTACGATAGTTTTATGAAAAAATGCTTTAATAGAGATCTTGTCTTTAATTCAAATCAATTTTTAGAGCTATCAATCTGCTCGAAGTGTAACCGATGAAGCTTTCCTTTCGGCATTGGAGATGGTTACTCACACAGTCGGTGCTCCTCAATCGGTTTTCGAATTTCTTAGATAATCCAATAAAAAACCTTTAAGCCAATGCATCTAACTTTGGATGGAAATGACTATCAACAACTCCAAGAGATCATTTTAAACAATGCCACACAGGATCTGGAAATTGCCGAGAATGATTCGGAAAGGTGTGTCAGGGAAGTGTTTCCATAATTTCGATGATGATTTTGTAAATGTTCGTCAAAGACTTAAAACAATTTTCAGATTTCCCACACTTTCACAAATCCAGGAACAAGGAGGCAGCAAAATTTGAGCTTTAGTAAAGCATTAAACTATATTTGATCTTTAAAAGTGTGCCTTGATCATTTTTGATGTTTATCGTTTACCAAAATGCAATAATACCCTTTTAGTATGTAAATATGTTTAATACAAAATTTTTTTGACTGTTAAAGATTTTGTATCTGTTTACTGTGATAGTGAGTTTAAATAGTAAGCCATATTCCTTGATTTTTGAAATGTTAAACTTTTTCCTTATCAATAAAAGCTGTCACTATCAATCACTATAAATATAAAGAACTTTTAGAGTTCTTGATGTGGTGGATGAAGTCTCGAAGAAGGAGATTCCAGCATATCAATATATCAACGATCTTTGATTCTGGAGAAAACTGGAGATCTTTGATTCTGAAAACGTACGATATAGAAAGATCTCTGAATCTGATCTTTGACAAATATTGCTGAAACCAAGGCAATTGTCCAAGTAGATAAGTGAAGCAAATCTATTAACAAATTTTGAGAGAAAAATCGGCTAATTAATTTGGCTTTCTTACTGCATCAAATTTAAGCACGCATTTTTGACAATAATATTCACATTCTACACTTCACACCCTTTTAAATAGCACTTGTCTCAAGCACTTTCAATGATTTTACAATATTTAATCAAAATTTTTATTAGTTATCATTGGAAATCTTGTGATTTATGGAAATCTCTAGGTATTTGACAAAAAAAAAATCCACCTTTTCTCACCATGCATTTTAATTTTACGCTTTCTGTGACTCTAGTTTTTTTTTTGCCATTTCCTCTAATACAGAAAATAGACGATATTTTCTGGATTAGAGCCGCTCTACAGAAAATACAATAGATTTTGTTTTTTGTGAATTTTCATCACTATCGACTCTTCAAAAAGATTGACTGATGAAGCTGAAAGGAGCTTTTTTCTGCACTGCAATTGTTTGCTTACATTCTTGTCACACAGGTTACCCCCATCAACATCACACACTTGCCGACATACACACAAATCAACGAAGAACAGAAAATATCAAGAGATTCGAGCTTGAAGAAAAGAGAAATTGGTGAAAGGGGGAAACTAGAGGTACTGCCATCAGCTCCTTCTTCTCTACCTTTCATCAAGTGAATCCCCTCTCATGTACACCGTAGATCGACCTGTTCAAGCAACACTCTCACGAAATTCTTTTTTTCGTTTTCTTTTTTGAAATTCCTTTAGAACAATTCAATCTAATTCTAATTGCTTAATGAGATTAGATTTGGTTCTGATTTGGTTCCGATTAAGTTCCATTATGGTTCTGATTGGGTTCTATATTGGTTTCGGTTTGGTTCTGATCTGGTTCCGATAAAGTTCCATTATGGTTCCGATTGGGTTCCAATTTGGTTCCGATTAAGTTCCATTATGGTTCCGATTGGGCTCTATATTGGTTCCGATATGGTTCCGATTTGGTTCGATTCAAGTTTCTGAACACACACAGAAATTCATCTTGATGAAAATCTTTTCCTATCTCCAGATCTTTTCCCATTTCTTTGTGTTCAAGTCTCTTTAAATGTTTATCAGAAAATGCTTGCTAGTTTTATTTTACAAAATCTATCAAATAAATTCTTTAATTTCAGTCGATGATCCTTGAAATTTTGACGAACTGAAAAAACGAGACAAAGCAAAAAAAGATGCCCATTTATAGGCTCAAGGGGAATAATTGAGCCGAAAAAAAGAACGATTTTTGTGGAAACGACAAAAATTACTGCAAACTCAATTTCGTGGTGAGTTCTCAATTTGAAATTTCTTTAAAGTTCATTGATAATATGATCAACTTGCAGTGAAACTTCTCTCGCACCAATAACTAATCTAATAATTTCTCAGCTAAGCTAATAATCTAATAATTAATCCAAAAACTAAACACACTTTTTCTTTTGATTATTGTGTGCATTATGAATACGGGAAGAATTTTTTTTAGAGCTGCTTAACCTCTAAAGAAAGAGAAAAAAAGAGAGACTCGTTTTTGAGAAGAGATTCTCTCGAAGTCCGAAATAAATAAGAAACGATAGAAAAATGAGCTGGTTTTTTCTTGGTTTCTCTGTCTTTTTTGATTTCACATTTCATTTATGTGGCTCTTTGATCTGTGAATCAAATTTTTCTTTCAATCTTTAGGAAGTACAGTACTGGACAATAAAATATAATATTTGAAAAAACGATCGTCACTTTCGCGCGTCTGTAACTCCCTTGTCTTTGAGTTTAAACTATTAGTGTTATACATTTTCTGAAAGCTCTTTTCAAGGGCTACACAATGGTAATATTCATATTTAGAAATACGGTAAAGACAATGGAGTTACAGACGCGCGAAAGTGACGATCTTTTTTCGAATATGATATTTCATTGTCCAGTAGTGTACCAGACTGTCACTGACTGGCTGTTAAGAATTTGCCAAAAAAAAATAGAAATACTAAAGTAATAGATAGGAATGCAGGATTTTTACTGTTTCTTTCAAAAAAAGACTACTAAATTACTTCTTCCTTATTTACTGTTAAACATCACTTTTTTTTTTACAGGGCAAACGGTACAAAACTCAGAAACATGAAGCTTTACGCTTTGACTTGAAACTACGGACTATCTATGAAATGTTTTAGGTTCTAAAGTCTAAACAGCTCACAACTCTAACGCGCCTAAGTTTTCCGTTATGTGCAGGGTGTGGCAGGATTGTTGCAGCCGCCTCATGACATCAATTTCCAGTTCCAACAACTATCTCGAAATACTTAAGAAAGATCTTTTTCCGTGAGTCAAAAATCACTTTTGCAACAGGATTTAGTGTTTTATGCAAGATGATATGCTCACAAGGCTCAAGTGGTTCAGGACTGACGCAAGCAGGATTTTCTCGATTTGTTCACCTTTAGTGGCCACGATCCGTGATCTTAATCCGATAGATTTCAGTGTTTCGAATGTTTTTGAAACAAAAACGTCCTTAAAAGCGCATTCCAGAAACAATTCGCTTAAGAAATCTCTTTAAAAAGATTCCGCTTACGATTTAGCCAAAGTGGATGTACACTACTGGACAATGAAATATCATATTTGAAAAAAGATCGTCACTTTCGCGCGTCTGTAACTCCTTTGTCTTTACCGTATTTCTAAATATTAATATTACCATTGTGTAGCCCTTGAAAAGAGCTTTCAGAAAATGTGTAACACTAATAGTTTAAACTCAAAGACAAGGGAGTTACAGACGGGCGAAAGTGCGAATGTGTTTTTTCAAATATGATATTTCATTGTCCAGTACTGTAGATAGAATTCTGATGGCTTTTGTGAACATATGTTACATACCGTATTGTCTAGATTACTGTCTGTCTGTCTGTCTGTCTGTCTGTCTGGATTACTGTATTTCCCAAATGTCATCAGGCTTGCATTTCTGCTCATATAGAGTAATTTTTCTTGTTTAATCTATCTTTATAAATCAATTTTTAAAGTTTTAAAATTGATTTTATCAGTTTCTATCCTAAAAAATATTAGTTGCAATAATCCTTCCGCAGTTGTGAATGTTTCAAGTAGCAACTTTAAGTACAAGCAACCAACTTTCAAATTCAACACTCCAAAGCCACAAGCTCTTTCTGTTTAACTACGAATTTGAATTACGCAAAACATTCATCCCAAATCACAACCCTTTTCCACACCCAAAAACCAACGGGGATTTTTGTGTAAGAGGAAACTATGTCTCCGAACTCGTCTCACCCTCACAAATGTGTACCACTCTCACAAAATAACTTCACTCGATTTCTTTTCCCCTAACACATACCACACGTGTCACTTTTCTCCCCTCCTTTTTTTCCTCTTGTTTTTCAGATCTCTTTCGTATCGGCAAAACAAAACGCCGATGATTGTAAACCCTTTCATCTCCTTTTTTTTCAGTTTTAAACACTAAAAACCCTGCTCTGTCGAATTCCCTCCACAGCTCAATTACTCACCGCCATTTTGACCTAACCGACCTTTTCTTAAAAATCACATTCATTTACATCGTAGCTTTTGATCGAAACTTAAGCCAAAGTTTCAATTATTGTCTACTGTATCTTTTTGTCCTTAAAGTAAAGAGTAAAGTTGCTTGCAAGCGTAGTTGCTTGCAAGTTGGACAAGTTGGACTAGTTGGACTTCATAGCAATCTTTAAACTCTATCTTCTTTACTACTCAAGTAGAATTATTAGTATTACAATACTTTCCATACCTTTTACAGTATCTTCTCTTGCTCACAAAAACCAATATAATCTTTCTACCATAGTGGAGCAGAAAGTTTCTTTTTGAGCAAAAAAAAAAAAGTTCAAAATCCCCTATTCAATCTCTGTACAATAAAGACAATCTTTGAATAAAGAATCGAAATTTTCTGGCTTTTGTGTCCACCTCTAAAGCAAGATATCGATGGTCTTTATTTATTCACACTCAACAAGGGATCTCCCATTTCTTTCTCTTTTGATGCTTCTCAGATCTCTTTTCTTCTTTCTTCTTTCTTTCAAAATGGGATGTCGTTGAACGCTTTTCCCCTCCTTCATTCTCTCAACATTTGACTTCTCCTTTTCGACTAATGAGACACAAACACGAGCTGTTTGGGAGCTCTTAAATGAATGGTACAGTTTAGGTGAAAGGGCGAAAAATAGAGCAGAGTTTAAGTTCTAAAGGTATTCATTTGGATCAGCTTTTTCAAAATATCGAGCATCAAATAGCTTTTCAGCTTTTGCAATATCTAAAATCAAATATCTAGCTTACAATTAGCCCATTCAACAAGCTCTTCAGCTAGACAGACTTTTGAAATACCTGCTCCACCCAGTCATTCCTGACATTGAACTTAAAATCTCACATCGAAATCTCAAAACTTTGACATGTTTCTACAGTGAGTCAAGATTTGATACCTTGTGATGCTTGTGGGTAAAATTAAACCACGCAAACTGTCTGGGTAAACTATTGTGATCAGAAAAAAAAATGAAAGAAAAGGTTCAGTGGATCAATCGAAATCTCTCAATCTTTCATCTCATCTCGAATTTTTCCTTTTCCTTCCAAATGTCCATCAGAATCTCTTTCGCTTTTTCAGCGAAAGAACACAGAAATCGGATGGAATGGGATGGGATGGGGTGTGTGTGTTTGTTTGCTCGTAATTCGACTGGTGCCCCCATCCCCTCCCCCCATCCATCTCTCCTTTTCTCTTCTCTTCTCACCAGCTTCCCCCTTCTATTCTTTCTATTCCTTTTCCTCCACTTTTCGATCGAATGTAGCTTTGAACCGCTCAACACTTTTATCGACAGCTTTTTGATTGATTCATTCTATTCGTTACAATCCTTGTACTTCAAAAATTTGTACTTATACTTCAAAAATACTTTTATCTGAATGATTTGCGAGATTTAGAGTCTAAAAATGCCTTTTCTATGGTCTAGAAAAGGCTCGCTTTTTGGATTTACTTACTATTAGAAATGAAACAGAACTGATAGTGGATAAAATTTGGGGAAACGATACCAATATTTTCTCTAATAGTAGTGCACCGCGGCGAGCCGAGTTAGTGATTATTTTACGGTTTCCAAGCTTTCGCAGAAGCTCAACCCTCAAATCCCCCACAAGATCTCATCGTCAGCTACATTTTCCAATTCCACATCGATAGGTTTGGATAAGCGGTTCTCGAGATTTCGAGTAATTTAGGCGACGTTCAGAGTGCACTACTATTACAGAAAATACGGTAATCGAGTATAATCTTATTCATACTGTAGATTTCATACTGAATATCCTGAAGTGGCAACTAGAATCGATTTCTTGAATTGAATCGGTTCAACAAATTGTTTAGGTTCCGTAAAAATAGTTCGTTAAATCGAAAATTTGCTAGAGCGAGGGGTCTACTATGGTCTATTTCTATGTCTATGCCTATGCCTTTTAAACCAACTACCTTATTCCCTCTAATAGTAGTGCACCCGGGTGAGCCGAGTTGATGACTATTTTACGGTTTCCAAGCTTTCGCAGAAGCTCAACACTCAAATCCCCCACAAGATCTCATCGTCAGCTACATTTTCCGACCCCACATCGATAGTTTCTGATAAGCGGTTCTCGAGATTTCGAGTAATTTAGGCGACACTCACGGTGCACTACTATTACAGAAAATACGGTAGTACCTTTCATTCATTACTTCTATGCCTTCTTAAAAGTTTCTTAAAATTTAATGTTCTTTTCCTAATTGTTTTCAAAAATCGCAATTGTTTTTCGTTTTTCAGCACTTCAGCAATGACAATTCAATTAGAAAACTGTATTTTTGTTAAAAATCCAATTAAAATCCGTTTTTTCTGCCTGAAATCAATGCTTTGGAGGGAAAAATTTTTGCAAAACAGGTGCCGCCGTGCATAATTTGATTGACTTGGAAAAAAAGGGAATTAGGGGAAAAAAGGACAAACGAAAGAGGAGATTCGCTGGTGAAACTCTCCTCTTTTCCCCCTTTTCCCCCTTTCCTCTCAAATCATCACAACGAAATGACTCAGTTTTTGTGTTAAACGATTAATCGGTGAACTTTTGAAGCTTTTCAATTTCGTAACATTTAAAAAAATTCCAATGTATTTACCGTATTTCTTCGAATAGAAGACCGGGTAAAGAGTATGATCGCGTACTCCTGCGTAGCAGCTCTTTTTAAAATTTCTTTTCCGCATAAAAGCTTTCAATCAAGTGCTATAGAGCTGGAAAATGGCTCAAAAGTTTGTTAGCTTATGTAGTATTTTTGAGCCATTTTCCAGCTCTATAGCACTTCATTGAAAGCTTTTATGCAGAAAAGAAATTTAAAAAAAGGGCTGCTACGCAGGAGTACGCGATGATACTCTTTACCCGGTCTTCTATTCGAAGAAATACGGTATTTATAATCTGTATTTATTTCTGAAGATTAACTCCAATGTATTTATTAAGTTTTACAGGCAAAGCTTGTATTAAATAGAAAATTTAAGCTCAACTTTACTCGAAAAGTGATTGATTTCCTTTTTTTCCTACGAACGTTCAAGTTGATCGGCTCTTTTTTTTTAAATGATCCACTCAAATGAGTCATCAATTTTTATTTTTCCCCTTGTCAACACGATTTTTTACATTGAGACTTTCATTGGACAATATTTATGAATCGACACGTACATTTTATTTACGAGACTATCGATTTTCGTCCGATTTCCCCTGACTAGCCACTTCTTTTTGTTGAAATTTTCCCCTCTGATAAGCCAAATCACGATTTTACCTCTTGTTTTGGCGCAAAAATTGATCATACGTTTGCTTTTCATTAAGATTTTCGTAACAAATGACAGATAAACCAAGTTTTTCTGAATGACTTTCATTTGTGAATGACATTAAAGTGATCACAGTTTCAAGGCAATCTAACTTTCGAGTCATTCGTTAAAAATCTTTCGCTTTTCAAAGCTTTTCAATTTGAATTTGTTTCAAGTAATGTGAGCTTCAGTTTCACTTTTTGCTCCAAACTCTCTTAACAAGACTTTCGATCTTTGCTAATCAACATCAAAAGCCAGCAGTCACTTCGCTAATCTGCTAATCAACTTCGCATTGCATTGCTAATCAACTTCGCTCACTTTTTCAATCTTAAGTTTTATTTTCTAAATAGAATTCAATTCTTTTTTTAAGTTTTGATAATTGTTTTATTAGTTTTTTTTAGAAAATCCCTGTTCAAATCGACAAAAGTGTTGATCCTTTTGTTGAAATCAAAGAAAATCCTAGAAGGAGTGACGGCTGCTCGATTTCTTTTAGAGGCTAAAAGAGGAAAGGGTGCTTAGAAGAAAGAAAGAGAAATTTAGGAGGAAAAGATTGGGAAAAAAAAGGAGAAGGAGATGGAGGAAAGGAGTGACCGTGTGCGCGCAGAAGTGACCCTTTGAGGGAAAGGGGAATAGGCTGTGTGCAAGAGCCTTACCCCTTGTCCCCTCCCCTCCCCTCCCTTTTCCATCCCCATCCCAGTCTGTGGGTGCACTTATTGATCCCTCAAACAAAACCCTCACTTTGTTCGTCGTGTTCTTCACTTTTTGTCGTTCATCTGTTTTCGGGCAATTGTCCTTAGCTGATGAACGATTTGAATAATGGTCCTGTGCTTTGTCTTGAGTTCTCTAACTCTTTCAATATTATAGATCTTGGGAGGTAGGATGTAGATGGGATGTAGATGTAGATGGGATGTAGATGTAGATGGGATGTAGATGTAGATGGGATGTAGATGTAGATGGGATGTAGATGTAGATGGGATGTAGATCTTTGTAGATTTCTAGATCTTGGGGATTTCTAGATCTTTTTCTTATTGGTCGTACTTTGTGAACATCTTGATCTTGAAGAACATCTTGATGAACGGTGCAACTTTTAGAAGTCGAACACACATAACTCTTCATCCAAAAGCGGCTCAGCGGCTCAAATTTTTTACAATCTATTACAATTTATTCAAAAATATTCCTATTTTTCAGTTTTTCAGTAACAATCTTTGATTTAAAAGATTCACTTTCGATCAGAGTACACATCGTTGCGCGTTTGCGTTTTCTTTCTCTCTCTTTCTCCGTTTCACTCACCATTTTCTTTTGCCAACGGCCAATCGGGGTTTTTTTAAACTACAACGATTGATCGGAATTGAGAGAGTTCATAGAAAAATCTATTTTCAGTTTCAGCAAAAGATTCTTAATTAATCATTTGGCAACTTCAAGACAATTATTGAAGGATAAGAGCCTGATAAAAATCAATCTTTTGTTACTTTATATTCCATTATCTTTATCTGAATCGCTTTAACCCATTATTCTTCCCCTCCCCATTTTCATAACCTTTCCTCATTTCTATCACCATTTTTCATCTCCCCCACTCACATTCTCCATTTTCTTTTCTTTTCTTGCAAAAGCCGCCTTAATCGACTCGTTTTTCGTCTATTTCATCCTTCACACATCAATTTTCTTTCACCTAAAACTATTTGAAGCTTTTAACTCTATTATTATACTTTCAAACACTTTTACTGCTACTACTACTACTTTACACTAGAAATATTTTGTCATAACTTTGAATCTGAAATCTCAATCATTTTCAGATGGGGGATTCATCAGCTGGTTTTCCCTCGACAACCGAGGACTCCATCATTGGAATGGGAAGATTGAGAGAACTCGAGCAACTTTATCTAGCTGGGCCGAGTCGAGGTTTGCATAGGGAAAAGTTAAGAAAGAAAGATTCAATAACAGAAAAACTTTTATCAAGTTCTTCTCTTTGCAGGTGATTCGATGTCATTCGAGGCTCTCCTCGACACACTCATCTGTTTATTTGATGAGTGTCAAAATAGTACGCTCAGAAAGGAAAAAACGGTCACCGAATTCGTCGAATCAGGTGAAATAACAAGAAATTGTTAAAAAAATGTTTAAAAATTGTTAAAAATTATTAAAAAAGATGTTAAAAAATCGTGTATAAGTTCAACGTTCAAACTCATTTCGACATTTCTAAAAGTAATAATGCTCAAACAGTTTAACGATCAAGTTTTCCTTATAAAACATTCCAGAATAGCTGGAAACTCAAGTTTAATATTTAGCGCATAAGTAAATCTGATAAGAAAACGAATGACAACTTCTCTAAAAAGTTCCACAATGAGTTTTCCCATTGCCAATCATTTCCCGATATCATCGACAACATTTTCTTTCAGCTTGTCCCCTCCATTCAATCCCCATCTAAGCCTAAACCATTTCTTGTTGTTTCCCCCATCATCAGTTCTATTTCCTGTCCTATTATTTGCTTTCTTTTCTACCGGGTAGCATTTCTGGTCCATCAGACACAAAACTCCTTTCTTTTTCTCTCGTTTTTTTCGGCCACGTTTAGCCTCTTGTGCGTTGTGGCGCCTCGGGAGAATATCTGCAAAAAACTCATCCGGAAGCATCTAAGAATCATTTAGTCTCAACAATTCTTCAATAATCATGCCTATCTGTATTGATATTGAGCCTGGGACTTGTAAAAGTTTTCACGATTTTGAATGGGTCACCGAGCTCACGGAAACGGATCTAAATATGAATGGTAGAATTTTGCTAGAGATTTCGAATCTAAGCTGAATATCTTTTAAAGTATTAGAAGAGATCCCATCTTGACAGCTGAATATCTTTTAAAGTATTAGAAGAGATCCCATCTTGACAGCTGAATATCTTTTAAAGTATTAGAAGAGATTCCATCTTGACAGCTGAATATCTTTTAAAGTATTTGAAGCCATTCCATCTTGTCAGCTGAATATCTTTTAAAGTATTTGAAGCGATTCCATCTTGACATCTTGACAGAGATCTTTTAAAGTGTTTGAAACGATTCCATCTTGACAGCTGAATGTCTTTTAAAGTATTTGAAGAGATTCATTCATTCATTCAGAGATCAGCCCAATACTTTTACTCCATTTTATTGTAACTTTATAGTAACCTTACCTTCAAAAATTTAAAGAATTTATATTTAAATTAATATTAATAATATATTTCCTCAAATTTCCAGTGAAACCGGTGATCGCAAAAGCGAAAGCCCTTCGACTATGCAAAGAGGACTTCGAGGTGTTGAAAGTGATCGGCAAAGGGGCATTCGGTGAAGTGGCTGTTGTGCGAATGAGAGAAATTGGAGAGGTGACGAGAAAAATTTTTGGATAAAACATGCAAATTTGAATTCAGATCTACGCGATGAAGATTTTGAATAAATGGGAAATGCTGAGAAGAGCGGAAACGGCGTGTTTCCGCGAGGAAAGAGATGTGCTCGTTTATGGGGATCGACGCTGGATCACCAATTTGCATTTCGCCTTTCAAGATGACAGCAATTTGGTGAGTAAAAATGATCAAAGACTTCGTTGAGATCTTTAAATGAAGATCTTAGGCTTGAATTTAAATTGATTGCGCTTAAAATAGTTGACAGTTATATTTAACTTTTCAAGCTTACTATTAGTCAAGTTTACAGACTTTTTATTGGCCAGGAATAACTCTTTATCAAACTTTTTATCCCTGGCAACCAATACCGCCGTGGCCGATTGACTAAGAGCTATTTATCTTAGTCGGAAGGTTCAATCCCACAGTTAGATTATTGCTTCCTTTCGGGCTTTTTTCTTTCTACATTTAAGGCCTGTACTTGTGTATTTTTGTACCACAATTTGTGTGAATAAGTATATTTCTAGTACCTCGTAATGGACTACTACGTTGGCGGTGACATGCTCACATTGCTCTCCAAATTCGAGGATCACATTCCCGGTGAGTGGTAACGTTTAAAACATTTTATCGCTAAATATACAAAAGAAAGTGAAAAAAAAAAAATTACAACAGAAAAACTAAACACAATCCTTGAGAAAACGAGAAAATCACGTAAATTAAATAATTTTAAACTTTTAAGAAGCTTTAAAATATTTTAAAGAAGAAAACGCGCATAACTTTAACTAGAAATCGAAATGAAATGAAAGAAATAAGCTTTTCTCTTTCTGTAAGGATTGCGGTGCATGAATTTCTCGTTTTAGGTTATTTAGGTACCATGTAGTGTATTTTAAATCAAATTTTCGAGCAACAAATGATATTTTCAGAGGATATGGCTCGTTTCTATATGGCCGAAATGGTGTTAGCCATCGACTCCGTTCACAATTTGGGCTATGTGCATCGGTGAGTGAAAAGAAGAAAAAGATTCTTTGCATTTGTAGTTTCTTTTCTATGACACAATTTAGTGACGTGAAACCGGACAACGTTCTCCTCGACATACACGGGCATATTCGGTTGGCTGATTTCGGTTCGTGTCTTCGATTGATGCCTGATGGAAGTGTGGCGTCGAATGTCGCTGTTGGAACGCCCGATTATATTTCGCCTGAGATTCTCAGGTCAGTATAGAATTGAAGATTTTCGGGAAAACTCTTTAAAAATTTGAATAACTGATTCAGTTTTACGTTTTATAATTGGAAAATGAATCGAATCAATCATCGAGTGTGTTCCTCGCGAGTTTTGGGTTTTAACGTTTTGTGTTTTTTAAATTGCATTTTTTAAAACGCACACTTGGGAAAAAATTAGCGTACTTTTAGCAAAAATTATTGCAAAAAAATGATGCAAAAATCACGAGCCCCGCATTATATAGGACACTTTTTAAAGATACTCAGCCGTTTAACTGATTTGGTGGGAAATTCCCTTCCAATGTAAAAAGTTTTTTTTTTGAAAAACCTGCGCAAAAAATTGGGTTTATATTTGTCTCGCGCAGGCGCACTTTTTAGAAAACGCATTACGCGACAGTTACTCGGGATATACTCGAGTAAAAACTTACTCATGCAAATTTACTCGAGTCATTACTTACTCGCGAGGAACACACTCTAATCAATCAAGAGTTGAGAGAAAATCTCCAAGAAACGCATTATAATTTCAATAGTTCAATAGTTGAGCTATCGTTTGATCATTGAAATCGATCTGGATTGATTCGAATGATTTGAAATGACTAAGTGCTAATATCTTACAATATCTAATATCTAATCTAATAACTTGTTTGAGAAGATTTAAGCCAATTTCGGACATGTGACACTTTCGGGATTTCGAGGATTTTTTGATTTTCAAACTTTTACTAATTCTATTAGATTTCGAGCATATAATTGATGATTTATTGGTTTGGAATTGAAGCTTTTCGAGCAAACTCTTCTAAATTTGAATAATTGATTCAGTTTTACGTTTTATAATTGGAAAATGAATCGATCGATCGATCGGAAAATCGATCAAGAGTTATGAGAGAAAATCTCCGAGAAAACCCATTGTAATTTTCATTTTTCATTAGCAAATGCGAATTAAATATCGACATTATACAACTGAATAGCTTTATGAATGCAATTTATATAAGTAAATAAGTTTATGGATAAGATTTTCTACAACTGAATAGCTTTTTTTAGAGCGATGGAGGACGGCCGAGGTCAGTACGGAAAGGAGTGCGATTGGTGGAGTCTCGGGATTTGCATGTGAGTTTTTAAAATTTTGATTTTAATACAAATTTTATTGAGTAAATCTTTAAAACTTACTTACTTAATTATTCAATTTTTTCAAAACTTGATTTCTAGGTACGAGATGCTGTACGGGAACACTCCCTTTTACTCGGAGCGCCTCATCGACACTTATGGGAAAATCATGAGTCATCAGGTTTGTGTAATTGAGTAGAAATTCGATAATATTGAAGATAATATTGGAGATAATATTGAAGATCTTTTTGAAATATAAATTCGATAATATTGTAGATCTTTTTGAAATAGAAATTCGATAATATTGAATGCTTCGATAATATTGAATGCTTCGATAATATCGAATGCTTTTGAAATATTCAAATCAAAATTCAACATAAGTAACCACCTTTTCTAGGAGATGCTCGATTTCAACGACGATGACATTGATTGGAACGTTTCCGAAGAGGCCAAAGATTTGGTTCGAAAATTGATTTGCCCAAGAGAGGTGAGAATGTAAATTTGCAAATAATCAAAGAAATTTGCTGCAGGTTCGTCTCGGAAGAAGTGGTTTTGCCGATTTCAAAGATCATCCATTTTTCTCGGGAATCAACTGGGAGACGATTCGTAACTCAAATCCTCCTTATCGTCCCGAAGTCTCCAGTCCGACCGATACGTCGAATTTCGATGTTGAGGACGATTTGACGCCAAGTGTAAGCACAAGAATTTGAATTCGAATATTTGAAGTATTTGAAATTTTATAGGAAGTACGTGCTCCAAATGTGACAGCCGCTTTCACGGGACATCATCTACCATTCATCGGCTTCACATATACACATGGAAGGTTTGTATAAGAATTTTTAAAAGAATAGTCTTCTCATTACTAATACCGTAAATATTCTAATAGAAAAGCCTCTTATAAGAGCGTCGTGTAGTAAAATGATGAAAAATCGGCTTTTTTTGCTACTTTTCAATCATTTTTGATGAAAAATCGACTCTTTTTTGCCACTTTTCAATCATCTTTTTCTAAACGCTGGTTTATGCTAAAAAAATATGTGCTATATCTCAAAAAATCACCCATCTTCTCTACTTTAATTTGATACCTAAACCAGCAGAAATAAACGTACTCGTGCTGAGATATGAGCGTTTGTTTGAGAGTAAACTACGCGATGCTCCTATACGGGTCCTTCTTTTAGAATATTTACGCTTCTATTCAAATTTAGTCTCTTATCCGATGCGGCAAACCTATCAAATGTAATTAATGGAAGAAAAGCTCCAACGCAAGGAGATGATGTTCGACCGGCAGCCATTGAGGCTTATGAAAGACGCTTAGAACAATTGGAAGTCGATCGGAGTGAACTCACGAGGAAATTACATGGTTTGAATCGAATTTGAATCATCTATTCAAAACTTAGAAGCAAATCAAATTGTTATCTCGAAGCTGACCGTCGATCAAAATGGAGATCACGCGGAACGGGAGAAACAACATGAGCAAACAATTGCACAGCTTCGAGATGAGATTCAGGTATGGCTCAGTGCTCAGCTCAGTGCTCAGCTCAGTGCTCAGCTCAGTGCTCAGCTCAGTGCTCAGCTCAGTGCTCAGCTCAGTGCTCAGCTCAGTGCTCAGCTCAGTGCTCAGCTCAGTGCTCAGCTCAGTGCTCAGCTCAGTGCTCAGCTCAGTGCTCAGCTCAGTGCTCAGCTCAGTGCTCAGCAAATCTGATTTCCAATTTCATTCAAAAACTTTACAATTCCAGATCCTCAAGAAAAGACTCGCGGAAGAAGCGGCTGCCTCACAACGCCCACAAAAGGACACTACACAAGAGGAGATGGAGCGAAAGATGAAAGAGTTGAAAGAGAAAAATCGGCAACTCATTCTCGAGAAGTCTGAATTACAACGAGTGGGTCTTGCAGTTATTGAGGTTGATGTAACTGGGCAGAAAAGGCGACAACTCAGCCAGCAAAACTCACCGAATATTCTTGGTTGGGGTGGAGAGACCCCACCACCCGATCCCCAATCTTCTAGTAAAGCTTCGTCACCTCGCGTTGATTTGTTAACAAAAGATTTCCCCTGGACACAGAATAAGCATTTTTTAGAAGCCAGCACTTTTGCGGATAAGTCTTTTTTCAAGGATGCTAGTTTATCAGAGCGTAAGTCTCGTCCCCGTGCTTTGGGAGCTGATCGAGCTCGTCTCGCCGCAACAGCAGCTCGTTCTCCCCTCTCGCAAACAAGCAGCGATTCAGCTCCTCGTAGTCGTAAACGAATGCGTTTAGATTCGCTTGATTTGGCTACAAAATTCCCAACAAAATTATCTATACCAAAGAAAAAGAAAACTCATCATCGCCAAATTAAGGCCACCATTGTCGCGTGCGCTCTTATAGCTTTGGGGGTCACTGTTTTACACAATTTTGGGCTAAATTCGTTGCTCGGACAAACCGAACAGTTTATTGAAAAAGTTTGGGTTTTTATGCGCGGTAAAGTTCATTTGAGAGCGAGTGATGAGAGTGTTATCGAGTTTCGATTTTTGGGATAAGAAAAGTTTGAGCGAATTGAATCTCTAGGGCTTGTTGAGGCTTGGATTAGCATAATATTAATTGAATTGATTAGCCTAATGCTAATTGAATCTAATTTCAAATAGGTAGTAGTGATTGAGATTTAAAAATTTGCAAAATGAAATCAAGGAACAAAGAAGCAGCTTATAAAAAAATAATGCTAATTGAATCTAATTTCAACTCTAAATCGGGAAAGCACAATCCCCCCTTGTGTTCTTTGTGTTTGTCTATGTTCAAATGTTTTTGTCCTCCGTTTTTTTTCGCTTTTTAAGTGCCTTTTTGTTTTTTTGTGTTCGTCGATATATTGTAGCTGTTCAATTGTATCCTTGTAAGAATGCTAATGTCAAATGCTAATGAAATCCTATTCGTTTTTCAGAGAAATACTAGGCAAATCTGATTTTGTTTGCTTCTCGAAAATAAAGATTTCATCAGGAAAAAGGAAACGAGATCATTTCTGAAAACACAGACGATTGTGAGTGTGAGTGGAGGAAAAAAAAAATTGTGGTTTGCTGTGTTTTGAAATGAATCGAATGACTTTCCTTCCCGATTTTTGCCTTTTTTTTCTCCTTTCTTCTCTGTCTTTTCGTGTTGTTGTGGTGTTTGGCCTGATAAAGGAATACTTTTAGAAAGCTTTAACAACTCCTAGTATCGTGTAATCCTTTTAGCTTTACCGTTTTCTAAAAGGTGCCCTACTTTGGCTGTTTTTTTAAACCAACAGCTAGATTAAGATATCTTTTCCCGAAGTACACCTTTTAGAAAACAGAGATAGTCTGTTTTGACGTGTTTGAGTACTTTCTTTTTGTGTGTGTGCTTTCCCGATCAAAGGTTAAACCATCAAAAGATCATGTAAAGTTGAATGTGTCAAAATCCTCTTTACTAATATCTTTTTTCATTCTTTAGGAACGCGAGGAATTCCAAGAGAAACTTAGCTCACAAACGGCTGAATGGAAAGAAGCGGTGAAACATCGAGAATTGGCAAAACAGGATTTTGAAGAGGTTTGTGAGAATTAGAAGAAATGGAGGATGGATTTGAGAATTAGAAGAAATAGATGGATTTGAGAATTAGAAGAAATGGATAGATTCGAGAATTAGAAGAAATGGATTTGAATAACTTCATTGCTTTCAAATACGTAAATGAGCTACAGACAGACAAAAGTTTAGAATTGATAACGATAAAAAGCAAAAATTGAATTTCTCACGTTTGTTTTAGAGTGTTTTCACATAAAAATCACGTTTATTTTAGTTGAGCAATGAGCTCACGAATGAGAAGAATCGAATCCGGAAACTCGAAAAAGAATTGCACGAAAAGGAGACGAGAACCGATCAGTTACAGAAAAAGGTAAAAATTGATATTATTTTATTCAGATTTACTGAATTAAGCTAATAGACAAGTTCTTTTATAGGTTGATGATCTTAAATCTGACATGCGAAAGCTTGACCAAACCAAGCAGGACTCTGACATGAGTCTTTCGGGTTTACAGAGAGAACTCGAAAATGAGAAATTGGAACGAGAAAGCTTACAGGTAAATATTACTAAAAAAAACTTGCTAACATAAAACTTGATAACAAAATTTAGAATCAAATCGCTTCCCTTGGCAGCAATTCAAGTGAAGAAGCGAGAAGACATGCTGAAGAAAGAGAACGTTTGAATGAAAGACATAATGAAATTATTGCACAAGAAGAGATCAAAAGAAAACAATTACAAGAACATTATCAGGTTTGTGATTGATTAAGATCAAAGTTTAGAAAACATTTCTAGACGCAACTCTCCGATTTACAAACACAACTGGACGAGCGTGATGCTGAGCTGCGAACAGCGAAAGGAAAACTCGATGAAGATCGTCGAGGACTTGAGGAACAAACGAAAAATGCCGAGGTTAGAAGTCGAATTGATTCGAAATAGAATATACCGTATTTCTTCGAATAGAAGACCCGGTAAAGAGTATCATCGCGTACTCCTGCGTAGCAGCCCTTTTTAAAATTTCTTTTCTGCATAAAAGCTTTCAATGAAGTGCTATAGGGCTGGAAAATGGCTCAAAAATACCACATGAGCTAACAGATTTTTGAGTCATTTTCCAGCCCTATAGCACTTCATTGAAAGCTTTTAGGCAGAAAAGAAATTTTAAAAAGGGCTGCTACGCAGGAGTACGCGATGATACTCTTTACCCGGTCTTCTATTCGAAGAAATACGGTAAAACATTTCTAAGCCATAAACCAATCAATCAGTACGGAATTGAAAGTAATGTTTAGAATCAATTCGAGCGTGCTGAGAAGCTTTTACGTGAGAACAACAATCAGTTATTGGTGGAGAATGAGACATTGAGAGAAAGATTGTCACAACTCGAAGATGAGCTGTAAGTTCGAAAAGAATTTCAAGTGTTCAGTGATAAGTGGAGCTCTCCTTAAAATTCTCCTTTAGAAAATCGCACTCTGGATTGAACACCGAGCAAATGCACGAAATGATTCAGTGGATCAATCAGGAGAAGATCACGCGAGAGCATATGGAGGTATTAGAAAAGATTTGGAAAAAAAAGAATTTTTGTTTAGATTCTTGCGACAAAGATCTCTGGGGAATTGGAGACATTAAAGACTCAATCACTAAACGGTACGCCTGTCTCCACATCGAGATTGCCATTCTCAGAGCATGGTGTGCTTTTTTTCTCCTTTGTGCTTATGAAAAATGTTGAAAATTGTCCGATACTTGTTGCGATTTTTACCGAGTTTGATGCAAAATGGAAATAAGTGTGTGTTTGGTGTGTAGCATGTTCTGAAGAGTCAGCTATATTCAAATACCTGACTTACAACTCATCTTCGAGTTGTGACAATCTTTCTCTCAATTCTATTAGAAGTCTTAAGATGAAGATAGCGCTAGGGATTGTGAACAAACAAAAAATGGAAATTTTTTACCATTTCAGATAGCATTTAAGATATTTATGTAGTTAGCGCTAAGTACTTTTTAAGATCCGATATCAGCTTCTGATTGTAGAAAGGCAGTCTTGGCTGTAGAAAGTCAGTCTTGGCTATAGAAAGTCAGTCTTGCCTGTAGAAAGTCAGTCTAGCCTGTAGAAAGGCAATCTTGCCTGTAGAAAGTCAAAACACCCTAATCCCTAGTGAATCTTCTTACACCTATGAATGATACTTGTATATCTGCATTGTCTCAGAAATATTTGGCTTTATATATGCACCGAAACAAATCAAAGAAACAACAAATCCCTTCTAGGCCACATCTACGCTAATCAAACCCCCGCATCCGCCTGGGGCTCGAAGCGGCAAAAGCGATTGGCAGCGATGAACGATCAAGATGTGCAGAAATCTCTTCAAGCTGAACTTCGTGCCAAAGAAAGTCTACAGGTGAATATTTAATGCAATACGCAAATTTTAAAGCTAATTGGCAAACTGAAACTGTAACTTGTACGTTGTAAACTTTCAGGAAGAGATCAAGAAGCAACGAGCGCGCAACTATCAACTCAACTCCCGTCTTCAACAAGCTGATGAAACGGTATCAATTTATTCGATAAACAAAAACTCTACACTAGTTAAAAGTTTAAAAAAGGCCCCTAGAATTAGATTGGAATTAAATTTCCAGATTACTGAGGTCAGGGAAAAGTTTTGAAGATCATTTTATCAATGATTCATATTCTAGATTGCGATTCAACGCCGCGAAATCGACGAAATCACCATTCAAAGAGAACAACTACGATCTGGTATCATTTTTTTTTTGCTTTAATTAATCAATTTTCATACATTTCTTTAGCTCTTTCATCGATTAACAATGGTGATATGCAGGCCAGCTTTTTCAATATGGTGAACACGGATAGCCCTGTTGGAACTGAAGGTAGAATAGCTGAATTTTGATCCAGAATATTACCGTAAATACTCTAATAGTACCCGCCTCGTACAGTCGCGTAGTCGCTAAAAAGTTTTCGTTAGCTAATCCAACTCACCAATCAGTTTCCAGCTCGTTCGGCTTTATCCGGGTCGATCCGTGATTCGATCAGCCTCTCGCAGAGCACCGACTATGAGCCGCCGAATTCGAGTCTACGAAAACGCGAAGAGGAGCTTCGACGACAGAATTTGTAAGGAAAAATATAAAATATTTAGTTAAGCCAAAAAATTTAGGCATTCACCAGTCTGCTACGAGAATACGAGACCGGGACAGACGTCGGCGTCGAGCTCGAGCACGGTTGCTGTTGGACGAATGCACAGTCCACAGGTAAACGGGAAAATCGTTTTTCTGATAGGGAAATGTGGGAATGTTTTCGCGTTTTTTGACATTCAAAAAATACCTAATAAATCCTTATTTTAGATCCTAAACTCTCAAATCAACGCGGCGCTCTCGGGCCGAGGTCATATGTTCACCCATGTTCATCTCTCATCACCAACGAAATGTGGTCATTGTACGAGTATTCTTGTGGGATTGGATCGACAAGGTTGAAAGCTACAGTTTTTTTTAATTCCCTTTTAAACTTTCAGGTCTTTTCTGTCAGAATTGTCAATACCCATGTCATGTTCATTGCATGAGTCGAGCTCCGGCCACTTGCCCCGTTCCACCAGAATCTCGTCGGCCAATGGGTCAGTTTTTATCCTAAAGTTATTTTGAAAAATTAATTACTGGTTATTTTCAATTTTTAAAAGAAAAAAAGGTTTAGGTATTGATCCATTGCGTGGCGTTGGGACAGCTTATGAAGGACAGGTGAAAACACCGAAACAAGGAGGCGTTAAAAAGGTTGAATTTTGTGAATTGTTTTTGAATGTCTAGTGTTTTTCGAAACGATAAAGTTGTTTATTTTATTGTAATAATGAACTTCCAGGGTTGGCAAACGACATTTGTCGTCGTTTGTGACTTCAAATTGTTGCTTTTCGACTGCACACCGAACAAGGAGAAAGGCAGCCCTATGCCCACCGATATTCAGCCAAATGTTCGACAGGTGAGTGCAGAAAAATTTGGGCTAATATTTCATAAATGATTTAAACACGATTTAAGGTTTGCAACCTTTTTTTTTTCTTTCCAGGTGTTGGACATGCGAGACTCGAACTTTCAAGTGCAATCGGTCACCGAGCACGATGTGATTCACGCGACTAAAAACGATATCCCAAAAATCTTCAGGGTTAGTTTAAAATATTTTTTAGTTTTTAACTGATTCTAAATATATGTTGTGTCCGATTTAGATTCAATCTAAATCGGACGTCTTATATAGATTGAACAATAATATAAACATGTTTAATATATGTTCTTAAGCGTTTTCTGTAGTTTTCTGCATTTTCAAACGTCTTTTATTGATTATTTCATAGTTGGGTTTTCTTTTCAGAAAAAGACAGTAAAACAGTAAAACAAAAAGTCAGTAACAGACCTTTGAAAAATGCAGAAAACTACAGAAAACGCTTAAGAACATATATTAAGCATGTTTATATTATTGTTCAATCTATATAAGATTTAGATTGAATCTAAATCGGACACAACATATAAAATAAGTCATTTACTAATTTTAAGCCACAAATTTTAGATTACAACTTCACAAATCCAAGGAACTTTCGGCTCCGAGGACGCCAAACAGTACACATTGTTGATGGCTGAAACAAAAGATGTAAAGTTTTTAAAATACTATTTTTTGCTATAAATATTAGATCTTAAACATTATTAAACAATTATTAAACAATTGAATATTCAATAAACAATTTAGGAATGCAAGAAATGGGTGGTGGCGTTAACCGAGCTGAAGAGTTTACTGAAAAAGTCTCGACTTCCTGATAAAACGGCATTTGTGTACAAGGTGAGACTTTCTACATCTAGATTTACCTTGGAAAATGAATTACTTACTTAAACTTTTCTCATTTAGGAGCTCTTTGATGTGAATTCTCTTCCGATGATTAAATTCGCTCAATGTGCTGTCATTGTTGATCCAAAGAAAATCGTTGTTGGCTTCACCGATCATGGCCTCTATTCAGTGGAATTGGACAGAGAGGTGATTGACGGAGAATTAATTAAATTTCAATTAAATTAATTCAAAAATTGTTTTACTTTAATTTAAAGTTAACAATATCATGTTTTCATTTCAATGAACAATTTCAAATCTAACTTTACAGACTTTGGTCGCTGTCGGTGGTGAAAAGGAGAACAAGGGGCGGTGTGTGGAAAAAGTCGAATATGTTGCGTCGGAGCAATTATTTGTGGCAATGGTTGGGAAAGGAAATGAGAGGTGAATAGAAACTTTTGAAATTAAAATAATTGAATGGATTTTGAAGATTATCTAGGCTAACAATGACAATGCTAACAATTTGCAATGATTAGATGACCTTCATCTACCGTATTTTCTATAATAGTAGTGCAGTCTGTAATAGTGGTGCAGGCAGGAGGGGGGTTGAAAAAATAGTAGTGCGCACTACTATTACAGAAAATACGGTAATCATTGCAAACGAAATTTTTCTCCTTTCAGACATTTGCGTCTGATTCCAACAGCGGCACTTGATGGTCGAGATTTGAAATGGATTAAGCTAAATGATACAAAGGGATGTCATTTGATGGCTGTTGGGGGAATTGATGGAAGACAAACGTGAGTGTTTAAATGATATTAAAACTATTGTATCTTTTATTTTTCAGCTATATTGCCGCTGCAATGAAACGAGCCGTCATTCTCTTCCAAATCGATCGCAGCGAGAAACGACACAAACGAATGAGCTTTGTAAGTACAAGATGAAGATATTCAGTTAACAATAATGCTTAAAAGTCTCTCAATAAGCGAATTTCTAGGATCTCGCAATGCCGGGTCAACCCCAATGTATGGCCATCATCGGTTCTCGTCTCGTTGTCGGTTTCCCTAACGGGTTCAGCTCGTGGAATCTCGCCGATGATAGCCCGAAGATTTCTTGTAGGTTTAATATTTTATTATAATAATAGATCATTTGTTTCAACATTCTTCTTGTTTAGCATTGGTGAATCACGAGGATCAATCGTTGTCTTTCCTTTCTCAACCCGGCTACGAGGCTCAAATGCTCATCCCAACCCCATCAACCATTGGTGCTGGAGAGATCGCTGAATATCTTCTCGTTTTCAATAAACTCGGTGTTTACGTCGATCAATATGGTTAGTTTTTTTTTAAACCGAGACATTTCTCATCTCTTTCTCAAACATTTCTCATTCTAGGACGAAGATCTCGTTCTCAAGAGTTGATGTTCCCATCATTACCTCGTGCAAATGGTTTCACCTATCTTGCCCCATATCTTTGTGTTTATTCCGAATCGCAAATTGATGTTTTCAATGTTGGCGCTGCTGAATGGGTGCAAACGATTAATTTAAGGTATAAAGAAGTTAAAAATTTAAATAAAAAAATATTTTAGACAAGCATTCCCGTTGACAACGAGTGGCTTGATTTCGTCGTGTGTTGTCAACGATTTCCCTTACATGGTTGTGTTAAGTGAGAAACTTGGAGGTTTGAGAAATTTCTGTAAAACTAATAAACTCTTTTTTTAGTCGAAGACGCTATTTTATTGCCGGATAATGTTTCTAAATATGGCGGAAAGCTGAAAAGGCCTGGGAAGAGAAAATTCACCGTTCGAACTCCGGGAAAAGATGAGCAAAAGTGGGGAAATTGTGTAAAAATTGATAGATATTGAAAATGTTAATTGAAGATTCTAATTAGATATGCTTTTTTTCTTGCTCTAACATCTCCTATTCTTTTTTCAGAGCCGTTGATCGCCGCAGTGCTTTGCCGATCTCTGGTCCATCTGACTTCAAACATCTCTCGCATATGGGACCCGATTCAGCGCAAAATTTCATCGATCTCGCGAAAGAGCAAGACAAAAAACAAGCGGATAAGGTACCTTTTACAAAAAAAAAGAGCCCACAACCCACCCGACACAGCACATTCAGAACGGGCCACGAAAAATTTCGTCAATCGTGCACTTCTAGCAATTTGTCGGTCTCATCAAAGAAAATAGTTCAAGTTAGCACGCTTCAGAAAATGAAATTTCTGATTTTATCCTTAAACATTTGGCCAATTTCGTTTGCTTCTTCTCCCTCTTTTTTAGCCTGATTTCATTGGAAATTTTGGTTCTTCTTTGTTTGTTTTACCCAATTAAACAGCTGCTTTCTAATTGAGAGACGCTTTTCGGGAGATTTCAAAAAGAGTAATGTTTTATTTTTAACCGGGATGGTGCTAGAAATTGTTTTTGAGTATTTTCAAAGTGAATCTCATTTTTTTTAGAGTCGTAGTCTTCTACCTCCAATCATGCGCTCAACGTCGAGCACTTCGTCGAATGTGAATTCAGTTCTGGGTGGTAGTAAAAAGGTGGGTGAAGGAAAAACTTCAAAATTCTGAACAGAGTTAACTTAAAGTTATTTCTAATTGTTAGCTAATCTATTCTCAATCGTTTTTATTCTAGGAACTAGAACAAATGGTTCGGAATCGACCGGTCTCTTCACATAGCCGAAGCTCTGATGGTTCTAGTCTGGGAAGGGATGGGAAACAAGAAAATGCGTATATGGTAAGTTGATCATACATCGAAACTTTATAGTTAACATTTTTAAAAAAAGTTTTCAGGGATAAATCGGCAATGAGCTTTACCATCGGTTGGTCAAATCATTGTGCTTTTTTTTTACTAAATTTCACAACCTTATGTGTCAAATTTCCCGCACCCTTTTAGTCTTCAAAAAGCTTCTATCTATACCTAATTTCTTTGCTTTCTATTTTTTTTTTGCATTAAAAACGATTAAGTCAACAATTGGAGGCGTTTCGTGACAGTTTTTGTGTTAAAAGAGTGAGCTCTTTCTATCGGATAAGCTAACAAATGCTAATAGTTACAATATATTTAGATTAGATTAGATTAGATCCACAATGGCTGGATATCTTTAAAATTAAAGTTGCTAGTAAAAGAGAGAACATAGAGAACTGCTAAATGAATACTTTATACAGCAAGAAAAACCCAGTTGCTAAAAAAATAACGGTAGGGAAAATCGATTTTGGCCAAATTTATCCAACCTTTTCTGTTCCAAACCGTTCCTTTCAATGCTTTATCGAAATACACGAGTTTTCATGAAAATCGTTGTATCTTCAAGTGAAAAGATTGCAAAAATAGACTCATTTTTTCCAGGAACCGATCTCTCGCCAACGCCAATCCATCCCGGCCATCTCTCCACCAACTCTTCCCAATTCTCCCATTCACACAAACACTATCAACTAGTTTCTTGTGTAATCTTTTTCATTTTAAACGCAATCTTTTCCGGGTTTCCCCCTAGCAGTTGAAATTTTGGCAATCTCTTCGCGAAAATATGCAATCGTTATCTATTTATTTTTTTTTGCATAATAGCTATTCTTTTTCTTTGATTTAAAGTCTTCCTTTTTCCCCCGAATTGCTCACTTAAACTGAACTCATCATTGCTAAATGTTTTACCCTTTTTCACTTTCGATTATAATATTTAAGTTAATATTTATCTTTTTGGAGTTCTGTAACATCTTTAAACCATTTTTTTTTGAATCCGGTATGTCGAAGTGCTCTATTATACGACGATTGTTAGAGACAATAAGCTTTTGGTTTCGACTTGACGAAGCTCACAAGTTTAAGTACTGAAAGTTGTAAGTAATTACAGTATACCTGAATGAAAACGCTTCAAGCTAACTGAGTACCTTTAGTTTTATGAGGAATTTGAGAGGAATTCAGTCTGGACACTAGACATCTTTTTATTCCGGTATAATGAACAAGAGATTAAAAGTTCTACAGTAACTTGAAGTCACTTGTGAGCTTAACTTGTCTTGTAGTCTTGTAAGCAATTTCTCTAACAATCCCCATTCGTTATCAATTCTATGAAAAAGATCTAGTTATTTACACCCAGGTAGCTCACTCAAAAAAGCCTGTCTTCATTTTTTAATTTATTTTGTGCTTTTCGATGTGATCACAGCTAAAAAAAATATCATCTATATCTACTAATTTTTTTTTACTTTTTCTGCCCACACTTTCCCCTCTCCTTGTTCTCTCCTTGTTGTGCTACTAATCATTTTTTTTCCTGTTATGTACATTTTTACGCGAGGTTTATACACTAGAACAAATAAATATCTATTACCAAAAGAGAATGAAGTCACATCTGAACCCAAAACGGTTATTTCTACCAAGCTAGAAATTTCTAAAGCACAATTTCTTTTTAAATTTTCCTACACAAAACTTTTGTGGTGTAGGTGAATTTTAAACGTTTCTCTCATAAGAACGTCATTCGGAGCGTTCCGTTCTTTCAACCTACCCAATTTATTTAGGTGGATCAATTCAAAATAGTCTTTCAATAATTATCTAGGATACCTATAAATTAATGCGAGATTTTCTGAAACATTTTAAAAATAGCGCAATAAAAAATAAATTACTGTGATCTCAAAACGTTAAATTTATTCCTTTTGTTAATTCCTTTTGTTAATTTGTCTTTACTTCAGACTAAAGAATTCAGTTAAAAGGCTCGGCCTTTAGTCTTCATTTTTGTTTTCCTTTGCGAAGTATTTTTTGAATTGTTTTCTCTTTGTAAACTACATCAAGATTGGTTCTTAACTTCTTTTTTTCAGGAATGGCGCCTCGTGAGAAGCAACGACAGAAAGAGGACGAAAACGAGGCAAAAGAGCCGAAAAAGTTAAACTTCGGAGCGGGGAAAGACCCAAAATGGTGGGACATATCGACGTTTTCGAAAGTTGGTTTTTGCTGTTTATTAATTTAGGAAAGACTTAAATTTCATTGATCATAACATCTTTGTTGCAGTTTGTATATGCGTTGCTTAAGAAGTTAAATCTACAATAAGTGATATTAGGTCGTAAAGATTTGCTTTTGCGGATGTTTATTGAAAAAAGACAAAGTTTGTCAAAAAGTTAGGCAATACAAATAAGTGCTAGTGATAAGGTTGATGAAGATTAAATTGAACAAATCACTAAATAAAACTTGATAAGTAGATGGTTTTGCTTTAAAACATTTAAGTTCTTTGAGTTTTATTCAATGCGCTCTTTTAGGATGATAACAAACACGGAATGTTAGAAGAATCGTCGTTTTCTTGCGTCTTCCCGAAGTATCGAGAGAAATATATTAAGGTGTGTCTCGTTTCTAATTTCTAATAATGACAATTTCTTCTCAGGAATGCTGGCCCATCTTTGAAAAGACGGTGAAAGAGCACGAGTTGAGAGCTGATTTGGATTTAATTGAAGGTACCTTTAAAACATGAGTATTGTGAAGAGATAAAATACCTAGTCCCAAAACACAGCAAGAACCTCTACTAAATTTAGGCACAATGACTGTTCGCACTACAAGAAAAACCTGGGATCCGTATGTAATCATCAAGGCAAGGGACTTAATTCGTCTACTATCACGAAGTGTCCCAATTGATAAAGCTAGCAAGGTTGGTACTGTTTGCACGCTGGATCATAGTATGGTTTTTAGGTTCTTGAAGATGATATTACATGTGAGATTTTGAAGATATCCGGAATGGTTTGTTATTTGAAATTGGATTGATCTGTTTTATTTAGTGTCACAACAAAGAGCGATTCGTTAAGAGGCGCGCTCGATTGGTTGGTAATGAAGGAGCGACTTTAAAAGTAAGGTATTTTTTGCTAGTCTTAAATAAATTCGATTGTAGGCTATTGAATTGTTAACCGAATGCCATTTGACTGTACAAGGAAGCACTGTTGCTGCTGTTGGACCATTTCACGGATTAAAGCAAGTCACGTGAGTTTTTGCAAATGGAAATATTTATAACCATTACGCTCGAGCGTTTTCAGGAGATCATCATCCTCCTACATTAATATGTAACCAAATTATTTGAAATTTTCAGCAATATTGTCACTGATTGTATGGCCAAAAACATTCATCCGATTTTCAACATCAAAACACTGATGATCAAACGAGAATTGGCCAAAAACGAAAAGCTAAAGGACGAGAATTGGGAGAGATTTTTACCCAAGTTCAGAAAAAAGGTTGGTTTAGTGGATCAGAAAATGATTTTGTAACATGTTCGCATTACGATATTTTATATAGGTTCAATCAGCGGCCACTACAGCGGAAGCGAAAAAGAAGAAGGCCAAGCAATGGAAACAGAAAGGAGAATATACGCCATTCCCGCCTACACAACCGCTTAGCAAGGTAGCTGTTTGCTATTTTACTTATACATTGGGTTAACACAAGTCAAGTAATTCGACGATATCATATATTACTAATACTGTTTTGTACAGTTCATTGGATTTATCTAGCTGACTTGCCTTTAAACTCATAACTGGATAGCTGACAAAATAATTAGCATTTATTTTTAGGTTGATAAGCTTCTGGAAACTGGTGAATATTTTGCTACCGAAGAGAAACGATTGAAGGACAAACGGAAAGAAAAAGCCGAAAAGATGGAGCAACGAACAAAGGAAAGAGTAAAGTATGTGACTTCTTTGAATAAGGTTTTGCATAAGGTGAACTCATTTATTGCTAATGTTAAGCAATTGCTAACTAAACTTATTTTTAGGGAACGAAACGAAACGCTTGTTCCGAAAGAAGAGAAACCCATTGAGAAGGCTACAAAAAGAAAGGTAATGCTTTTAATGTTGCTATATTTTGTTTTCATTCTCAGGCTGAACAAACGGTGGACATTGCTGCTTTGAAGAAGAAAACGAAAAAGTTAAAGTCTACTTAAATTTCTAAGTTTTCTTGTGGTTGTTACGTTGATTGTTATTTTTGATTTTGTTGTTATTTGTATAGTCCTATCAAGATACATGTTTTCAATTCATTTTATTTTGACATCAAAACTTGATAAAAAAACGAAACATCATACTCGTATTCAAAGTGAATTGGGATGGTTTGGGGACTACGAATCTGTCACAATTTGAAATTATTTTATAACAGCACTGCTCTCAGACATGATACTACATTTTCTACGACAATACGAGATCTATCAATGATTTTCTATATTCCCGAAGCTTTATTTCATATGTGGGGCCCGTAATCAGCTCTTGGAAAGCAAAAAATTATTTTCCTAATAATGAGGACGGAGGTGGTGGGTTTTTCGTTCTCGAGAGTTAGCCGGTCAGGATGACATCGAAGTGATTATCCCTCCTTACATTTGATATTAATTTGTATCCCGAGACTTCTCGATGGCTATTCTTAATTTTCTCCCCTTCTCTTTCTTCTTAAGGGGAGCTGTAGTGGGCTCATCTCCTCTTGCCCATGATTATCGAACCTCCAATCCGACCGAATCTTTTTGCCGATTCCTCTTGCTGTTTACGCTGAAATTATAGTTTTATTATTGAGGATTTGGCATTAGTGTTTTTGATCGTCGATCACCTTCATTTTGCTAGGCAAAAAAAACAAGAATAATAATTTCCAACGGTTGAACTTTGGCTATTGGTTTTCTGAACTAATCAACAAGGATTTAGTGATTAATTTACGAGTAAACTGGCTAGCTAACAGATAACAGAATTTGATGAAGATTGGGGTAAATATTAGGTTGGCAAGAAAGTTCGTAGAAAAAGTGTTTGCACGGTGATTTCTCAAAAACGAAGCCATAAATTCTTCCCAGATTTTTTTTGATAAACTTGACTATATTTCCAACAAATTAGAGTGGGCTGCAGGTAAAAAAATAAGAGATTTCTTGAGCTGAAGTGACTTGGTCACTTTTTGAGTGACCAGCCTTTAGGACAATTTTTTAATGGGTTAATGGATAGGCAATGGGTCCCATTCCTAAACCTAAAATCAAGTACTTAAAATAGGGAAAATTAGTGATTAACGCAAATTTTATCTAATGCTTTCACTTTTCAGAATCACCTATTCTAGCCAAACACTCAGTGCCAAGAAGATGACACGAAAAAATGATTTTTTTGAAATACAGCTTCTTTGTCAAAAAATTTTTGGTCTAAATATAGAGATTATAGAGACTAAAATAGAGATTATAAATTATTGCTCATTTATGCTAGCTTTACCTCATAAGAAATCGTTTTTATGGTGCAAAAAGTGAGCAGAATTTAAGCTGGAAAATAATCAATTTTACAAAAATCTCTAATTTTAAGGAAAAGTGGTACTCATTTTTTTTACGAGTAATTTCTTGTAGTCCACTTGTAAATAATAGACACAAATGTTCTTGAATTGGTGAATTCGTTTTTAAGAAATTCCTTCCAGTCAAACTTTTTCCGAGAACTTTCTTTCCAATCTAATATTTTTGTTAATTGATTGATCGTGGTTTTTGAAATTCATGATAAAGCTCACCGGGTCAAATTCTTCCATGACTCGTTTGTTGCGCTTCGATTTTCGGAAATGATGTGGTTGATGTGAGGGGAGATTTGATGAGGATTGAGATGCGTGAAGATTGCGTAATTCTTCATACATTTGTCGCCTTTCCATCTCTTGCTCGATCCGCTCCATCAGTTGGACCTCTTGCGAGCTGAAATGGAGTTGATAAGAAGCGGGAAAGCATTGTGAGCATAACTTAAAGAAAACGATTTCTATATCAAACTTTCTAGAACTCAATGAACTGGCTTTTTTGCTATTCAAACGCTAAAAGATACTGTAATCCGTGCCACTACAATAGGCTGATATCAAGACAAAGCCATTCAGTTGATAAGCTGAAGTTGATAAGCTGAATATTTTTAGTTGTCATTCATAGAGATTCAAACTTCAGAATGTATATTTTTATGCGAGCATACTCTTATAAAACAACGGGTCTTGAGGATGTTGAGATCAAGATTTTGAAAAAAACTTTTTTATAATTGTTTTAAACGAACTCACTTTTCCTTTTGTATGGTCACAATTGCTATCCTTTGTGGGAAAGCCTCGGTGAACACCAATTGAACGATGATCAAAAGAAGACTCGTCTCGTAAAGCCGCCTCAACAAGCAATACACAATGGCCATTTTTTTTGATGAGTTTCCTCTGAAATCGACCAGTTTTATATAGAATTTGTGTGTGAGTTGCGAAAAAATCGAGAATTTTCGATTAACATTACTTTGAAGGAAAATCTCGAGAAATTAAGAGGCTTTGTGAGGATTTCAAATGGCGAGAGACAGAATTTTGATCTCTTCAACTTCGAGAATTTAATTTTCTCCAAGAATTCACTAGACGGGTGCTTCAGATTAGCCACAAAAAAGGGATTTCTTCAAAATTGTAAGCAAAAAGTGAAATAGATGCTTGCTTGTACCAAATGGAAATAAAATCGAAATTTTCAACTCAAATTATTTAGCTTGTTGTGTTGGAACGCGAAAATAGCACGTAAAAATCATCAAAACAAAGAAAGAGAAAGAGGATTGTGTTCCGAATGCAAAAAAAGACGAGTAGACATGTGGGAAGATTAATAGAATTATCCCTATCCCCTTTTTCCGAAAGAGAAAACGTATCTCTGCAAATGCAAAAAAAAGGAGAAGCGAAATACTATTCATTATAAAGATTTATGAAATATTCTCCTTGTTCCCCATTTTCTCCTTTGTAATGAATATTTCATCGAGTGGGCCCGAGTTGACCCCGGCTGAAGAACCTTTGTTCTTTTTTTCTCCCATATTCTTCATATTTTTCGAGTTAAAACTAAAATAGGAAAATACAGAAAGGTGAAACGTCATTGCTTTTGAATTAAAGGAGACAAGATTGATTTGGGAAAATGAAATGAATCCGGTAAGGAAATTCAAAAACGGGGCGGGCCCAAAACTGCCAAGAGAATCGGTGGTTGGGTGAATGGGAGAACTCCCCTCGACAGCCCACCTTTTATACCCACCCATCAACTAATCTCGACTCGTTTTTTTCTTGGCGATTATCCCATATTAAGAAATTTTATATGTGTATTGAAACTTCACTAGACCTTTTTTGCCTTTTCGAGCGAGGGTGGGGATTTAAGCTGAAAAGAGAAAGAGAGATAAACAACAGGTGGGTTGAGCTGTTGGAAGTTCTTGGAAAATCTACCCAGAAGAGCCCATCAGGAAGCGGATTGCCCAGAATTTTCAAAGAAAACCGATAGATCAAGGATTTCAAAAAACTTTCGACAATATAAAGATGTTGAGCCGATGGGAATGGCTTCAAATACTTGAAATTGTGGACTGTGTGAAGTGTTTGCAAAACAGACATTTCGTAAAATAGAATGTGCAAAACTGATAATGCAAACTGATTTACAGTACTCAAGAGTTAAAGATAATCCTTCAATAAAAGTTCGTCGTTAGAAAAAAGGAAATAGAGTTCATCTTAAAGAATTTCATCAACGAGCCATAAAATGAAACTTTTTTAGAAATAGAAATGAAGTTTTTAAAATAAAACTTAAAGATTTCAACATGATAAGCAAAAATTTATGAAGCGTAGACATAAAATAGTTGACTTTCCAAAAAGGAAAATTGATTTGACTGTAAGTACATTACGAAAATACCCAAAAACACATAGACAACGTGAAGACAACTTCTCCATTTCTCTATTTAAATCAAAATCCAATTTCCGGATCAAATTCATTACGAAAATCAATAAAAACAACGAATTGGGTTAAGCAAAATTGACGGAAGAAATCTCATAAGCACAAATGAAATGAAATTTCCCCTTTCTTCCCTTTAACAACTCCATTTTCAAGAACTCCAAAAAAACGCTTTTATGTCAAAATCGGATCTGAAGACACGTGTGTAAATATATCAAAATATATGTAAATATATCTAAACTACAAGATTTCCTTCAAAAATTCGTACCCGAACTTTCTTTTTTAGAGGAAATGACTACAGAAACGTGATTGAATGGCTTCACGAATAGGACTTCTGTTTGTTTGAATTTAAAGGGATAATTGCACAAGTTCAAATCGATTTCTATGCATTTCTAAAAAAATTGAATAGAAAGTGAATACAGACATGACGTTTTCGTGAAGGAAACGTGGCCATGTGAGATTTCTTTTTCGGGTACAGACGGTCGTTGATTTGAAAATTATAGCTTTATTATCGAGGATTTGGCATTAGTGTGTTTTTTTGTCGTCTCTTAGCTTCATTTTGCTAGGGTTACTGTACAAAAAAGCAAGAATGATGATTTTCAACGGCTTTGGCTAGTGGTTTTCTGAACTAATGAAACAAGGATTTGGTGATTAATTTACGAGTAAACTGGCTAGCTAAAAGATAATTTGATGGAGATTATGGTAAATATCATCGTTGATTTATCGTTGATCATGGCTTTTGAGAATTCTCGATCAGCTCACCGGATCGAATTCTTTCATGAATAGGATTTCTGTTTGTTTGAATTTAAAGGGATAATTGGAAAAGTTCAAATCGATTTCTATGCAACTAAAAAATTTGGATAGAAAGTGAATACAGACATGACGTTTTCGTGAGGGAAACGTGGCGATGTGAGATTTCTTTTTCGGGTACAAACGGGCGTCGATTTGCATGGAGATGTTGGGATTGATGAAAGATGATGAAATTTGTGTCGTCTATCTCTTTCAGGAACATTCATTGCACTAACTATAGTTAAAAAATTGTAAAAAAAGATTAGGAGTTGTGATAATTCTTTGCAATTATGTTTAAAGAAAGCTTGGCTTTGATTATCTTTCAAAATTCATTTTCGAGAATTAAATCGATTCGATAAAATCATATAGAAAACTTTAGCTTTGGTGTCTTTTCATGAACGCTTAAGAACTGTTAGTATTGGGTTGGTGAATTGAAAACTGCCGGCTATTGTCATATGTGACTTCATTTTTGATTCTCTACAACTTTTCCATTGACACCAAAATGGGTTTCTTTTGAAGAAAGTGCTCAAACTGGGACATCTCCAGTCCCCCATTTTTGAGTCTCACACTTGTCTCACACACAAACCAAAATCCTACGCAGAAAGAGGAATCCGCAAATTGCCTGTAAAATGGGCAGAAGTCGTCAATAATAATGGGAATTATTTGGAATGAATTTATGGTTTTATTTTCAATAAATTTTAGTTCAAAGTCCCGCAGTTTTCAATTCACCAAACTAATAGTTCATCAATGGCCTACAGAATTCCTAAAATGTTCCTATGGGGCAAACAGTTTTGGTGAATTCAAAAACTTTCAAGTCCAAGTCAAAAAGAACAGAATCTTCGGTAATCGTTTCGGCTTGACTAATTAGAAGTTTTTCAGAATAGTAGTTGAAAATTTTAGTATTTGAAATCGAGTTCTTAACTGGAAATCTTGAAGCTGGAAAGCTTGGAAATCTTTTATCCAAAGTTCTTTACCGTAATACTTTGCTCTAACACTAAATTAACTTTTCTTCTCTTTTTTTAGCTACAACTATTCACTCACACATCATTCCCACCATTTTTGTTTTGTTCTCCAAACTCTGTTTGTTCTTTGTTCTGTTTACTTCTCGAAACTCTTCCCAGACTTCAACAAAGCGTCATCTGTAGTCTTATCTTAAAAACCAACAAAACATTGAAAAACACGTTTTCTTAACATTTTCATGCCATCCTCAAATTTGATCCGCTTCAGCTCATCCATTCTTGACTCAATCATCCTTTTCAGCCTTTTTTAAATAACCCTTTTTGTACTTCCTCACTTCCTCGACCCGAAAACCTCTCCTCATCACCCAACTTAATTATCCTTACGGATTTTGACGAAATTTTGTCATCAAGCGATTATCCGCTTTTGAAATTTCCTTGTGTAAATAATGTGTTTCAAGAAATTCACGTGAATTAGCCTCGGATTGGTTGGCTTGTAGCGGATTTTGCTATCGAAATCCTTCTAGTCTTGTCTTGAGTCCTTTTTTGTGCAAAAGAAATGCAAAAAAGTAGATTATTTTCAAGTTTGAATTATTAAAACAATGTCAATGTAAAGGTGGGCAAAGGATGAAGAAATTTGCTGTAGAACAACAAAATAGTACTTAAAGTTTATTTAAAGTTATTTGAATTAAAAAAGATGTGGACTATCAAGCTCATAAAAGCTCAAAATAGATGAACAAGAATGTTTAAAACTGATTTTCTCGGACTTGAGCGCGAGGTGAATAGGAGGAGAAGTGACCAACTCTATGAATCAACGGAAACAAACTTGATTTAAGAATTGAGTCACTGATTGTCCAACTTGATGACTTCAAAGCTTAAATCTCATCTAAGCCACAGCACGCTGGTGGAGTTGGTCACAGCAGTTAGTTATATAAATGAGCTTAGCCAGCCAAAAGCCAGCTCAAGGCCTGGTTGACCTGGCTTGGTTTAATGCTTTTGAATCATCTCTGGAGATGATGCACAAGCCAACGTATAACCAGAGCTGAAGGAAATACCATTTTTTCTACATTTACATACGTACACTTCCTTGTGCTTTTCTTGATTTAAGCTAATTCGCTTCACTAAACATTGTCAATAACAACATTTCTACACACGCAACTCCACGAATTCATTCACCCTTCGATTACCTCAAAAATAGCATTATTTATCGCAAATGAAAACTACAAAATAAGATGATTACGCAAATTATTCGCTTCTTTTATTAGGCTGAGAGTATTTCGGGGAATTTTCGTTCAATAGCCCAATCCTCAATCGGAAACGCGTCGTCTTTATCGAGGGATTTCGTTGGATTTTGCTCAAAACCGGGAACAACTATTCTATACAAAAATTTTTGCATTGAAAGTTTTCAAGGGATTAGTTCAACACAAAAAAAAGAGAAAGCGGATGTAGTGAGGAAAAAAAAAAGAGGACCCACATTTGACTCAAAATGGGCCCGGATTTGTGCGTGCTAATGAGGAAAATATATGTTGTTGATCAGCTTTTTCTTATCTCATTACATCCACCCTCGCACATCCGTTTTAGGAATGAGATTAGCGGGAATGAATGAATGAATGGAATGGAATGGAGACCCGTGTGCTAAAGGATGGATTATCATTACCACAGAAACAAGGAAATGATACTGAGTACATCCTCGCGACTGTTGTAACGTGATTGACTTGCTTGCGGAATAACAGTTAGCGTGGAGAGGCATGAAGACGAGTAAAAGAATCACAATCGATTCGTATACAAAAATGTAGAACTCAAATGGGAGGAGGTGAAAAGAAAATAAAATGGCACAGACTACAGGACGTTCCTAGTGACAACCTAGACAGACGTGAAGGGTGCACTTTAGAAAACGACAATTTTGTGGGAAGTATAAAAGGCTATCTTCCCAACAGATACAGAATGATAACAGGAAAAATTGAAATCAAGGAGATCAAGAAAAAAATTCATTATTAATTCATTCATTAAGAAAACATTTAATAATGATTTGGATCTGTCTTCGCACTTAGCGCAGATCACAACCCGCTTCCACATTTACTGAGGCAGAAGTGTAGTTGTCGTAGCCGATGATACTCCGATGGCCGGGCTGGGGCGCTCGGAGGGGAACCCATGGGAGTCGAACCCACGACTAACCCGCGCCGACGTTGCTCAACTTGGCAGATCGGACGGGGTCGACCACAGACCCTTCCCTTTCTGGGCCCCATTAAGAAAACATTTAAGCCGATTTTAATCGTCCTGTAAAATCTTACTTGTTTCACTGCAGTAAGCAACTTTACGTAACATATCAAACTTCTTATTGTCAGCTTGTGGTACTTAGATTCAGGTTTACTGTAGTGAGACAAGGATTTTACAGTACTAGTTTTAGTATTTGTAAAGTCTCATTACAGTATAGCTGCATACAAATCTTTAGTACTGTCTTGATTAGTCATCTATACTTTTGTACTTTGTGCTCAACAAACAAAAACACATACTTTCTGGTACACTAAAATTCTTTTCATTTCTTTTCGCTTGAAAAACAACCAATTAAAGACCCCAGTTTTAAATGCAAGTTGGAGTTGGCAGATCGAAAACTTGTGCCCCGTCGGGACTCGACCCCGCGACTTTTCGCTTACCGGGCAACTGTGCTAGTCATTACACCACAACGCACTTGATCTCCCTCACTCCAGGGAGTTAACTTGCAAAGTGAACTCAAAATGTTCCACAAACTACACCAAAGTCTTACCTGATCAAAAAAGTGATTCATGTGAAGTTTGGCAAAGTCCAAACGGGCTTGTTTGTTTTCCGACGTCAAGGCTGGCTGCTTATTGAGAAGTTCTCGATCGATATTTGGATTTTCTTTGATAGCTCGCCAAATAGTTGTCTTAGATGCGTTAGATTTTCAGCTCATCCTTGACTTCGTTGACCGATTTCCCCTTGAATGTTGTTCACAATTCGACGTTTTGTTCGCGGAATGAGTTTCGGAGTTTGGGCCCATTCGACGTCTAGGGGTAGAAACACCTTTGTTCTTAAAATATCGTTGAGTTACAGCAAAGGCACGATGCATTTCAGGCACCAATTTCCCGCATTAAACCATTTTTTTTTCACCATTTTTCATCATGATGTCGATCATTTTTCGACAATCCAAAGCTATTTGAAATTATGTAATTGTTTCTATGACTAACTGCAAGAGTTGAAGCCATTTGAAATCAACTGTTTAATTAAAAGCAAGCAAGAATAGTTTTTATTTTGACAAAAGCCCTGTTTTTATAATAGACTCAAAATTGGAGCATTTTGAGTTCACTTTGCAAGTTGACCCCTCTGGAGTGAGGGAGATCAAGTGCGTTGTGTTGTAATGATTGAAATGGTCTGAAATTCTTAAATGTTTGATAAAAAAATTTTGGCGGCATATAAAAGTCGTTTTTAGGTGTTTTTTTAGGGTTTTAAAACATGATCTTTTTAATGCAAAAAAGGTTTTTGTTGATAGCTCTTTTCGTTCTTCTCAAACATCATTGCGGAGTGACCCGCAAGACTTGAAACAGTGCGTACATTCTTTGGAGACAATACAAAGCTAGTTGAAACTATGCAATTGTTTCTATGACTAACTGCAAGAGCTGAAGCCATTTGAACTCAACTGTTTAATTCGATGTAGTTTCATGATCCCCTTAATGAATAAACTGGATGAACTGAACCCCACTAAAACTCATTCTTTGGCCTATATGGCTATTCAAATAAGAAAAAACATTAATCCGAATGATCGATTCCTTGAATAAAAGGAAAATTCTCAAAATGGCTTTGTCTACAGCTTCTCCGTGCAAAAAAAGCGAAGCCTGAAAAGTCAATTTCTTTTCAAATCCCCTCTTTTCATTTGTTTTCTAATCCATTCCATTCACTAAAATAATTCCGCTTTCGTTTTTCTTTTTTTCTCTTCAAAAACCTTTCATTATTTTGCTTGAAGATTCTGTACTTAACAAAGCTTTTTGTTATTTTTGATGAAAGGATTTGGGGAAATTTTTTGTCTTTTTAATTAGTTAGTTCAAGGGAAAAGTTTAATTATAGAAAAAGTTGTGGGGATTTGAAAATTTGAAAATTTGAAGCTAATATTTCATAAAATTATGAGAATCTGACGGCAAATGGTGCTGTTAAGGAGTCGAAAACTTTCAGGATTTGCTTTAACGTCAGAATATGTACTACCAAAATTGTATTATAATCAATTCACCCGCTTATCTGACGCTCACCTCACTCTTGGGCTTTTCGTTTCATTCTAGGAGCTATTTGATGTATTTATTTCTAAACTCATAGCCTAAATACAGTTCATCCTTGGATTCATTTAGAAATAAAAACTATTCTATCAGTGATCGTATGATAAACTGATAAAACCAAGATTGATCTTTCAGCAAAATTCTTTTGAAGGGACTCGATTGAACCTTCTGATCTAAGCAAAAACAATTACCTAAGCAAAATATTTACACGAAGAAAACGATTTACAATCGCGATCCAATCCAATTTCCCCCATTTTTAACATCTATTTTTATTCCTAAGACAATTTTCGGTGAAATTTTTTCTATTTTCTTTCCCTCTCTCCTCAGCATCGTCATCTCCGTGTTTTTCATCGAAAATCTGATTCCCCAACCGGAAGTGAGCAAAAGGCGAACACTAGGGAATGAATTTGATTAGGCTAGGGAAAAAGGAAACAAACAAAGTTGGGATCAGGCCACAGCCTAGACCCTAGGCAGGGGTTAAAAACAAAAATCATCTTGCAATCAAGGATGTATCAATCAGATCCTAGCGGTAAATCAGGTCTAGTTTCTGGTAAGCTCAGGGACTTTTGTAAGCCAGGACTACAGCAAAGCCAGGTCAGGACTTGGTTTCTGGGTTTACCCTGTTCTGAATTGAAGGAATTACGATACATTCATGCTTATCACCCACATCAAACATCTAGTAGTTAAAGCTCATGAAAAGAAAAACATTTTAGTATTCCTAGACTTTGTCAACATTATGAAAATGTTTTTCTAAATCAGGAGATCCAGTTAAAGCAAAGATTATAGCAACTGGATATCAAAAATTATCTGAAAAGAATGAAAAGCCAACGACTAGCCAAGTTTAAACATATACGAGGAACAATCCGAGTACTTTATCACGATTTGTTTTAACCATTTGACATTTGCTTTCAATCTAAACTTTACCCTTTTTCTCATTGTTCAAAACACATTTTTTCCCCTACACCTTCAACACATTGAAAATCACGTAAAATCCCTTGTATTCCTCAAGCGAAACTCAATTTGCATATGTCGTGTAGTCATTAAGCTAGACTAAACAAAACCAGGATCCACTTAGCAAACAAAAAACAATAAATGACAAAGATGGGGAAGACAAATCGTCCAGAAATCCGACTAAAGCTTGGATTTCGATTATGCAAAAATCCGGGGATTTTCTGAAGGATTTCCTCGACGAAATTTTGTACTCTGAGCCAAGAGAATTTCAAAGCACTTGTATTTTGGAGGGATTTTAGATGAGTTGCTTTGTCTCAAGACAAGGAAATGGGTCTGATCTGTTGAAAAACAAAAAAAAAAATGAGTTATTTGGGTTAAAGGAAATCCCCGAAGACTACACGAGTCCAGCAAGTTCAACGAAAATCGTGCGGAAATTTGATAATATTTTTGATAATATTGAGATAAGCTAGGGGATTTTTCAGCTATTTGTCTGCTTATTGTTGCCAATAAAATTGACAAAAGTGACTCTTTTTGAACTGACTTAAAAACAACGTTTATTTCCAAAATAAATTAAATAAATATCTAATCACTAATTCAGTTAAGAAGGGTTTTCTTCTGGGTAACAGCGAGCTCTTCTTTTCCGAGATTGTAGACTGGATCAGGGAGTTGAATGTCGGTTGTTTCGGGCTTCTCGACTTCTTTGTTCTCCTCAACTGAAGCCAAATCGGTGCCGATTTTGGGAAGTCCCTCACTGAAAGTTCACAATATTAGTATTGTTTTTAGCATTAGCATAGCATTTATATTAGCATTTGTATTAACAAGATTGAGTTTTGCTTTGAGTCAGAGCTTTTGTCAATGGACTGCTTCTAGACTTTCCAGCTCCAGATTTCTAATCTATCCAACTCCAGATTTTGATCCTATTCCTTTCAAAACCAACCGTCTCTCTTTCTCTTGTTGATCAGCCAATTTGATCTTCAAGTTCTGAAGAGCTCTTCTCTTACGTCCTCCTCCACATCCACAGCAACCGCATCCGCAACCACAGCAGCTGAAATTGACTTGGATTGAATGGGATACTGATCTTGAACCAGTTTGAGCTAAAAGAAAAGATCACGTAAACTTATCCTGTAAACTGATCCTGTTTCATTAAACCCTTACCATGGTCGGCAACAACAGCACTGTCTACAACACGTGGTACAGCAAGTGCAACACTTACAGCATCGACAACAGCAGCAACTAAAAACTCATCTTAAACATGATAAAAAGTTTTAAAATCTCAAAAGTTTTGAAAACGAACGGCTTGCAAGCAGCAGCAACACCTAAAATTAAAAATGAAATGAAACGAAAGTTGTTTTTGTTTCAAGTTTCAACTTCTGAATAGATAAGAACAAAAACCAACGGTTTACAGCAGCAACAGCATCTAAAAGTTGAGAGTTTTTTTGTGGCTTGAATTAGATGAGACTTACGGTCGGCAACAGCAACATCCGCATCCACAACATCCATTTCTTTTCACTCTCACCCCTGTTCCATCACCACTGGGTCCATCAGTGAGTGTGTCGATAGCAGTGGAATTTGAGAGGGGAGCTTCGGTGGTTCCTGCAAGTGCAAGAGCCGTCTCCGCCGTGGAGTCACGGTTGGTTGGGGGCTGCCTGGAAAAAGAAAGTGACAGTGTAGCATTCTTTTACAATATAACTCAATTAGATGGTTAAATGGCGTCAAAGCTACAGTAATCTCTTACTTCTAAAGTGTGAGTCTGAAAATTGCTTCTATTTTGACTCATGGCTTTATTGAGCTTTTTATTATCTTTATCTTAAAGTGAAGCTGATTGTAGATGGATTTGAATTGATTCATTCAAATTAAAGGATTAATTAAAAGGATTAATTAAAGGATTAATTAAAGGATTAATTAAAGAATCAATAAAAGGCTCAATCAAAGAATATAAGCCAATTTTAACTCACTTGAGCCAAATAGAAAATCGTAAAGACGGTGGCTAGGAAAGCCGCGGTTTTCAAGTGTTGCAAGGCCATTTATGAGGAAAATGAGTAATGATCGAAAGTCGATGTGAGAATGGCAAAGGATTGGGCTTAAATATGAAGCTTGGGATGGACACGATGAAGAGATGAGGGCAGACCTGTCATGTAAACGAGAAGAGAGGAAGAGAGGGGTCCAGTATCTGATCGGTCACACGTCATTTGACGGCTTTTCCCCACATCCTCACTAATCAATGATTTGTGTTGATAGAGATGACCATGATGACACTTTTTCCTTACAGGTTTTCCTTACAGATCTTGAAGATTTGGTGCTGAAGGTTTGCTAAAGATATTGCAAAATTTACTCAAGTCTACAGAACTACAGTATTCATCTTTACATTGACTGATATTCAGACAGAATTTAGACAGATTCAAAATAGACATTCCATTGGTAAAGATATTTAATCTTAAAGCTTGAGTCCTTTTTTGTTTAAGCATACTGTAAGACATTAGAACTGTACAGTAAACTATGAACTTATTTTCTTTTACTTTTAACGTTTACCATCGTCTTTGATTTTAAAACTCGATTTTAACAATAAGTCAATGACGTTTTTCGAGCGATTTCTCGTTATTATTCTTTTCGGAAACGTCATTCACGAGCTCCTTTTTTGGAATGAAAGACGAAAAGAAAAGCCGATGACAGGTCGACCAATCCTCTGCCTCTTCTTCGATCACCTATCAAAATCAAGGGTTCACGGCATCTCCTCTCCCATCGGTAATATTTGATATTGATTTTTGATGTTGTTAAATGATACATTAGGGTCAGATATGACTTGGAATCTGTAATCCAGTGCCTGCGCAGGAACAGAAACCAAACCAGCGATTCGACCAAGGCCCTGAACCAGTAAACGCAAATTAAATTAGGAATCAAGTTAAAACAATTTAAAAACTCCAGTCACGAACCTAGACTGGCTTACTTTAAAAAAATTTTTTGGCAGGCTGTGAGACTTGTGACGAGCGGTGATTTCTTGTGTTCATAAAAAGTGAACTCTCTTTTCCCGGTGACAAAGGTGGAACATTTCATGAGAAACAGTGACTAACCCCTTTCCCACTCATAGCTGACATCATTCCCTGAAAATTCCCCTTAAATTCGCCATTTTCCTAGCCAAAAAGCTAACTTCAAAACCAAATTGGGTAAATGAACCGAAATTTGCCAATCGAAATCCCTTCAATTACCTCGACTTCCTTCCCTATATAATCTCAATCTTTTCCCATTTCAATCAAAACAATTCTAATTCTTCCTTTAATTCTCTATTTATAAAATGTCTTTTTCATCTATTTCGATCATTTGTTTCTTCGCTATTTTGGGAATTTCTCTTGGATTCGATCATTTTGATGGAGATTTGAGAAGAGATTTCAATCGACAACACGAAGAATTCCGAGCCTCTTCATCAGAGATTTGAGTGAGTTATTTGAAGAACATAAATAAAATATCTGATATCACTTATCAATATTTTATATTTCAGTATTCATCCCCGTTTCCGTCGTCAATATTATGGAATGAATGGCGGAGGAATGGGTGGAGGAATGGGAATGGGAATGATGGGTGAGTGGATGGAAAGAAAAGAAAAGAAGAAAAGAAGAAAAGAATATCTAATGTACAATATAATCTACTCAATTCATATCAAATAATAGATATCAATCGAATTCGAATCTCAATATCCATTCATTTTCAGGTGGAATGGGTGGAATGGGTCAACAAATGGGTGGAATGGGTCAACAAATGGGTGGAATGGGTCAACAAATGTTCCCAGGCGTCATGCAATCTTCAAAGAATAGTTGGGGATCGTTCTCTTCTCAACGCGAAGGTGGATTCAACAATCAACAGCAATCGTTGATTATGGGTTAAACTTGGAATTTTTCTTCTTTGCTTTTGTTTTCTTTTCTTTCTGACGCAATGCAATTTCCATTCAAAACCATTTTTTTCCTGGCTTTACTTTGTCTGAATCGACTTTCGGGTGATTATGTTTATGATTCTCATTGTGCATAAAATGATCATTACATTTTGAAATAAGAAAACCGAGAACACATCCATCCACATCCATCAATATATTATTCTTTTACAAAAACATAAATCACGTAAGTTTTCCCTTTTTTTTTAAAGTTTTCACAGTCTCTCTCAATATCAATGATCGATCCACTCACGAAAAAGATTTTTTCATTTTTATTTTTGTTCAGCAAGTTTTAAAGCAATTCTTGTTTCTTTTTTGATTCCTGGCGTAGATCTGGGCATATTTTAACCATTTGAACACAATGCTGAAAGTACATTTCATTCTTTGCATATTTCTCTTTAACTTTATCAATACAGGTAGAGTTTTCTTGAAAACTTAAACTTAAACAATAATAAGAAGATAAATGATTGCACAGTTGGTAATTTCTTTATCACATAGCGATGCTGACTTGAGTTGATTTTACAGAGTTGGTTCAATTGTTGGCTGTATGGCGACACGGTGATCGAGCTCCAAAATATCTGAAATATGCAAAGAATAAAAATGGAATTAAAGATCAATGGGGAGAGGATGGGAACAATTGACAAATGTTTGAAGAGAAAAAACTATTGAACATTTCAGGTTTAGCTTGGAATTCAAGAAGCTTTCGAATTGGGAACTTTTCTTCGAGAACGTTATATCGATGAGAAGAAATTGTTTGGACCCGTTTTTTGATCGAGAAAAGGTATTTCAGCAAAAAAAGTTAGACAATCTTCAATGAAATCGTTTCTTCTTTTCTTTAGGTATTCATGCAATCATCTGATCAAAGAAAGAACTCTCGAATCGGCTCAAGCAGTCGCTGCCAGCCTTTTCCCACCAACTGGAAATCGAGTGTGAGATATCCTTTGCTTATGGTCAAAATTCCAAGTTCAAGTATTGAACTTATGCGTCCTTTGTGCTCGATTTGGCAAACGCACCTTTTCTAAGCACTTATTTCTCGTTTATCTGAACGATTTCCAGCCGGAATGCGAGCTTTCTTTGGCAACCGACACCCATTCATTCGCATGGAATCGATCGAGCTCAAGATATGGTTAGTTTTAGGATGTTTAAGAGTTATCAAGATAGTTTTAAATAGTTTTAAGATAGTTTTATGATAGTTTTAAGATAGTTTTAAGATAGTTTTAAGATAGTTTTAAGATAGTTTTAAGATAGTTTTAAGATAGTTTTAAGATAGTTTTAAGATAGTTAAATGATAGCTGAAACTACAAGATATAAAAGTATATTTTAAGTTAAAAAAGCACAAGTTTACAGTTAAACGATCATTTACAGATTCTTCGCCCAAAAGCATCTGGTTGTCCTCGATACAAGCGCCTCAATACAACCGATCGCGTGAAAAGCGTTCATCAAATCGAGAAGTTTCCAGAATTTCTGATTTTCAAATTATTTTTTAGAAATTATGCCGATTTCTTTAAATATTTAAGTAATATGACGGGAAATGAGATCAATGGATTGAATGTTGCACATTTATTTGAGCTTGGAATTGAGGTGGGTGGGATAGCTTGATGAGTTTTGTAACCGTCCAGAAGATGAGCCTTTCGTTGTTTCCATTCAACTCGCTAAACCATCTTACAGTTAGTTTGCCTTCATTGTGGTCCGTCTACCAAAAATTCCGGATTCTCCATTCTCCACAAATGGAAATAGATTGCTTTCTCATTTTAACACAAAATTTATCGCGTAAAACAATACTTTCAAATTAAATTAAAAAAAAAAAAATGATGGAACGAATGAACAAATGAAAACAAACAAATGGGGAGTGGGACAAATGGACCTTTTCTTACCTGGACCCGGACATTTGCGACCTTTTATCCAGCACTTAGCCATAAGCACCTTTTTCGCGTTTTAAAAGCTCTAAAAGCTGAATATTAACCAATTTCTATTCAAAGTTGTTTCTCTAGGTAATTTTAGGGCGTAGAACCGAAATTTTGACATATCAGAGCTTGTGGAAGCGAACGGACGGAGTTATACAAAGAGAAAAATCAACAATTTTCTGTAATTTGACCCAGCCGTTTTGTCTTTCAAATTGGTTCCATCAAGCTCTGATATGCAAAATTTCGATTCTGCGCCCTAAAAATTACCTAGAAAAACAACTTTTGGAATAGAAATCGGTTAATATTAGCTTTTAGAGCTTTTAAAACGTGAAAAAGGTGCGCTAATGGGCTAAGTGCGGAAGAAAAGGTGCGCAAATGTCCCGGTGCAAAGGTCGCATTTGTCCCTCCCAACAAATGAACAAATGAAAACGAAAAACGAAAGAGACGACGACGCGGCGCTCCAATCGACCACTTCCAAATGGGCAGCGACGTCAATTGGAAGTGCGACGTTGCGCGAAAATTAACACTTAAAATTTACGACAGAAATCAAATTTCACATGAAAACGTCTCGAAAACACATTTTTTCTCTTTTAAGGTCTAATGATAAATTTCAAAATGATCTAAAGAAAATTTTAAGTAAACTGATTAATTTTTAAATGATTGTCTTATTAATACAGATTAAAAACGGCCTTCCACAACCGGATTGGGTTAATGGGAAATTCGGCGATCTCCCCATTTTACCCACGATCGTCGCCTTGAAGAAAAAACTCCGTTTGGGTGAATTCAACTCCGCCCGAAAAGGGAAAATTGAGAGGAGGGCCGGTTTTTAAAGCTTTTCCTTTTGATATTCAATCAACCCTATTTACTTAAATAGAGCACTTTTTAATCGAAATCCAAGATTCTTTCAGTTTAATGCTCAACAATTTGATCACTTACATTGAAGCATACTGAGAGATGGGAATCAAACGTTCGCCGCAGTGCTTTACTCATCGGTAGTTTGGGGAAAAAATGGCTAGAGTTTTAGTTAATGCTTAAAAACTCTGTTCTCTGTAGTGTAATTTATGCCCGAAAATGTGAAACATACTCTTGCTAGCGAAATCATTTCATTCTAAGAACACTTTGTCGCTTTCGATTTACCAGGTAGAGTGTGTTTCTAGTTTTTAGCACAAAGTACAACTCAATTCATTAAGATTTCGATGTAGAAATGGGAAAATTCGAAGCCGAATTTAATTTCACCTTCGTTTTCCACCAACGTCTCTTGACCGATTGTTCTGAAATTTTGTCTACAAGCAAAGAACGCCAATTTCTATTTGTAAACAAAATTTCAAAACAATCGGCCAAGAAATGGCTGAGAAATGAAAGTGGAATTAGGTTTTGGAATTTTCCTATATTTAGCACGATGATGGTCTCTTTGCTCTACTCTCTGCTTTGGGATTGCTTGGCGATGAGATGATTCCAACAGCGGCAGTCATTCTTTTTGAGATTCACCGAAATCATTCGATCGATAAATGCTTAACCGTTCAAGTCTGTTTATTTCATCAACTCTTCATCAAATTTTTTTACTAGATTTTATACCGTAACACCACCAAATATCCACCATATTTGATGGAGATTCCGAAATGTTCAAATCCATGTCCGTTAAAGGATTTTCTCAAGATCTACGAGCCGATGAGGGTCTCACAATGAAACCGAGTGGAATGAAGTGGGAAGAGTTTTCATCATTCGTTTACTTACTCAACAGCTGCAGAACTTAAAAAATTACTTTAACTTTATAACTTTATAACTAAAGACAGATACTTGATTGACAAAAACAAGTAAAATATCAGCCTCAAAATGAATTTACAATTTTTTCAGCTATGTCAAGACAACACGAACAGTTTGATCTCTATGAATATTTTTCTATTTTTTCTTTTTTTAATCTTTTTCTCTAGTTTCTAATTGAAATACAATTTTTGTAGAAGAAATGAGATACTTTTATTGAATTTTCCCTGAATTTAGACATATAAAAAGCAATAAATATAAGCAGAATCAAGCATTGATTCATTGCCAAAAGCGATATGTACAAATAAATTGGCTTTAACCCATAATCAACGATTGCTGTTGATTGTTGAATCCACCTTCGCGTTGAGAAGAGAACGATCCCCAACTATTCTTTGAAGATTGCATGACGCCTGGGAACATTTGTTGACCCATTCCACCCATTTGTTGACCCATTCCACCCATTTGTTGACCCATTCCACCCATTCCACCTGAAAATGAATGGATATTGAGATTCGAATTCGATTGATATCTATTAGTTGATATGAATTGAGTAGATTATATTGTACATTAGATATTCTTTTCTTCTTTTCTTCTTTTCTTTTCTTTCTATCCACTCACCCATCATTCCCATTCCCATTCCTCCACCCATTCCTCCGCCATTCATTCCATAATATTGACGACGGAAACGGGGATGAATACTGAAATATAAAATATTGATAAGTGATATCAGATGTTCTATTTATGTTCTTCAAATAACTCACTCAAATCTCTGATGACGAGGCTCGAATTCTTCGTGTTGTCGATTGAAATCTCTTCTCAAATCTCGATCAAAATGATCGAATCCAAGAGAAATTCCCAAAATAGCAAAGAAACAAATGATTGAAAGAGATGAAAAAGACATTTTATTAATAGAGAATTAAAGAAAGAATTAGAATTGTGGATTGAAATGGGAAAAGATTGAGATTATATAGGGAAGGAAGTCGAGGTAATTGAAGGGATTTCGATTGGCAAATTTCGGTTCATTTACCCAATTTGGTTTTGAAGTTAGCTTTTTGGCTAGGAAAATGGCGAATTTAAGGGAATTTTCAGGGAATGATGTCAGCTATGGTTAGTCATAGTCATGTCTGGTCTTTTCAAGATCGAGAGAGAACGGGTGGAGAGAAAACGGCAATGTCTGTTCTGTTTTTATGAAAAATTGATACTTGATAATTTTGGAGGCTGAAAAATATCTAGATACAAGTTTTTAGAATGTAAATAAGCACTGTAGCTTTTCTTTTTCAAGCTTAAAACTGACCTTGAGTCGCAGTTTTAATTCGTAAAAGTTTGAATTATGTTTCAAGTTTTTAGTTTATTTTAACATTGGACTCTGAACTTTGAAATTGACTGAAAACTTTGAAACTTTGAACCTTGACTGACTCATTTTTAAAAGTTTGACTTAAAAAATCTGTAAGTTTGTACAATTAGAAGATCAAGAATTCAAGTCTAAACACGTTTTGATCTTTCGATTTGTCTCATCCAAAATCCCCGACTGACAGCAATTTTGACACTGACTCAACAGGCAAAAAAATAAACTCGCAAAAAGATATTTAGTAAAAAAGGAAAGGGGATAATCGCCGAGTCATCGATAAACCTTCCCGTCTATTCAGGAAATGTATTCAAATTTTGAAAACGAAAAGTCGATTGAAATTCGGATTTAAAACCAGAGCACAGGTGAATAAACAATTCGAAAATCGGGTTTTCCTTTGAGTTAACTTTTCTCAACGATTATTCATCTTTTTTTAAACTTAAAACTTTTTTTGGCTCTTGATCGAAGTCCTATTTAGAATGAGCAATAGTTGAATGTTCTATTGGTTCTTGTTGTCTCCTCTAGTCATTGTTAAATTATTCAGCATTTATTTTGTGCCTAGATGAATTTCAGCCTCAGGGAAAAGGACAAGTTTCTTTGCTTGATTGACGTTTTTTTTGATCATAATCAAATTCTATATTGTTTTTCAAATTCAAATCTAAACTTTTTGGTTTTTTTCATACTTTGAGTTCTAGTAAACTCTACAAAAAACAATCTTTTGTGATTTCCCTAGTGTTCAAAGGCATTCAAGTGTTAAAAAGGGGCTGCTACCAAATGAACGTAGCAGATTTTGACGCCATTGAGATCAAACGCCATATCGGACACGGGGAATCCGATGCTGTATTCAATTTTTGCCCATATTCAAAAACAAGCTAGAAGATCCGAGTAGACACCCAAACTTTGGACACGTTTTTCTCGCTTGTTTTTGAATATGAGCAAAAACTGAATACAGCATCGGATTCCCTGTCTCCGAAAAGTTGTCTATAAGTTTAAAGACGTGTTGGCGAAATGAGTTTCATCTTTGAGATATCCAACTGATCACCAGAGTTTCCCCAACGATAAGCTTTAATAAACAATTTCCAAGTTCAAGTTCAAGTTCAAAGGATACGCATCTCAACGGCGTCAAAATCTGCTACGTTCATTTTGTGGCATCTCCTTGTAGGTAACGTGGTTTGGAAAACTAAAGTGAGCAGTGAGCAAGCGTATCCTTTGAACTTGAACTTGAACTTGGAAATTGTTTATTAAAGCTTATCGTTGGGGGAAACACGGGTGATCAGTTGGATAATCTCAAAGATGAAACTCACTTTGCCCAACTCGTCTTTAAACCTTATAGAAAACCTTTTTAACCTCTTGACCAACAGTCACAATATAAACGATTTGTCTAGACAAAATCGTGAATCAATTTCAATCAAGTTTTACATCGAAATCTTTCATTTAACTTTCTCATAAAAGATTTTCTCTATATTCAGCCAACTCCTCAATTTCCATCAGCTTTCATCACTTGTGATTCATTTTTTCCAAAACAACTCCCTCAATAAATAAAATCAAAAGCAAATCATGAAGCTCTTTATTTGCTCAATCCCTACAATGAGACTAAAATCCGAATTATAAGCAAAGCTTTTCGACTTTAGTGCTTGAGGATATTGTGCTCAATTTTCTTTATCAAATACTAACTCAAATTACACTTGCATGTAAGTTCTAAAGGACTTTCGCCTTTTGAATGGGGACTTTTCCTTCTCTATAGAATATCTATAGTTCTATAGGGTTTTATAAAACTTCAATAGGAGATTTGAATTAAACTAGATGAAGTCCTCAAATGTTTGAATTAACAACAAGATCAAATTAATCGATCGATGCTTTTCGATCACTGGATCAGTATTAGCACGTCCAAAATACGTTTTCGGATGGACGTGGTATGTGCATGCGTGGAAAAGTTCAATACTAAACCAACTTACTCACATATTCCTTGTCTTTATCATTTACACATTTCATTTCCAATATATTCCAACCAAAGGATCTATTTATTATGGATAAATGTGAAAGAAAGAGCTCGCAAAAACGCTCGCAAATGTCTCTTTTTGGATTTTTGTTCATTTGTAGTCCCCTTTTTCTATGATTTGGGCAGTGTTTTTTCTGTGTTTGATTGACTGAACCGTTTTTTTCTTTCTATGAGAAAAAGGTGAAATGAAATCCCAATAGAACACATGACACCCCAAAAAATCCCTTAGTTCCCTTGTTCTTTGGATTCAAAGCTTTTCAAGACTTAGTTTTAAAATCTTATATGTTAGTTTATTTTAAAACGGTACTTTTGACTCTTACGCTCATCAATTTACATAGTAAAATTTGGATACGAATAAACACCTTCTCTAAGAAGATAAAAAAAAGAACATTTCTTATTTTTACTTCTCTTTTTAGTTTACTTTTTAGTTTATTTTTTAGTTTACTTTTTATTTTACTTTTTAGTTTTTTTACTTTTTAGTCTTTTATCCGTTTCAAATCATTTTGAATATGCAAAACGACCAACTTTTTATACTAATTGTGCGCAATATGCAAATGTAAACGTCTTTTTATGCTAATGATAAGCAGGTATGCCAATGGCTAGTCAAAGAATAGGCAGCTATGCTAATGGCTAGTCAAAGAATAGGCAGCTATGCCAATGGATAGTCAAAGAATAGACAGGTATGCTAATGGCTAGTCAAAGAATAGGCAGCTATGCTAATGGCTAGTCAAAGAATAGGCAGCTATGCTAATGGCTAGTCAAAGAATAGGCAGCTATGCCAATGGATAGTCAAAGATAATTGGTGGGCGTAAGAGTCACAAGTACCCTCGAAACTTTGAAACATTAAGTTAAACTCTCGATCTAAAACCTTTTCTGTAACCTTTATCAAGTTTTTTCATTGAAATTTCTAGCTGGTTCTTGGTCAACCGTTGATTTTTTGTGAACTTTTCTTCTTGTCGGGTAAACCCTTTTTTTTACAGGGATTTCTTTTTCAAGAGAAATTTAGATCAGTGTCTATGAAAAAGATGGCAAATAACGCAGAGAAAAGGGCGACAGTTTGGGAAAGTTTGCTTTGATTTTTGCTTTCAAATGGGTTTTTCTTTCCCGACTACAGCGTTGACTCTTTTCTGATAAAATTTCTGATGTTCAACTCCAGTGTTCAACTGAAGAAACGAGAAAACTGTACTTGGGTTAAGAATGGAAAGGTTTTTTCATGCAAAAGCTGATTTTACTCGATTTGCCTTCAACGATTCTCTCTTGACTCATTCTCTACTTACACCTTTTTTTTCTTTTGTTCTTTACCTCATAAGATCAGTAACGACCAAGTCGTTTTTTTTAATCTTGATTCAGTTCTGATTTTTGCCGCCTCGTTGTCTCCTTTTCCGGTCACTGATAAAGTTTGTTGAATACCGTGAGAGGGTTTCCGGTAATTTTCCCCATTTGATGAGGTTTTTGTGCGATGCTTTAAATACGCTTTGATAACAGACTTCTTTACCAGACTCTAATTTCTAAAATTTCAGCTGATCGGACTAGAATGTGGCTGAGGATCTTCATTTTTACCGTTCTTTTCAATGCAGTAAATGCAGGTAAGGTTTTTAACGTTAGAACATATTTTAGAACACATAACATCTAAATTTAATAAATGAATAGCTCGAACCTTGGATACAAATCTTTACAGCTGAATATCTTTTTATAAAATATCTGACACCAGATCTCTTGATTTTCTTAGGATTTAAATCTTGAAAACCTACCATAACCTTCAACTGGATTCCTCATTAAATTAATAATCAAAAGAAATCAAAACAGATCCTTTTCCCCTTTTCAGAATTAGTCCAACTGCTAGCCATTTGGAGGCACGGCGATCGAGCGCCTGGCTCGCTTCCCCTATTCGAAAGATCAAAATGGAGTCACTGCTTGGCCAAGAGGATGGGATCAATTGACTAATGTAGAATTCTCAGAAATAAATCAAACCATTAGAGCCTTTAGGATAGGCATCGATCAAACGTATGAACTGGGCACATTTCTCCGTCAACGCTACGTCGAAGGGAGCCAGTTGTTTGGACCAAACTTTGACAAAAGCAAGGCAAGATCTTTCCATAAGTCGAACACTTTAGACTGTAAAAGTCAATTAAGTGCTTTTCGCTTTTAAGAGCTTTTAGATTTACGGTCAAATTTAAGGTATTCATCCAAGCATCGGACAGTGAGCGAGCCCTTGAATCAGCTCAATCCGTTGCCACCGCTCTTTTCCCACCGATTGGAAATAGAGTGTAAGTAATGAAAATAAAGTTAAACTCTTATTTGTATTACGAATTCTTTACTTAAACCTTTTTTCAGATGGAACTCGAATCTTCTTGGCAACCAGTTCCCATCCATTCGAATGGAATTGATCGCCAGGATACGGTAGAGAATTTGAAATTCTTTTAAAGTCTAGTTGTTGATAAATTTAGTTGATAAATTTAAATTCAGCTTCTAAAACCAACAAGCTATGATTGTCCAAAGTATGAGAAAATTAAAGATGATGATCAGAAAATGCTTGCGAGTCGATTTGATAGGTAAATTTGAGTATTATCAAATCTTCACAAAGCTTTCAGTCAATTTGGAGATCTATTCAAATTCCTAACTGAGATGACTGGTGACTCAATCTCGGGAATCAATGCTGATGGATTGAATGATATTCAGAGAGAAGTGAGGAGATCTTTAAGATCATCTTTAAGAGCTTAAACTTGGAATCACTTCTACAATTGGGTCTTTTATTTTAAAAATCACTTGATTAAACTTTATAGATCATTCACGGCTTACCACAACCAAATTGGGTGAGCGGTCGAGTTGGGAATGTTTCGATTCTGCCCACGATTATGGACATCAAACGACAAATGAGATTGGAAGAGTTCAACTCGGATGAGAAGGGGAAATTCCGTGGAGGGTTTGTTGATGAAAAGACTGTGGGCAATTGTTCAAAATCATGTCAAAATCAAAGCCAGTAAATATTATTCAACTTTAGATATCTGTTGAACAATTGGCTTTCCTATTTGGAGGCGTTGAGAGACGGGAAAAAGACTTTCAGTGCAGTGCTTTACTCATCGGTTAGTGGTAAAACGATTTTCTATAATTGATTTTTTCATTCTATGATCTATGATTAGCTAATTTCCTCCGGAGTAAAGGAGATCAAGTGCGTTGTGGTTAGCACAGTTGGCCGGAAAGTGAAAGGTCGGCGGGTTCGAGTCCCGGCGGGTGCCAAACTTTTTGATCTGCTCTAGTTTCAACTGATTGCCAATTCTATTTAATAGAATTCCATAGATAAATTTTAGCATGACGGTACATTGAATGCTCTGCAATCGGCAATGGGAATGCAAAATGGAGAACTCGTTCCCTATGCGGCCGCGATTTTGCTGGAAGTCTCTCGATCGTCAATCAATGACGATCTCAAAGTGCAGGTTTGTTTTAAAAAACAGTGCAATTTCTCCGGTGAATCTTTCTCGAACTTAAAAAACATTATTTTGTAAGTTCTTGTATAAGAATCAATCAATTTTAATCAATTTCAATCGATTTCAATCAATTTCAATCAATTTCAATAAATTTCAATCGATTTCAATCAATTTCAATCAATTTTAATCAATTTCAATCAATTTTAATCAATTTCAATCAATTTCAATCAATTTCAATCGATTTCAATCAATTTCAATCAATTTCAATCGATTTCAATCAATTTTAATCAATTTCAATCGATTTCAATCAATTTCAATCAATTTAATCAATTTTAATCAATTTCAATCAATTTCAATCAATTTCAATCAATTTCAATCAATTTCAATCAATTTCACTTATTCAATCAAAAGTTTTAGGTTTTCTATCGTAACACCACCCAACAGCCACCCTATTTGATGGAAATTCCCGGTTGCTCAAATCCTTGTCCAATCAATCAATTTCTAAATGTTTATGAACAGATGAGAATCCGAAATTTGACAGAAATGAATGAGGTTTGTGAAAAAGAGATAAAAATATAAAGAGAACAAATATTTCCCGCTTTAGCTTTGCGGGAAACGATAAAACCACTTCAACAGCTCTTAACTTGTCGATTTTCACCATCTTCTCACTTTTCTTAGCTTACTATTCTTGTTAAGTTCAAGATATTATAAGAGCAGACTAATTTCAATACAGTAAGAGCCATGTTAACTGAACATTTTCATACTGTCGCTGGAATGTTGTGCTTACATTTTACCGTATCCATTGTGATTGCTTTGTGAAACGGGTTCAAAGTTGAGCTTTATTTTCTGTCTTTGTTTTATTTTCTGAAAAATCCGTGCTTCCATTTGTGCAATGCATCATGGGGAACCGGTTTTCTTGAGCTTACACATATTTTTCTTTTTGTAATAAAGTTTCTTCTTGATGGAAAATTTTGGGAATGACATAAAAAAGACAAATGAGATTGGAAGAGTTCAACTCGGATGAGAAGGGGAAATTCCGTGGAGGGTTTGTTAATGAAAAGACAGTGGGCAATTGTTCAAAATCATGTCAAAATTAAAGCCAGTAAAATAAGTAAAATATGATCAAATGTAGTCGAAAAGTGGTTTATTGGTGAGCTTGGTGAGCTATATATTCAAGCATAAAACTCGCTTGACTTTGAATACAATATTGTCAGTGATATACCAGTACCGGAATAATATCAACCCCTCGCAAAAACCCCCATCTTCAAACCCATTTTACGGTATGTATTGAATGTGGGAGTTACCCTCTCGAACACCATATAGTAGCCGTTTACGAAATTCAGCCGCTAACGAATCATTCGGTTTTCTTTGTTTACGAATGATTCGTTAGCGGCTGAATTTCGTAAACGACTACGACATATATATGTTGTGTCCTATTTAGATTTCTGTTGGATTTAGATTCAATCTAAATCTTATATAGATTGAACAATAATACGTCTTATATATTAGGTTGATGCATAAGTCTTTTCGTTCCTTTTCGTCTGCCGTTTGAAGCCAACAAATGCACCAATTAAACTACGGTTGATTTCATTAGAAAAACCAATTATTTTTCTGCAAAATAACATTAAAACGGGTTTAAAAATATTTAATGCCTGGATTTTCTTGAGAGTATGAAGTCGGGTAGTCAAAAAGGGCTAACTCGATGATGCGGTTTAGACACCTTAGCTAAAGAAAACCTATCTTCATGTCAATAGATAAAAGATAGAGAAAAAAAACGTTTGATATATCGCCAAAATTTCAGAGAAATTCATTCAGCCAATTTTTCCGTAGAGTTTTTTATAGATTTTTACGAAAAAGGCGTTTTTCACTCTCGAATTTGCTTCAAATTGAACCGAAATTCATTTAAAAAGATGCAAATTGAACAAAAAAACACTTTTTTTATAGAGCAAACTATAGATTAATGGGTGCATTTGTTACTTTTTTAACAGAAGTACGAAAAAACGAAAAGACTTTTGCATCAACCTATTAGATTGAACAATAATATAAACATGCTTAATATATGTTCTTAAGCGTTTTCTGTAGTTTTCTGCATTTTTCAAAGGTCTTTTATTGATTACAGTCTATATCGGACGTCCGATACAGATCGAACAATAATAAACGTGCTTAATATATGTTCTTAAACGTTTTTTTGCAATTTTCTGCGCTTTTCAAAGAAATTTTATGGTCTTTTTTTGAGAATTTTTTGTTTTCTTGTTTTCCTATTAAATGCTTACTATTGTCCTATTAAAGTTAAAAACTACAGAAAACGCTTAAGAACATATATTAAGCATGTTTATATTATTGTTCAATCTATATAAGATCTAGATTGAATCTAAATCGGACGGAAATCTAAATCGGACACAACATATATATTCTGAAAGCTCAATTCAAGTTCTAGCGAATGGTAGATTTTGTATTTCAGTTTAGATTAGTTTTTCAAGCATTTTAAACCCTTCAAAGATGATCACTGAAAATTTCAACTTTCAGAATAAATGTTTCTCTATGATAGCGGGCTCCAATCGTTTCGAAACCACGTTTTTCGAACTCCTCGTTAAATTTTACTCTAGAAAACGCGGTTCTTAACCGGTTTTAACAGGTTTCCATTTTTGAAATGACGTCGAAATGTCGTCGAATGTTTTAAAGTTTTTTTTAAGTTTACGCATAAATACAATAAAAATTTATTAAGAATGGAAGCTCTGAGAATCAAAAAAAACGACCCGGAGTTCGATAAAAGAGTTTTGTTGCAAAGTGCGACTCGTGACATATGTACAAATGAAGAAGAAAAGAAAATCCAATGTTTAACCCATAATGATGGATTGTTGCGAATTGTTGAATCCACCGTCGCGTTTTTCAGAGAACGATCCCCAACTGTTTTGTGAGGATTGGATGACACCGGGGAAGGGTTGTTGTGGCTGGGATTGTTGAGGGAAACCGCTCATTCCACCCATTCCACCCATAAAAAATTTGGATAATTTTTATTAAAAAATTTTATAGCTGATATAGACCTTTAAAGTATCGTTAGTTGTATTGTAAAGTTGATCTAAATTCATTGGAGCAATTGCCGCAATTCATTAGAGCAACTGTAATTGTCCCCTCATTCTCTTGCTCCGTTACAGTAACCCGAAAAGGAGAATTCGCGAAGGTTATGGTTTAAAATTCAATTAAAGTTGTATAGGTACTCAGTCTAGCGTTTTACTTCAGGTTTACTGTAGCTGAGACGAGTGTATTTATGATAGTATTTTAATCAATTTACCCATCATTCCCATTCCACCGCCCATTCCTCCACCGCCCATTCCTCCCCGGCCCATGTGACGACGGAAACGAGAAAGTTGGCTGAAACGTTGAAACATTTAAATGTTATATTGATTCGTAAAACTTGTATTGAATACTAGCATTACTAGTATTGAATAAATCTTCAAATAACTCACTCAAATCTCTGATGAAGAGGCTCGAATTCTTCGTGTTGTCGATTGAAATCTCTTCTCAAATCTCCATCAAAATGATCGAATTCAAGAGAAATTCCCAAAATAGCGAAGAAACAAATGATCGAAATAGACGAAAAAGAAGACATTTTAGACTTGGAGAATTGAAGAAAGAATCAAAATTGTTGATTGAAATGGGAAACGATCGAGATTATATAGGGAAGGGAATCGAGAAAATTGAAGGAGTTTCGATTGGCAAATTTCGGTTCATTTACCCAATTTGGTTTTGAAGTTAGCTTTTGAATTAGGGAAATGGCGAATTTGAGGGGGGTTTTTAGTATATATGTGAAAGGGGACCAACGCCTGTTATGTGATGTCAGCTATGTGAAAGGGTTACTCATCGCTTGTTCTCCAAAAGGAAACGGTGTTCGTTTTTCTTTTTTTCTTTTGGCGAGAAAGTGCAGAGAAATTTCTCTCATCGTTTTTATGGTGTTTGAGTTGAAATTTTGGGAAAATTTGGCAATTTTAATACTTTGAAAATATTTGTTTTTCAATTTCTACCGTAGAAATCTATTATCACGACATTTTGCCGATGTTTTGTCTACCCGAGCTGAACAGCTCGGGTAGAAAAAAGGGCCCACTGTAAATTGCAAAAAATGATACTCATGAAGGTTAAGATTTATTATTACAAAAATATTGTACCAAACACATATAAAAAATGGATTTTTCTTTGAAATTTTGCAAAAATTTCTTTGTTTCCCCTTGAGAAAACCCCCAGACAAATTGAAAATTGAGTTCCGAAATGCATTTTCATTTCCAAAAAGTTTTTGTTACATCGAACAACTTTTTTAATTGCCTCTTTGAACCGGCAATTTACAATTTCTCGTTAAATTTCCATTTTGTCTCTCTTTACGAAACTTTGTCAATAAATGTTAGTCATTTATCGAAACTCGATTGAAGTCAAAAACTTTACAATACTTTTTTTGAATCGAAAATCACATTTTGTATTTGTATTTGTTTACAATTGAGTTTTCCTTTCGTCTTCTTATACAGTTGAACCGCCAAAAAAAAAACGTAACTGAGGGAGCCGCTTAGATATTGCGTTAAAACCGGGGTTAGCATTCATATAGTCGTAAAAGAACTTATTAGGGCAAATTAAAGGGTGAGGGGGAGTGCAAATCTCGACCGGGTCTTTTTTTTAAGGTAACTCTATGTTTTTATTTAATAAAACATTACATTTTATTATAAAAACAACCAAAAAAAAAACCCGGCAGGAAAGAACGTTTTTGACTTTTATTTTTAATTTTAAAATACTCCAAAGTTCGCCTGCAGACAGAGCCGAGTCATCCTCGATTTTTGCGCTTGGATTTCCGTTTATTTTTAAAGTATTCAGCCGCTTCGAGTTTCCTATTTTGCATTAAAGGGGGGTATCTCGACCGTAACTTAGGGAACTTAGGGAGCCGATAGTTCGCCTGTAGACAGAGTCATCCTCGATTTTTGGGCTTGGATCAACAGGTTGTCGTTTAGACTGGTAGTTGGTTGCATAGGATCTTCAATTTTTCGCATTCAGAGATGCGAAACGATTCAGAGATTGTGGTAAATTGCCAAGCGGTTGTAAAATCGATCAAATGCGAAAAATTGAAGATCCTATGCAGCCAACTACCAGTCTAAACGACAACCTGTTGATCCAAGCCCAAAAATCGAGGATGACTCTGTCTACAGGCGAACTATCGGCTCCCTAAGTTCCCTAAGTTACGGCCGAGATACCCCCCTTTAACGCCAAATAGGAAACTCGAAGCGGCTGAATACTTTAAAAAATAAACGGAAATCTAAACACGCGACACCTTTGTCAATTTCGATATTGCACTAATTTTATCTGTGACGAGCGTTAAGATTTTTCTCATTTCTTCACATTCACATCTCATTCTTCTCTCAAGTTCTTCAATTTCTCTTCTCCCTTATCATCATCGTCCTTTCAGTTCTTCTCCTCCTCTCTCTCTCTTTCAAATGTCCACCGATCTTCCATCTCCCGAGCCCTCTTCCACCGATTCCCCCATCACCACCGATGATTCAAATGCGCCTCCAAACGATTTTGATGGTCATTTTGTCGATCCCTTCGAAATTGTCTCTAGTTCCACTTTCATTACCATCGGAATTCTCACCTTAATCGTCTATTTACGAATTGTCAAATATCATCTGAAATACGGATTCAAAACTCACTATCAAAAGATCTTTCTCGTTTGCCTTACAAATGTGAGTTTAAAAAAAAGAGAAACATTGATTATTTAGCTTTTAATCATTTTAATACCAGCTTTTAATCATTTTCAGGATTTACTCGGTCACTACACTCTTCTCTTTAACATTCGTCTTCCCACTTGGGGCGTCTATGAATTCTATTATTATGTTCAGGTCAGTTCGATCTCGAATTTCAGACGAAATTCTTCTTTTTATTAGTGAGTATTGAAAATGTAAAATTGTAAGATCGTCCAATTTCATAAGAAGAAGAAGAAGAAGAGAAAAATCGTCCAATTCAAGCGTCCAATTTCATCCCCATTCCATTTCTCTTTCAGTCGGGTATCTTTCCGGTTATTCTAAACGTCAGCTATAGCTTCGCTTTTCTTTTTCAAATCATTGGCACTTTTCTCATCGCAATCAATCGAGCCACTTCACTTGCTTTTCCACAACGTTATGAATGGGTAAGTTGAAAGTTTTGAATTGAAAACACGATTGAAAACACATAAAAGAGATTCAAGAAACTTCTTTCCTACCTCAAATTTTCTCCTCATTTTCTCCAATTTCAGTTCTGGAGTCGTTACACATGGCATTCGTGTATTGGGTGTGCTTTCTGTTGTGCTTTATATATTTCTCCCACAGCCACTGAACCTGCTTACTTCTTTCGTCTTTCGTGGGGATACTATATTCCGTATTCTATTCAAAATTCAGCTATAACGGTTTGTTTTTGAAAAAAAAATATAAACTTCAAATTTGACCACTATTTGTATATATATATGTCGTAGCCGATAAAGGATTTCAGCCGAAGAAGTTTCAGACTTCTTGGGCTAGCCGATGAAGTCTCAAATTTTTTCGCTAGCGAAACCTTCTTCGGCTAGCCGAAGAAAAATGAAATCTTGAGTTATGTATTGACTCAAGTCAATACCACAAACTCGCATTCTGGGCACAATTTGACAAAAATTTCGATTACTTCTTTTGAGATCTCAAAAAAGGGACACCAAAGAAAGGAAACAATTCTATTTCAAATAAATGACGAATCAGATAGAAAATGACGAAAAATGATGACGAAAAGGGCCCTTTATAGCCTTTGGTTACAGTATGATAAAATGCGCACTCTTTCGAATGTGTCTTTAGCTTTTAAGCGCCTTTTAGAGAGCTTGAGTTTGTGGTATTGACTTGAGTCAATACATAACTCAAGATTTCATTTTTGAGAATTAATCGGCTAGCCGAAGAAGTCTGAGACTTTTTCAGAAAATGAAATTTCGAGTTATGTATTGACTCAAGTCAATACCACAAACTCAAGCTCTTTAAAAGGCGCTTAAAAGCTAAAGACGCATTCGAAAGAGTCCGCATTTTATCATACTGTAACCAAAGGCTATAAAATCCTTCATCGGCTACGACATATATATATATGATTTCATGTATTTCCTATTCAAAAATCCCGTCTCAAAACTGTTCAAAATTGAGCATTTATCCAATCAGTATCGATAAGCATTCCAGGAAGTGATGAGTGCCATTTATTTTCCATTGTGTCTTTCGATTGTCGGTCTCTGTTTTCTTGTTAATATCTATACATGTATTGGTCTATATAAACACTCGCGAACGATGAGTAAAAAAGTGAATCGACGTGAAATGGCCTTTCATGTGAGCACAATCATTCAATTCCTCGTTCAAGCAGTTTCCGCTGGGGATTATGTGAGTTTTGGAGTAGATTTTGGAGTGCTTGGATCGGGTCGCTTTTGGCCTCAATTCGAAATCTCAAACTCGATTTCGGCTTTTGGATCAACTGAGCTTAGCCATGTCCAGTTCAGAGGAATGCAGCGAAAGCTGATTGCAAGCAAATTCAGCGAAAAGCAAAAGTTATGATAGCCAATAAAGCGTCGAGTTCACTAAAACTAAATTCTAGTCTTTTTCTTTTTCACCATTCTAAAACCTTTTCACAAAAAATTCCTTTTTTTTTCACAAACCATAATTAAAGTTTATGAAGCAATTAGAGAAAAAAGATTGTACTCGTCAAATTCGATGCAAAAACTTGTTTAGAGTCAATTAAAATAATTGTATCTTTTCTCGGAAAAGCTATAATTTGTTAACACCAAAATTTTTCAATGAAAAAGTTTAACATTTTTTTTTTTTGAATACTTTAAATCTCAGATTATCACCACCACGCAATCCATGGATGATTACTGGTTTTTCTTCGAATTCGCTCCCGTTTTCGGAGATTCGGCTAATTTTATCCCGATTTGGTGAGTGAGTTTATATATAAATACTTTATTCAGAAAGAAATAAAGTGCGAAAACGACATGAAAAATGTACTAGATAAAAGATATCACAAAGTCACTTAAAATGCAACGAAATAGCCCTTTTAAAGTTTGAGGGGAAACGTGAGGAAACAAATGAATGAGATAGAAATACTGTTGACCTTGTGCAAAGAACTGTATATATTTTTCTTTTTCAATTGGCACGATACTCTGCAACGATAGAATTTCCACAATCAGCATCTTCTTAAAATGACCTATATAATGTGAAATTGATAGATTATACAGTTATAACTAGTTACGTAAATCGATTTATATATCATCCAAGGGTAATTTTGAGTCAAAGATTACAAAATGTTAAAAAATCACCTCTTAAGCAGTCAAATGCGATCAAAAAAAATGATCCCTACATTAAACTGATCATAAGTTATATTCCTTTAAGAATGCTACCGAAAAATAGACCGATTTAATTAAGATTCTCAAATTTTCAAGTCTTCTACAAAGCCTTCTACAGCTATCATTCATTTTTTTAAAATTTCCCAGGTTTTTATTCTTTATCTCCGAAGAGACGCGAATGATTGTGACGGGAAAATTGAAGGGACGAGACGGGGTGCACACGAAAACAGCCGTGTCCACTGTGTCGACTCAATCAAATATTCGATTAACGAAATCGACAACAACGACCACATTAATCAACAACAATAAAACTAATGGAATGAATGGAAACTCATCGAGTATGTACGGAAATTCATAGAAACGATTGAAAATGGTTTTTTTGAGGAAAAAGTTATGATGTGTTTAATGAATAAACGATTGACTGAAGGATTAAAGAGAATTGATTTCTTTGAAAGGATTTCGTCTTAATGGTTTGACAAGTTTTACCAAACCACACCAAACAACCAATATCCTCCGAACAAATCTCACAGGAGAGAGGTGGAAGAGGAGGAATGAAATTGCAGGAGAGAGGCGGAAGAGGAGGAAGAAATTGCAGGAGAGAGGGGAAGAGGAGGAATGAAATTGCAGGAGAGAGGCGGAAGAGGAGGAATGAAATTGCAGGAGAGAGGCGGAAGAGGAGGAATGAAATTGCAGGAGAGAGGTGGAAGAGGAGGAATGAAATTGCAGGAGAGAGGTGGAAGAGGATGAGAAAAAGTCGAAGAGATGAGCTCCAAATCCATCAGGAAAAAAAAAATTGAGAACTTTATTCAGTGAATCGCTTCTTCCAAAACCCTTTCATAGCCCTTTTCATCTCTTTTTTGTATTCCTTTCCGCAATCGGAAAGGAAGTTAATAAGCGGAGGCGACATCACATCTTGCACTAAAATTTGACACTCTAAATCGCTTAAGCGAGAAGAATTTACTTGTGATCCAATATTTCCTCAAGTATCGCTGCATAATTCGGAGTATATCACCAAGTTCCTCAATTCGAATATATGTCAATCCAATATATTGAGTAATACAATGATTGCATGAATCTCCAAAAGAAAAGTCCCGATTCCAAAAGGACATCTTTCTATCGAAACCCAAATCGACCACTTGGGAGCATATGCTCACAAATATGTGGCTTTCTTTTAGCTTTCATATAGTCTTCTTGTTCCATTTGCATGAAACAGAAACCGTATGATGGATCGCTTTTCTCATTTATTTCCCTCAATAAACCCTCCACCAAATAGAGATGAGTTATTCGAGAGACTGTGATTTCTTTCCACTCATTCAACAAGCGAAACGCTCTCTCAAATAGTGAATGGGTCTCCAAGAATTCTTTTTGATTTAATTTCGAACATGTAGAATATTCGATTTGAATTTCATCATTGGGAGCAGATTTTGGGAATTTTTCAATTTCACATTGAGGCCTACACTCACAATTGGATGAAATTGAATATTTCATAGTGGTTTCCCAGATGAGCCCAGGGAATCGCTTAAGACATTTCCAGTATTCTCGATTATCTGGTGTATCGTCGCCTGAAAAGCTTCCCTTTTCGATTATGTTTTCGATTTGAAGGAGAGCTTCAGGTGTTTGCTCCTCTTCAGGAATCTCATATTCTCTTTTGTTACATAAAATATATTGTAAACCGATCTCATAAAGGACTCCAGTTTTCGCGAGATCTCTTTTCTCACATGTGAATTCACAATGACATTTCGTGTTTTCAGTTTTCATCGCTATTTGACTTGGTGAGTAAATGTAACCGGGAAATCGGCTTTCCCCTCCAATCAATAAACTTTTAAGAAGCAACTCCAATTCCGATCGATCGAGGCATCGACCGTTCTAGTGCCGGTTTTCGGGGACGTCCGAATTGATACCCGACTACTTCTTGTCCACTTATTAAATACTTGTAAATCTTCTCTCTCGTCTTTTTCCCCTCATATGGATGTAATCGACTAACCTCATTTCTTTTGTTGTATAAAGAGCGTCTAATTACTTCGAGATCCACGGGAAAAGAGGCAGTCTTTCCGCCTTTCCCGCTCAAGTAATCTTTTTTCCGGATTTCCCGGAGATCCTTGGAGAATGTAAGCCCATGTCCGTCGCACCATTCGGTTCGAGATCCCGGATAGTAGACTAGACCATATTGTCGACGTCTTGTATAGATGTGGTCAAGTGATTCGATATTCTCTATCATCATATCCAGCAGATCCAACAATTCCCTCCACGAAAATCCAATCGATTCACTTTTCCACAGCACGTGCAATGAGATCTCGTAGCAAAATTCTTGTAAAGCGAAATCGAAATACAAGAGTTTCGCATAGTGTTTTTCGCATAGTGTTCAAGAGTTGAGAGAATTGGCTCTTCGGGATTGTGCTCTTTGATGTAATGACTGTAGAACCACTCAATTGGATCCCTTTTGGGAAAATCATTGTACATTTGTTTCAGATGGGGCAAGATAGTTTGTTTCTCTTGGTTATTTAACTCATCGACCCCATCCAGAAATGCTTTTCTCAACTTTTCACGTAGCCCATTTACATCTCCTACATTCGCTTTATCAAACCAAATTTCGAATGGTTCAGGAAGAATGGCAAAATTGCGTGAAGAAGTAATTAAATTGTCATTTTCTGACCCAAGAATATTTCGAAAGGTTGTGCTTCTTTTAGCTCGTAAAATCCACTGATTGAATTGATTCTCGAATGTGAGCTGTGAGTTTAGAGGTTTACTTCTTATTGAGTTTGTTTCATTATTTGTTGTTTCCAAATCAAAAATCACGTCCGGAACATCGAATGTCGTTGTCAATTCGAGACATAAACCATCAACTATTGTCGGGATTTTGAATGACTTCTGGCTACGCACTTTTTCGGGTTGTGAAATAAATGAAGTGAATTTCTAAAGAATACTTAAAAAACATAATTGAACGCTCTTTTAACAACCTTTTCCAAGAAAGCAGCTTCATTCAGGGCATTTTCAGCCGTTACTCGTTGATTGATGGGTATTTGTGGAGATGAGCATCTAAATAAAGAAAATAAAAAAGTGTTCGATCAAATTGAAATCAACCGCTCAATCAAATCAAACAGCTTTCTCACGTCGGATGAGGTCGTTTTTGGAAAGTGCAAAACAAAAAACTGATTTGAGATATTCCTAAAAGCTTTTGTAAACACGAATACCATCAACTACATCAACCATCAACTATTGTCGGGATTTTGAATGACTTCTGGCTACGCACTTTTTCGGGTTGTGAAATAAATGACGTGTATAATAACACTCTGTATAATACAGAGTGACGCACAATTACCCGCACTCCGTTCAAAATTCACATTTTGAACATTTTGAACTTTGATCCCTAATCGAAATTCATTGTTTTCTAATAAAAAATGAGCTAGATTTTGGAAATAATAAGTAAAAAGGACAAAATGAAGCTGGTTTTCTTTGACTTTGAGCCATTGAAACTCGTTACAAAAACCAGAAAATCGCGATTCCGCCGCAGGAAACACGGGTCGCAACTTTGCAGCGATTTAGCAAAACTTTAGAAACTTTTCTGATCAAATCTTGAAAACATATTGCAAGAAACATATTCAATTTGATAATAAAAAAAGAACTAGGTCGATTGATTGACTCTTTGCTAAGTTGGAGAATCTGAACTGAGTGCGGGTAATTGTGTGCCACCCTGTACATAGCGGCCACACTTTGAGAGGGCTTTTCTCGAGCATTATCCAAGGTAATTGTGTGCCACCCTGTATAAAATACTCAATCCAATGTAATATAATGTAAAAGCTAATAGTCTTTACAAAAAAAAGGTTTATAATATGTTGTATAATATTAGGTTGGCAAGAAAGTTCGCAGAAAAAGTTTGCACGGTGATTTCTCAAAAACGAAGCCATAAATTCTTCGCAGATTTTTTGATAAACTTGACTATATTTCAAAAAGTTTTTGCCAAAAAATCAGAGTGGGCTTTAGGTAAAAAAATGGGAGATTTCTTGAGCTGAAGTGATTTGGTCACTTTTTGAGTGACCAGCCTTTAGACAAGTTTTTAATGGGTTAATGGATAGGCAATGGGTCCCATTCCTAAACCTAAAATCAAGTACTTAAAATAGGGAAAATTAGTGTGTAAGGCAAATTTGATCTAATGCTTTCACTTTTCAGAATCACCTATTCTAGCCAAACACTCAATGACGCCAAGAAGATGACACGAGAAAATTGATTTTTTGAAATACAGCTTCTTTGTCAAAAAAATCTTTGGCCTAAAATAGAGATTATAGAGCGTATTGCTCATTTATGCTAGCTTTACCTCATAAAAAAATCGTTTTTATCGTGCAAAAAGTGAGCTGGATTTAAGTTGGAAAATAATCATTTTACAAAAATCTCTAATTTTAGGGGAAAGTGGCACTCATTTTTTTCACGAGTAATTTACGAGTACATTTTTTTACGAGTATTTTTACGAGTTTTTACGATTTCTTGGAGTCCACTTGTAAATAATAGACACAAATGTTCTTGCATTCGTGGATTTGTTTTTAAGAAATTCCAGTCATACTTCGAACTTTTTCCCGGGAACTTTCTTTCTAACCTCATATGTTTGTATTCTGAAAAGCCTACACAGTCTGTATGTTCACTAGTTCTAGTCAGTTAGTCGGCCAGTCAATCAGTCAGCTCTCACTTTCTCATTGCAATCTCCCATAGCACCAAGCCGGTCGCAAAGACATCGCATTGATAAATGTTCTGATAAAATATGTATTAAAAAGGTGAAAATTGACAGATTAAATTTGGCAGCTCTAAAATGTCACCTGTTCACTCAAACTCATATCCATGAGAAGCTCGGGAGCCATATGACTGAGTGTTCCGATCCGATCATTTGTCATCTCATTTTCACTATTGAACTCTTTGAAAACTCCAAAATCTCCGAGTTTCAAATTGAAATCCCTCGTCACAAATATGCTAGAAGAATTCTCTATTATATTTATAATAAAATGGAAAATTCGAATTTATTTGGATGGATCGATATTTCAAAAGTTTAGATTTCGGATTGATTATTTTTAAAAAATAAAATTCGAGTGCATCATCGAAATGTTTCAAATTCTGATCAAGTTGATCAAGCTCAATCGAATCCAACTCAATAAATATTCCCATGTCTATTTTCCAAAACCCCAAATCCAACTTTTTACTCTTCACATCTCGGTGAGCAATTCGATTCGATTTGAGATAAACTAAAGCACAGAGAATCTCACGTGTCCATTTCATGAAAGTCAACACCGAATAATTGATGGTCACATCAGAGATCACTCAAATTGGGGAAATAAACGCGAAAAACAAGATAGAAAGTCTACCATTCCTCAGCGATCCCTCTTCACAGTACTCCATAAATATCGGGAATTTCTCTCCATCATAATCGAAATCGAGTGGTTGATCGATGAAGCGAACAATATTCGAATGAACTAATTCCTTCAAGATTTTGATCTCTTTCGACTGATTGATCAGATTCTCTTTCATCGCGATCGGACTAAATTCGAGTTAGAAGCATAGAAAGACAAATAAAAGTCAAAGGATCTTGAGTTAAAAAGAAAATAAACACTGCTATTTGATTACGTGTTGTGCGTTTAGTGAACCCAATAGTATTGGAAATTCAACTAACAGATCAAATGCATCATTTTCTCAAATCAAATGCATCACTTTCTCAGATCAAATGCTTCTAAGTGAACATTTCCTCTCTTGGTCTCTTTAAATATCTCCTCTATTTTTATATACGTATGAGTATAAAGCAAAAAATTAAAGTTTTAAAAGAGGGTGAAACTAAAAAGAGTACTGTATTTGGGGACTCAATTTACATAGCTTTACATCATTGCTTTACATCACTTTCTGATCTGATTTTCAAGTGACCATTTCCCCTCTTGGTTCCTTTAAATATCCCCTCTATTTCTATAGATTATCGTGGTGAGCCCAAGTGTATTGCAAGTAAGGGATCCGATCCGATTTTCCACAAAAAGCGACGCCGGGTGCGGTTAGTTGCGGGTTCAATGCCTCTTTTGGCATTTCATTTTTGCCTTTTTTTGCATTTTTTTTTTGTATTTGAATTGATTTAAAACCGTTTTCAAGCCTAGTCAGCCCCTACCCCTTTCATTCTACCCAAAATCCTAGCCAGCCCCTAGCCCCTAGCCCTAGCCCTTTCCATACATTCTACCCAAAATCACTTACGGTTTGTAGTCGTCGAGGAGGAAAACTCTCGCAAAACCTCCACTACCAATTTCTCTCATTGTTCGATTCATTTGAATATTGAATAAAAACTAATTAGTGAGAAAACAAGAAAAGAAAACGCAAACTTAATGCCTTTTTTTTTCGTGTGCCCATATTGATTGTGCTTAAAATAACGAAATTTTAGTCGCATCTAGCCAGATCAAAAGAAAATTCATTTCCTCTTCTTTTAGTCAAGAGGTAAAAAGCATAAAATGAGAGCACATATTTATAGGAAGCTTGTGGGCAAAATAGTGAACAGATCATGAGGGTCTCATAGATTGAGAGCTAGTCAAGAGATTCTTAAACTAGAGAATCAAAATCGTTGAGGAAAGAAATGGTGTCCGGTGTCGAACCAAACGTGTGCCGTTGTCCGGTGTCGAATCAAACCAAACCAAACGTTTATTTTTGATTTTTTTGCATTTTCCGAATGGTTAGATACTTTAAATGATCTGGAATATTTAAATGATCTAGAGTAAAAACTCATAAATACTTATAGATTTATTATTGATTTTGAAAAGCTTTCTAAAGTGCTGAGTATTGTTGTTATTTCTTTTAATCTATGTAGTTGTTATTATATGTAACTTTTTCTTTAAAAAGTAAACTCCTTTTTGGTAATTCACAAAATAGTCTCCGGTCCTTACTATTGTTATTGGTTTTTGCAATTTGGATAAACATTAGAAATAATAGATCGATTTTCGCTATCATTGTTTAATAGAGAAACTTTTTGCATATTTCTAGCACTTTTTGAGTTGATTTGTATGCTGAGAATCTCTTTTTATGATAGTAGAACTTTACTGAAAGCTATTCAAACTTTTTTTAAAGGAAATAAACATTTCATTTTCAAATCTCGAATATTTTATCTTCGATTTGAAAGTCGATATGAGATACGGTTGAGAGATATGAGTCGATAGTCGATATGAGATCTGAGATACGAGCTGATTGTAAATAAATAACACAAAAAAAAGTGTCGATCATGATTCCATTTTTATCAACAATCAAAGAATCTCGTTACTTATCTTTTTGTTGAAGATTCTTTCACGAAAGTGATTTGCGTTGTCCTTTTGTTGTTCACTTTAGTTTCATCCCGTTTGCTGAGCATCAAAATACAGATGACACTGCAATGATTTCTTGATAAAACATCAAATTTAATGCTTTTTTCAGTTACTGATTGATTAGAATATAGAAAATAGAATATTTTCAAGTTTTTCAAGTTATGAGATCTCGGTTGTTTAATTCATATAAACCTTTTTTTTGTTAGAATCAAGATCAGCAAGATCAAGGTCAAGATCAGGTACCACTTGAAAATAATCCATTTTGAAAGTTTTATGTTAATCAATAATGAAAAAAGGGGGAAATTTAATAAAAAGGATTACGTGGTCAGAAAATGGAAGAAAAATGTGTTGAGGAAGTCGATGAATGTTTTCACCAAATCGATGACATTCGATCCGAAGAAAAGAATGACAATCCCGCGAACGTATGGGAATAAAATATCGAGCACCAAAACAACAAACGAATTTGCGAGCATCTAAAAGAAAAAAAATTGCAATCTCAATTTCACTTTCATCAAGAAATCGCACCAACCTGCACCATCAAGAAGATCTCGGTTCGACTCGCTTTGCCCGCTTTTCGCAACTAAACACACAAATTTATCGAGAAAACATTAACAATCACAAATTTAATAGCTTCTTGTGCATCACGGGAAATGCTTGAAAATCTAGTGTTCACACAGAAACCGCTATCAGCAAAATAGTGGAAAAAAAGTTCTAAGTTCATTAGATTTTGTTGTTTAGGAGGCAGGTATAATGCTAAAGCGGCTACTGAAATACAGGGTCATATATTATGACACATAGGACACATGTAGATGTCGTAGCCGATTATAAATGAAATTTTTTTGGCAAACCTTTCTCGTAGAGTGACCCTTTAAAGTATGAGGACAATGTTATATCATTAGTGAATTAGTGGGTCTTGGGGCATTCAACCATCAAGTATTTAGTATCATTCAACGCAGAATCATTGATAATTATGTTAAATTTTTTTAAATTAGCAAGATTTGATAAAAATGAACAAAATTAGAGCAAAAAAACTGTTTGTTCGAGAGAAAACTTTGAAGCTCCGTAATTTTTTTTATTTTTATCCAACCTTTCTAATGTAAAAAAATTAACATAATTATCAATGATTCTGCGTTGAATGATACTAAATATTTGATGATTGGACGCGTCTAAACCCACTAATTCATAATCGGCTACGACATATATAAATGTATTGTATCATCATATTTTAGATTAATTAAGAATTATGAAAATCATTTAAATAACTGTCTTCTATAGGGTTCTCATCGATAAGATCAAGATTTACAAATTGGGGGTAGGCTAATTTCCGCAATCTTCGCCATCTTCAGCAACAGGGTCGTTTGCGCAACTCGCCCTTTCTTCTAAGTGGGCCATTCTTTATGATTTTGGTTTCACTTTGTAGATCTTAATAAATGCAACAAAATGAAATCAAAAACATCAAGATTGGCCGACTTAGAAGAAAGTTATGGCAAATTGCGTAAATGTGTCCAGTTGCGCAAATAAAATTCCGGAAATTAGCCTACCCCACAAATTGGCCTCAAAAGTGATTCAGAATCCGAAGCCAATTCCACCTTTCTTATTTTCCACCATGTAACAAAATCGAAGCCGCAAAGGAAAAACTTGGGCACTCGTATCGCGTAGTCGTCGGACCAAAAATCCATCCATTCATCGTACGTTAGAAGTCGAAAATACCATAGACAGCCTTTCAACAAATAGGGAATAACCAGTTGAAAGAATGGCCACTTTTGTGCATACGCATAGTAGAGACCGTCGAATGAAACAGCAAAAAAGCGACTGAGATTCGGGGTTTTTTTTTTTTTGAAAAACTCAAGAGGCTTACTTTAGTGAGATCATCAATTGACAATACCACGCAATATCTCGAATATCGATCCCATAAATGAGCCAATCGCTGCTGAATTGAATAGCCACGGACAGCCATTTTGGGATACTAGAAAGTTAAGTAGAGTGTTTTTCTAATTCATTAAGGTGAAAATTTGAATTTCAATCAATTTGGATTTAACATCATTTGCAAGATTTCAATTCGCAGCTTTAAAAGTAGATTTTCAATTTTAAAACATACTTACTTAAAGGGGGTATTAATCGCGGCCGGGTGGTCATAAAAATTTTTTTACGGCAACCACCTGTTTTTTTATTTGAATATCGTTGATTTTATTATAAAAAGAATAAAAATCACCCGGCTAGAGTGATTTGATGGGTTTACAAATTTTTGGAGACTGCAACTAAAACGCAATCGATCTAGACTGTGCTGAGGTGTCTGATGAGTGACGATCTTGTTTTTCTCCAAGCCTTGCAGCGTCTTCAAAAATTTGTAAACCCATCAAATCACTCTAGCCGGGTGATTTTTATTCTTTTTATAATAAAATCAACGATATTAAAATAAAAAAACAGGTGGTTGCCGTAAAAATTTTTTTTATGGTTACCCGGCCGCGATTAATACCTACCCTTTAACAAAACCTTTAACTAATTTATTGAATATGTTGACTTTTGCTTGAAACTAAAAATATTAAGTCAAAACGATAGATTGAAGCCTTTAATTGAATCCTCTGCGTCACAAAAATACATATATCTTTTAGGAAAAAAAAAGAAGAAGTCTACTCTAAATAACAACACAATTCACTCATCCACTCACCGTTTATTGTCAATCTTGACATGTTCCCAAAACCAAAAAAGCGAAAGAATGAGCGTGGCGATGAATTTGTTCACATTTTCCGCCGGAAGTAGTAATCGAAAAGCAGAGCATAAGTAAGATAAGAAGTAAGATAAGAAGATCTATTTCTGAGTCTTGCATTTAAACGAACCGAACCGCGAACGCCAAACGATCATTTTTCGCCGTCACATACACTGCCCATGGGATGAGGAAAAGACTCAAAAACCATATCTGAAAGCGAGAGAAATCTACCGTAAAACTAGTAATAAAAA